GATAATGCATCAAATACATAAGTTAGAGCATGTCAGCGATATTAAATTTTGCTGTCAGATTCTTGCAACTGTGTTGCATGTTTATCGACCTATAACATTGGCTGAGCTTGGCATCCTTATTAAATGTCCAGATGCCAATTTGATCTATAAGGCAATAACTTTATGGCTCATTCCTCACTGTGCAAGACAGCGAGATTTATATTATCCACCAGTCAGCTAAAGACTATTTAAGTGACAAGGCAGCATCTAACAACTTCCTTCCTAACCCTGCCCACATCCACGGCGTCATTCTCTCGCGGTCAGTGCACGTTATGTCCGCTATGGTACGACGGAATATCTATAATCTACATTCTCCCAGTCTGCCAATCAATGAAATCAAGGCACCAGATCCAGATCCGCTACAAACCCTACGTTATTCTTGTCTTTACTGGATTGACCATTTCTGTGATATATACATGTATAATAGTGATGGCCAATCTCAGAATCAGGTCAACGATGAAAAGTGCCAGATGACCCTTCTATTGTTGCAAAGGTACTTCCTATACTGGCTCGAAGCTTTAGACCTTATGGGCCATATAGAAGATAGCGTTCTTTCAATAATCAGGCTAGAGAATCTACTGGGGGTAAGCTACATGTAATAACGCTATAATAATGAACAGCGAACCTGATCAATGCAGGGACAATCGTTAAATAAACAATCCCAGGAGCTGACTCAGAATCCACCGCGGCCTCACTCTTTAAGACTGAGATTGAAGAGTTTATTAATAGTAAGTATTTGCTATAGCGGTATAACAGACGAGAGTGAAACTAATATATAAAGGGAAACTTGCCGGATCGGCAACCACTAGACTGCAACATGCAGTTAGTAAACCTGACGCAAGACTCAAAGAGGTTTATCTGGAGGAATAGTTCATTAATTGCAAATTATACACTCCAGGTCTATACATATGCGCTTATTTTCAGCCCATTAAACAGCTTGGTGCGAAAAATATTCCAATAGGAGGAGCCTCAATGGCTAAAAATTACACCAGCGGTTGAATATAATTGGAGCCCTTACTTACAGACTCTACGGGGCCACAATCATTGGGTCACATCGATTGCTTTCTCACCAGATAGCCGCTACGTTATCTCAGGATCACATGATAGAGTTATTAAGATCTGGGATGCAACAACAGGAAAAGAGCAGCAAACACTTCAATACTATAGTTGCTCAATTGCATCGCTTGTCTTTTCGCCAGATGGTCGTTACCAGATGGTCATTACCTTGCATCAGGGTCAGAGGATTATACTATTAAAATCTGGGATGCAACTGAAGATAAAGAACCCCAAACACTTTAAGGCCATACGAATTCAGTTACGTCAGTTGCCTTTTCCTTAGATGGCCGTTACCTCGCCTCAGGGTCATATAATAAGACTATAAGAATCTGGGATATAATAAAGGGCAAAGAGCTGCAGGTACTCCAGATTGGCACTGAAATACGTACTATATCCTTTGACGATACAACCTCATACCTGCATACGGAAGTCGGCCTCATACATCTGGGTATAGAACATTGCAATGAGGCCCAATCTATGGTAGCTCAAGTTCTTTCTCCAGATCCGGATTCGGTTCAGGGCCAGGATCAACGCCAACTCATTGCTGATAATTCTGAAAAGGCAAACTATGTTAGGTACGGTCTAAGCACTGATAAGTCTTGGATTACCTGGAATAGGCATAATATAGTGTGGCTTCCGCCCGACTACCAACCTTCTTCCATGTCGGCTACATGGGGTCTTGCACAGCGTAACCTTGCATCGCCACAGGTGTCGTCAACAGACACAGTTATGGCTCTGGGTAATGATTCAGGAAGAGTGACGGTAATTAGGATACCCGGTTCGGGGCCATATCCCTTGTTATAATCTAAGCACCATACGTCTTTCCCGGTTTCTTACATGTTTGCAAACTATTACCTGGCCACATATTTACGACCAGACACTATCCGCTTGACGCGAGAAAAGAGGGTAGAGTTTATTTGTGTAGCGTCGGTAACCATTCTGATCCGTTGTATAGTCTCACCATCGTGGAATTGATTCAAATTTGACTATGTGTTCTAAAGGGAATTGTTTTAGTAAAAAATGTAGTATGTTAAGGAAATCTGTATGGTTGCAGCAAAGCCGGAACAGGACCTACCACCTAGCATTGGCATGGCTATGGAATCGTGTTGATCAGCATGTTCTCTATTTATCATAGGGTTGATTGATTTTAGTAGTAGCGTTGCGATCTGCTAATAATTTGCATGTAAACTTTCATGGTAGCTTGTAGCGGAGATAATATGGTAAACAATCATACCTTGGTAGTGAATGCTGCATATATGTACTAGGTACTCCTCATCAAATCATCTCTGCGTCATCCCTGTCTGACCCACTGGTATAGGACATTTGAGCAGTGCCACAGAGATCACTCACGCAAACCAAAAACTTAAATTTCTGATATCCAATTCCCTTTTTGGTTTTTGGCAGCTGCTTGCGTCTTACCCATAATTTATAGGGTAGCGCCGTTTCTAGCCAAATCACACACAACTAACGGTTGTCTTGCTGTTATGAATACTTTATGTTAAAGAACATGTATAAACATGTATTTTCAATAGATGCTATCGTACGGCATACTTCAAAAGATGAATGTATCCTAGTAACCCATGTATGTAGCTATAATATACTCCAAGCAATCACTCATCCGCCAACATGGTGGAGGAGGAGAGAAGCCCATCATTTTTGGGGGTTTTTTTTACGCCAGCTGCTGTGATTCATCAATTCGGTGACTACAACAAGATCGTGAAACAGCTTGTGAATGTGCAACTGATCATGCGTGGACGCGGCCGTGGACAGACACGATTTATGCAAAATCCCGAGCTCCGGTTGGCCGAAGAACTGAGCTGTGTGGCGCGGAACTTTCTTAAAGTTCAATTTCGAATGTCTGGCCGCATAAGTGTCTCGCCCTCAAACGGTCTACTTTATACTGTCCAGCTTTGAGCAAATATCTTCCAACGCCAGGGCCCTCAAAGGCCCCCTCTTACAAAGAATGAATATAGCACAGTCGCCCAGGTGATGATTATAGGAAGTGTGGTACGCAATATGTTGATGAGTTATTATTTTTGACTCAAGTGACAATTGTACATGACGCATAACTTGAACTCTTTTCTCTTTCTACTGTGAAGCCTCTGACTTTCCGGGGATGAAAGGCTTGCCATCACCGGGTCCAATTCGCACATCAGCAAAGATCTGTTTCGGCCTCAGCTCAACGGGGGTAACGTTGGTGGGCTGGTCGGGGATCTTCTTCTCCAGTTTCTAAAGCCAGGCTCAAATTAGCAATCGTGGCTTATTTATGCATTGATTCACCAATGGTAAAGGCTTGGACGTACCAAGTTATCGTAAACACACTTGTTGAGCTTCCACTCGGCAGGGCGGCACTGCCAAAGCTGCTGGTTTCGGTTGTCGAGGCATTCCCAGTGCTTGCGGAACTCGGCTAAGCAGTGTGTGTTGATATCCGTGAGTCTATGTGTCCCAGATCGTCAGTACCCCTCTTCATAAACAAGTGGCTCGTACGGCCGCCTGTGTCCCGGCTTTGGTCGATTGCCCTCCCCCAACTCAAATATCCCGTGAAAATTGTCTGTAGGCGCGAGGAAAAACGTACACACTCTGGGCGCAGCGGGTCACCCTTCGTCCCTCCTTCAAGCAGTTCAGCTCTCCCTTGCCGGGGTTCTCGGTCTTGCACTGCATGTAATCATCGTTGTAGTCGCGGCATCGTGCACCGATGAAGAAAGAGGCTGACAGCAGAGGCGCAGAGGAGGCACCGATCTCCTGGACCTGAGGGATGTTGTCGGGAAGAGGAGTGGTGTCGATGAGCACCTGCTGGTGGAATCTGCCACATGTTAGCGCTGCCGTCGTAAGAGATTTGCCAATCTGCCGTCAAAGCGACTCAATGATGCCGCAGCAGAATCTCCGTGGGTTAAGAAACATACTGAGACCGTCGTGATGCCATAATTGCCGGATTTTTGCTTGACCCTCTATGAGGCTTCCGGTAGGATACTGAAGCTATGAGGTTCTTTGGACGCCGGCTTAGTTGAAAGATTGTGGTTACTTTAGCCAATCAAAAGCGACCGGGGGGTCAGCAACCGTAGCCTTGCTGGAGCACCTGAAGTGATTTTTTGCAAGTACATGGCGGGAAATTGCTTCCGCAAAAGGTACCTAGGCGCTCTGTAGTGCTGCCGTATTTTGGGGGTCGGGGGGCACAAGACAGGTACTCCAAGTAGCGCTAAGTATCCGCGCTAAAGAAGATGATGACTCAGCAGAATGTAGGTGTCTCTTGCCTGAAAATGAGCTGTGATTGGCCAGTGGTAGGCAAGGCTGATCTTCGCGGTACCGGGGTACCTTTGACTGAGCGCGACCCCAGCAGCAATTTTGTAGCAAGTCAACAAAGCTGCCCAGCGACGAGAAAACATCCAAGCGTCAGCATAGACGAATTTTGACGACGACGCGGCCGCCAATTCGTCGAGCTCAGCGCGATAAGAATTCGATAACAAGAATCACGATACGATTTGCGCCCTCGCCTCCCTTCACGAAGCTCCTCGGGAGCTAGGTTGATACTTCGAGCAATTTCTGAAGGTCCTGTGGCCTACTCTTCATCATGTCGCTATTCGGACAAACCAAGCCTCTTGGCTCGGGAGGGCTTTTTGGCTCGGTTCAAACTGCTCAGCCTGCTCAGCAGACACAAACAACGGGCAATATCTTTGGCCAGACCCAAGGTGCAGGCCAGCAGGGCACGACACTGGGAAACACGCTGCTGGCCCAGCCACAACAGGCAGCGCAGATTCCAGCGTTATCTCAGTCACAGGCCCAGCTGTCGAGTTCTCTGTGGCAACCAGGCCAAGAAACACCCCGTAGGTCTCAAATACTGCAGAGTCGCTGTTTTCCTTACTAACGCTATGATGATGTGAAAAGACCAGAAGCCGATTCTGGAGCAGATGAAGCTCGTGACAGAGAAATGGGACCCCTCCAGCCCAAGCTGCGTTTTCAAGCATTACTTCTACAATAAAGTCGATGAAGCACACATTCCCTTTTACAAGCCCCAAGCACACGAAGACCCTCGAGAGTGGGAAGAAGCTCTGCAGAACAAGCCCGCCCCAGGATTCATGCCCGTGCTATGTGCAGGCTACACAGGCGTCGCAGACCGATTAAAGACACAGAAGCGTGCCATCTCCGAATTTAACACACGACTACACCAGATCAACGGCTGTTTGGATGCACTGTTGCAGAGACACGAACTGGAGACGGAAACGAGAGCTCTGGCTGCTAGGAGGCGGCAGACAATGATTTCCAACCGATGCCTGGCGCTGGCTGCAAAGGTGCAGATTCTGAGGAATCGGGGCTACGCTTTGAGTGGCGATGAGGATGATTTGAAGAGCAGGCTACAGGCTTTGGAGCGCGATGTGCAAGATCCTGCGGTCAGCGCGAGGGAAGAAGAGCTGTGGAGTAGGCTGATTGTTCTAAGGGGATACTCTGAGAAGCTGAGCAAAGAGCTAGAGAAGCCGGCTGGGGCTGAGGGCGAAGGGCTGGACGAGGAGACACAAGCAAGAGCAAAACGAGTGAGTTTGGCATTTAGAAGATGTACCCTGGCATTTTGGTGGCTGCTAACACAACGATTTCTAGGTACTGGAAGATTACGAGAAGCAGCTTGGACACCTGAAAAAAGAGCTTGAGGCGCTGGGTGTGGACTACCAAGAGTGGGAAAACAGCAGAAACCCGCCGCCGCGGTCTCGATAAGAACAAGAACATTTCTTTTGGAAATTTTAGGAGACTGTGTTATCGAAGGATGGAGTTTTACTGAGGCTATAATGCCGGTGTTTAATTTGGAGACTCAAGGATTTTCACGTATTAAACCAAAGTGAGGTGTTGGTCATGGTAACGTTATTCTAATGCGATAGAAGGGAAGATGTCGATGTTTTGTTTCAATGATTGTAGGCTACTTCAGCAATGTCCAAATATCAAGGCAGGATTGGAAGGCATGCGCATTTTTTCGGCCATATATGTAACCTCGGCCTTATGAATTCGGTCAATCGTACTATTCGTTACATGGAGATTTGAATTTCTTATTAAATCTTTCCGATTCTATCGTTGTTCCTTTTCGTTTTCGTTCTGTCTCCAGTGACTCGGAAATAGTTAGGTTTTTTCTCCCTCACTTTATATAACCTCAAATGGTTACCATCTATCGTACAGTCATGCGTCTCGGAGTCCGGCTAGTTTGACTTCCTTGGCATATAAAATACCAAATTAAATGATATTATGCCGAGTCAAAAAAAAGGGCGAGGTATGCATGTTTTTATAAAACCGTAGCCTACATAGCAAAATTTTTTCGGGTGAGATTTAAAAGATGCGGCTGATCATGTCGACGGCGAAGGGAGCTACATCGCGGGGTTAGCCCATGCTCTTTCGTAAAAAGGAGAAGCAATTTGCAATTCATCGTTCTCTTGGCGTCAGAACATACAAAGATAGAGCATGAAGGCCGTAGCAGCGACCTGCTGGACGGTGAAGAGCGCCTCGGCCTCCATGGCACGAATCTCCTCGGGAGACTGCTGCGGGGGGGCAACTATTTTTGGGGTGCGGTCAGCAATTGCAACGAGGATTCGTCCATTACATCACGCGGCAACGATTTTATCCCATCGCGTCTGGGCGAGGGAAGAGGGGGCGGCGAAATGTACGTACATCCTCCAAACATGGTGATGGGTTGATTTGTTGTTGTTGTTTAGTCGAGGTTGGAAGGCTGGACAGTTACGTAAAAGATGGGCGATTTCGGCTGCTGGGGAGCTAGTTTTTTGCGTAGGCTGGAGGGCAATACAGTGCGTGACCAGTACCGCTGAAGTTACAAGTGATAGAATTGCGAGGTTAGTAGAGAGGTACGGAATGCTTCTGTGGGCTCAGCAGCAAAAGCCTGAGGCGCCACTAGGAAGGTAACAGCGATAGCGATAGATACCTAGTAGTGCTAGGAATAGTATTTTTATGGAGCAGTGTAGTAGTACCTATCTACAAGCAGGTCGTAGTAGGTAGCGCCTAGTAGTATGTATACTGCAGCACCTTTCTAAAATGCATTAGAAGATCGAATGGAAAATATGGAACCACAGAAAAAAAAAAAAAAAAAAACTTCCCCAGGTCCGAACCCCGTTTCCTTTTTCCACGGACAGATAGCGCCATGAGCGAATCAGAGGCCGTCGCGACCGCTCAGCGTCGGCCCGTGAATGGCCGATATCGTTTCGGCGCCGGGGCCATTGCACAGTGGCAGCTACCACATAAGGATACTCATCACCTAACCAAAACCTCTAGCCTGCACCAGAGCAAGCAACGTCTCCAACTCGGGAGAAAGATTAAGCTCTAGCATTGCAGAGGTTTTTTTGTGGTGGACACGAGTCGTGACGCACTATGCTCCAAGCATCCAAGCACGGCACTTCTCCAAAATGACTGCGGAGTCGACTCCAGTATTACGGAGCGGTTGTTTGGACCGACGGATGCGGCGCGGTTGCAAACACGGAGTACATGCGCCCATGGGCTTATCAATGCGATATCCGGATCCTGGGGACTGCGAAGGGGACGCAGACGAGGCCCCTGGAAATATCCATTTGGCGTGCCATGGCCGATAAAATGGCGGCTGTCCCTGGCCTGAGCTTGTGATTGCCAGCCAGTATCGGAGACAAGCCAGGCGTTGGCTTGCTGCTGGCTCACCGTCTTACAGCATTGCCATCTGGTCTAGCCCGTTCTGCCTTGCTGCTTCAACTCTATTGACGGCGGTCTGCGCAACGAAAAAAAGATATAAACGCTCGAGTCTCCTTTCTTCTGGCGCCGTCCGTGTTGGCGAGGGCTTCAGACTTTTTAGCGCTGTCACGGGTGCCGGAACGCCCCACGAAAGATCCGCCACGAACTTTTTCGATAGCCATCCAACAACTGCCCATTACCGTACTATACATCATTTGGGGGGGTGTGTTTGATTAGAGGCAAATCTTTATCAACCGGGCGGGATCGGTTCAAATTTTCGTCGCCCTGACCTTGTTTTCCTCCTTTATTCCTTTCTGTTCTCAGTCATCGAGGGAAACAAGTGGCCGTTGATTGTGCTTTTTAAGCCTTTTCGTTTTCGTTTTCTTTTCTGCCATGGCCTCCAGGCTGGCTATTGCTCGAGGGGCTGCCCTGCGCCCATCACTGGCGCTGACCCGACACGAAGCGAGGATTTGCGCTCGCGGACAAGGGTCCCTCTTATCCACCCGCGGCCTCACTTACACTGCCAAAAGCGCTGCTGATGTTCGCGGCGCTGGCTTTGACGACACTGGCGCGCTGCGAAGAGCGCCTTTTGAGTCTCTGCAGGATGACCCGACTTACCAGGAGATGAGACAGATTCGCGCTGAAAACAAGCTGCCATGGAAGGACTTTAGCGCTCGCCACATTGGCCCTCGCGACGAGGAGATCCAGGAGATGCTCAACACCCTGGGGGTTGACAATGTGGATGGCTTCATTTCTCAGGTTATTCCTGCCGACGTGCTGGATCCTCCCCAGAAGACGATCCAGCCGCGCGTCTTCAGCGAGTCGGGCGTTGTGAGGGCCTTCAAGAACATGAATGCGCAGAACGACATCCGCGTGTGGATGAACGGCGGTGGCTACTACCCCGTTGAGATCCCTGCCGTCATCAAGCGCAATGTCTTGGAGAACCCAGCTTGGTACACCAGCTACACTCCCTACCAGCCGGAAATCAGCCAGGGCCGTCTAGAGTCCCTGCTCAACTTCCAGACCATGGTGTCTGATCTTACTGGCCTTCCTGTGGCAAACGCCAGTTTGCTCGATGAAGGAACTGCAGCTGGTGAGGCCATGACCATGTCACTGACCAGCCTGTCATCCTCCAGACAAAAGCGACCTGGAAAGACATATGTTGTTTCCCACTTGGTGCACGATGCTACCATCAGGGTCATGCATGGTCGCGCTGAAGGATTCGGCATCCACATCGAGGTCTTGGATCTGTCTGCGCCGGATGCCCAGAAGAAGATTAAGGCTCTTGGTGATGATTTGATTGGTGTTATGGTTCAGTACCCTGACTCAAACGGTGGTGTTTCTGACTTCCGGGAGCTTGCGGATCTTGCACACAAACAGGGTACCCTGCTGAGTGCTGCTACCGACCTCTCCAACTTGACTCTCCTCACGCCTCCAGGTGAATGGGGCGCTGATATTGCTTTTGGAAACGCACAGCGATTTGGTGTTCCCCTGGGTTATGGTGGACCTCACGCTGCTTTCATGGCTGTTCAGGACGGTAGCAAGCGGCGTCTCCCTGGCCGCTTGATCGGTGTTTCCAAGGACCGCCGCGGAGACCGAGCTCTTCGCTTGGCTCTTCAGACCCGAGAGCAGCACATTCGACGAGAAAAGGCAACTAGCAATGTTTGCACTGCTCAAGCTCTTCTGGCCAACATGTCCGCCATGTATGCCATCTATCACGGCCCCGAACAGCTCAGGGAAATGGCCATCAACAACCTTCGACAGGCCCGCATGATCCAGGCTGCTGCTCAACACTATGGCCTGAATGTCTCGACTGCTTCTGTTGACGCTGAGGGCAAGGTCCTCTCCGATACCGTTTCGCTTTACTTCGACGAGCCTGTTGTTTGCCGTTCTCTGCGCCGTGAGCTCATGGATCAAGGCATCAGCACCGGCAAAGCCTGGTCTCCTAATGAGATTGTTCTGGCGGTTCCCACCACTTTCACGCTTAAGCTCTTTGTCCGCATCGTCAAAGCTTTCCAGACTGTTGCGTACAAGAACCACGCCGATGCTGATCTCGATGTTTCCTCCAAGTGCTGGAAGGCAGGATTCGCACAGTCATCAGAAGAACTCATCAAGAGCCTGCCCGCGTCTGTCCGACGAGAGTCCAAGTTCCTGACCCACCCTGTTTTCAACTCTCACCACAGCGAGACGGAGATGCTGCGCTACATGCATCACCTCCAGTCCAAGGATCTGTCTCTGGTTCACTCTATGATTCCTCTCGGATCCTGCACCATGAAGCTCAACGGCACCACCCAGATGGAGCTCATTGGTACGGAAAATACTGCCAACATCCACCCTCACGCACCCCACAGCTGCGCCAAGGGTTATCAGAAGCTCTTTGACGCCACTTCCTCTCAGCTCGCTGCCCTAACCGGTATGGACGCTACGTCTCTGCAGCCCAACTCCGGTGCTCAGGGTGAATTTGCCGGTCTGCGAGCAATTCGAAAGTACCACGAGCAGCAGCCTGGCAACAAGCGCGACATCTGCTTGATTCCTGTTTCTGCCCACGGTACCAACCCTGCATCCGCCGCCATGGTCGGTATGCGTGTTGTCCCCATCAAGTGCGACACCAAGACTGGTAACCTCGACTTGGAAGATCTGGAAGCCAAGTGCAAGAAGCACGCCTCCGAGCTGGGCGCTATCATGATCACATACCCTAGTACATATGGTGTATTTGAGCCTCAGGTCCGCAAGGTCTGCGACCTCGTTCACCAGTACGGCGGTCTTGTCTACATGGACGGCGCCAACATGAACGCTCAGATCGGACTTACTTCCCCCGGCGCTCTGGGCGCTGATGTCTGCCACTTGAACCTGCACAAGACCTTCTGTATCCCTCACGGCGGCGGTGGACCCGGTATTGGCCCTATTTGCGTCAAGAAGCATCTCATCCCGTACTTGCCTCACAAGAGCACTCAGACTCCTGTTTCCAGTGCCGCCTTTGGCAGTGCTAGCATTGTTCCCATCAGCTGGGCTTACATCTCCACCATGGGTACGTTTTGAAATGACTTGTACAGATATATTGCTAACACTGTGTTTTAATAGGTGACGAGGGTCTCCGCAAGGCTACTACTGTGGCTCTCCTCAACGCTAACTACATGCTTACCCGTCTCAAGGACCACTATCCCATTCTCTACACCAACGAACAGGGTCGTTGCGCTCACGAATTCATCATCGACGCTCGTCCTTTCCAGAAGACTGCCGGTATCGAGGCTATCGATATTGCCAAGCGTCTCCAGGACTATGGCTTCCACGCCCCTACTATGAGCTGGCCTGTGCCCAACACGCTCATGGTTGAGCCCACTGAGAGTGAGAGCAAGGAGGAGCTGGACCGATTCGTCGATGCCATGATCAGCATCCGCAACGAGATCCGTGAGATCGAAGAGGGCAAGCAGCCCAAGGAGGGCAATGTGCTCAAGAACGCGCCTCACCCACAGCGGGATTTGATCCTTGGTGATGCCGAGGGCAAGTGGGATAGACCCTACTCGCGAGAGAAGGCCGCGTATCCGCTGCCGTACCTACTCGAGAAGAAGTTCTGGCCTAGCGTTGGTCGTGTAGACGATAGTGAGTTTTTTTTTACCTGCTTCCCCATACTAAAGAAGACATGTTCCCTTTTGCTAACCTTATTTTGTAGCATATGGTGATACCAACCTGTTCTGCACCTGCCCTCCTGTTGAGGATACCACCAACTCTGCCTAAATTATTAGACATGGGCTTCATCCAGGATTCTTATAGGCTCCTGGTGTTTTTTTTTTTCTTCTTTTCCGAACATTTCACTTACACGACTAAGTAAATACCACGACATTATTAGACTTTTTGAAGACCTCAAAGGGAGAACCACATTTCAACATGGTTTTTATTGTTTTTCGAGATAAACACATACGGCGCATAGCGGGGTTTAAAAAAAAAGACAAATATTTTTTTTGTATTATGGTTATGAAAGCGCCGGGCTAATCTCAACATTGGGAAAGGGATGAATCTGTTTTTGTTATGTTTTGTACTAGTATTTGCCAGTTGTTTCTCCTTTTCTCTTCTTTTTTTTTTTTAACTTAAAGAAAAGAAAAAGGAACTGGTGGGAGGTATTCTAGATGATAGGCCGAGTGCAATAGAGTACTTGTGCCATTCTGGCTTGATCGACCAGCAATATACGAATTGGGAAATAAATCTTGGGTTCGCTCTACGATTTGCTCTCTTGTGTTCTTCATGCTGAAAGTCATGCTCAGATGGTTTCATTAAATCTTCTTCTTGCCCCTACATGAACGATTGCTCTCAAGGCCAATGAAATGATAGATACACTAGGTGATTATTATTACTAGATGCATGTACATTAGTCAAGTTTATGAGCAGTCACCGTGAAATTCACGAATGAAATGCCTCGACCCATAATGTCCGTATACTCAACATGCGTTTCCTCTCCGCCGTTTTGGTGTTGATGCAATAACATTTTCATATCACGCGAGGTACCGGCTGACTGTATCAAAGTCCCCAACTCTAGAAAAAAGTTTGGTGTATGTGTGTATGTGTAACCAAGAGGTGTAGAGATGTGGCCACGTTCAGTCCTGTTCATCGCTAGACGGTATAATGATTCTTAGCGAGTGTCCCTGTCTACCAGCAACGACAGCCCTTCGATCTCGGGGATCTGACAAATTAACTAAAGTTCTATCGGAATAGACACTTGTGGGACTTTGCAACGTTTGCTCACATGAGCTGATGGGGGAAATGAGAAGGGGGTCGGAGGATAGCGCTGTGGGGGAAACCAACGTCGCATCCGAGTTCTTCCTGCTGGTTGGGGAGGATAATAGAAGAGACCCTGATGCAGACTGTGTCAGGAGCCATATTTTCTGCTTATCCGCCTTAATCGAGTCGCCAAGGCTCTCTAATGTGACCATTGTATCAACAGAAGGATGCCTATCTCCATCGCTGAAGAATGATGGCTCCTCATTGGCTTTTTCTTTGCCAAGTTGATCTCCATTGCTTTTCTCTTCGCGTTTAGCCTTTCTATGCCGTCGGTATGTGATGCAGGCAGTAAGGCCTAGTGTATAGACAGCCAATACCACAATAATGGGGATGACAATAGGGGCAGCCCAGTGTAGAGGGTATCGTGGCTATTGTATTAGTTAGCCAGGGGTATTCAAGGACTAACAAGAACATCCGAAAATGTACAGATCAAGAGGGGGGAAAGCAACTTACAGATTCAGTAAGTCTCCATGGAGGAGAAGCTGTCCAACCCGACCGAGCATCCCGAGACGATGTGAGCCACAGCGTATACAACTCATCATCAAGGTGGTCTGGCGTCCACAAACAGGTTGCATTTTCATTGTTCATGTCATCTAAGAAAAGGCGCTTGGAATAAGCCCGGATACTTTTAGTCGAGTAATTGCTCTTTACTTACCTGTCAAGTCCGATATCAGCTCGTAAGCAGCAACTCCATTTCTGGGATATGTAATCTTAAAGAGCCCAAGCCCTGGAGATAGAGCGTCATTTAAGGACTCGTTCCACCTGATCGTAAATGGATGGCCATTTGAGATGCTGTCATTCCATTTTTCATTCAGAAATCGCACACCAAATCCCTCGCTCGTAGGTACAGTAAGGTTATGAGGTTTGTTGTTCATACTGCGAGCTTCCTATGATCATATCGACTTGTGAAAACTTCTGAGTGAAAATGAATGCTAAAAAGACCAAAACGATTTACAGTCGATGAAATCACTTAGGTTTTCTTCTAGAATCGCTGGGACAGGCTGGAACACAATAAATGGAGCATAGGAAACCCGGGATTAAGTAGTGATTTTCGTTATGGTGAGCACATGGGCGAACAAGCAGTGAGAGAATGGCTGGCAGACAAGAGGTTTCAGTCTGCAAGGGAGAGCTATGGCGTATTTAGTCATAGAATCAGGAAGTCAAGTGCCAAAAAGAGGGGGGCGTGTGAGCTGAGAAACGGCATCGCCGGACCTGGCACTATCGTGAGGAAAGAAAAAATAGAGACGGAGGGCATAGATTGGGCGACGCAAGGTGCTTCTCTAGCTGGCCAAGGTCACGATGGCATCTCATCGCCTATTAGCCCCCTCTAAAGGGGCACGGTTCATTTCACGATGGCTTCGCTGGCATGCTCGGGCAGAGTCATTAGCATATGTGCCGTAAATAAGTAAGGGGCTCAAGTTATTAGTGGCTTTGCCGTTGGAGCAGATTTAGGCGCATGTGTAAACGAGCATATACAATGAATACTTGCTACAATTTTTACGGTACATATGCATAGTAAAAAGGTATAAGGAGAATCTAGTCTAAAAAGCTGATAATGTAAAGAGAAGAGGCATACCGTGGAGAAATGATTCTGAGCCTCCGTATTCTGTCGATGTGGACGGATCCACCATCGGGCCCGAGGATCGAGATACGTGCTCCCGCATCTTGTTTTCGAGCTGTAGAAAGATCTTCAGTCTTGCGTCAGGATGAACAATGAGTACCGACAAAGGGCTAGTCGAGTAAACGGCGCAACATGGGGCAGATCGAACGAATGATCTTTACTCCGAGGCAAGGCTGGAGGAAGTTTGCGGCAACTGCCTGAGAGCGCGTGAGGGTGAAGAGTGAGTTCCGGTATGCATGCAGCATTCCAGAGAGCTGAGGCGCTGCCGTGATAGTGAGACAGGGCAATGAAGATAGGGGGATGAAGTATGATGGTTTATGAAGATGAGCAGTTTTGGAGATGATGAAAAGTCAAGTTTGAGTAACTTGTCGCCCAAGCCGTTGCTGATCTTGATTTCTTATCAGTTGTAGCAGGTGCTCCGTATTAAAGGCTGGAATTGGCAGGAACACAGATGGAGAGCTGCAGCCCGGCAGGAGGGCCCAAGTGCACGGCAGCAAGCAGCTACCCCACAGCACCGCGATGCACCTGCCGAGCGCCACGGCAAACGGGTGGGGCGCTGATGCTAATCGACAAGGAGCATCAATTGGCGGGGCGGCTTCTAGGCCCTTTTGCAAGTAAACATCAACATCGTCACGTCGCCGCAAAGCAGGTTCTCTGGAGGATTCGCCATTTGCCTCCCACCTCTCATGCAGGTGATTGGACTAAAGAAGCGCTCCACGCATAAGCGCACGCACTAGACTTCTGCGAGACCAAAAAGGCAGAGCACAGCGAGCAAAGCAAGACATCGAGCCGTCTTCCCCAAACGCGAGCTCGAACTCCACATTCTCCAGCGAGACCGGGCTACAAATCGGGCTTGGGCTCGAACTTTGCTTCTCTCCTCTCAGATCCTGCTGAATCTTCGGCATCGTGAACTCCGGGTTCCCAATGGCTGCCAGAACGGGCCCGAGCGGTGGCGCGGGTGCTTATGCCGACTGTGTCGACTCGCTGCGCAGCTCTCTCAAATTCCTCGAGGCCTCTGTGGAGACGATTGATCGTGGCGTTTCGGATTTTCCTCGTATGATGGGTGTCCTCAAGACAGTTCGGGTATGTGCCTCCCCATTGTCGAATATATGCTGTACACTATCGTTGACTTGCTGGTAGCACTACGAACTCATTCCGCAACCTACGCTTGCTGCAGCTGAGGCCTCCCTCCGAGATGAGATTGGACCCTACATTGCCTTTTTGCTCAGTCGTGCCGACGCTCAAGTTGAGCGCCAGGAACGCCGCATTGAGACTCTCAAAGCTCGTGCCGAGTTGCAACAGGGGCGACTTGCTAGGCCAGACGAACCAGTACGTAAAGCTGCTTCTGCACGGGGTCGACAGCTCCGTGGTGAGGACAAGCTTCGCGCGAGGATTGTACGCCAACGCAAGGAAGCTCTACGTTACGGCATTGAGAGATTGGAGCTTGAAGTGCTTCAGAAAGAAAGAGAATTAAGAAAACGCCTGGATAGCCAATGAAGGCCTAGCGAATAAAACACTAGGAAATTATCTCAGCGCCCATGAGACGTCTTGAGTATTCCTCAAAAGTAGCAGAGGACAACAACCCCCCTGGGAGAGGAAAAGGAAAGGCAAAAAAATATTAGAGTCATTCTCGTATTCTCGTCTCCTTCCACCTCACAGCAACGCCACGACACCGGCAAGATCGGCTTTCACGATGCCTTGGTCTCCGTGGCAAGCCTCCCCGCATACCAGCCCGATCAGCAGCGCCCGCCCCCCGAATATGCGCTTTCACAAACTTGCCTCTTGCAAGCCCAGTTTGGGGCGAGCGAGAGCCAACATGTCTCGTCCTATTTTACTCTTTTCCTCCCCCTCGGACTGAGGACCGAGAACTCCCTTATCTTGGGCGTGGTCTAGACCTAGCGGCATGGCCTCGTGCCGCAGAGCCACTGGATTAGGCACTTAGCTTTTACGAACAAAATTGAAATGCCATACGTCTCCTCCTGGCATGCCTCGTGAGCTTCCGCATTTGGCAATAAAGCCAGCGTGACAATTTGCGACCTCTCCCTTAGTATAAAGGTCCAATTCGATTTGTTAGCGAGCCTTAACAGCTTAATTTTCTTAAATACAAAATATTGCAACTCGATTAAATCAGAATTCCACTCCCGGTTTCCTTGAAGCTCACTACATACTTGTGACCCAACCTCTCTTGAATAACCATACAGCAAAGCGTTTCCTTTTTCTTAATTTTTTTTTTTTCACGACGTCGATTTTCCAGCGAAAATGTAGAATAGAAAAAAATTCAGTATCATTAAAAAAAAAAGGTCTCATTCCAACATCAGCCCCCAGTGGCGTTTTGAATTGGGTAGACATTGACCCCCTACTTTTTCTTTTCTACCAAACAGCGCCTAAGTACCCCTACTGTGCCTCTCTTTTCTCTTTTCTTCAATTTTTTTTTTATCTGCAAGCCTCCTCTGAATTCATTTTTTTTTTGAGCAATTTGCATACGTACACGGCTGACATCCCGGCTCCACTGTCGTGCTAAAGAAGAAGAAGAAGAGGAAAAAAAAAACTTGTAAGGGCAAAAAAAAAAAAAAATAGATCATAGCCTGAAAAGGAAAGAACAAAAAAAAGGGCCAACCACATCATTGCTGCTGCTTCTTTTTTGATTCCACGTTTAAGGGTGAAGGGATATCTGAAGAATCGTAAAAAAGATGAGAGAGAAGAATATTTCAGTAGGAGATAGCAGCGTAAGAAGGGTAGGAAATAACATAGACAAATAAAAGAAACGTCTCGTACGTTGATGATAAGATGGACAAAAGAAGAGGAATAAAAGAAAAGTCAGCTGCAAATAGAAGAAAAAGAGAGAGAGAGAAGAGCCAAAAATGGGGTGATGCCGTTTTCTCTTTGAGTGGTCTCGTCCAAATATACTCCATCCAATATATATCCCTAGCCCGATTGCGCAAAAATTCCCCGGAGTCATCACTCTAAGGCGTGAATAATAACAACCAACACAGCGTCGAATGGGGAAGAGGTAGCTCAGGCGCATAGGCGAGTCGCTACCCCAGTCCAAAGATGATTTGATTCAAATCGTCTCTGACAATTCCAATTCCCCCAAGAAAGGCACTCCTGCTTTCAGAGTCCATCACACTCATAACAGCTCGAGATAGTTGCTAGGTGCAATACCAGTCTCTCCATTTTTATTTCGCGCTTGCCACCATCGTCCGCTAATATCAGACACCTCGAGAATATCCTTCTCCTGGAAAGAAATCTCGTTTGGATCTTGAGGGTTGGCGATGTAGTTGAAGATGGCCTTTGCTCGATAAGGGTATTCGGTGGGAGGTACAACTTCCGCATCAGGGCCTGTTACTTTGATCTGGGCTGGCCCACCAAAGCCGGAGAGATGGGAGGCGCGACCTCCACCAACTTGAGAGGCGCCGCCAACAGGCGAAGGATTTTCAAAGCCATTGAGCTGAGCAGATGTATACATTTGCGGTGGTTGGACGGAATTGGACGTCTCAGGACGACCCATGCCACTGCCGTAGTTGCTCATGGTTTGTCGCTGCATGTGGGCAGACTCTTTGGTGAGGGCGAAGGAGTCGAGGAATGCACGGGGTGTAGCAGAAGGCGTCGATCCAAAGTATAAAGTCCAGACGAGCTGTGTGCACCATGGAATTAGAATGCGCCAAGCTACCAAAACGCATTGGAAGAAGAGAATAGGGAGTAGTTGGGGCTGCGAAAACGTACCACGACCATGGAAAGGAGAATGAAACCGGCAGCGGCAGCTTCTCGAGCTGCGTCCTTTGAGTATACCAGGGAATTGACCGACGAGGTTACCAGCACCATGCCTCCAGCAGAATACCCCGTAAGTGCCACATGATAGGTCTGAATCGTGTCGCTACCGACAACATAGAAGACGCCGAGAATCAAGAAGATGCTGAATATGCTCGCCCACCAGGAGAATTTGGGAAATGGGTCGGTTGGTGTCTCTTGGATCTGGCCGATGATGCATCCGACAAAGGTGATGAGCCACGCAAGCTAAAGATCACTGGTCAGCTCTCGCGCTTACCATATTGACACAAGGCCCGTCAGCAGTAAAAAGGGGGACACGAGACGAAACGCACAAAACCGATTGATGTAGTTGCCAGCGCAAACGGGTCGCCCAAGATGTTGCCCATCTGGAAGCCTCGTCGTCGGTAGATATTTGAGTGCTCCATTTTGAGTATTGACGGCGAGTTGACCGAGTAGGGGGGCATAAGAGAGTTGGCCAGCTTGTCGGTTTGGGGACGAGTGGCCGATGCGACAGTCCACGCCGTGGTTGTGTGCGTCTAAGGGAAGGAGTGTCGTCGAGAAGCCAGTTCGAGTGTCGATCAGACGGAAGATGAAAAGCGACGTGATTGTGTCGGAAGTCCACGTAGTTGTTGTCCGGCACAGCCGAAGGGATAACGAGCGAAGGGGAAAAAAAATAAACAAAAAAAGAAAGAAAGGCGATCGGGGCGCAGCAGGCTCTTCTCTGGTGAGTCTCGCTGAGGCCGTCGAGAGAGGATCGAAAGAGAGTAGGAAAAGAGAGAGGAAAAGGAAGAAATCAGCCGGATATCAGGCGAGTAGGCGACAGATGGAGAAATGGATTGGAAGATGCGGCCGCGGCGTTGCTGGTGGAGTTGGTGCGACGGGGTGGGCAGAAAAATACAGGACGGCTGGTGGAGGGATCGCAGGCGTCAGTGCAGATCGCCGGCAGGACAAGTCTCGGGCGAGGATGCAGGGAAGCAAGCGAAGCCGCAGGGCGAGAAGGAGAAAAGAAGAGAAGAGAAGAGAAGAAAAGGGCAATCAAGAGAAGAGCTGGTGCAGATGCGAGGTTTGCGACGATGCAGCGAGCGGATCTGAGCTGGCGCTGGCTGGCTGTTGACTTGAACACGGCGCAGTCGCGTGGGAACGAGGAGAGGAGAGGAGCAGGGCGAGATCAATGCCAGCGGCAGGCGGAGTCGCTGGCGCTGCGGAGGATTGCAGTACCAGCCGCAGCGCTCGTTTGTTCGGGGCTGCAGCCGCTGGGCGAGGACCGGTCCCTGGTGCCTGAGCCTGTGCCTGTGCCGTGCCGAGTGCCCTGTGCGCTGGGGCTAAGCAGCCAGGTCGCCTGTGCGTGCGCAGCTGGGCAGGTACCGGGTACTTGTTCCAACGGTGCGCTGGCGCCTGCTTGGACGGTACAGAGCCCGTAAGATACAGGAGGAGTCGGTGGCCCCGTAGCGCTCGCGCCCGGGATGTGGCCTGGCCCAGTTATTGGATTGGATTGAGATGGTACTCCAAGCCAAGCACTATCAGAAATACGACCTACTGCATGTACTTTGCTGCGGCAGCAATGCTAATGCTAGATGTTAGATTGGGTCGTGTCGTGTCAAAATCGAACCCAGCAGCGCGAAATGAAAGGCCCAGGCAAGCTTCAATTTGCTGTGGCCAGGGGCGTCGTCTGAAGTTGAACAAGCAGCCACCACCGGGTGCCTATGTGGTATGTGCTTTGCAGCTGAAGTTGTGTGGTACGAGTGAGTACCTATGAATAGAGGCAGCAATGCCCGCATAAAGTGGCATGCAGAGTTTCTGCAGTAAACATATGATAATTTCCAGGAATCAATGCGTCGAGCACACCGAGCCAGGCATGAGTATAAGTGAATTGAAAAAGGAATAATAAAAAAGGAGAGAAAAACCACAGGGCTGCGTGCCTTATCTTTGTCATTCTTATGCTATAAGTGCCAATCTCCTTCCACCACTAATACCTACGAATCGCACAATGCTTCAATGCTGTAATTCAAAAAAAAAAAAAAAAAAAAGGCTTTTCTTGCGCGCGCTGCCTAAAACCCTGTTTGGCCCTCCTGACCACTCAAGGCAGTTACGCAATGTCAAGCCTGGAACAGGAATGGTGATGGCCAAGGAGCGCAGAACCGCCCTTCCGAGGAATGCGACGATGCTTCAAAGCAGCAATCCATCCATCATGCTACTGGAGCCGTCGTTCGCTTCTCCACCGCCGCCAGCCGTTGGATCCGCCGGCTTCCCATGCCACACTGCACGCCAGCGAAACGCCGGGGAGGGCATCCGCGGATTGGGCTGGAGAGGTTCACGCACGTCTGCTGCAGCCAGGAAGCGAAAACACACACTTGAGGGCTGCATGAGTACGGGTACCGCTGCTGTACTGCTGGTATACGGGCTGCAAATCACAGGAGAGCGCTGGGCTGCGTATCTAAGCAGGGAGCATTGACTTCCATCTTCTACATCCCAAGCACTGCAGCCCCATGTATCTCTCTGCCATAAACCCCCCGACCATGGCGACGTTTTGAGATTCGACGGCGTGTCTCGCGCCCAGGCACTAAGCAATAGGCTCACGATTTGTGGCTCCCCTGGCCTTGGATTGGAGACGCAGGGGCTCCTCCACGACGAGTTTCATGCTTGGTCTGCCCCACCAAGCACGGGGCTTCTGGCGATGGACAAGCAGTCTGACATTTGGTCTCGTTGACGCTTCAGCTTCATAAAACGTTGTCTTTCTATAATGCTTTTATACCGAGTACAGTTCAGCCAGCTACTATGTAGTAGACTCTCGAGGCATGTATATACACGTTAGTACCTTAGTAGGTATTCATACACACGTAGACACCACTCCAAGGAGCTGTATCAAACATCGAGTCGCCTGTCGTAGCATCTGCAGACAACCGCGCGCGCAGATATATATATATATATATATATTATATTTTTCAGGCTTTTAAGCCTGTTTCTTCCCACCCAACAAGCAGCTTGATGGCGCTAGATGACTGGTTCATCTCTTGTCTGCGGCTCATCAGTCGGTCCACTGGGCTCTGGTTGTGCGTCAAGATGAGAGCTGGCGTGCACCTCACTCCTCGGCGTTGGCGCTGCGGCAGTCCAGTCCAGTCCAGTCCGGGGGTCTCGGCAACTAGTTTTCGTCGCTGCATAGGCTCTCACCTCATCATGGATCAAGATCTGCGCGAGACTGCCGTGATGCCCGGCTTGCTTTCCGGTGTGCAGGCGCTTGGTCTGGGAGTACGGAGTAAACGGCGCGTAGCAGGTCGCGGTTCCAGGTCCCGGCAACCTATCTGTGGTTTTAGATCTCAGATGTGTTGCATCAACAATAACAGCCGTCATAGACAGATCTAAAACTTGACACACATAGGTGAAGAGTTACCCAAGGCGGTTACGTGTACCTATTTTGGCGCCTAGTCAAGTCTGCGAAGATCGTACCAGTATATCACAATGGAAGTCTCATAGTTCAAGCCTCTAGCATCATTGATGTCAGCCTGAGAATGGCAAATTAGCACGCTAGGTATAATTAAGAGGGAGAAAAAAAAAGGCTCATGAATCATGCAGCAACTGACAGCAAATATGAGGTTTTTTACATGAGAAAAACAAAATTCTTCTCATTGAATCAAACTCTTTTACTGTACGCGCAAGGCTCTAAACTACGAATGTCGAAATTGAAACTCGCCAGGCTCCATCAAAACCCCTGACTAGGCCCGATTTTTTATATTTGGCGGCCTCTTTAGCTCTTCCAGCCTGCTAGGTAGGGAATTTAGCGGAGCTCCGAGTTACGTCCCGCGCCGCCAGCCTCCATTGGCTGCTGTCAGGCACGTGTAACCAAGCCAGAGGGAAAAAAAAAAAAAAAAAAAAAAAAAACGAGAGAGAGCTGCATTTGCTCTGCCCTGTGGATGACATGACGGGAAAAATGGCCTGGCTAAGCAAAGACGCCACTGCGGATCTGCAGCGGGCACCTACAGACGCTAGATCTGAATTTGAATATTCTTTGCTCATTGTGATGAATGTCATATTTGTCGCAAAAGCTCAAAAACCAAGGTCATGCGACAACGGTGTCGTTTGATAAGAGAGCTTCTGTTGCCCATTACTCTCATACCAGAGTATTGGTTGCTGTTTCGTAAAAGACCCTATCCTTTGCAACAAAATTTTACTCCGTATACGTAATAGCTGCGATCTACCTCAATCTCATCGTCGCCGAAACGCGGGGTGAAAGAACCCGGAGGTTGAAGCATCACGAGTTTGAACTTTTCTCTGAGGTTTGCACTCCATGATAACGGCTTCGGGCCACACGTATCGGAAGTTCCATGACCATCGCTAAGACCTAACCTCTAAAAGTATCAAGCCCAATCTGCTGCTACTTCGTCATATCCGTCACCCGTGTTTCGGAGTGATGGGTTGGATTCTAGCTGGTACATTGTCTGTGAAGCAGTAAATATCAACGGAAGATATCAATTCTTCAACCATAGCATCAGGCTAAAAATCCTCCAAAATCAACTTCTAGTCTCCATCATGCGGACTCTTTGAGCCAAGGGACGTAGCAGCTTCTGGTCTAAACGGGGTATCTGGATTTTTATCATGCAGTCTGCTTCGACTCTAGTGTCGATAGCTCATCTAAGTTGGTTTGGCCATCTTCTTTGCAAAAGCCCGCAGCTATACCGCCTAGCTCTATTATGTAGTGTCCTCCAACCGTGATGGTATCATGGCAAGACTAAGTTCTCTTTGCCTAGATCATTGAGGTAGGATCAAGAGGCTGCGCGTCAGCTTGCTTCTTGAATTCTCCCATCAGACAATATTGTTGCAAATAATAAACCGCAGTGGGGGTATCAGTATGGACTCTTTCGATATAAAAACTTGCGCGGCTTAGGACTTTTGATCGGTAAATGGCATGCATCGTGTCCAATAATTTGATTCGCTCTTTGTACCACCACTAATCTTCGAGCGAAATCTCCCTTCTTTTCACTTCGACCTCTACTCGCCGAATTCTACCATCAGAATCCGCTATCACTTGGGAGTTTGCCAGTGCCCTGTTTTCATACCATGACCGCACAAGGATCTCGCTTTTACTTCGCAGTTTGGAAATCTCGACCGCCTGAGCGATCTGCGTGGCTTCAATCGCCTTCATGCGCTGGGTAAGAGATATGAGGGAGGCACTGGCAGAAGAGTCGGGGATAGGGATGTCTTTGGCAGCGGTGAGGGCGGAGAGCGTAGCGGGGAATGACGATGCGGAGGAGAGGACGATGGACTGAATTGTTTCCGAGTCGAGCTGGGAGGGGGGTTGAGAAGGCGGCGGGGCATGGAAGAGATCTGGATTTGACTTGTCTGTGCAAAGAGTAAGGGTCAGAAATCGGATGCTATTCGAAGGAGGATTCGGCAGGCTGAGGCTGGATGAACTGACATATCTTGAGAAGCTCTGCATACACGCGGATTTGGGAAACCATGTTATTGAACCGCCGTTCTAGGATATCCATTTTCTCGAGGGCAGCGTCATGATGGTTTAAGCTGGAGGTGGGAGAGGTGGCAGTGCCGTAGAGAAGATGCTCGATGCGCAGGAGGCGCGATTCCAGGAGGGAGATGGTCGCCAGAGTTGTCTTGTCCAGCGGATCGTCCATTTGGACCGACATTTGTGATAGAACCGCCGAAAAGAGCGTGCGCTTGCTATATTGGTTGTGCGTGACGATGGAGAGAAGGATAGAAAGCTGTGTTGAAGTATGACGCTTTGGAGGAGCTTGTAGCTACTGCTAAGGTGGGTGGTGGTGGTGGTTATAGTGCGGCGCGCTGTGATTCGCTGGGATTTTAAGTGCCGCGCTACTCATCTGCTTGTACAAACATCATGCATCAGAGCTGCCTGTACGCCAATTGCGCCGAGCCTGATTGCAAATGTTTATGTAAAATGCTTTGTTTGCTATTAAACTCTTTAAAATGGCGTTTTATTTTATGAAATAATTATTGCGGCTACTGAAAAGCGTATCATAAGCGATGTCGCCTACCAGCATGTGCATGTCGTATTTTAGCACCTCTCGATAATCGCCAAGATCCAGCGTGGCATGACGGCCCAGGCACCACACGTGCCCCTGAGACATCGCATCTGTTTTCTCTGTGCGATGACTAGAAATAGCGAATCAATGTAGAATTATACTGCCAGTAAATACCTACTAGTACCTATACTGTAGTGCCTACTCCGTAGTATTTCAAGGACTACCGCTTGTAGAAAAGGGCATGGGTCGCCGCAAAAGAGCCGTTTAGCCACATATCCCGGCTTGTCGACACTGCACCAAGAGCACAAAGGTGGATCCGTCATCAAACAGCAGCAGTCTGCAATTATACAAGCAACTCGCGGAGTACGAAAAGGACAAGATCCAAGACCCATACAGCAGTATTCCGATTCATAATCTATGTGAATTTTGCATCGTCAACGGCCTCATATTCGGCGGCAACATGGAATGGCGTAATCGCAAATCGATACGGGTCATGCTGATGTCCATGTGCGCCAGGCCCTGTGATTGGCTGCGACTACCGCCGGCTGCTTGGGTCCGGGGAGGGCCCCGCCGTAAAATGCAGTCACCGTCCGAGAGGCCAGTCCGCTGATGGTTAGAGACTCCCCCATGGCCAGCTTTTCGTAGCGGCCCTTTGTTAGACGTCAGCCTCAACCTCAACCTCATCTGCTAGCCGACCGTCGCTCGTTCATCGCCACCGTTCCATCTGTTCGACCCGACACTCGCTCCATCCCTGCGCCAACGCTGCGTTTGCGCATCTCCCTCTTCTTCAGACGCCCTGCGTGTGTCGCGCGACTGCGCTGCCATCGCGACACCCAGAGAGTGGCATCAACCGCTGGTCACCCGACCAACTTGCCGCTGTGCTGCCCTTGAGCACGAGAGCCTGCCGATAGGGCTGCTATATCAGGACCGTTCAGCGGCGCTGCTGCTCGCCGTCTACGTCGTCCTGGGGGGGCTATGACTAATTATCAAAGCATTTCAGATAGGGCCGCCTCTCCTGGGGGCTCTAACAACATGTCTAGGTGAGCAGGACAACTCGGGTGGCTTTGATTGGACGCATTGGACTGATTTTCTTATCTTGTTCGACTGATAGATCGCGACGACGAGCTGGTAAAGATGGCCGTGGTGGACAAGCCAGTATGCTCAGCAGCATCGTCAATCTGCTGAATACAAGTTCGCGACCCTCTTCCTACGACAGCTACATCCACGAATACTAACTTGAACCTGTGAAGTTGTTGGGGCTGGCACACTTGCTATGCCCTCTGTCCTGTCGCATATGGGAATAATGCTCGGCGTCCTCCTCATGCTCTGGTCTGGCTTGACCTCGGCGTTCGGTCTCTACCTTCAGTCCAGATGCGCTCGCTATCTCGATCGCGGAAAATCCTCCTTCTTCGCCTTGTCTCAGCTTACATACCCCAATGCATCCATCATTTTCGATGCCGCAATTGCGATTAAGTGCTTCGGGGTTGGGGTCTCCTACATGATTATTATCGGCGATCTCATGCCCGGGGTGGCCCTGGGTTTCAACAGCAACGCTGATAGGATTCCTTATCTACTTGACCGAAACTTTTGGATTACTGCCTTTATGCTTCTTGTTATCCCTTTGAGTTTCCTAAAGAGGCTCGATTCGCTCAAGTATACCAGTTTAGTTGCTTTGGTTTCGATTGGATACCTCATTATTCTGGTCATCTACCACTTCTCCGTGGATCCCCATGCCAGCCCAGACAATATTCGGGTTATCCAATGGGCTGGTGCCGTTGAGACATTGAGTGCATTGCCAGTGGTAGTCTTTGCTTACACTTGCCACCAGAATGTTAGTATTCAACCATTTGCTCAACAATTGAAGCCGCTAACTTTTTCAGATGTTCTCTATCATCAACGAAATCAACGATAATTCTCCATCCAGCATGGTCAAAGTTGTCGCATCCAGCATTGGATCCGCAGCATCGATTTACGTCCTGGTGGCCGTTACTGGATACATCACTTTCGGTAACTCCATTGTTGGAAATATTGTATCCATGTGTAAGAACCCCTGCCGCCGTCCTTTTCATGTGCTCCGCGTTGACACATTCTAGATCCTACCGGAGTTGCCTCGACCATTGGAAAAGCTGCGATTGTTGTCCTTGTTTTATTTTCCATTCCCTTACAAGTTCATCCCTGCCGAGCTTCTGTTGACGCTGTCATCAATTGGCGACCTAGCAGGGGCAACTCGAATGGCGGCCGTGCTGGCTCCCCTCTGTTAAACTCGGCGCCAGCACAACGTGGTGATCACGGCAGCACCGCGCCAATGTCTGATCTCAGATTTGCTCTCATTACTACAGTTATCCTTACTCTAGCCTACATTACGGCTCTCTCTGTGAGCAGTCTTGATCGTGTTCTTGCCTTTGTTGGAAGCACAGGATCTACATCTATTAGCTTCATTTTACCAGGCCTGTTTTATTACAAAATAAGCGACCCGGATAGCATCCACCACCAACGTTTGGCCAAGGAAGACGATGACATGGACGACTCCGATGACTCTGATACCGAAGATTCAGGACCACTTGCTCAGAGCACTCACAGCATCGCTAGCGCGGCCAGTGCCGCGAGCAGCCGTAGCCGAAATGCATGGCGCTCGCGTCGAAAGTGGCGATGGGACCTGGAACACGTTGACCACAGTCTTTTACGAAAGATGGCATTGGCATTAGCGATATATGGAGTGGTAGTGATGACGGTTTGCCTTACTATGAACATTTTCTTCGCCGTCGCTCATTAAAGAAGGCTTGGCCAAACACTTTCATTTTACAGCGAAAGACAGAGCCTGCCTCTCTCTTATCTTTTCACCCTTTTCTTTCCCTCTTTTGCACAGGCCCTTTTATTTTTGCCTTACAATTCATGGAGTTATAGATGAAGGGGTAATTTCGGCGTTGAATTTTTTTTTTTCCTATCAAGACTTGGGTATATCGATGACAAAAACTTTGATATTTGTTCAACGAAAAACCCTACAGCGGATTGTATAGTTATTCCCTGACGAAGGAAGTTTACGATATCGAAGCGCTATACGTCTCAGCTGGGCCAGAAATGTACTCTGATATGAGCTACTAGAGAGAAGACGATAAGAATATTTTTAGAATGGTATGAATAGTGACGAGATATAAAGATGCTGTAGCTTCCCGATGAATCGCAGTGATTTAACATTTGTGAGGGAATTTGCATTTTTATAGAAATTGATAGCGAAGATTCATATTACAACATATAGATACACGTTATAACTGCACGCACATATCATATCTTGTCCCCGCAACGAAATGGCTCACCACATACGTATAATAAACTTGTTATGGTATTTGTCCCTCTATAAAATCCATGCCCGACGCCATTGAAATGCCCAAAACACATATCATACAAATCCAACCAGCCGCACACATATTTTCACAATCGCTCTTATTCACTCCTCCAGGGTCCTCTACCGAATCTTCACGTCGCCAGCCTTAACGCTACCCTTGGTCTCGCTTTCCTTTGGAGCAAAGTGCTTCTTGGGCAAGATTCCCACCATGGATAGTAATCGCCATGCCGTATCCGTGGGCTGCGCGCCGACACCAATCCAGTACTTTGCGCGCTGCGAGTCGAGCTTGATGTCCTTGTGTAGCTTGCCAGAGTTGTCGTACGGATCGGGCTTCGGAATAGGGTCGTATGTGCCGATGACTTCGAGAGGACGAGAGTTGCGCGCAGTCCTGGAGACAAGTTTGAAGTCAGTCAAAAAATTCGTGGGGGTTAAAAAAGGTTGGATGATATCGAAAAGGTGGGGGGTGGAGGAGAGTTCAATTGAATTGAATGGCATACGTACCGAGCATGAGCTACGACAATGTTGTAGAAAGGGGAATTACGGCGCCCGAATCGGGCGAGACGGATTTTGACGACCATGGCTGAAGCGAGGGGTCTTGAAAGGGTCGCGAGCGAAATCTGATGAAGGGCGACTGGCTTCAGACTTAGCTTGCAATTGGTGTTTTTTGATCGCAGTACCTCCGTACCCTGGAATATTTTGGGCCGGAGGTCCAGTTTCGCCGCGCCCGCCAATCAGCGTCGGCAGAACATGGCCCCGAATCCGCTGACATCACACTGGTGTTATAATTGGCAAGCTGCTAGGTCATTTCTAACAACATCATGACATCCCTCTTAACTCAGGATTCATTCTTGGCATAAATTCTCGTTATAATTTCCTTCAGCGGACCCGAATTCCCAAAGTTTACGAGGCATCTTAATCATCATCACCTGCTAAATATCTAGCATGGCCCTCAAGGTCTTTTGCGCTGACTCCTCTTTTTACGGGCGTATAGCGCTAACTCTGTTGCGCAGACTATCGGCGCAAAGGCTGCGGCAGCTCTAGACCAAGAGCTCATGAGCAGTGGTGCCTTTTCCATTGATCAACTGATGGAGCTAGCTGGATTAGCAGTCTCGCAAGCAGGTCTGTACATGTACATTTGATGGGAGTCAAGCTACAAATTTGGACTTTTCGTGCTTAGAAGCTGCCGCTAGTATATCGACTTCAACCCTTGGACAAAGGCCAAAAAATCCTTGTGGCGTGTGGGCCTGGAAATAACGGTATATATGCACGTATATCCCTTTTTCGAATGTGTAACTTCCTAACTATGTTCTCTCCAGGCGGCGATGGCCTTGTTGCCGCACGACATCTCTTCTATTACGGTTATAGACCAACAATCTTCTATCCCAAAAGAAGTAAGAATGAGCTTTACCAGGTGAGTTGCTTTCCATATTATGCCCAGCTTTGACCATGCCTATAAGCCATTGTGTATGCACGAGGACAAATGGCTCTTATTTTGTGTATAACATTGTTGTTGGGTATCTTCTTTGGGTTCACTCCTTCAAAGAGCGGTAATTGCCGATGGACCGTATTCCTTTGATATTGGAAATTGCCACGAAGTATTTGATGTCGATATATCCCTTGTGTTCTCTCTGTATCCTCCTTGTCTTCAAATAAGTGTTGGCCTTAATCCAGAGAGGCAGCTAACCGTGGCTCGTAGCGATTGACTAAGCAGCTCGAAGATCTGGATATTCCATTTGTCGATGATTTTCCAGCCGCCATGAAATCAACAGACCACGTAGTGGATGCGATATTTGGTTTGTGTGCCTCGTGCTTCGATTGTGAAAGAATCGCTCCTGAGCTAACCTTTTGTCTTCAGGATTTAGTTTCTCTGGTGAAGTCCGGGAGCCGTTTCCCGCTGTCATTCAAGCTCTCCAAGAGACCAAACTACCCGTCACCTCAGTGGATGCTCCATCGTCGTGGGATATCGAGAATGGCCCTCCTAAGACGGGGTTAGGTAGCTCTTTTATGCCCACGGCGCTTGTCAGCCTCACGGCTCCTAAACCACTAGTCAATCACTTCACCGGTCGGCACTTCATCGGCGGACGGTACGAACCTCTAGCTTTATGCATACACTGCCTTATTCTGATCCGGCTGGCTGACCCTTGGTTATAGATTTGTGTCCCCATCTATTGCCAAAAAGTATAGTTTCGAGGTTCCTCCCTACCAGGGTGTAGACCAAGTTGTCGAGGTAGGATCGTCCGAGCAAAAGCTCTGAGTTCATCCAAGGAACTAGTCGGATCCCAGAACGTGTTGAATGTGCCTCCTTTGTCGTATCAATCAATGTTTCTGAACTATTTTTGCGGTTGACTTCGGCGGCTCTTTCCAGCAGTAATTGGGCCAGTCATTACATCACTTGACAGCCTCCTCTCAAGCTATTTGGACAGACAGGACTCGGACATCCGCCTTCACGCATTTCCTCGGGTACAATCGTCACCTCCCGAGGGCAGTCGTGAGTAGGCGGTCGAGAATCCTGGCAAAGGGCAACAAAGATGAGGTATTCTTTCCTGCAGACTGGGCATTCAGCCGTATGCACCGTGCACATTTATCTGGAGCGGCTTTTGTCCGTCAACCACTTTTGAGATGGGTGATTAAATGATAGTCAGGGGTAGGAAGGTGTCCTTGCGTTGACAACATGAGAGAAAAAGAGTGACGATGTTGCTTCTTGCCACATAGAGTACCCAACAGGATTGAGAATTTTGCCCTGCCGCTAATACAATGTGAAGTTTGGGCTAACCAACAAGCAAACAATCTCCTCGAGGAGATGGCCGGATCTGCAGATATATGGCAAAACCAGGGCAAGATGTGGCTTCAAGCAAGGAGGATGTTCCTATCCAAATGGAGCCAGCTACCAGCGATTGCCACTGCCCGGATTCTAGCCACAGCGGAATTGGGCAGTGGGCGGGCGGGCTTGCAGTGGCCGTGTCCCTCCGTTGCGGCTGCAAAGTTCACTGGCGGAAGGCACACAATTGGCCGGTGAGCGACATGGGCAGTTGAAACGGCGAAGAAGAATCATTTTGACAGATAAAATCGCGTGCACCACCCGCACTTCTTTGTGCTGGGCTGAGCTATGTGTGATCCGATGCGTTTGGGCATAGGAGCAGAAGCTCCGGAGCAAAAGCTCCTCCCCTGCTAGGCTGGAGCAGCAAGCGGCGCTTACAAAACCGAGGCGAGCCCCAAATACGGTCCGCTTTTTCTAGAATTATCTTCAGGAACTTTTCGTCCTTTTTACTTTCAATGTTTACTGAAGTCTCTAAGCTACGGGAAAGCCCAGCCTCGGGGTCCGCTGCCTGACGGGCCTGGAGGCTGCTACTCACTCCGAACGGGTGTACGAAGAGCAGTGGCTGCATTCGCCTCGGACCCAGCGTGGCATAGCACTGCAGATCAAGCTTTTGGCGTTGCCTATTGGTATTACTGGCTTTTTTTTTTTGGCGCCGTCTTTGCTTATACTCGTAGCTAGTGCCGGCACATGGCTCTCAAACGGCGTGAAGCAGAGATGACCTCCAGTCGGTACTAGCGCGAGACACACTCTGATGTGTGTACAATGCGAACTCTCTGCGAATCGAAGCAGCCAAGGTACTAGTACTTGATAATTGGCAAGCTATGGTCCGACCCAGACGAACCCCACACGGTCTAGGCATGGAATTCAAGGCGCCACATGGTGGCGTTGTGGAGGGAGGCGAGGAATATCTGCGATTCGATTTTATATCACCGCGATTAGATTCTTTCTGATACGCTGTCGTAGCTGTTTGGTGGATTTTGAAGCGTGATTATGTTTGACATCAAGACATTTGACGAGCCGAATCAGTGATACTTTCTGAGGAAGGGTGACGGCATGCTGTTGCCATTGCTTCCGAGTGACGACTAATACCGTCACTGGTGTGTAAAGCCCCCTTGTGGCTTCGCTTCCACAATTTCTTTCATCTTAGAGGTGATTTTCCCGTCGTTCACAGCTTCTTGGTTTCTATTGGGCTTCTCTGAGAGATGATCATCAAACTGGATGCCCGACGGGATGCTATGATAGGCCACCCTCAGTCTTTGACGTGATCACCTGCATCAGCCACAGCGGTGGGGAAGCATTCGCCGCAGCACATGCAGAATCCTACAGTATACGGACCGGACTCATTTTTCTCTTGACAAGAACGGCAAGAATAATCGAATGACAGGTGGTGAACGCAATTGCGGCACCATCATTCCGCATTCTGATATGAGCTACAGGGGCAAATGCGCTTTGCACTGTATAATGCTTGTGGTTGGACATGCGCCCGCCAGCCACGTGTGGCGTCGAGCTGGAAGCTTCCTTTCTGCTCCATAGCTCTCCCAGAGGTTTCGATCAAAATCGGAGTCTCCACCTGGACGGTTTCCATTTCCGTGCAGCGGAGCATAACCTACCCAAGGCTAATTACTTATATAATTGTGAAAGCCATCCATCTCGATGCTGTCGGTGAAGGCGACATCGTGAATGCTTAGCGCCCGCTCTGATCTCTGGCGCTGCGCAGCACCAACAAAGCGTGTGCTGGCGTTGCGCTGATGGCCCACTCAGAAACCAATCAATTGGCCCGTCCAACACGCTGGCGACCTGGTCTAGGATCTCGGCCCTTTCGCAGAGAACAAACATATGTACAGGCACCTCCGGTATGTACATGTACGGTAATAATGGTGTCAAGGTGTGCTCGGCATGAGGCTACCCTTACACAACAGATCGACGAGGCTTTGGCCGAGCCGTCCCCGCCAATCAGAGACTTTCAATGCTGCTTCGCCTCGCTGCTCTGAGTGCTCAATTCGCCAATAAGATCCAGTGACAAGGCCTTGTTGCAGATCGGCAGTGGCGGCTGTGGCTGCGCACGAGTTGCCACCGTGGGAGCTATCAAAAAAATTGCACTGTCGCCACAGTTGCTGTCCTGATTTTGTTCCCGTAGCTTACATTTAGCTTGTGATAACAGCTCCCGGCGTGGTCCGTTCATCTTTTTTTTCCCTTTCTTTGCTACCGAGGGAAGCAATTTTTTTTTTCTCGCGCTTTCTTAAAATCGATAGAGCGGAGACGTTCGGTCGCCGGCGGTAAACGGTCCGCCAATTGCGCCTTTAAAGCTGAAGCTGGCTCTTGGTGCCGGAGGTAATGCTCCTGCCGCGAGACCTCGCGCAATGGGAAAACTTTTTCGCCGGCCAACCATACAGCACCGGTGTGCTTCTTTTTCAGCTTCAGAGCCACTTACAGATTACCTAAGGCTACTAAAGGGGGATAGGGGTGGCTTACGGACTACACTCTGGAGCGTCTGTATGCTGGTATTGGACCGAGACCATCCAAGCTCATATATAACGAATATAACCTTGCGGATAGAACCTTCCAATGAAATCAGCGTTTCAAGAGCCGTTGTTTTTTCTTTTTTTTTTTCTTACAAGCCACCGCTCAAGTCGATCCTTGGAAAGTACATTTTGCCACAAGCACTATCATCATAGTATCATAGTGCTAACATGATCATCCGAGGCGGAAAGACTAGATAAATCAAACGTAATCCTCACCTCGCCCAGTGGCAGAAAAGTGTGGCTTGATTTATAACTACCTACCGATGGCGTATTTCCTATTTTCTGTTCTTGAGCACCAGCCCTTTACGGATGCCAATAATTTCAGTAACAGCTCGAAGAAGATGGAAGCATCACTCGGCCGTTCATATCGGTTCATCATCCTTGCCATTTGAGCTCTCTTTGATATCAGATGATGGCGGTTCGGCTGATCTAGAGATGTGGAGATTGTTCAAGCGAGCGTGGCAAGCGGACATGGAGACCAAGTGCTCAGTCTGACATCCTTCGGCTCATTCACATGAAATCGAACTATAAAACTCTTGCTATAACCTTCATTGGTTTTAACTTGTTCAGTCTATCGTCTTGATCAGAGTCGTGTACGGCCCACCGATTTCTTCAAAAATCATTCGGTTGGCTGCTACTGCGCTGATTGGTGCCATTAACATCCTAAGTGCCGGACCTCATCTCCGGCCTGGAGCTTGCTATGATAGCACTGGCCATTGGTCCAAGGGATACAATGCTGCCTGATGTGCCATGGTTTGCAATTGACAGGCCGATTGAGGAGATTAGGGCGCCTCTCAGACAACAAGAAAGAAAAAAAAAAAAAAAAAAAAAGGTCACCAGTTAGGGGCTGACTAGTGTCGGCGTACATTGTGCTGCATGACACTTCGCATGGATGGATGCATCCTCGTCTATGCCCAAGCTTAGACACTTCTCTATATCTTGCCTCTTTTGACACTTGTGGACTTTGCAATGTCGGAATAAATCTCCCGAGATGTTGTGCCAGCAGCGTGTCATTAACCTTGGGGCTCTGAAGCTATCAGCTCCATTATAATGGAATAGTCTATTGTCCCGAAACTGGGAAGGCATCATTCGCCAAGGAATACTACAAAGCCTGACACCACTGTTAAAATATCAATTATGGTATCTAAGGGGGCGAAGTTGCCAACACCATTGATCCCACACAGAAAGAATCCAGCCTCCGGACCGCAGTGTTCAACCCGCCCGTCAACCATCTGGCTGCCGCTGTGGGTATAGTATGCGAGGCATGACACGCTTTCAATCACAAATTGGGATTAACAACTAACGCTAGACAAGTATTCTGCTCAACGGCTGCTCATACAGATGTGGATCGCTTCTGCAGTGAGAGCTTCGTTGATACATATCATGCATCTATGGGCTTAGTGCGCGACCATTCCCTTGGCTGATGAAGAGACGGTGAAGAGTAAAGGAGCAATTTCGCCGAGTATGACCTTAGTACCGAGTTCTTCTCGTCCGGCCCTCAATATGAGGAGGGGGCCTCGATCCAATGACAACGAAGAGTTGGTGTCAGGCGCTATCGTGGGTTTATGGGGGGGGCTTAGAAGGGTAACTGATTCGTAAGAGATGCCGGAAATGTCAAATGAGATATGGAGTCGAATTATGCCAACGTGTCCCTTGTTCCCCCACGTTGTGAAGAGGGGAAAATTTTTTATACACGGATAGGTAGATATTTTACCTTTCTTCTCATGCTCCTCTCCTCCCCCCTCTTCCTCTTCCTCTTACTCCTTCCTCTTCTCTTTCTTTCTTTTCTTTGTCTCTGACGCTTTTCCTCTTATTATTATGGATACACTTTGATATTGATTTATGAAAGTTTAATATGACGTAAATTTAAGTTGGTCGCATTGAAGCTGTGTAATGATGTTGGATCTTGATGAGGGGGCACAAGGTTAGTTCTGAACGAGCTTTGCGTTGCTACTGGCAGCACGCATTTCATGAGAGAAATCGACGGTTTTTTTTTTTTCTTTTTTTTTTTTCTTTTCTTTGGAACTATAATACAGGAAGAGTTGTTTTATGCCCGCATTCTCTGTGTCTCAATTTCTGGCTGAACTTTGATGGTTCATATAAGTTGTAATGGTATGTGGAGGTTCTGCCGTAAGAAGCTGATGTGTCCGAAGTTGTAGTTTAACATGAAGAGGTTTTCCAAATGTTGTACTTATGTGCCAAACTTCATGTAGCATACTAAAAAGTATGCAATTATGATGAGTAGTGATTGAATCAAAACTTTGCAGTTCGGGCGAATAACGAATCTCCATGACAAATGGTTGTCAATGATCTCTACCAGTCATGTAGCTCGGACATACTGAATGAATTTTTTCTTCTTCTTCTTCTTCTTCTTCTTCTTCTTCTTCTTCCTCTCTTTCTTCAATTGCCAGACTAAAGGGAATATTTGAATACCTTTATGAATTTTTTCTTGAGAACCGCAACCTTTCTCCCGGAGAGTGTCTCAATGGATACGCGATGCCTCTGTTCCGCGCCGAAGAGTGGATACTAGCTCGCCGTGCCGGGATATCGGAGGCGGCCCCGCTTGAGATTTTGGCGATGATGGGTATTAGATGCAGAGCTGTATGGGCGATCTACATCCTCTCTCTATGAATACTTATTTTTTTTCTTTTTTGTTTATTGATTTATCGATGCGATAGCGAAGTAGATGGTAAGAGAGAGTGGGAAATATTTTGTGGGAAAAAAGGGTGGTAGAGCAATGTTGTTGTGCTAAGCGAGCGGGAAGGTCTTTGAGACGCTTAATTGGGTTTGACCAGGTTGTTTGTTGCTGTCGTTGTTATTGCTTGCCCATCATTTTTTTTTTTTTTATCAATCAATCTTTTACATTATACGTTTTAATAGCCTATAGCGCCTGTTATTTGTTTTGACGAGACGCTGAATGTAGTCATGTCGTTGGCCGCGAGGTTGATCGGTATGGAATCTTCTCTCATGTAAGAGTAGTCTCCTATTGGTCTTTCGATTGGCCTTTTACTCTTCTTGGATTTTTTTTTTTTTTGGTAGCGTCCTGACTTCATTTCAAAAGTCGTACTGGATTGAAGAGCTTAGTGCAAGGCTGGTTGTTGGTGGGGGGGAGGGGGGGCATGGACTAACTACCCGAGAGCGTTGGTCAATACTGGGCGTAAGTTGCTCAAAGAGCGCGATCTACGAGATTATCTCTGTATTCTATGGTCAAATACTTGAGGGGGGAAATGGACGAAAGAAAGGTGGATAGTGTTTGTAACGCGTCAAAAGTAATATAATTATGAACAAGAAATATTGACAAAAATAGAGAGAGAGAATCCACTTCTGGTACCATCATTGAGCGCTATTATCGTTACCTTCATTTTAATTTTTCTTCTCCCTAAAAGGTGATTGGAATTTATTAAAGAGCTCAATCTTAATCATAATTTGAATGAATCCTCTGCATCGCCGAAATTGAACAGCGACTCTATTTACTACGTCAATTAAGCTAATGGTGGAAAGGACGCCAGTCGGTATGGACGGAAATCTTACCAGCGATACAGGAAGTATTGTGACCCATGATAGAACTATTATTTGACTGATGTTTCGGGGTGTTGTAGATGAATGTCATAGTGATAGAATTACCGTATTGATCCAACCGTATTGACCCAAGGTACAAGAGCTATCATAATATAAGCACTTGACAAAATTCTTAGAATAATAATGAAGTAGTCATGTTGTGACTAGGTAAATCTATGGTTTTAGTAGAAAGACTGTTGTTGTTTTAAAATAAAAGCATTTACATATAAAAATAACTGGCCAAAGCCATTTAGGGCTCTCCATCCATAGCTGCAATAACTCTAGGTGGATGATAAATATATGTAATCCGTCAATTTGAACATTGCCTGCCTTGAACATTGCCTGCCTATTTACCAACCAATTCTTCAACATTAAAAACTTTTTTCTTTGTAGTTACCTCAATATCTAGCCAAATTTTAACCTAGCCTCGGACAGGAGGCCGCCAAGTCAAATACGTCATGGCACCTAAGCCGGTTTGCAGTTATTACTACAGTACTAACGTTGAACTGCAACTTTAGAGGCAGTAGAGCTTTGACATATTCCTTGTAGTACTAATGTAACCATGTGGCTATCTGCATACGACGCTGAGAAGTTCATCGAGGCATTTAGTGTATAAGCTTTTCTGCTCTTGCAGGGTTACATGTAAGGAGTCTCAGAAGCAAGCGTGTTGCTTTTTAAGGGGCTGTTCGGGATATAGAATGCCGATGGAGAGGGATTGCAATTACCCCTGTTTGTCTCTGCACTTTGTATACTCCGTATTTGCTAGGGACTTTTGTCCCGATAATATTCATTTCTATAACTCTGTAATTACGACTAATAGCTTGTAAATCCAGCTGTGGAATCACGAGCCCATCTGTCTGTTCGATATTTCGATAATCAACATTCCTCATCTTAGAACGTTACGTATCCAAGTCTGTGTGAGCGCAGTTTCATCTTCTCATCTGCCGTTTCAGGTTGAGACCATATAATGATGCGGTAGGATGAGCAACATAGAGACTCAGTTTGAGTTCTAGATGTAATATTATGATACCATTCGTATTCGGTTCTTGGGATGATCATAGTCGAACGCATGAGTCTCCAAAAATAGCTAAATCGTGGATATAATAATATCGCGAATAGTAATCCCTCTGATGGCCTTGCAACACATCGACTAACTTTAACAAGAGATCAAGTTATGCAAATGCCATGACTGAGAGCCCGCTAGTCGTTTGCTGCGTCCGTCCTATTGCCATGTCCGTCAATTTGTCCTTTTTATCATGTTCGTCCCATGAATCCCACAAAATCCGCCAACTCCAATTCGCTGTTTCTCGCCGGGGTATTTAAGAGCGTCATGCTTTCGCCCAACTCGTCCACTGCTCATTGAACATATATACAAGCGCACTGAGCAAAACAAAAGAGAAAGTGTCATTAATGCTTTACGCCCGTCCCATGAACTTAGGATAGCAATAAAGAAAAGAAAAGAAAGCAAGAAAAAAAAAAGGGCGGAAGAGAAACAAAAGAAAATCCAAGGTTAAATAGCTCGTCCACTATAGTTTAGGTCGTTGTTGAGGCTCCGTTTGGTCTGAGGAGTATAGAGTCCCGATTCGTCTTCGTCTCCTACACGAACCCAGTGCCCGTCTCTTCGGTTGTAAGGGGTCAAGTTGATGTCGACTTCGTCAGTTACTACGATGCCGTCGCTGTTGTTCTTGGAAAATCCCCCGCCTGTAATTTGAACACTGCGCGACCCACTAGAATAGGGATTATCAGATGATTGTTGTGTAGTACCTCCTTTATCTCTGTTTATGAGGCGACGATACAAAGGTCTATACACAGGAAGCGAAACAGCCAAAATACCGGCCATTAGTTCGACGACAGAAAGCATTCCAGCTGGCATGTTGTCCCCTGAAGAAGATTGTTAGTCTTTCGTGGAAAGGCGTATGTTACGGTAGCAGTTTAGACTTACAGCTCCCATCTGCTGTAGAACCAACTGCGAGGGCAAATGCTAGACGAGCGATGCTGACTAGGCATGCGCTAGTAAAAAAAGTATTAACATGTTTCGTCTTCATATATTGATGCGGTATGTCCATAAAATTAGCCAGGCTTACCTGCCACCCATTGCAAATGTAAATATGACCATTCGCTTCCTCTGCGTGGAGAGGTTGAGTTTGAGAACAAGGGGGATTGGCATAGCGAGAACGATGAAATCTGTAACGATGTTGCATATGCCGGCAACAAGGACAAGAGCGCCATAATTGACGCATGTACCTCCAGCGATAGACGGGTCCCAACCAAAGGCAATCGGGGTACACTGAAAGATTGCAACGAAAGCACAACTGATGGCCCAACAGGCCATGAAGATAGCGACAGCCCAAAGGCAGTAGTGGAACCGTTTTTGCGGGAAGATGGCATGATACATGCTCAAGATGCTGAATTTGAGAAAAGCCATGCAAACGCAATAGAGGTTTTCGTTGATAATATTGATCTGTCGAGGAAGGGAGTATTAGGATCTCAGACTTTAAACAGAGCAACTGTTGTGTCTTCCAAAACATGATGCAGTTCTGAGACTGCGTTGATCAACTTACAACTTGAAGCATTCGTGCATTATTAGGATCTGTAACGAGGATGATATGTCGACCACCCCCATACTTGACTGACATTGCAAAGCAAACATCAAAAACGGCAAAGTTGAGCTGTGAAGCACTATTAGCTTTGGACTCCTCTGAGCTGGCCTTTGACTCAGTTGCCTGTTCCCAAGGCCGGCGCCTAGTTGTCCATCACACGGGAACTGTTGCAAGTCTCCGCTGCGACAACTCGATAAACTCACCCAAGCAAACAATATCAGCCAGTCGCTCGTCGCGATCCCAGCCTTTGAAATCCTTCGCGATATCAAGCGGAGGGCGATGAAGACGATTGATGCGATTCCGCATATTGATGTGCATGCAATGATATCTGGTACGCGCGTGTCATTGATGTGTGCCTCCATGTAGGCGATCTCGGCCGCATCTGGTAGCCGTGGCATTGTGGCAGATTCTTTCTGGAGTCAAAGCGACTCCAGCTGGATACATGCGCAACGGATCAAACGAACAAAACAAAGAAAAAAGAGAAAGCTGAAGAGGAGCAAGCGGCGTTGTGCCTCTACAACCTTATCAGAAATGATGACGCCTGCTGCTTGGCAGCAGTATTCGAAAGTTGGGAAACCACATTGGTCAACCGGCAGAGAAGATGGGCAACCCGGGTACAAAGTATTTGATTGCCGTCGCATTGGAACTGACCTCTCTGGCTGGAGTAGAGGCAACCATTGGTCCGATATGCCGATTAGGATGCGTGCAAGAGACGTCTCAGTCAAGGAAGACTACCATAGCGAGGGGGGGTGAACGGCTTGTGGGGGCCGTGTCGGATCCTTACGCTGATCCTGGCCTATGTCTTACTCAGAACTCTGGCAGTGATGCCACCCAGCAGCGGCCGTTGCTAAGAACTTCCAGCAGCGGTAGTACCTTGGAGTCGCATCTGGAGCCGCATCTTGCAGAAAACACGCCGTGCGAAGCGAACTGAAACCAGCGGCGGACTGCTCATGCTGCGGATACTGGCCGATATCGAGAGCGACCCTGCTCGATGCCAGGCTCCCTGGGCAATGTAACGCTGCTTTGACTGGAACCCACGAGGTCAAGCCCGGCGGTGCTGTTCAAGCATGCCATATCGAGCCGCCACGAGGGAGCGAGCTATTGCGCCGTAGGCGAATGGCTGGCCTGGCCATCGGGGGATTCCCTGCCGTGCTTTGCCACTTTTTGCCAAACATGTGTGGAGGGCTGGCATGACCATGGGTAGCATTCGTATGGATACTCTGCGCTGCTAGCCAATGTCGCACAGGAGAGATTGGAATCGCTGGGCGGTGGTACGAGGCGAGGCCATTGCGCTCGGGGGGATTGCTTCATCGAGCTGACGGGACAGAGTCCGGGCGTGATCTGGATCCTGTATCGGACAGGGAGCAGAGAAGATCTGAATACTAGTAGGTAGTCGTACTGCGTATATGCCTGCATGTAGTAGGTCGTGATGAGCAGCTAAGAGGGCATCCTGGGCTGCTGTCTGTGCTCTTGTCGTGTCGAGAACACCCTGCCTTGGATCTGCTAGCCTGGACGATCGCACGAGTTGGTTGCGCGATGAGGCGCCTCGGTGGACCAGAGCGCTGGATGCCGGGTCTAATATCTGACAATGTCTGCTTCGGCAAAAGGCGACGGTGACGACGAGGATGATGACGGAGAAGAAAGAGACAGGTGGGGGACGGAAAAGTAGGACCACAGAAGGAACACGTGCGCATCCGCCTGTAACATGGACACATATTGCCTGATCAGTTCTCAGCAAAAATGTATGTGCGTAAAGCTAATTTGTATGTGCAAAATTCTCGTATTCCCGGATTTTCTGTCGCCCGCTGGAGATGCGACTAGTCCAGCAAGGCAGGTCTTGGAGGTGGTGCTGATGCGGGAAGTAGTGCCAGTGCTAGTGCCAGTGCTAGTTGAGTGCTATAACTTCCATATTGAGCGCTACCGGGTGGTGGGCAGTCAGAGCCACCGCTGCAGACGCACACGCACCTATATTTGGATGCCGTGACGCTTGGCTTCTGTAGCAGCAGGCATCGTTGAATCCCTCCGCTCCATGCATGCGGCATATTGTCACGAGCAGAGCTAGCGCATCACTCGCCTTCCCAGCAGTGGCAACTAGGGACTGTACGAGATGCTGCTGCTGCTTGCTCTGAAGGCAGCGCCAATGTGGGCTACGGCATACAGCAGACTATACCAGCATGTACATGCATAGTCAGCCAGCATTTGATCTGGAACTTGGCGCTTATACACACCAGCTGAGTGCATGCACAGGCACAGGGTCCTTGAGCCTAAATGCCCTGAACCAGTCCCTCTAATACCCCTACCCCTCCCCCCTCCCCTTCCCGCTCGTCCCGCCGTGGGGTGGCTGATGATGAGCTTTTAGTGTCCCGCCGTCTCCAACTAGCTGCCTGCTTTATTTGCACCTTGGCGTGCTGCTGTAGTGCTACATAGCACTGCTCTGTTCCAGGCGCCGTGAGTGGCTCGGGAATCCTTCGGGCCGAGCACTTTTCGAACGCACAAGGCTCAAATGCTGGCTTCCAATTGGTCCAAACTAAAGCAATACTTGTATGTAACTGTAAGGTAACGACACGACATTGATGATATGCCTGGGTACAGGATACCATACATCTGCACGTATAAATTACTGCTGCAGCAGAAGCCGGGGAGGGGGCCTCCTACGGTGAAAATTTTTGCTCGGTGCAGTCTCTTGCATTTCTTGGCTGCTGCTCCTCCATCCCTCTGTCCCCGTAATTTCCGATGCTCATTTCGACTCCTCTGCGCTGCATCGCTCCTTGGTACTAAATCGTCTGATCTCAACTCGGCAGTAGCTGCGACCCTAGCCGTTATCTTGCCCACAGTTCTCATTCCCACTCTCGCTGCTGACCACCACCCATCGGCTGTCGATGCTGTGCGCTACACCGTGGATTTTCCTGCCAGAGCAAGGTCGTGATGCCCATAAATATGATGGAGTTGTAGTGGCCTACCCGCCTAAAGCAGGTACCTGTATCTGTATGTATGTACGGATACAATTTGCGGGGAATTAAGAATGCTAATAGTCCGCCAAAGGAGCGACTATGCAGATATACATGACCATTGTGTGCTGCCAATAAAAGAAGATATTATCCATATGATGCCAATTAATTTACTGGAAACCGGGTGCAATAGGTACCACACCTGCACCAATGGCTCATATACCACCCGTGCCGTTCCAATCTCCCCACGCTTCATTCATCAGGAATACGAAGAAAGGAGGCAAATACAATACTTCTCAATTGCATCATCTCCCATAGTCAATGATACTCACATCTATCAGAGATGTAAGAATTACTATCTTAGAGATCTACATCAAAGGCTGACAATTCCATTTATTGCAGACTTTCTAAATATAGCAGTCTTCGCTAATAAGTCATTCGGTTTGTAGATATTCCACCAAGGTGTTCCGCGATGCTACGCAAAAGGTCACCCATACGCACAAGGAATAGATTTTTGCCGTATGAGAGAAAACAAATACGACAACGCATTAAAGAATACCACTTTGCAATACTATGGTGTGGAATCAATGCTCTACCATGTATCGAATATACTACCTATGTATTAAGCTGTTGCTACAAGTACCGGCAGATACTACTCTGCGTTGGGCCGCGGTTCGCCGTTGTAGATCCTTTGCAATGTAACGCTGCCGCTCTTCATACTTGCTAAGCCCGAGTAACGTGCATACATGAACCGAAACCCGTCATATATCTGAATCCTCCCCGGGTCAACCTATGCGGATGTGGCTTGGACGCAAGACAGACGATCATGTACATTTTCTCGGCTTACACACAGGTATAGCAGATTGGCAGCTTAAGCTTACTTGCATGAGATGGAGCATAAAATCTCAATTATTCGGATCGCAAAGGGATATGATCTGCCTCGCCATTAGTATAAGATTTAATAGAAAAGTAGGTGGGAAAAGACAGTTCTACATAGACACCCTCATCTCCTAATCATGCCGCGTCCATCCCTCTCTTGGCGCTGTTGGTTGGTTCTCTCTTTAAATACCGGTTGCTGTTAGAGCAATATCACCCCTTGACAGCTCCAAGGATCCGATACTGTAACATTCATAATCCCAATTAAGCATAAGGAGATGTGTTGCTTTGTCTTTAAGCCTGCGTGCATCTTTGACAGATACCTTCTCTCTTCTTTGACCTTCTCGACTTAGGACACGCACTACTTCGCCTCCTCCCTCCTCTCATTCATAGCCAAACACCATGGAACAAGTGCTTTCATGCTGCGTCCGTCCACCTCCTCCGCAGTCGCTTGAGTCTTCATCAACCTTAAACTGGCGCCAATCGTCTGCCGGCATTTCATCACGGCCCATTGACACACTGGAAAACTTCTTCATAGTTCTAACAGATAGCGGTTCTCCCGTTAACCGCGAACACTGGGCCGCCTCAGTGGCACTAAAGATCAAGTTCAAGACTTCTTTGACAGATCCCATTCCGTATTTGCGCCGTGCTTGGCTTCTTACCGGTCAACTTCACCCGACGTTTACTGGATCAATTGTTGAACAGTCCAATGGGTCAACGGGCCAAGAATTACCAGCAAAGCCTTTACTCACGGTACGCCCTTTCGACGCAGATGCCTGGGTATCCAAAACTTTTCTGATCTCATCAGAAGCGTCTGCGAGTGGCGTGTTTGCAGGCATGCTCAGCAATGGCACTCCCACTTGCCACTGGCTACCTGCAACTCAAGAGATTTTCATCCGCTCAGCTCACTGGCGTATTGATGGCATAGGCCTGCTCATGCTTGCCCACAGTTTCTTGTCTTCTTTGGCTTCTGTTTTGAAGAATGGCCTGGACTGTGGCGTGGATTCATATGATGGGCTAGTTGGCAGCGGGCTGCTGACCAGAAGCCTGGACGATCTTGCCGATGCGTATACTGACGAGGATTCCACGCCAAAGTATATCCAGGCGGCTGCGGACGGACTCGTTAGCGAATTTGTTCAGGGCGTCCCTAGTATCGGATTACCCACGACTCCAGCTTCGGAAACCGCTCCGCCGGGAGACAGCGCCCGCGAGGCTCTGCGAATCGATGCCCTTACAACGGCTGCCATCACCGCGGCATGTCGAGCTCGTAAGATCAGTGTCAGTAGTGCCGTCCATGCTGCCGTCGTTCGCACCACGGCTACCTACCCGCAGCATCCGCTCGCCAAACATTTCGCCGCCTTCTTCCCAGTCGATATGCGCAGGCGCCTGCCCAAGCCATACGATGGACCTGATTATGCCGTGGGCATGTTCTCTTCTGGCCTCCCCATCTGCGTTCACAACGTACTTGGCGACGATGCAATGGGCGGCGACCCTAAAAGCTTTGAGGAGATAGCTCAGCAGCTGGCATTAGTATACTCAACAGATATCTCCCGCTTCACAACCGACGATGAAGGAAATCCAGTCAGCATGCTTAAAGTGGTTGCGCCCTATGTGCGGCGCACTACGAAGCTCTTCTCAGCACCGCTGCCACCTGGGCTGCCGCAGATACAGAATCCGGACGTGAGCAGCCTCGGCAAGGTGGAGGCGTATATCCAGCGTTCGTACGGCGGTGATGAGAAAGGCTTCGAGGTGGCAGATATTTGGCTTGGCACGCAGATACTGTCCCGGTCAGTACAGTGCCATGTCTGGAGCTTCAGGGATGAGTTGAATATTGCAGGGTGTTTTAATGTGAGCTTTTACGAGGTTAATTTTGTCAAGGAGTTTCTGGAAAAGATTGAGTCTGAGTTGTTGGCTGGACTGGGCATTGAGCGCGAAAAGACGCTGTCGAATTAGATCAACAAAGCATACATGTCATGTATCAGTACGTATCAAGTATGTACAAAGTGACTGGATAGCTGTAATTACATGTAATGAGCCGTTTCTCGAGACCAGATGCCGAGTAGTGGGTGTCGAGCTAGTCATAACGTACATGTATCTAGGTGGCATCATGTCAATAATAACGTTAACTCTCCTATCGTGAAAAATAATGGTTTGAAAGATAGTAATTGTAATTGGTCTTTACTTTTCTAAGCGGCATCTACCGCTACATGGTCTGTGCTCTTCGCGAAATCCTCCCACTCTTCGCAGATCGCTATCGTCTCCTCACACTTCGTCTTAACTCTCTCCCAGCCATCCGACCCCAGAGGAACACGCAGCGGTGTCTGTTTCCCCGCAGCCATACCCGTGCCCTTGACCAGGTCAATCATTCGCGTAACAGCCTTATCGGCGTCGCCAGGTTCATTGCCGATAATGGATGCCTCGTACTGCCGGACCCCGGCATTGAACTGGGCATAAACCGGCACGCGGGGCTCGACGTGCTTGATGTTGGAGAAAACCTTGGTCCGGAAATAACCAGGCTCGACGATGAGGATTCTGACGCCAGGAGCAAACATGGCCATTTCTTTGGCGAGGCATTCAACGGCACCTGGATGTGGTTGGGATAGGCACGCAAGGCCCCGTACATGTCAGCAAGTGGCCCAATTCGGATAACCATCGAGAAAGATAGGTAATGATTTGCGCCAGGTAGGAAGGAAATGGGTAGGTGTCATTGCCTGATCCTTGAGCCTGTCGTGCTTGTTTATGCGAATTGGGTGAACGGGTGTGTAAAGACATCAGATGAACCATCCCGTTTCATGGGGTGTAAGTGTAATCCATTGGCGAGAGCACAGAAAGATGGTGACGCACATACCTGATAAAGCAAACTTGGCGGCACAATAGCTGCCAGCACTTGGATCGGTATGCCACGCCGCTTGAGAACTCACAAAGAGAAGCGTGCCCTTGTTCTTTGCCCGTAGGCGAGGCAAGAACGCACGGGTGATGTTGAGTGGGCCATGGAAGTTCACTTTGAAAGAGAGATCCATATCTTCTTGTCTAGTCGTGCCCCATGTAGATGGTTAGCGAGAAGAAGTAAGAATAAAATAAAATAAAATAAAATAAAAAGAGAGGTGATCCAAAACCAAAACATATACATATAATTTGGGGAAGTAGACGTTTGAGACACAATATACATGTAAGTCGACCACGGGGATTGGATTTCAAAGCAAATATTGTATATTTACGTACGTTAATTCTTCAATCGCTCCACTGACGATGTAGCCTGCATTGTTGACCACAACGTCGATGCCCTCTGGGTAGATATCCCAGGCCGCGTCGACTTTGGCCTGGATTTCAGCGGCCGGCGCTGTGACATCAAGGTCGAGGATAGCTGCTCCTGTGTCTTTGAGATGGGCGAGCCTGGTTTCGGCACTGCGGCCAGTGGCGATGACATTATCGCCGGCAGCACGGAGCTGGCGTACTAAGGTCTCGCCGAAGCCGCTAGAGCAGCCAGTAATAAACCACGTCAAGGGAGCCATCTTTAATGCCGGTATGACTGCTTAGTTTTCTTCTTCTTTTTCTTTTTGGAGTAGCCTCTTGGGTCTCCTGTTTCTCTAGGGCGGAATGCGGGTAAGTTGTAGTCTGGTGTAGCTCGGTGTACGCGTGTAAGCGTAGACTAGATGTTAAAGCTTGAGAGGCTTCGGGGGTAGAAAAAGAGGGAAGACCAATAAGGGTTGAATGTCGAAGGCATGGGTCGATGAACGAGGGTTTTTTTTTTGGTCTTTGTTTTTCCTCTTAGTAACGGCTTCGGCGTGCTATTTCATATGTCTCCGTGTGTGCAGTAGTCACTGACGCTGCATTGCTTGAAATTCCGCCAAAGTGGAGAGGGTGTGGCCGAGGTGTTACAGCGGGGTCTGTAAAGAGGCACAGCTGATAAAGAAACAGAAGGTAGGCCAGTGTCTACAGCTTATTCTCAATACTGTTTCTGGCAGCAGTCATAACTTGTCAGAACTTTGACCATCACTGAGGCAAAGTTTAAGACGGCGTGGGAAAAGGAGGGGGCTGTGGTGCATAAATGTCGATCGCGGCGCGAATGGAAAGCTGCCAAGTAGCTTTGTTGTAACCTTCTGTTGGGTGAGCGCGCAGTTGCATTCTCATAGAGGAGTAAATCCTTTGGGAACGGTTATTTCGGTATCCGAATAACCACTGTTATAGCGAGACCTTTTGACTATGCACGTCTTTGTTTTATCCCTCGCATATACATATGAGAGGCGTCAGATATCCAGGGTAAATGAGACTAGGGGATGCAGGATGCTGCTCCGGCTTGCCTAATTAGAGCGCAGCCAGTCGAGCCCATCGCTAAGCTATCTTGACAAGCGCCCCACGATGGGTCTGTAAGTAGCTACCATAAATCTTTAACGTGTTGTATCGGCATGGATGGTACTTCTATTTGACTGGTGTAACTGGCCAAAGAATCAGCACATCTGGAAAATGTTCGTTTCACATGTCGATGTTCACGAGAATATCCGGGTGCTTTGGCAGCTTCTGGATAACAAGCCAGCTGGCTGGGAGGATGTCTCAACGCACACACAGTATGCTGCGTATTATGCTATTGGCTTGCTCAGTCAGCTAACGAAATATGAGAATTACTAGCAGTTTAGAAAGTCACACCCTCCATGATACTACACGAACCTACAGAGTACTTATCCGAGGTATGTGACGGTTGCCATTCTTTTTCTCTTTTCCTCTTTCTCTCCATTTTTGTGCGGGTATGTGTCTCTATTACCAATATTTTTGTCGACCCTGGGCTACTACCCTCTTCCGCCGCCGCCGCCGACTTGGGTTCCCACTGAAAGGTTCTAAGTATCCGCTTGCCTGCATGCTATATATCCCAGGCAAGTGAGATGCAGATGCAGGTTACGGTGTGCAAAGTCTGCAGCATGCTTTCCCTCCATCATTACGACGGCAGCAGAGCAGCGTCCTGTGGAATTTGCTGCGGAACCGCCACAGAATCGCTGCAGAAGAACCTTGAGAGTGCGAAGAGATAGTTACATGTAGTTCGTACAATTTGGCTAAAGAAGCAGCCCAGTATTCGTATAAAGACTTTCATTGCCATGATACCGATTTCAAGATACAACGGCAAAAACTGTTTGATACTATGCAACCGTGTGTGCCTGGGGCCATTTTAATGCAGCGAATTGTACACCTTGGCCAGCAAATTAGAGAACAAGAATGCTAGTTGTAGCAATTAATATGTCGCAGTCCTGCTAGCGGTTAGCTGACAATGAACTGATGGCATAGAGTCGAACACACGGAACCAGATAAGCCCCCGACCTGCATCCGGCTGGCCGGCGCTCGCCCACTCCCCTACCTCTCTTGTTAGTTAATAGGTAGTTATTGTATTTGGTCGAAGAGCAGGCTTCGTGGAGGAAACACTGTCGATGACGTTATACGGCTTCATTCGATTCGGAGTGCGTGTAGCTTCATCTCGAAATAATTGGACCTCAAAAGCCTCCGAAAGGCACCAATTCTTAGGGCTTAGTATTTAGTGCTGAGGCAACCTGTATTCGCACGCCGTTGATTTCCCCGGTCCTGCGTGCATTGTTTAGTCCTGGGTCAAGTCAAGGCACGGACATCTCCGTACATCCAGTCACAGCCCACGCCAGCTAAGCAACGAGCCGTCAAAACGGGCCGTTCAGGGGGGGAAGTGCCTCACAACGAGGAGTCCCTGCTGATACCGACGCTAGGGATAGGCCAGACTGCCTTTCCGGAGTCTTCGCTGGCTCTCTTCTCCGCAGAGCATAGTGGCCGCAGATCAAACTGACAAGGCTAATAGCTAGCTGCATATAGCATACGCCTCTGCTGCCAAGTTGCCGTGAGCTCTAAACCGTGTATCGAAGAACCTCGGGAAGGGAAACGACCGACGCTAAACTTGCCTCTGCGGTTGGGTGAGAAATACCCCTTGCTGAACAAAGATGTAGGCACAGCCTAAGTGAAGCGTATAATAAAAGCAGGAATACGAACAAGTGCGGAATAAAGCCAGCACTGCACGTATGTTGCCTTGTGCGCCTTCCGGCATATGAGAGGCAATTGCGAACCGTGTCTGGATGAAAAGCAAATGCTCTCCCCAAGGCTCCTCTTGGTATCGACAGCAGGCGAGCTTGACTTGGTCTCTGGAACGCACGATCAATCAATTGCAGCGTAGCACCGCTACACTGCTACCACAGCGTCGCATCATTCAATTCGAATAGCACCTTCGAAGCCATATCAGTACACGATATAATACAGCAGTGTCCCAACAGGAAAGGGGGGAGATGTGCAGAGTGCTGGCGGCCTCATGGTGGTGGGGGTGATGAGGATGGGTAAAGCTTGAAGCTTGGTTAATTGGCGGTGGTGCGAGGCTTGGGGGCCGTTGAAGGCATCAAATTTGCTGGTATACCTACCTACATGTACCTAGGTATTCTTGGGAGGCTCAAGTACACATAGCCGACTTGACAGAAGGATGGAAGGTGGTAGGCAGCTCATGCGTGTGCATCTTAGGCTACATGTAGTTGACCTGGGAGGTTGCCAAAAGATTCCAGGCCAGGCGCCTGTTTCCACTATCTGGCAGCCAGCGGAAGCACTATAGTGCCTAATCTCGCAGCAGAATAGGCGACAACTTTTAGTGTAGGAACCTGCTAAGAGGACTATCAACTTCCCCAACCCACATACCGCTATCCCATATGCTCCCTGCATTCTTTTTTGCCCAAGCACAACGACCTGTCATATGTAGAGTCCCACTGACACCGAGCCGCAGCTGTACGGGCCGGATTTGGTCGCTCTTCGAGGAATAGTACAGGCACGACACCGCCACCAGTCCGACGGAGAGCCACCGAACGAGGCGCGGTCCAAAATAACGGCTCGGGTTACTGAAGAATCCATCGAGAGTGCCGGCATGGCGCGTGCTGAGATGACCTCAGCTCGGATGGTAGCTGTTCTGACCATGGTATGCAAGATGGAATCCTACGGTACGCGGTACTGGTCTGTTTAATAACCAAGTGTATAGTAACGCATTGGAGCTTATAATGCTTTCTGGTTGATCGCTTCCATGATGCTTTCAGTCTTCTCCCGGCACCCCTCCTCCTTCTTTGGTCGGTGTCATACTTGGATTCCGTTCTTCGTACGAGCACTGTCCCGTCCCAGGAATACCCGCTCGGCTGGCTCTATCCCAGACCTGCCCATATTTGTGCAAGAAGGCATTGACTCGTACGAGTACGTGCGAGTACAAAGTCCGTGCTCGTGGCATATCTAACCACCTTAGAGCCTTGCGGGTTTCTGCGCGCTGGCAACAAGCGAGTCCGCCAAGGCGTTGCTGTGCAGGACGAACGCCCAGGTTCAGGGCCTTTTGAAACCGATTGGCGTGCTCGTAAAAGGCTTGGTATATGAGCGAAATCCTCCTTGAAAGCACATGAAAGAAAGCCTCTCTCTGCCTTCAGACCATGCGGCCTGTGCCTGCATGGCTGCGGGGGCATGCGATGGCTGCATTTGTCGCCCAAGTGTTTTCGTACATGGTCTACTCTACACACCCGCCCACTAATATGCAGCACGCTTGCATATAGCAACAAGAAACGCTACAGCGCTGCAGTTGTAGCAGGAATCAATACTTTCATCATTAATCGTTAGCGTCTCGATATCTAACAGCTCATTTGCCAAGCGCTGGCAGCAGATACAGCGCCGCTATCCAAAGGCACCATAATTTCCACACCACTTCGTCCCACCACTGGCCTCGCTTCTGCAGCGCAAGCACTGACATGGCGCCTCCGAGGCTTGTCGAGACCGCCCATCCCCACGCCGACGCATCCCAGAAGAGCGGACACGCCACTGCCCAGAGCATGACCATGGCGGATAGGGACAACCGTGCTGCTGTCTCGCCATACAGCAGGGGCACGGTTAGGCGTCCGCGTGCCTTGTCGCCTTCAATGTCTGGCAGATCCTGCGCATGAACCGTTGTCATTATTATGGCTCCAGTTACCAAGATCCAGGTGAAGCCTCGGGGTGATAATTCGCCGCCTGACAATGCCGCCAACGCACCCCAACTGAAGCACATGAGGCCGCTTGCATTGAGGGCATTTCGTATCCAAATGCCGCTGTTGCTGCCATCCAGGTCGTTGTACATCCATATAAAGAGCATTAGGGTGACGCTGGCTGTGTAGCCGCCCAAGACCAGGCTCGACCCTACGGCGACTATAATAGCAACAATGAGCCAATCCCGTGCTTGGTCTGCCGTTAGACGATGAGAGGGCAGCGGCCTCCATGGCTTGTTGACTGTGTCCTCGATAATGGATCCCTCGAGGCGTTGGTTCGCCAAATCTTCCACCAGGAGGTTCAGCCAGATCCACGCAAGCATCAATGGCAAACGGGAGGCCAGTTGCCAGGCCCGTGTAGACACATCTTCACTCAGATCTGCTGTGGTTAACCTCGCTGTCGACAACGCCGCTGTAATGGCGAATATGCTCTGAGGAAAGATGACGGTTTTGAAATCGCTTTTGGTGAAGAGAAATAGAGTCTTTAGGTGATAGAGCGGGGATCGTCTCTGTATCGGAATGGGAGAGTGTTAGCAGCTACCCCCCATTATACAAACTCTCAATGAAGCGTACACAGAGAGCCTATGATCACCACATTCTAATTCTTACTTACCGGTTGGTCGAGAGCGATAGTCGAACTAGGGGCCACGACCCCCTTTTCCAAAAGCGTATAGCCATCTATGGACTGCATCTTGGAAAGTAACTATGGGTAGCTCACCCGAAAATGAAACGGACGTAAGGGGAATAAGGGACACAATAAGAGGCAATGCTTCATCACAATGGAGCCGTTTCACCTCTGGACAAGAGAAGAAGAGGACTTGTCCTGACTTTATATAATCGGCGAACCAGTGTACGTTGGTGCTGCAACAGCTCCTCTACTCTCTAGCACTGTCTAAGGACACGAAATAGGACATTGCACCACTTTTGGGCATGGCCCAAGTTCTTGCAAGGTTAGGATCCATGGCATCTGGAGCAGTTCGCCGTCTTGGACCCCCGACATCCAAATGTACATAGTACGTTTTGAGTGGGGGAGTTGTGAATTGACGGCGATCCCACGACTCCGGCTCACCCCAAGCCGTGAATCACGAATGCAGCCCCCATTCCAGAATAGCGGAAGATGGCAACTCTCGGTAAAATTCCACTTGATTCTGGAATGAAAAAAGCTTTTACCCGACCTTCGTCCCAGATACCAGAATCATCATCCAGCAGACCCATTGCACTGTACAGTATATGCACAGGCGTTGCTGCAGCTAGCATCCATGGTGTTGTGGGCCTTACTAACTTACGAATGCGACCTTAACCATAAAACATACCCCCCTCCCCCTGTCAGATGTTTGGTGTCAGATGCAGAGCAACGCTTAACGTGTTATCCCATGATTCCTTCTCCCAACTTTGTACGCAAATCTTGAGTTCGCCTTAACATGTTATGTGATAGTTCTTCCCGCCAATTTTGTATACAAATATTGGGTTCGCCAGCCTCTCTCTTCTTATTATCCTCGAGCTCTGTCGGTCTTTTTCTGTCAGTTCTTGATCTCTTGTCTTTAGCTTTTATTCGAAACCCTTTCTATCCAAGTCAACGCTGCCTTGACACCTAGCCTCTTCTTACTAATCTAATACCACGACCACCCTTGGCATTATCAACTTTCATAGTGTCCACTACATCTCCTTGAACCAAGGCAAGGGTTGGCCATGGCCTTCCACGTTGTGCCCGCTTGTATCTTTGCAAGCGGCTTTCTAGCGCTGGCCATATTGTCCTACTTTCACTTACAGCAGCCTCAAAGTCTTCTTTGGTATTCACAAACCGGCGTTCTCCTACTCGTCGAATGGGTAAGTAACAAGGGCCTAGTTAAATATTTCACGCATTCTGGTGGAATACCTAGGAATATAGAATCCACCCCGCGTATGCAAGCAGCATATTTTGCCGTGTATACGGCAGCATTCCGTCATATCCACACACAGCACTGCTCTATCTCCTGCACGCACTACATCCCTCTACTGCACACTCAGTTATCATTATGAGCTGTCATACGGGGCATTTGGTACCTGATACGCTGTATCATCATATTGCGGTGTAAAGGAGGCTAGCACGCTAACGTATTACTGCCCATAGATTCTCTCAAACCTGGTTTACAGGCTTGCCTTCCACCCCCTTTCTAAGTACCCAGGACCGCTGTTCGCGGCCCTTAGCGACTGGTACACTGTTTACTGGATCGCTGAGGGTGGTCGCCATCTTGAGTTTGATAAACAGCACAAGAAGTACGGTGAGTTTGGTTCATGCATATGTGTTCTCCATCATGCCTCGCAGCGCAGCAGACGAAAGTGGCTCCTGCTGTCCAGGGGGGCCCTCATATTGCCCTCATTCCAACACCTTGGTTGTTGGTGGCATGGTTACTTGTATTTGGTGATATAATGTAAAGCTAACCAATAAATGCTACCCCAGGGAAATTTGTTAGATTCGGGCCCAACCGTTTATCTATCAATTCTGCACAGGCGTCTCGCGACCTGCATAATGTGAACTCCAACACATTCAAGGCCGATGCATACAGCTCTTTCAAACGCTTCTTTGGGGCAGAAATGTCTCTCACAACGGTAGACCACAAAGCACATGCCTTCCGGCGTCGAGTCAACATGACAGCCATCACACCTACCGCAGTGAAAGAATTCGAGGACCAAGTTACGCCTCACGTCGATGAATTCATTGACATCATCAGCGAAGGTGTAGGGAGCAAAAAAGAAGGTGAACATGGTTGGAGCTCGGGTAAAGATATGTGTTTTTACGTATCTTTCTGTATTGCCGATATCATGGGCTCTATGACTTTTGGTCGAACATGGAATGTCCAGAGAGATCCAAAGTATCGACATTTCGTAAAAGATTTGCCTAATGGGGTTGCCGGTATCCATTTGGTAAGTTGAAGTTGCACTCCTTTCTTCTTCAATCTGCGGCTCCCAGCTCCACCCTCAGCATCGTTTGACGACTAACCTCTGTTGCCATCCAAGGTTGGTCACATGCAATCATTATTCTTCTGCAACTTGCATAAGCTCTTATTCAAGCAGCTCATTGTTGGCGTGGGAAACCTGATGTCTGTAAGCCGATCATTCGCTTTGTGGCGCCTGGAGCAGACTTCTATGCCATATAGAGACATTTGGGCGGCGCTTCTCGCATCGCGCGATCCTAAAACCGGAGAGTCGTTTTCTACTGAAGAACTAATATCAGAAGCAAGTCTCTTCATAATTGGTGGTACAGACGGTATGATAACCGCAACAACGTCGACCTTATTCTACCTCACACATAACCCACGCACGCTCGAACGCCTAACACGTGAGATTCGTGAGGCATTCCCCTTGTCCCCCGAAGATATTGGAAAGAAAGCATCAGAAATCAAGTGCCCCATTCGGTTTGCTTCTGCAGAACTGCAGAGCGTTAAATACTTGCCCGCCTGTATCGATGAGGCCATGCGTCTCTCACCCCCTGTCCCAAGCATCTTACCACGTGTTGTTGGTCCAGGGGGGATGGAGGTAGACGGCGAATACTTCCCTGCTGGTGTCAACTTGGGTATTCCGCACTACTGCATGCACCACAGCGAAGAGAATTTCGCCCAGCCTTTGACCTACGCACCCGAACGCTGGTTCCATGAAGAACGCGAAAGAGGGCTTAAAGACGGTTCTGTGCCTGTGTCAGGCAAAGAGTCCGTCAAGATGCAGCCCGCAGTGGGTCTGGCGCATGGGTTTACTCCGTTTGGTGCTGGTCGTAGTGGATGCATCGGGAAACATCTTGCCTACCAGGAAATGTCCATCGTTTTGGCTCGTCTCATCTGGCTCTTTGACATTCGTTTGGACCCCAGCAGCAACTTGGGAGAAGGTGTAGGAGACGCTAAAGAAGGGCGAGAGTGCAGGAGCGAATTTCAGCTGTATGATCGCTTTGTCAGTTCACAAAACGGGCCCATGCTGCAATTTCGTTATCGGGAGGAGTTGGCTGCATAAGCAGGGGATATCAAGGATCGTAGCTATTTTCAAGTGGTTTTTTGTTTCGTCACATTTTCTTTTTCTCCGGAAATGTTAAGGATGCGAACAGGATTGGATGGGAGAAACGTTGGCCGGCATGCCAGCACATGTCATTTCACATGTATGCAAGTTGGGCCAAGGGAGGAAAAAAGATCACTGGTCAACTGGGCGTAGTCTAGGTAGATAGCATTAGTGCTAGAATCATAGAGCATCGTGCTACTACGTTGATCAATTACCAATGAGCCTTGGATACTTGACATTTCTAAGCGATATGTTACTACAAGGGACTCGTATATGACAAAAGGCAACTAGTGTTATTCCCAGATTCTAATAGGTATTTCGCTGACCGCCTGACTCGCCTGCGTAACTCAGTTTGATCGACGTGCCGTTTCAAGCTAATCTTCAGCTTTCAGGGCCCTTACCTTTTACTTTCCCATTTTGTAACTTCGATGGGAAAAGTACCTAAGGCACGCGGTGTGGTGCAGCTTATAAATTCACGCGGCTCGTAAATATGGAGCATCGACGTTTTCTTTGCTGCTTCGGCAGAATTCCCCCTTTCTGCATAGACACAGTACGAAGTACATGTACAGTATTAATAGGCGTATCTCTCCTGAGAGTACGGAGTAATCATTCAGACAACCAACGTCCTACTGTATACAAGAGCTCCATAAAAGTCGCAGCAGGGTTCGCACTGGCCAAGCAAGTCAAGTCTATTGGTACGACAGATTCCTCACTCTGCCTTTGAGCTTTGCTGGGTAGTACTGGTATTCCGCATCTTACACCCCCCTGGGAGCAGTGATGCAACGTGATCATTTAAAAGTTTCCTTGTTGATCGTTGTTGGATGCCAGCTTTTACTTATCAGGAAGGGGGTGGATAAAGAAGTTCCGGAAAATGCAACGCTATCAGTCGGGTGGTGATGGGTTTAACATGGAATCCCGGAATGTGAGAGACGATGTAATTGACGAGACGATTGACAATTTGCTACCGGGTGTACGGAAATGCAGTTTCGTCTCGTTAAATGTTTGTGTAGAAATGTGGAAACTGTTTGTGATGAGTCGACTCATGTTGAGAGCTAATTATGCATGTTGGTCCCGAGAGGCTGATTGCGGTGTACATTTGCGGTTGGACAGAGAGGAGAAAATCTCGCGGGCGACGGTAACCGGCGGGCCCGGAGAGTTTAAAAAAAAAAAAAAACAAGCAACCGAGGAAAAGAATCAGTGGGATTGCGCGGAGATCTCGAGGCTCCGAGCCGGCATGTCTAGATGGAGAACGCGAGAAGGATTTTAGGATAAAACAGGGCAAAATACGGTACCGAGGAAGGGGGAAAAGGTACCAGCCACTAATGTCCAATGGGGGTTTCCAGGAATCGCTGAGCTGCTGTGGGGGGTCAGTGACAGGGGTGGTGGCTACATGCAATACTATTTGGGACGATACATGGAGTAGGACCCGTCTCTTGATCTTTGGTTGGTACGGAGTGCGGAATGCTGAGATATAGAATGGCGCCACTTTTGGTAGGCCGACGGATGCTTCTGGTTTTCGGGTGTCATGAAACTGAGAACGACTCGCACCGTATATCCTGCTGAGTGAGTTCTGCAGTGACACGACCAGTGACTGAACCCGTACGTGTAAGCGGAGTTGGAAAGGCCAATGGATTCATCGTGAGACGCTGAATACGGAGAGAATGCAGTATGATGGGATGGCTAGTGATTGGTGGCTGGCCCTAGCCTCTGGTACAAGAGTGATACGCCTTGCTGTACGGTCGGAGGAGAGTGTCTACTACTAGCTGTTGATGCCCCTGGTCAGATGGCGACAGACTCTATGTAATATTACTACTGGTATTAAACTGCGACTAGGCGATATCCCCATACTGTATTACTGAGGACTTGGTACTCCTTGAAACGTCATATACTTGCTTACTCGAACTGCCAGAGGATAATACCCTGGAGGTGTGATCATCAAATGAATGAATTGATACAGATAGCGGCGGTATGTAGTATAATTATACTATGGGATACTTAATTACGAGTCTGGCTGTAGCAAAGTATGTTATAAATATTTGCGTCAAATGTGATGCGAAATTTTAGAATGAGTATCTGGAGCTGGCCTCTGTTGACTCTACCCTTAAAGAGAAGGAAGAAATCGATTACATGGTCATAGAGGTCAGCTGATTCGACTTCATCCATGGAAATACAGGGGAGAGGTAAGTTATCGGACTTTGCAGAGTAGGGTTTACTTTCGGAGTTACTAATACCTAGTAAGATTTACTCAAATGAATTCTCCAATGTAGTGCGTGGGAACTTACTGTATGCTAATGGCGTACTTCTCCAGTATTTATAACACCCATGGCGAGCCTACCCGTTAGCCACCTGTTTTCAGGCCCGTCTGTGTATAGTCGATTGGCGTGCCGATAAATTAAACAGGGATCTAATCAAGTTTATCTTATATCCACGTTTATAAAATTTCGCTGGGCCATCAAAAGACATTCAACTCTAGCTTGGAGCTCTACCCATTTCCACCTGTTCGGTGGTTTCAGAGTTACCTGTAGTTGTTCAGAGGGCAAGGGTATATCTATAATCCGACCAAATAATTTCCAAATCTTGGCTTCATAAACTAGAATATACAACACCAGGAGATGCGGTAGCTTAATTCCCTACTCTTGGAAACGCTATGCGGCAGTAGGATTAAACAAGTCTCGCCCGGTTTGTGAGTTGGCGCTCAACTTGAAGCATCCATCATAAGCTACGTTTCCGATACTCATGGAGTAGGTGCAAGTAGTTTCTTATGTCTCTTAAATAAATGCTTAATTCTCCGCCTATGGTGCCAAGGCCGAGTTTTTCTAAATTTAAGAGCGTGGATGAGCCTCATGTGAATTAGACTCAACGAATAGCTTCTATGGAGCGCGCGCAGTAATATTTGAGCAGCAATTTTTAAACTTGGGGGGGGGGGGGGGGGGGGGGGAATAATAATAATAATAAAACAGTACACTTTCCATGCCAATTGAAACCCCAATATTTTATTACACAATTATTTTCGTCTAAGTCACGGACTGGAATCCCGCGTGGGAATATTTCCGAAGCCCGCAGTTCGTCACAATGCCATAGAGTCCACAGCAGGAGAACACCCTGTACCTGAATAACTCCCATCTACACCTATTCACGAGTATATAACCCTTATTCCTAAATACAAGTATTGCATAGGGAATTTCTTCAACGCTGACCCACCAGAACTGTCTCAAGCAGCCAACTGTACCAGCAGTCTGTAACAATACACGGGGGGCAAAATCCAGAAATATGAAGAGCCCAAGTAGTTCGCCATCTGCGTCGATTACAATTTTTTTCGGCAATTGTTTGCGTCGCTCTGTTGTTAACACACGATTAATGTTATTTTACCCAGAGTTTATGAGCTGCCTCTGCCAAGCATCACCTTAATTAATAGCCTCTCGGCCGAGAATGCGACTGTGGTACAATGGAGCTGAATCCAAAAAAAAAAAAAAAAAAAAAAAAAAAAAAAAAAAAACACTTCGTTTTTGCTCGTATGGGACAGTGTAGTGCGTCCGCTAGACTTGAGCTACGCCGCTTGTGAACATGTTTCGCCTTGCAACGTATAATCGTCTGGCGATTTGCTGTAATGAAATGCTTGATCCCCTGTGTTCCGGCAAAAGCTGTGATCTGGGATAACATATCTCTAGATTCGAGTAAAACTGGCATGAAGCTGCAAAAAGTATTGACGGGCTCCTCTCTTAGCTTCTGAGCGGTGCAAGTGCGTGCATAGTAGGTTTCCAAAACATAGACATAGTCACGTTTCCGCCAACGGTTTGCGTTGCTCTTAAGGGTCAAACAGTCACGACAACCAGATTTAATAGATATGATGAAGGAATATGTAGTCCCATGATGAGTACCATGAGGCTATTAGATGAAACAAATAGAGACATGTGAACAAGAGGACAAACTAGATGATCCAGAGATCTAATTGGGTTTGGCCATTTGAGCAGGAGTTCCCGAGTCAGTGCGTCTTATCTATGGAATGCCTTTGCTCCCAGTTTTGGCGTAACCTTCAGCTAGAGCAAAGAAAGATTGGATATCTAATATCAGGTTCGCCGACCTAGAATACCGCATAAGCTGGCCGTCTGATGTGCACGTCGTACGCCGCTGCAAACGCGCTCCACTTTAAGACAAGAGTGCTCATGCAGTGTAGCAACGACTGTTAGTCGACCGACAACCCCTGCTCTATGTTCTCTCAAATGGACATGCCAAACTTTTAACAAGTTAAAAAAAGAGAGAGAGAGAGAGAATGAAACGTGATGATATGTTTATGAAAAGCGAAATTACGTGCGCAAGTATACAAGCTATTTGGGTAACGGGCTGTGAAGCGCGGCTTAAAAAAAAAAACTGCCTGTGTAGAAAGGAGCTTTGTGTTCAAAGAGAAAAGCCATCACGTATTAGGGATTTGTGATACTGATAACAATGGTTTGCTGGTTGGTAAAAAAAGTGACTTTGGCGATATTGGCGTGGTGACTTTACCCCCAGTGAAGCTGAGAAAGATTGTATAAACCTGCAATCTCAGGCGCGTTTGCGTCTTTCCGTATCTACATGCGTACCCTCTTAGTTCGCTATCTGTTACTCTATTCCATCTTCATTGTGGCGCTCTGTATCTCGCATGTATCACAACACCAGCACTCAATTGCTTGACTTCACAGCTGGTTGAAGTTGGAAATTTGAGTGGAAGCGAAATGACCTGCTAGAAAAGAGACGTTCAGTTTGAGGTGCAAATCTTCATAATCTTTTACTCCACAGACATCATCACAAGCAAGTCTTCGTGGCGCAGTTGGCTAGCGCGTCAGTCTCATATTCTCCATAAATATGATCCAAATCTCCAGTTTGGGCCATCTGAAGGTCGTGAGTTCGAGCCTCACCGAGGACATCCTTTTTTTTTTCTTTCAGCTCAGTCTTGAAACAGACCGTAAAATATCATTTTTTTTTGTTACCTAATTTATTAAAGAAACACTTGTAAACACAAAGACAGTAAACAAACCATCCTATGCCCTCCACCGCTAGTCCGTTTCATCAACGCGACAGTCTTCTTTGTCGCAATCATTCTCATGTACTTGCAGAGTGTTGGCTAGAGCTCTTGATCGGAGGAATAACTAGTATCATGTCTATTCTTTGATAGCCAGTCACGGAGAAGTCTTTGAGATGGCATCTCCCTCGAGGTAGTGTAGTCCCTTTGAGGTCCTAACGTTGGCCGCCGCAGCAACTGGAATTTGTCTTCGTCACGAAAGACTATCAGCGAGTAGTACACCCCGAAACATCTGTTTCCTACTATATCTAATTTTAGTAAACGTTTACTCATTGATCGGAGTGTGGGCTTTGCGGGCCTTGCCAATCCATATTTGCAATATTGGACAACACAATTATAAGATTCTCATCGAATACAGAGGCCAATTTTGACCAAGATGAACATTAGCCATCACTTACGTTCTTGGATGACGAAGAACCGCCGGTCAACCTTCGGGCCATGTTCTTTGCCTTGTTCGTAAGGGTAGGTTGAGATCTCTTGAAGCACTTTTCGCACGGCTCTTCCTCTACGTAGTCTCTTGCCTCCGTAAACTCGCCACACTGTTCGCCCTTTTTACCCTTTTCACAGGGCACCCTCAGTGTTTGCAAGCGCTTTTCGCACACGGGGCAAAAGCAACCGATGTAGCTACACATTGTTAATTCGAAGGTAGGTCAAATTGTAGATGTATCGCAATTGTGCTGATGAGGAGGTAGGTAGAGTCGTGGTTCCAATGAAGCTTTTCCATTGAACAAAAAACGATGGGAGAACCTCATTTATACATCCTACTTTTCAACAGTTATTCCGGCTGTAATGAAACAAAGGTTCAGTGGCTTTGTGAATTGATGTTCACTCGTAGTGTAACTAAGAGTTCACAATCTTTGTTGTTTGTTCGTCGTGATTCACCTATGATGTATCCACTTCCTGGCCAAGAAGCGGCTTGATGCAATTAAATTGTTCCTGCTAATAGCAGTTACATTACAGGAAGATTTTCAGTTTACGATCATGTTACGGTGAAGTGAATGGCCTATCTCCTTGACAAATATCGCACCAGATAGTCATCATAGCATCTTGAGTCGGTGGGTAATGGTAATTGTTACTCACAAGGGAGATAATAAACCTGAAAAGTAAAAGATTCCCATTATTATTCACTCTTTGTGACCAAACGTCTGGCAAGCTGAATCGCAGGTGTTAAGAACTACGATAGCATGTAAATAGCAAGAGCTGAGCCCCATTCATGGACAAATTTTCATGCTGGTAGACTTTTTCAAGCCTCGTCTACTCGTCCTTTTGTAGAATTTATTCGTAGCAAGCTTGAGTTCCTATCGTGTATATAAGTAATGGATGGTGCTTTTGTGCTATTATTGCAAGGCACTCGCCTGGTTGCCTGCGATATATCAGGTCATTATCTCCATAGAGTGCCTGAAACTCCAATCTGCGTGTAAATGCTCTGCTCAAGGGGGACTGATTTCTTTGTTTTTTTTGCTGCAGTCGTGGGAGTTCTTCTAACGATCTTATTTTTAACGTCTATTATTAAATTGTCAAGAAATTATTGAACTTTAGCATGTCATACTTCAAGAGATGGCATATTACACCTTTGTTGCGATCATATTGAGCTATATTACCGATAACCTCCAATGATCGTTTGTTCAGCTTGCTTCCATATTGAAATATGTTGAGGGTCCTGCTCGTTTCCCTCGTCTTAGCATTTTGCCTCCATTCTAAGTCTTGTCCGCTACGATTCATAGTTACGCGTAAGAAATATCTCATATCTGCCAATTACTATATTCTTTTTCGTCTTTCTACTAATACGACGAGGAAGAATTGCCTCCAGCGGTTTTCGTTTTGCACGTATATTACAGCTTCTATTACCGCTCACTTTTGCGACTCCAATATGGGAAAGCGCTCTGGTGCCTCCGGTGTGAGCCAGCGTGTTTAACTTCCTACCTCAGTCGCAGCCACATATATAGACTTTTCAATGGGCATTGGGCGTATATGTTAGCAAGCGTTTAATTACAGTGTCCAGATTATGATAACCCGCTAAAAAAATTACAAAGTCTTTCTCGAGATTGAAAACGTGAAGATATGAGTGGAGGCCCGAAAGGTTATATACAGAGTTATATACCCTGATAGGCAACCAGAAGCACCTAGTATTATATACATCATTCCTCTTAGTATTTCCTCAACAGTTATATTTGGGAGAAGATGCTGGCTGTTTTGTTGTAATGTTGAATCGTTATCATGGGTAGCATATATTTTTTTTTCCCCCAAGGAGAAGTCCTTCATATGAATAGTTCATAGACGAACACCAAATGGTATGTAAGTTGATTGAGAGTGCCTACGCATGTGCTCATCCGCACAGCATTGATTCATCTCTTCGATTCTATTAACTTGTATACGGAGTACAAATACTGTAAGTATCTGGCTTGGAAGGCTGAGAGAGCGGCGTTTAATCATCAGCCACCTATGTCTAAGGCTCAAGCGCAATTAAGCGAGAAAATGGCGTGACCATACTTAATCTACTAGGGAGGAAATGAGGCGTGATATGATCCAGATTCTGTAAGGGATACATGTGGATATACTACTAATGGACAATGAACGAACACACCCAAGCTACTCGCCACTATTACAGTCGACAGAGATCTACTGAACACTACAAAATGCGGTTACTTCCTTGGGTATAGATATAAATGATCAGAACTATGCACCATATCAGAGCATAGATTGAGTTCGCAATGATGATCATTTAATACTTGTCCACCATCAGCGAAATCCTCTCTAGAGAAATTTGCCTTTGTGATGTTATTAGTAAAACACATGTCGTGACTTGAAAAATGGTGCCGATACATTGGAGTACAGTATCTCATCGTGGCTGATTCCTCGTCAGCTTTTGAATACAGTTTCCTATCTCACTCTCTAATTCTTACAGCTTATAATAATAGCTTACGTTCTGTAACATATTACTCTATTTTCAGGATATTGAGTGTTGATTAATCAGCACTCGAGTTAAACAAGGGTAACCCCATCTCAAGGATCAGGGTTTTGTATACACTCTTCTACGCCAGCCTTAGCATAAGTACTCACACATACATAAAAGTCTTTTCACAGTAATTATAGTACAGATTTGTTACACGTACGCAGGTACACGAACAATCCATGGGGCCCAATGCTAAGCGCCCGTAAAGCAGTTCATTTTTAACATTCAATACCAAGATTCAGTTCAACTCTCCGCATTGCAGTTGTGAAGATACGCACACGCCTCCGGGCAGGAGCGCAGAACCAAGACCAATTTGTATTTTTCTTAGCCCATGCGAGAGTATCTAAGTCTAAAATAATGAACACGGCGATTAATGATACTTCGTCCACTTAGTATGGATGGAGCCTGGAATACTTCATGTATACATCTAGGGGCCAGCCGATATGGCTTAATTATTTAGAGTACATGTATCCTTCTGCTCTCCCTTTTTTTCTTTTTTTTTTTTCTTTTTTTTGCAAAATACGTCTTCTATTCCAAAATCCAGCGCCTTGAGGTTTGTTGCTAGCTGTTTTTATCATGCCACTAAGCAGTCCAACCGCGGCATTCATGCATCGGAGTCCATCAATACTAGCTCGATGTCTTGTGCTGAGACATGCTTGAAAGGCGGTCTATTAAAGCCGGTCTATTAAAGCCGTGCTTGCCTAGGGCAATTTAAAACGATGTGGCTAGCTGAAACATAAGACTCCAGGATCGAGTCCGGCTTGGGGCCTGCAGCATGGCCATTATCTTATATTTTAACCAAAAAACAGCTATGCCTTGAATCTACCATTCACACTGACAATCATTACGATGCCGTCTTAATATTATATGTGCGAGAGTGGTTACCCGAGATATTATGATAGGTAATCGCGATCTCATCCTATCTCAAAGTACTTGCTATCCAGGGAGACAGAGATTTCTTCGCCTGAATCACCCCATAAAATAGATTGGTATGCAAATCCGGCACCGCCAAGGACGTTTCTAACGTAATAAGTCCTGTCAGACAAGTGGCCGGTGTCCTAAACAGGCAAGGATGGTACCTCTTATAGCTTTAAAATTAGTGTAGTGGGGAATTTTCAGCCCCAAATCCACTTATAGGTGCTTGTGCCATACATGTGGAGGCGATCTTGGTCCGGGCCGGATAGGGGTCCCTTGCCATCGTTGCCTCACAGTGGCCCAAGAGAACCAGAGCACTATAATCACAAGCGATGGGAAGGACTGTTGTGGCGGCATCCTCTCCTTTTGCTTGCATTGCTATGCTTGGGAGAGGAAACCTGCACATCAGTCTGCTGTATTTGAGATACCTAAGAGTCCTGGCCGCCATTTCTGCTACTCTTGTAGGTCTCTCTAGGGAAGTCATATTCTTAAGGCCTGATTCTGGCTGGTGGCCATTGCAAGCAAAGCAGGGAGTGTAAGATGCTAGGGTAACGCGATACATCTATATGCGCACGAAACACGTATTCGTAAATGTTACCCTGAAATTACGTGAAACCTGCTTTTCACCGCTCCTGCGTATATATCGCAACATGCCAAGCTTCAAATGAGTCCATGGTGCTCATAGAGTTGGTGGTGCTACAGCGTGCAGACGCGGACGGGCTGCGAGGAGTCGTGTACAACATTGAAACTACATGTACCAAATTGATATTGCGAGAGGAGCAGTAGGGTCATGCGCGGTGTCAGTGTTTAGCCGTTGTTGGTATTAAAAGAAATGTTTGGGCATCCATACATAATTCGTGAACTCGAGCTTCTTACAGCATATAATTCGCTGGCCAACGATGTGGCATGAGGATTCTAAGTGACCCTCATCAATACCCCAACACAATGCAGACGGAGCATATGTATATAATGTATACGTATATTATATTACATTTGCGAACATATAGACGTAAAAATGTACCCTGCAATACATTACTGCTTCTAAAACAAGATTAATTGCATAATAGGGTAGCTTTCGTGACACCACGATAGCCTCTGAATTGTGGCGGCCACCTCAGCCATACAGCAGCAATACTGGGTAAAATGTCCAAATTGGTGCAACTCAGATTAATAAAGGTGCTGAGCCAATCGCACACCTCTTCTCACCAATTTTCCGATATTTCCCCTACCTCTCGTTTTCTAACCCTGCCGCTTTGTGGTGAGGCGCGTCCATTTTGCTAGCGATCATCTAGTATTAGTGGCCGACACGCGAGACATCAGGATAGGGGGACCCTGTGCGATTTATTTTAGTGACATTTGGCATCTGGTCATGTATCATCCTACGGAGGGTTTTTTGCTTTTGGCGCAAGGGCGAAGCCGCCGTCTCGCCTGCTAGCCCAGGCAGACGGTAATCGCTGGTTGATCTAACCTTGTCACGCCTGGTCAGTGGGGAATCCTGACCAATACGGTTCTGCTTGTGCATAGGACGAGTACTTTATTCTTCCATATGCCTGACCAAATTGCGCTGCATATAAGACATTACAAGACACCTAGTTGCCACCGCTACAGCTGACCCTAGCTTAGAATTCATTCCTTGCATTAATAATGTATGGGCTCTCCTGTGTTTGCTGATCTTTCGGTCTACCATTGGCGTGAACACTCCGTTGGTTCTCAAACAAGTGGTGTGCCCCACAAATGTAGCCCTGGTTTAATGATCCGTAAATCTATAAAGTACTAATCTTGGTATTCATGGCCGGGAGGAACCGATGCCGTAGCTATACACCTTCGGCCATGGGAGGAGCAGCGTAATCGCTACCGACACCCCTACTGGTACGAGTATGTATTCAATCATACTCGTGATACGTAACAAGTACCTTGTGTCTTATCTTAGTAATATCTGATATGCTAATATACCAGCCGGCGTCTGCAATTATCGCCTTATAATAGTAGTTTGGTGGACTGTTACTTCTCTTAATGTTGTCTCTCTTAATCGAGCTTCTCGTTTGATCGACGACTACGTAGATGTGCTGCGTTGAAGCACTTTGCTGATACTCGACCGAGGAATTTTCACATACTAATTAATGTCTTTGTCCGGATAGATCTGTCTCTCATTTTGAAGACTCTTGATCTCTTTTTGAGACCTACGCTTCCCATATATTTAATTCTTAATATCTATCCATACAAAGAAACCAACCAAAAAAAAGAGAGGGTGATTCTCGGATACAAGGTGCGTCTAAAAAAATCGAGTCGCCTTCAATAGACTAATCGATCTCAAGAACAGTTAGCTCTAACTATTAGAGTGGCATCGAAGTAACCGACGATATCATAGACCAGAAGGAAAAGAAAAAAGATATTGTGTATACAGGTTAAAAAATGGCGCCGAAGACTGCATATAATAATGAGGACCAACCTCAAACTCCAATTGCCATTTGTGGCATCAGCACTCGTCTCCCCGGAGGTATACGCCACGCCGACCAACTCTGGGAGTCAATCTCCAACGACCGTGGCTCTTATGGCCCGGTACGCTTGGATGGTTACGAGGATAGCCACGTTTTGAAGAATGGTCCGCGCTCATTTGATGCCTCGCTCTTTTCCATGACCGATGAAGAAGCCAAGAGCTGCAGTCCGCAGCAGCAGAAGCTCTTGGAAGTGACTCGCGAGTGTTTTGAAGATGCGTGTGAGATTAATTACCGGGGCAAGGATGCTTGCGTGGGCTGCTTTGTTGGCACCTCCAACGAGGATGATGCCTCGGTGGTTTCATCAAAGAACGATTTGAAAGGCCCAAGGTTCGTTTCCAAAAGCATCGAAATTTGACAAAAATTTCACCGAAGCTGCGTGGCTCGTTTGCTAACATGATATCTTTATTAGTATGATAATCAAGTCGCCTCTTGTGGCCTTGCATGAGGCTTGTTGTGCAGTTCGATCTGGAGATGCCAAGTCTGCAATTGTCGTGGCATCTAGCGTGATGCTAGGTTCAAAAGATGACGCTGAAAAGTATGAGGTGTCCGCTGTATATATCAAGACGCTGCCTGATGCCATTCGCGACGGCCACCCAATCCGTGCCGTAGTTCGCGCGTCCACTGCAGCAAGCGTGGTGGCTGCTTTTGATGAAGACTCTGCGGCTAAAGTATTTGAGAAGTTGATTCGTAACGCTTATGTCGCCGCGGGCTTGGAACCCCGTTCGACGCTTCTCGTTCAAGTAAGTAAACACATTTCTTCACAAATTTAAAAACTAAAACCCAGGCATTCGAACCAAAACTCAATCCTGTACTAATCTGGCCGGCTGATAACCAGTGCGATGGCGTCAATGACCACATGAAAGATTCGAGCGAAATGTCTGCTATTAGCAGCGCTTTTGGCGACAATGGAATTTATCTCGGTGAAGGTGCTCCTGGCCTTATGAGTGTTATCAAGGCTGTGCTCACCCTGGAGAACCGAATTATTCCTCCAACCGCTGCCCCTAGTAAGTTTAGTGTTATTAAGAAAACTTGAGATTGATACACTAACGGTCAAATAGTTTCCATTGCTCAGAAAAACCTCATTGTGGCTGCAAACCCTACTCCTTTTGCATCTAGCCATGCTGAAAGAATTAGTATTAATTCCGCTGGCGCTGAGGGATACAGCGCGCACGTTATCATTGACTCTTATCCTAAATATTCTTCGTGTAAATCCAGTTCTCAGCCGGAACTCGTTCTCTTCTCTGCACATAATTCATCTTCTTTGGCTAAGCAAATAGAACTCCACCGCGAGTATGCTCAGGCGCATCCAAACAATGCGGCTGATATGGCATACACACGTGCCATGCGGCGCGAAGCTCTGGAATTTAAGGCATTTTCCATTTTGTCTAATTCTTCTTTTAGTAATATTTCGAATTTTGTCAAGTCTTCTGCGAAGACTTTGTCCATTGCTATGATCTTTAATGGCCAGGGTGCTCAATGGGCAGGCATGGGCAGAGACCTCATCTTGAGCAATCCGGATTTCAAGAAGGATATTGAGAAGATGGATAATGTTTTGCAAGGATTGAAGCTACCAGCCACCTGGTCAATTGAAGAGGAGCTTCTCCGAGATGCTACCGATACCGAAAACCGGGTTAATTCATCCCAACTATCATATCCCCTCAGTACAGCGCTTCAGATTGCCCTGGTCAACCATTTCGAACGACTTGGAGTTGTCCCGAAAGCAGTTGTTGGCCATTCTAGTGGTGAAATCGCTGCAGCTTATGCTTCGGGTTTTCTCTCTTTGAAAGATGCCATCACCATCGCTTACTACTACGGCTATGTCACTACTAAGAGCCAGAAGGATGGTTCTATGGCTGTGGTCAGTTTGGGTACGAAGGACGTCAGTGGCTTCCTAGCGGAAGGTGTAGTGATTGCTTGCGAAAACTCTCCTACTAGCACTACCATTTCTGGTGATAGCGAGGTTGTAGAGCATGTGCTCAAATCCATCAAGACTGCCAAACCCGACGTGACTACTCGTACTTTGCGCACCGGTGTTGCCTATCATTCTCACCACATGAACTCGCTTGCAGATGAGCTTCTTAGCCTCTTGAAGAGTGAGAAAGTTGCTTCAAAGGCAACAAAGAAGAACAAGGCTCTCTTTATGTCTAGTGTTAATGAGAAAGTCTTGAAAAAGCAGAGCCAATTTGGTGCTGCTTACTGGATCTCCAACTTGGTGTCGAGAGTTCGATTCAACACTGCTGTTTCGAATCTTCTTGTTACGTCTCCCGAAGAGACTCTGTTTCTAGAAATCGGACCGCATTCTGCACTCTCCGTCCCTATATCTCAGATCTGTGCGGCTGCAAAGGTTCGATGCAACTATGTATCATCCCAAACTCGCGGGGCCGATGGTGCAGTGAGCTTCCTCTCTGCCGTTGGAAGGCTGTGGCAGGAATCAGTTTCGCTGAATCTAGCCCCGTTGTTTACCGGCGGTAAGGCAATCACTGGATTGCCCCAGTATCCCTGGAGCCAAAGCAATTCGGATGAGAGCGTTGATGCCACTGGTCTACCCCGTGAAAAAAGGGCACGCATTATTGCGGAAGCCAGCTCTCTGGAGAGCGAACTTGCGGACGATGAGGCTCCGACGACAGAAATGGAAGTAGTCCTTCGGGCTCTTTGGATTGAGGTTCTTCGAGATGTGATTCAAATCCGCAAACAGGACATTGGAAAGCAGCACAGCTTCTTCATGCTTGGAGGTGATTCTCTAACAAGCATTGAACTGGTTACTGTTGCTTACCAGCATGGCATTCATCTCAGCCCCGCTGCAATTTCCGATAACCCTACTCTCAGCAAAATGGCAGCTGTGGCCACTATCGATGAGAGTAGTGCGGCAACGACTGAAGTGGAAACTTTTAGCTTGATATCTCAGCATAGCCTTGAAGACATCAAGAAGCGGATTCGGGAAGAGTGCAAGCTTAAAACGAATGAAGTGATTGAAGATATTTATCCCTGCACAACCCTACAAGAAGGTTTCATGGCTTTGGGGATGAAGCAACCTGGCTCTTACATTCACAGAGTGGTGTATAAGCTGATGCCTAATATCGATATAGATCAGTTCAAGAATTCTTGGGAGGCTACCATCAGTCAGTGTGGCAGTTTGCGTTCGCGAGTTATGCTTGTCGATGGTCGAGCTCTCCAAGCTGTGGTTGCTGGAGATACTGCCTGGGAACACCCTGCTCCCGGTCTGGATGTACATACCTATCTCAAAGGAACGCGAAGTATTGGAATGAGCTATGGTCAACGCTTAAGCAGACATGCTTTGGTCCGAGAAAGCAATGGCGATGTCTATTTTGTATGGATTATTCACCACGCAGTGTTTGATGGTCTTACCATGCGAATTGTCCTGGATAATCTGTATCACGCCTATCGCGGGAATGACTCTAAAGCGTTGCGCCCATATTCCAACTTCATTCGCTATGTAGAATCTATCGACGCGACCGCCTCTGCCGAGTATTGGAGAAAGGAGCTTGATGGCGCTCAGCGCGCTCACTTCCCATCCGCTAAGTTATCTACTATCTCTAAAGATAAAGTCATGAAGAGAAAGCTGCCTTTTAAGAATACGAGGTCCGCTTCTGCTACTACAGCCACGGTTCTTCGTGCAGCCTGGGCTCTTCTCCTTGCGAGCTACTGCGACTCTGACGATGTATGTTTCGGTACGACCTTGTCTGGTAGACAGGCAGCAGTACCCGGGCTGAATGAGATTCCCGGACCAATGATTGCAACTGTTCCAATCCGTGTTAAGATTGAACGTGGCATGACTGCATCAGAATTCATGGAGAAAATCCAGACTCAAGCTTCGGAAATGGTGACCTACGAGCAATATGGCCTTCAGAACATTTCAAAGCTGAGTCAGGATGCTGAAGAAGCTTGCAAATTCTCCAACCTAATCGTTATCCAGCCGAATAGCCATTTGACTTCTAGTGCCGATACTGCTTCTGACGCAATTTTGCAGCAAGGACCAGCTGAGAAAGCTCTCTCAGAAGAAGCTATGCGTAACTACTTCAACTATCCTCTCGTTTTGCAACCTCGTATCAGCGAGGACAGCATTGAGTTGGAGTTTACCTACTACGCTGATGCTGTTTCAGAGGGCCAACTCGAAGCCCTATGCTTCCACTATGAACATATTATCCAGCAGTTGCTTTCTCCCGGTGACATGCTTCTTAGCGCTCTGGAGGTCTCTGGCCCGTGGGATTTGGAACAATCTCTCAAAATTAACAATGAGACGCCTGAAATTGTCGAATTGTGTCTGCATCAGCTTGTTGAGAGACAGGCCAGAGAGCGGCCTAATGCCCCTGCGATCCAAGCTTGGGATTTGGAATTGACCTATGAACAACTCAACCGCGCTGCTCACCGCCTTGCTCATTATCTCATCAACACATGGGGAGTCACAGATCAAGATCTCGTGCATGTTTGCTTTGAGAAATCGGCCTGGTTTTTCGTGTCTATAGTTGCTATTAATAAAGCTGGTGCTGCTTGGGTCCCCCTGGACCCCTCGCACCCAATTCAGCGACAGCAACAAGTTGTCTCACAGACTAAGGCGACTCTAGCTCTAGCTTCCCCTACCAATGCTGGGATGTGCTCTGAACTAGTTGATAACGTTGTCGAAGTGTCTTCTACTTTAGACGAGGAATTGGCTAAGACGGAAATGAGTTCTTATGAGATGATGCGCGCCGTATCGCCATACAATGCCGCGTATGTTTTATTTACTTCAGGAAGCACCGGAACGCCAAAGGGTCTAGTTATGCAACATGCAGCCGTCTGTACTTCACAGACTGCAATTACCAAGCGCCTTGGGATGACGTCAGACGTGAGACTACTACAATTTGCCTCATTTGTCTTTGATCTCTCCATTGGTGAGATTGTAGGTCCTTGGGTGGTTGGAGGCTGCCTCTGTGTCCCATCTGAGCATACAAGGATGAATGATCTGGTAGATTTCATAAACACCATGAAGATCAACTGGGCGTATTTGACTCCCTCGTTTACTCGGACCTTGAATCCCAGTGATGTGCCTGGCTTAGAGTTGCTCCTGTTTGCGGGTGAGGCTGTTGGACGCGATGTGTTTGAGGCCTGGTTTGGAAAGATGCGGCTAATCAATGGCTGGGGTCCTGCTGAGACTTGTGTCTTCTCAACCCTACATGAATGGAAGAGTCTAGAGGAATCTTCCTTGACAGTTGGTAGCCCAGTTGGCGGCTATTGTTGGATTGTTGATCCACAGAATCCACAGCGGCTGGCTCCTATTGGAACCCTTGGTGAGGTTGTTATCCAGGGACCTACTATTCTTCGCGAATATCTAGCAGATGCAGACAAAACTGAGGCATCAATGGTTCGGAGCCTTCCTGAGTGGGCACCGAAACGCACTGCCAGACACTGGAACCGATTTTATAAGTCCGGTGACTTATGTCGATATAATGCGGACGGCACTATCGAGTTTGGATCTCGCAAGGATAGCCAGGTCAAAATCAGAGGCCTGCGCGTTGAGCTTGGTGAGATAGAGCATCATATCCGCGAATCTCTAGAAGGCGTTAAGCAAGTTGCCGTTGATATTGCAAAGGGAGACGGTGGCGCATTCATCGTATCCTATTTTTGCTTCGCTGAGGAAACGCGTACGGCTGGCAAAAACTCCGAGACGAGCGTGAAAGACGTGTTTGCTCCAATGACTGCTGAACTCCAGAGCCAGCTCACTGCCTTGGCTGGACAACTTAGCGTAACGCTTCCTCGTTATATGATTCCAACCCTGTTCATTCCATGCCACTACATGCCATTCATCACCTCGACGAAGTTGGATATGAAACTTCTACGACTCGCGACGTCTAATCTTGGTAAAGAGGACTTGGCGAGATATTCGCTTGTGGATAGCAAGAAACGTGCACCAGAAACTGACATGGAGACACAAATTCAGACAATCTGGGCTGAACTCTTGAAGCTCCCTGCCAATTCAATTGGCAGAGACGATAGTTTCCTGAGAATGGGCGGTGATTCCATTGCTGCCATTTATTTTGTGTCTGCTGCCCGCGAGGCTGGAATTTCCATTGCTGTCAAGGATGTTTTCGACGACCCTCGGTTGTACCAAGTAGCTTCCAAGGCCACTCTTGTTAAGAATAAGAGCCAATCTGCTCATATCAAACCCTTTAGTCTGCTTGAAGACCCTTTGAGCAAATACATACAGAGTGATGCAGCTAGAGATAGTTTTGGCCTTGAGAAAGATCAGGTAATCGAAGACGCTTACCCCTGCACCCCTCTGCAAGAGGGTCTTATGGCTCTCACTGCTAAGCAACCGGGCTCGTACATCTCGCACTGGTATTACCGCATACCTAGACATATTGATATTGCCAGATTCAGAGCTGCCTGGGAAGAATCTGTGGAGCTTACTACAACCTTACGGACTCGTATTATACTTCAGGATGGCTTTGCAATGCAAGCTGTTATTACGAATGACGGTCGATGGGAGGAAACTATTGGCCATAATCTTGAGTCCTATAAGCGCTTAATCCCTAAACTTGATATCGGATATGGAACTCGCCTTACTCGATTTGCTCTTGTAGAAGAACAAGATGCTGCCTATTTCGTATGGATCACTCACCACGCTATAAGTGATGGCTGGAGCATGAGAATTGTCCTGGACAACGTCTATAACCGCTACTATGGCCAGAAGTTGTCTCCTATAACCCCCTATTCGAACTTCATAAACTATATTAGCCAGATCGATAATGATGGTGCGGCTAACTTTTGGCGATCTAATCTGTCTGGTGCCCAAAAACCAATCTACCCAGCTTCTGGAAATGCTCTCACTACTGATCGCTCTGATGGCGCGGTACATGTTGTTGAACGATTGATATCTTTTCAAGGCCAAAAAGATACCTCAATTACAATGGCCACCGTACTTCGAGCTGCCTGGGCGATTGTTCTGGGCCGACGTTGCGAGGCCAGCGACGTGTGCTATGGCGCTAGTGTTTCTGGCCGCCAAGCCGCCATGAATGGTATTTTATCGGCTTCTGGAGCTATCATTGCCACTATTCCAATAAGAGTTTACCTGGGAGCAGATAAACCTGTGAAACAATTGCTCCAAGATCTCCAGGCTCATGCACAAGACATGGTCCCCTACGAACAGTATGGTTTGCCAAATATCTCGAAGCTGAGCCCTGAAGCTCGAGAAGCTTGTGATTTCACCTCATTGCTGGTTATTCAGCCCAAAGAGCAAGAAAGTACCATTTTCAACACGAAGGATGGTCTGTTGCAATCCGGAAGTGAGGAGGATCAGCTGGCAATTGAGTCTATGAATAACTATTTCAACTATCCGTTAGTCATGCTTAGCTTCATGGCTGAACAGAGCGTGAGCCACAGATTTTGTTACAATCCAGATGTCATGCCTGAGGACGAAATCGAAGCTCTTTCTTACCAGTTTGAGCACGTTGTTCAGCAACTTTTAAGCCCTGACGACAAGCTGATCAGGGACGTATCTCTTGTCGGCGAACGAGAGATCAAACATGCCGCCGACGCATCGCTCTATTACCCCGCCACTGAATCCTGCACCCATTGGGAGATATACAAGCAGATCGATGCAAATCCAGATGCCCCTGCGATTGACTCTTGGGATGCTAAGCTTACTTATGGCGAAGTTGGTACTCTGGCCTCTCGCTTAGCTGTCAAACTGCAGAGTCTTGGAGTCGGCCGTGATACCCTCGTCCCTATTTCGTTCCCTAAATCTACCCCTGCTATGATCACGATGGTCGCCATCCAGATGGCTGGTGGTGCTCTTGTCCCTCTGGATCCTGCGGCTCCACTAGCACGTCTGCAAAGTATTGTCTCGGACACTCAGGCTAAGCTTATCGTTACTCATCCTTCTCTTGAAGATAAGCTTCAAGAGCTTGGCGTTGACCTCCTGATAGTTGATAATTCAATGCTACACCAGCTTCCAGACCCTGAGAGCAAGTTCATCACATCAGGTGCCACGCCTGATAGTCTCTACGCAGTGTTGTTTACATCCGGTTCTACAGGCAAACCTAAAGGTATTCGCATTCCACATAGCAGTCTCTGTTCTGCAAGCGATGCCCATGCTGCGAGTACCGGCGTGGGGCCTGGAGCTAGAGTGTTTCAATTTTCTGCATATACTTTTGATGTTGGTGTTCTTGATGTCTTGATTACGCTAATGCGCGGTGGTTGTGTCTGTGTGCCATCCGAATATGATCGTCTCCACAATATTGCCGGGGCGATCAACGCTCTTCAAGCTAATTGGGCTTTGTTGACACCCTCTGTTGCCGACATGATTAACCCAGCTGAGGTACCTTGTTTAACTACTCTTGGACTGATTGGCGAGGCTATTTATAAGAAGAATTCAGAGAGATGGAAGGGTTATGCTGACCTGCATGGTCTTTATGGTCCTGCTGAGGCATCTGTCTGCGCTTGGAACTCCGACATACACAATGGACCTTCTACCAACCTGGGCTTCCCACTCTCCAGTGCTTTCTGGGTTGTCGAGGCCGATGACCCCAGCCGCCTTGTGCCAATTGGCTGCATTGGTGAGCTGCTCATTCAAAGCCCTATTCTAGCTTGCGGGTATCTCAATGCCGACGCTAAAAACACCGCCAACTGGCTGGAAGATATGACATATGACTGGCTCCCAGCTGCTGGCCCAAAACGGGCCTATCGAACTGGTGATATGGTCCGTCGTAATCCTGACAAAACGTTTGAGTATATGGGTCGAAAGGATAATCAGGTAAAGATCCGTGGTCAGCGCGTTGAGTTGAGTGAAATCGAATATGTTGTCTTGGCCAACTTGCCAGGGCTGAAACAAATCGTGGTTGACATTATTAATAACCAAGAAGCTGGCCTTAGCCTCGTTACCTACATGTGCTTCAGCGATGATACCAAAGGCAGTAGTGGCGATCTGGATGGAATGTTCTTGAGCATAACACCCGAGATGAAACAGCAGTTCTCTGAAATGCTTAGCCAGCTCAGCATTTATCTCCCTCACTATATGATCCCTACTATCTTTGTGCCCTGCAAGTTTATGCCTTTGAACACATCTGGCAAGATGGATCGTAAAGCTTTTCGAGCTGCCGCTGCTGCTCTTAGCAAAGAGGAGCTCGTGGCTTATACTCTTTCTGACGAAGAAGACAAGCAGCCACCTGAGACCCCAATGGAAGCAAGGCTGCAGCAAATATGGGCAAAGACGCTCAAGGTTGCTCCCGAGTCCATCGGTCGCGGCTCTAACTTTTTGCGCTTAGGTGGTGATTCTATTGCTGCGATCTACAGCATTAGGGCTGCAAATGAAGCGGGTATTGATTTGACTGTTAAAGATATCTTCGATGACCCCAGACTGTCGAAGGTTGCCGCTAAAGCTGTCGATATGAGTGGCGATGCAGGTCAACAGAATGCCGCCACCGAGCCCTTTAGCCTTGTCGATGCAACCACGCGTAGCTGGGTATTGGGTGATGAGATTCGTAACCTTTGCAAGCTGCTTCCCCACCAGGTCGTTGTGGATGCCTTTTCCACTACGAGTTTTCAAGAAGGCCTCATGGCGATGAGCGTTAAGCACCCAGGGTCTTATATTGCTAAGCATGTTTACAAGGTCCCCAAGCATGTTGATCTTGGGCGCTTTAAGGATGCCTGGGAAGAAACCGTCAGGATTTGCGATATCTTGCGTACTAGAATTGTGCTTCACAAGGGATCTCCTATTCAAGTCATTATCAACGATGATATTGCTTGGGATGTGGCAAATGGACAGGATATGGTTGCGTACATCAACACAACAAAGGCCATTAAGATGACTTATGGTTCACGCCTTTGCCAATATGCTCTAATAGAGGAATCTAGCGGTGCTAGATATTTTGTCTGGACTATTCACCATTCTGCATTTGATGGATGGACAATGCAGGTTGTTCTTGAAGCCTTACAAGGCGTATATCGCAAGGAGAAGATATCAGCTCCTCGACCATTCTCGGACTTCATTCGTTACGTGTCCGAGACTGACCATGCTGAAGCTAAAGACTTTTGGTCCTCTCAACTTAAAGATGCAAAGCGAGCTACTTTCCCTACCAGTAATTCGTCGACCGATGAGTCCATCACTCGAGTTTTGAAGAAAAAGATATACTTTAAAAGTTTAGAGGCAAGTTCAGTTACAAAGCCAACTATACTACGTGCAGCTTGGGCTATTGTTCTCAGCAGATACAGTGATACTGATGACATCTCCTTCGGAACCACTGTTTCTGGTCGTCAAGCTCCTGTGGCTGGAGTGACCGAGATTGCCGGCCCTGCAGTCGCCACTGTTCCCGTCAGAGTTCGGCTTGACGGTTCTAAATCTGTAACTCAGTTTCTTCAGGATATCCAGAATCAAGCTTCTGAAATGATAACTTATGAGCAGTTCGGGCTTCAGAACATTGCTAAAACTAGCGAAAATGCTCGTGAGGTTTGTGACTTTTCCAGCTTGTTGGTCATTCAGCCTGGCCATTTCTTGCAGTATGGCGACGACAGTACGGACGCTATCCTTACTAGTGCCTACGACGAAAAGATCATTGAAGAAGAGGTCATGCAGAATTATTTTACATATCCTCTTATAGCGGAGGGTGTTTTATACGAGGATCATGTGGAACTGCTTGTAATCTACAATGCCAGCACTCTCGCCGAATCTCAGATCACTGCTTTGTGCTACCACTTTGAACATGTTACTCAGCAACTTGTTGATCAAGACGACCTGCTGCTTAGTGATATTTCTGTTGCTGGTTCATGGGATATGGAACAGAGCTACAAGGCAAACAAGGGCGTTCCCGAGATTATCGACTCTTGCATCCACGAATTAGTCAAAAAACAAGCCATAGAACGGCCTGATGCTCTCGCTATTGCTGGATGGGATCGAACTTTTACATACGCTGAATTGAACGAGGCTGCCAATCGACTAGCTCATTACCTCACCCAGAATTTTGCCATAAAGGCTGACGAACTGATACATGTCTGTTTTGAAAAGTCCGCATGGTACTTTGTCGCTATTCTCGCAATCAATAAGGCTGGTGCCGGCTGGGTTCCTCTTGATCCATCTCATCCTGAACAGCGTTTGCGCCAGATCGTCTACCAAACTCGCGCGAAGATTGTGTTGACTTCGCCTGCTAGCGTGAATATTTGTTCTACTCTTGACATGTCCATCATAGAGATCAGCCCTGTCTTTGATGAGAAGCTTATCAAGTCTGGCATGCCGAGTGCCACTGGGCCTGCCGTTATTGTGACACCTCGCAACATTGCCTACGTACTTTTCACGTCCGGTTCTACAGGCACTCCTAAGGGATTAGTCATGGAACACGGCTCAGTGTGTACTTCACAAACTGCTATTAGCAAGACACTTGGGTTAACAGCAGATGTTCGCATGTTACAATTTGCTTCCTTTGTTTTCGATCTATCTATTGGTGAAATTGTGGGTCCCTTAATTTCTGGAGCCTCGATATATATTCCTCATGAAGACACCCGTTTAAATAGCTTAACAAGCTATATTCAAGAACATAAAATTAACTGGGCTTATCTTACCCCTGCATTTGCCCGTACTCTGAAACCCGAGGACGTCCCTGCTCTAGAGCTACTACTTCTAGCGGGTGAAGCAGTTAGTCGTGATGTATTTGAGTCCTGGTTTGGGAAGGTTAGGCTTATCAACGGCTGGGGACCTGCTGAAACCTGTGTCTTCTCATCTCTCCATGAATGGAAGTCGGCCTCTGAGAGCCCCCTTACTATTGGCCGACCCGTTGGTGGCTTCTGTTGGATTGTAGATCCGCAAGATCATCAAAAGCTGGCCCCTATAGGCACAATTGGCGAAGTCATAATTCAAGGTCCAACTTTACTAAGAGAATACCTGGCAGATCCAGAAAAAACAAGGTTATCGACCGTATATGACCTACCGAATTGGGCTCCTCGACGCGAGTCTCCGCATTGGAGTAGATTTTATAGATCTGGAGACTTGTGTTTCTATAACCCTGACGGAACGATTGAGTTTTCGGCCCGTAAAGATACACAAATCAAGATTCGTGGTCTTCGTGTGGAGTTGAGCGAAATTGAGCACCATTTACAGCTTATTCTTGATGATGTCCGACAAGTCGCTGTTGATGTATTCCATGGCGAAAACGGATCAAATCTTGTTGCGTACCTCTGCTTCAGCGAGGAAACAAAGACGACCGATGCAAAGGATAATGAGAATCCGTTTGTTTGTATTGATGAAAATCTCAAAGCTCTTCTCATTGGTGCTTCTGGTAAACTGAAAGTCCTTCTCCCATCTTACATGGTTCCAACCTTTTTCATCCCCTGCCGCTATATGCCAGCCAGCACTTCCATGAAGCTTGATCGCAAAGGGCTTAGACAATATACCGCTGGCTTACCTACTGAGGAGCTTTCTAAATACTCACTTATTGGCGGTGAGAAGCGCGAGCCCGAGACTTCCATGGAAAGTCACTTGCAACAAATGTGGGCTGAAATTCTTCAAATTCCCACAGAATCAATCGGACGTGACGATAGCTTCCTTGGTCTCGGAGGCGACTCTATTACTGCGATTCATCTCGTCAATGTTCTGCGTGAAGAGGGCATCGCTCTAACTATAAAGGATGTCTTCGATGACCCTCGCTTGCTTGCTGTGGCAAGTAAGCTTAAAGAAAGCGATGCTGAAATGGAAACAGCAGAGATCGAGCCTTTCACCTTTTTAAGTGAGGAAATTCGCGGCATTGTTCTCTCTGATAACTTTCGCGGAGAGCTCAAACTCTCAGTTGAACAAAAAATCGAAGATGCCTATCCTTGCAGCAGGCTCCAAGAGGGTCTTATGGTCCTATCTATCAAGCAACCTGGATCGTACGTTGCGAAACACACATATCGTTTACCTGTTAATGTTGATCTATGTCGATTTAAAGAGGCTTGGGAATATACTTCTTCTGTCATCGAGGCTCTTCGAACTCGTATTGTGATGGTTAACGGTTCTTGCGTCCAAGTTGTGATCAACGAGGAGCTCCCATGGGAGACTATTCAGACGGATGATATTCGCACCGCTATCGAGTCAGCCCAGTCTCTCCGAATGCCATACGGCACGCCTCTATCTCGCTACATGGTCGTAAACGATGACCACGGGAACAGCTATTTCATGTGGGTTATTCATCACTCAATTTTTGATGGCTGGTCTATGAGAATTATACTAGACACCTTGTGGCGAGAATATGACGGCAGGGTTACCCCTACCATTACGCCATATAAAAACTTTATTAATTACACACTTAGTATTGATACAGAAGCTGCGACTAAATATTGGAGCAACCAGCTCAAGGATGCTACAAGAACTAGCTTCCCAGCTCTTACAATCAATTCAAACGACAAGACGCATATTACACGCATGATGACAAAATCTATTCGCTTCCCAGCCTCGATGGATGCAGCTATTACTAAGGCTACAGTTTTTCGAGCGGCTTGGGCTGTCATTCTTGCCCGCTACTGTGACACTGACGATGTAACTTTTGCGTCTACTACCTCTGGTAGACAGGCCCCAGTTCCACGTCTGACCGAGATTGCAGGCCCTGCCGTTACCACTGTTCCCGTTCGAGTTCGACTTAACTATCAGCAGCGCGTGTCAAAGTTCCTTCAGGATATTCAAAGCCAGGCATCTGAGATGATTCGGTTTGAACAATTTGGTCTACAAAATATTTCAAGACTGGGAGACGATGCTAGAGATGCTTGTGATTTTACATCTTTGATGGTAATTCAGCCAATGCAACATTTATTTGGAGAAGATGTGGACACTCTCTTAATACCAACAGTTTCTGAACAAGATATTCAAGAGAATCAGTTGCAAAATTACTTCTCTTATCCTCTTGTTTTACAAGGACATGTCTACGATAACCAGGTCGAGCTTGTTTTAATCTATGATGCAGCCGTTTACCCTGAGTCTCAAATCGTTGCGCTGTCTCATCAATTTAACGGGGTTATACAACAACTTGTCAGCGGTAGGGACTGCAAACTTAGCGAGATCTCTGTCGCTAGCTCTTGGGATTTTGATCTTGTTCAGGCCTCTAATGGCGACGGCCCCGAACTTATTGATGATTGCGCCCATATCGTTATCGAGCACCAAGCCGAGCAGACCCCTCATGCTACTGCCGTTCATTCTTGGGATGGCGAATATACATATAGCGAGCTTGATCTGGCCGCTAATAGATTAGCCAATCTGCTGGTTGATTGCCACGGTATCAAAACAGGAGATTTCATCCATGTGTGCTTTGAGAAGTCTATCTGGTACATTGTGTCAATACTTGCTATCAACAAAGCCGGAGCTGCTTGGGTCCCCATGGATCCAGCACATCCGTTTCAACGCCTTCAGCAGGTGGCCGGCCAGACTGGTGCTAGGCTGGCTCTCGCCTCTTCCACCCATAGTCACCTGTGCTCCGAGCTCTTCGATTCTGTAGTTGAAGTTTCTTCGGCTTTTAACGAGCAGCTTAAAGAAGATACGGCTATCAGCAACCAAAAGCCCTCTGTTAATGTCAAGTCACGCGATGCTGCTTACGTACTCTTTACATCTGGCAGCACTGGCATGCCTAAGGGAATTATAATGGAGCACGCAGCGCTTTGCACCAGTCAGTGTGATATTGCAAAGAGACTTGGTTTTACCAGTAGCGTTAGGATCCTTCAATTCTCGTCCTTTGTATTTGATTTATCTGTCACAGACATTGTGCTCTCTCTTATGCACGGCGGCTGTGTTTGCATTCCATCCGATCATGATCGTCTTAACAACTTGAGTGGATTTATTACGGAAGCTAAAGTGAACTGGGCATATTTGACACCATCGGTTGCTCGTACATTGCGGCCTGAAGATGTTCCTAGTTTAGAGTTTCTTCTTGTTGGTGGCGAAGCTGCTAGTCAAGATGTTCTTGATCTATGGTTTGGTAAGGCTAGACTAGTAAATGCCTGGGGTCCCACTGAAGCTTGCGTGATGAGTTCGATTCACGAATGGAAATCACCAACAGAGTCACCATCAAACATTGGACGCTCAGTTGGAAGCTTTGTCTGGATTCTTGATACTGAGGATTATCGTCGACTAGCTCCGGTTGGGTGTATTGGCGAAATTGTTATACAGGGACCGACGCTTCTTCGCGAGTACTTGGCAGATCCCGTCAAGACTGCTTCATCAACTCTCACCTCTTTGCCTAATTGGGCACCTCGTGCAAGCTCAACAAATTGGAATCGTTTTTACAAGACAGGCGATTTGGGATTCTATGACTCTGATGGAAATATTCACATTTTGGGTCGCAAGGATTCACAGGTTAAAATCCGGGGTCTTCGTGTTGAGTTGGGTGAAGTTGAGCATCATATTCGAAGCTCCCTTGATTCTATTCGCCAAACCGCTGTTGATGTGTTCCAGACAGAGACTGTGACAAACCTTGTCTGCTACCTCTGCTTCAGTGATGCCACGAAAGCCCCTGGCCTTAACCCTGGCTCCGAGGGCGAAGATATTTTTCTCTCCATGACTGAAACTCTTCAGCACGAGTTGAATACTGTTGTTAACAAGCTTCACGCTTTGCTACCTAACTACATGGTCCCTACGTACTTCATTCCTTGCAGCTACATGCCCCTTATTACATCTGGTAAACTAGATAAGGCTAAGCTTCGCAAGCTCATGAGAACATTATCCCAAGAAGATCTAGAATCTTATTCACTCACTGATGCCAACAAGCGAGCTCCAGACACGGAGATGGAGATCCGATTGCAACACTTGTGGGCTGAACTATTGCAGATCCCTGCTCAAACTATCGGCAAAGATGACAGTTTCCTTCGTGTTGGTGGAGACTCTATTGCTGCAATCCGCTTGGTCTCTATGGCCCGCGAGTCTGGCGTTACTCTGACTGTGGCTGGAATTTTTGAAGACCCGTGCCTGTGTTCTATGGCTGCTACTGCAAGTATAGCCGATGACGAGGATGAGCTGTCCGCTCATATTCCTGCGTATTCCCTTCTTGATAATGATACCCAACACCTGATCCAGAGTCCAAGAATCTATGAAATCTGTAATCTTAAAGAAAGTCAAGAAATCGAGGACGCTTATCCGACCACAAAACTTCAAGAAGGCCTTATGGCTCTTTCTGCTAAGCAGCCTGGATCTTATATCGCAAAGCACCTATATCGTCTGCCTAAACACGTTGATGTTTCCCGGTTTAAAGATGCTTGGAGGATTACAGTGGACACCTGCAGCATCCTTCGTACGCGAATTGTCTTAATTGGAGCGTCTGCTACACAAGTTATCGTCAGTGGCGATTTTGAGTGGGACCCGGTCCAAAATCAAGACGTTCACGCATATCTCCAAAGTATCCAAAATATGGAAATGGGATACGGCTCCCGCCTCTCGCGCTATGCTCTTATCCAAAATACAGACGGCAACAACTATTTCACGTGGAGTGCTCATCATGCCGTTTTCGATGGTTTATCAATCCAGAATATTCTAAATGTCCTGATGAAAGCCTATCACAATGTCAATATCCTCGAAGCACCAGCATATTCCCGCTTCATCAAGTACACTCTTGGTCTTGACGCAGAAGCTACTGCTTCGTATTGGAGAGAACAATTACAGAGCGCTCGCAAAGCAACTTTCCCCACTTCAAGTAGAATTTCTAGTCAGCCCGAAGCTACTCGAGTTTTTGAAAGGTCTATTAAGCTTCCCGTAATTGCTTCATCAGGAATTACCTTCGCCACAATAGCTCGATCAGCTTGGGCTTTAATTCTCGCCCGCTATAGTGATACTGATGACATCACTTTTGGTACAACAATTTCAGGCCGTCAGGCCCCTGTGCCGGGAGTAATGGATATGGTTGGTCCGATTATCGCCACTGTCCCAGTCCGTATTCGAGTGAATCAAGCGCAGGCTACCTCTGATTTTCTCCATGTTGTTCAAAAGCAAGCTCTAGAAATGGTCTCTTATGAGCAATTTGGGCTACAGAGCATTGCTAAACTTAGCAAAGATGCAAGAGATGCCTGTGACTTTACATCGCTTTTGGTCATCCAGCCGATGAAGCATGTTTCGGGCTCCGGGAGCGCTGAGTCCATCCTTGTAGAAGCAGATGGCAAACTGAAAGAGGCCGCTGAGTCAATGCAAAACTACTTCTCATATCCTCTTATTACACAAGCCCATATATACGAAGACCACATTAACATTATGCTTATATATGACTCAAAGGTCCTGACTGCGATGCAGATTGAGGCTTTATCTTATCAGCTTGGTCACGTTATGCATCAACTTGCGGCTGCCACTAGCAAAGACACTCTGGATTCCATCTCCCTATCTTCCTCTTGGGACTTAGAGCATGCCGTTTCCATGAATGGTAACACTACTGAAGTCATTGATGCATGTGTGCATAGCCTTATCGAGCGCCAGGCTGAGATCCGGCCCAACGCTCCAGCTATTTCAGCTTGGGATGCTGAGCTTACGTATAGCCAACTCGATAGTGCCGCGAATCGACTAGCTAACCACATTATCAACGTTTATAATGTCCTTCCGGGGGATTTTATTCACGTGTGCTTTGAGAAATCTGCATGGCATTTTATTGCCATCCTCGCAATCAATAAAGCTGGCGCCGCTTGGGTTCCCCTCGATTCATCCCATCCAGAACAATGTCTCCGGCAAGTTATTGGCCAAACTGATGCTAAGCTGATTCTTACTTCTGCTGGTAAAACGGATGTTTTCTCCGCCTTGATTGATCATGTCCTAGAAGTTACGCCAAGCCTTGATCAAAAGCTCGCTACTACAGTTGGCTCTGATGCTCCTCAGGTGGATATTACGCCTGGTGATGCTGCATATGTTTTATTCACATCTGGATCAACTGGTACCCCTAAAGGTCTTGTTATGGAGCATAAATCTGTCTGTACCTCGCAGACTGCCATTTCCAAAAGGTTGGGGCTTACATCGGCTGTTCGAATTCTTCAATTTGCCGCATTTGTGTTTGACCTGTCAATTGGTGAAATTATTGCCCCGTTAATTAGTGGTGCTTGCATCTATGTGCCTTCGGAAGATACCCGGATGAACAGCATTACCAAGTATCTTCGTGACCAGCGCATTAACTGGGCATTTTTAACCCCTTCTTTTGTGCGGACTTTGAAGCCTCAAGATGTTCCCACTTTGGAATTACTTCTTCTTGCTGGCGAAGCAGTCCCAAAAGAAATCCTAAACACTTGGTTCGGCAAGTTACGATTGATTAATGGCTGGGGGCCCGCTGAGACCTGTGTTTTTAGCACTTTATATGAATACAAGTCAATGAATGACAGTCCGTTAACTATAGGTACACCTATTGGAGGATATTGCTGGATTGTTGATCCTGAAAATCCCTCTAAGCTAGCACCATTTGGCACACTAGGCGAAGTTGTCATTCAAGGTCCAACCTTACTTCGCGAGTATTTGTCAGACCCAGAACGCACTGCGACTTCTTTAGTCAAGGTCCTTCCTGAGTGGGCGCCCCAGTCGGACTCCAACGACTGGAACCGCTTTTATAAATCTGGGGATTTATGCTCATATAATTCAGATGGAACTCTCCACTTTTCTTCTCGCAAAGATACGCAAATCAAGATTAGAGGATTGCGTGTTGAGCTAGGAGATGTAGAGTACCACATCCAAGTTGCTTTACATGATATTTGTCAAATCGCTGTTGATATTCATCAGAGCGAAAGTGGTGTCAATCTCGTGGCTTATTTCTGTTTTACTGATGCTACTCGCATCACAGGTATCAGTGGCGATACCAGCAGTCCATTCCTGCCAATTGATGGAAAGCTCCAAGAACGCTTGAGTACGCTTGTGAGCGAGCTTAGAGTGACGCTCCCGCAATATATGATTCCAACCTTCTTCATTCCCTGTAGCTTCATGCCGTCGATTACGTCTACTAAGTTAGACCGTAATGAGCTACGTCGATATACAATTGGCCTTACACATGCTAGGCTATCAGAGTACTCTCTGCTTGATAGTGTAAAGAGAGCTCCAGAGACTGACATGGAGCGCAAGCTTCAATACATTTGGTCTAATATATTAGGTATATCGACAGACTCTATTGGTCGCGACGACAGCTTTCTTGGTCTCGGAGGCGACTCAATAACTGCAATCCAGCTTGTTGGTGCCTCTCGAGATCAGGGTATTTCCATCTCAGTCAAGGATATTTTTAAGGACCCACGGCTTATTTCCGTGGCCAAGGTTGCTCAACCATTGGACTCCATTGAAAAGGCCCCTATTGAGTCATTTACCTTATTAGATGATGATCAGCGTCGCCTTGTTACTGGCAATACTATCAGGACTGAGTGCAATCTGGGGCCTAACGCTGTTGTAGTAGACGCCTATCCGTCAACTAAGCTTCAAGAGGGTCTCATGGCTGTATCCACTAAGCAGCTTGGTTCTTATGTTGCTAAGCAAGTCTACCGTCTGCCTCATCATGTAGACCTCGCTACGTTCAAAGCTGCCTGGGAGCGTACTGTTGAACTGTGTGGCAATTTGAGGACCCGTCTTATTGTCGCTGGAGATACTAGCTTGCAAGTTGTGATTAAACATGATCAAATCCAGTGGGAGATTCTTCACGGGTCTGTACATTCCTACCTCTCTCAGGATTTCATAATGGGATACGGTGACCGTCTATGCCGCTACGCTATCATTCATGAGCCCTCGGGAGAAAATTACTTTGTTTTAAGCCTTCATCACGCTATATTTGATGGCTGGACGCTATCAATGCTGATGAGCAGCCTCAATTCAGCCTATCGTGGAGTTGAACTTCCGGCCATTCAAGCATATGCTGGATTTGTCAAATATGCTTTGGAAATCGACGAGGCAGCCGCTTCAGATTACTGGAGTGATCAGCTTAGAGAAGCCAAGGCCGCTTCATTCCCATCGCCCACACAAGCTCAACGACCTCAGTCAATCTCCAGAATTCTTGAAAAGCCGCTTAACTTTCCTCACTCAATTAAATCCGGTATTACTAGAGCTTCTGTTCTGAGAGCTGCTTGGGCTGTCGTGATATCCAGATACTCTGATAGTTCTGATGTGACTTTCGGCGCTAATGTTTCGGGTCGTAATGCAGCTGTTACTGGTATTGAATCAATGCCTGGCCTGGTAGTTGCAACCGTTCCTGTTCGCGTTCGATTAGATCCCGAACAAAGCGTATCTCAGTTTCTTGAAAACATTCAATCTCAATCAACTGGCATGATCCCGTATGAGCAATTTGGTCTACAAAGAATTTCCAAACTTAGCACTGAGGCAAGGGATGCATGTGAATTTTCATCTCTAATGGTTATTCAACCTATGTCTAGCATTGTGGGCAACAGCAACTCAGGAGATGCCATACTTGTATCCACCGACCTTGGTGCGGATACCACAGCGCAGAGCTTGCAAAACTATTTCACTTATCCTCTGGTTATTCAAGCACATTTATACGATGACGCAGTCAATTTAATACTCATCTATGATGCTAGTATTTTAACAGAGAGTCAACTCCAAACCTTGTCTACGCAGTTTGATCACGTTGTTCAGCAACTACTTACTGATGACCCTGATGCTAAACTAGGGTCTGTTAGCGTTTCTGGGCCTTGGGATCTACAAAAAGCCATAAACTTCAATGTTAAAGAACCTAGTCTTGTCAACGCCTGTATGCACGAGCTTATCTCCCAACAAGCAGCTCGTGATCCACACCATGAAGCTGTTTACTCAAGCGAAGGCACTCTATCCTATGCAACTTTGGACCGTCTGTCCAGTCTTTTTGCTCATCATTTACAAGAACTTGGCGTTAAGCTAGAATCCGTCGTTCCGTTCTGCTTTGAAAAGTCCGTCTTGGCTATCATTGCTATGATCGGTATATTGAAAGCCGGTGGCGCCTTCATGCCTTTGGATCCATCACATCCCCACAGCCGTCATAAAGCTTTAATTGAGGAAGTTGAAGCTGAGGTTATGATTGTTTCTTCCTCATATTTCCTTGCTTGTGACGGCTTAACTTCTACTACTGTAGAACTTACAGCTCTATTACTTGAACAGCTCGCTTTTACCTACGATGCCTTTCAACCAATTCACCCGAAATCTCTACCTAACAATGCCGCATATGTACTTTTCACCTCGGGCTCCACGGGGAAACCAAAGGGTGTTCTCATGGAGCACTCTGCTTTCAGTACTAGCACTCTGGGCCACGGTCGTGTATACAAGCTTGGGCCAACTTCCCGCGTCTTCCAGTTCTCTAATTATATCTTTGATGGAAGCTTGGGTGAGATTTTCACCACTCTTTCATTTGGTGGCACAGTCTGTGTGCCTTCTGAGACAGATAGGCTTCAAGATGCGCCTTCATTCATGCACAGAGCTCAAGTAAATACAGCAATGTTGACGCCATCATTTGTTCGGACTTTCACACCTGAACAAGTTCCGTCATTGCAGCTGCTTGTGCTAGGTGGTGAACCTTCATCGAAAGACCTTCTTGAGACTTGGTGTAACCATGTTCGTCTTGTCAATGGTTACGGCCCTGCCGAAGCTTGTAACTACGCGACAACTCATGATTTTAAGGATAGCGACTCTCCTCGCACAATTGGTCATGGATTTAACAGTGCTTGCTGGATCGTTGAGCCAAATGATTGCAACAAGTTAACACCTATTGGCTGCGTTGGAGAGCTAATTATCCAAGGAAATGCCCTCGCTCGAGGCTATATCAATGACGCCGAAAAAACTTCTTGTTCCTTTATAACTGATATTGACTGTTTGCCTAAATCTCTAATTGCTGGCCCACACAGATTTTATCTGACAGGTGATCTTGTTCGATACAACTCCAACGGAGAGATAGAATACATTGGAAGAAAAGACACACAGGTTAAGCTTCGTGGGCAACGTCTTGAACTTGGAGAAATTGAATACCACGTCAAACGATCTTTGTCTACTATTGAGCATGTCGCTGTTGACTTGTGCCATAGAGAGACTGGCGATGCTCTCATTGCATTTATCTCGTTCAAAGATAAGATTGCCTCCGGCGCAGACAACATCCTTCCTCTAGACGACGATTTACAATCTACTTTAGCTGTAGTCATGGAGAATTTAAAGACTTCTCTCCCAGGCTACATGGTACCTTCTACAATCTTACCACTAAGAGAGATGCCGTTTATCACCTCAATGAAAATTGATCGAAAGAAATTAATTACTTTAGCGACTGGTTTATCTTCGGACAAGCTTTTATCCTTCTCTCTTGCTGGTCGAGACTATGTTACACCAACCACGGTGATGGAGAAGAAATTAGCTGGTCTATGGGCCCAAATTCTCAATATTAGCCCCGAAGATATCGGCAAGAACGACAGTTTTCTCCAAATTGGCGGTGATTCCATCACTGCAATTCACCTTGTTGCACTTGCCCAACGGTCCGGCATTAATCTGACTATCGCTAGTATTTTCGCGAACTCGAAGCTATCCTCTATAGCATTATCAGTTGGGGAAGGTGACATTGAGCCGATTTATGAGGTAGTACCATTTTCTATGGCGGCTACGAAAAATTTGAACTCTTTGATTGAAGAAGTTCGCATCAAGTGTGCTTTATCTAGCACTGCCGTTATTGAAGATATCTACCCTACAACAAGTTTCCAAGAAGGGCTAATGGCTTTGGCTGTTAAGCAGCCTGGTTCTTACATTGCCAAGCAGACCTATCGGCTGCCGAACGATATTGATGTAACTCGTTTTAAAGCGTCTTGGGACGATACTCTCAAACAGTGTAGCAATCTTCGCACCCGTATAGTTCTCTCCGGCAGTGCCTCTATCCAAGTCGTTGTTAAGGATATCGGTCTGTGGGATGAGACTACTGATATGAGTCTTAAATCATATCTTCAGTCTAACCGAAACATTCACATGACGTACGGCTCTGCTCTAAGTCGCCACGCCCTTATCGAGCAGGTTGATGGAGAAAAGTATTTTGTATGGTCCGTTCATCATACTGTGTTCGATGGCTGGACCACTCGATTGGTCTTGAACACTCTGGCTTCAGCCTACATGGGTGACGAGATTACGCATTTCGAATCATATGCTCGCTTCATCAATTATACCATTAATCTAGACGCTGAAGCTGCAAAAGCTTACTGGAGCGAGCAGCTTCTAGATGCAAAGCGCGCATTATTCCCTGCGGCCATTACCAATGTATCTCAGAGCAAGAAATATAGTACACGCGTATACGAAAAAGTTCTCGAGCTTCCGCAATTCAAGCAAACGTCTATTACAACGGCTTCTATCCTGCGCGCCACATGGGCGATAGTCCTTGCGCAATATTGCGATACGGATGATGTAACTTTTGGTACTACAATTTCTGGTAGGCAAGCTCCAGTTCACGGAATCACTGAAATGGTCGGCCCAGTTGTGTCAACTGTGCCTGTGCGTATTCGACTGGATAAGCAAGCATCGGTTTCCAAATTCCTTCAAGACGTTCAAAACCAGGCTTCTGGTATGATTCCATTCGAGCAGTTTGGTTTACAAAATATTGCAAAGTTGAACATTGAGACCAAAGAAGCCTGCGATTTTACATCACTTCTAGTTATTCAGCCAATGAAGAGCCTCACTGGTACCAGCAATGGGACGTCTATTCTAGAATCCGTTGATGCTGCAATCTACGGCGAGGAAGATTTCATGCAAGATTATTTCTCCTATCCTCTTGTCATTCAGGGCCATGTGTATGAGGACTCCGTTCACCTAGTGCTCATTTACAATACGGATGTTCTGCCTGAACAACAATTATTAGCTTTGACTCACCATTTTGAGTATGTCTCCCAGCAACTTGTTGCAAACGATAGCATGGCCCTTGAGGATGTATCTATTTCAGGCCCATGGGACATTGAATATGCGCTGTGTCAAAACCAAGAAATGCCTGAGATAGTCGACTCTTGCTTCCACACTCTTGTGGAACAGCAGGCTACTGTTCGGCCTGACGCTCCTGCGGTTCATGGCTGGGATACTAAATTTACCTATGCTCAGCTTAATGAAGCTGCTAATAGATTGGCAAATCATCTTGTTCAAGAGTATGAGATTGAGTTTAATGAGCTTATCCACGTTTGCTTCGAAAAGTCTGCCTGGTTTTTTGTGGCAGTTTTAGCCATTAATAAAGCGGGAGGTGCCTGGGTTCCATTAGATCCTTCCCACCCTGCCCAGCGCCATCAGCAGATTGTTACTCAAACAAAAGCTCGCCTTGCTCTTGTCTCATCCTCCAACGTTTCAACCTGTATCGATCTTGTGGACCACGTCATCGAAGTTTCATCAACTACTGACGAGAATTTAAGCAGGGTTGGTTCTTCTCAACGCAACCCTGATCTCGAGACCTCACCTCGCCACGCTGCGTACGTGCTCTTTACCTCAGGATCTACGGGAACTCCCAAAGGTCTTGTGATGGAACATGGAAGTGTCTGTACGTCACAAACGGCAATTGTAAGACGCCTAGGAATGACAACTAGCGTTAAGATCCTTCAATTCGCTGCGTTTGTGTTCGATCTTTCCATTGGAGAAATTGTTGCCCCCCTTATTACAGGCGCATGCTTATGCGTTCCATCAGAACATGACCGGTTGAATGAACTCCCTAAGTTCATCCGGCAGAACAACATTAACTGGGTTTATCTTACTCCTTCATTTATTCGAACACTTAATCCTAAAGACGTGCCAAGTGTAGAATTAGTGTTGCTGGCTGGCGAAGCCGTTAGTCGGGACATCTTAGACGTTTGGTTTGGTAAAGTTCGTCTTATTAATGGATGGGGGCCGGCTGAAACCTGCGTGTTTTCAACTCTTCATGAGTGGAAATCAGTTGATGAATCGCCTCTTACAATTGGTCACCCAGTAGGCGGCTTCTGTTGGATTGTTGACCCTGAGAATCCTAATAAGCTTGCGCCGATTGGAACGTTAGGCGAAGTCGTTATCCAAGGTCCTACGTTATTAAGGGAATACCTATCTGATACAGCTCGCACAGCCGCCAGTACTGTTTACAGTCTTCCGGACTGGGCCCCTAATCGTACTGTTCAGCATTGGGATCGCTTTTATAAATCTGGGGATCTCTGCTCCTACAACGCTGACGGAACCATTGAATTTTCGAGCCGTAAAGATACACAAATCAAGATAAGAGGCCTTCGTGTTGAGCTAGGCGAAGTTGAACATCACTTGCAAAATGCCCTCAGTGGCGTAAGACAGGTAGCTGTGGACGTTATTAGATCTAGCACTGGTACTAGCTTGGTGGCATATATTTGCTTTACCGACGAGACGAGAATCACCAGCAATCGTGGAAATGGTGATGAATCAGGCCCCTTTATTGAGATAGACGACAGTTTACAGGAGCTTCTCACTGCCGCTGTCGGCCAGCTGAGCATCTCATTGCCTCGATATATGATTCCTGCTTTCTTTATCCCCTGCCAGTATATGCCTTCTATTACTTCTACGAAGTTGGATAGGAATGATCTCAAGAGACGAGCAGCCAGTCTTAGCCGAGAGGAGCTTACAAAGTATTATCTTCGAAAAGATAAGAAGCGTGCACCAGTGACAATGATGGAAAAGATTCTTCAAATTATCTGGTCTCAAATTTTATCCATTCCATCAGAGAAGATTGGTCTCGATGATAGCTTCTTAGGCTTAGGTGGTGATTCAATCACAGCTATCCATCTTGTCTCTTTATCTCGAGAATACGGTATCTCGATCACAGCTCAGGATATCTTTGACGACTCGAGACTATTTTCTATTGCAGCACGCGCAAAGAAGGTGGATTCAATTGAGCAAGAGGCTGTTGGGATCCCTCCATTTTCACTCCTGAGTGAGAATTCAAGAAAATTAGTTGAGACTGACAATGTTCATGCTCAATATGGTTGGTCATCTGGAACTATTGTGGACGCCTATCCCTGCACGTCTTTGCAAGAAGGCCTAATGGCTTTATCAGCTAAGCAACCAGGATCGTATATCGCTAAATACTATTATCGCATGCCGAATAACGTGGATATACCTCGCTTCAAGGCGTGCTGGGAGAAAACTATTACTCTATGCCATAATCTCCGAACTCGCATTGTTCTCGTTGATGGTAAAGCTACGCAGACCATTATTGACGAGCCTGTTGTTTGGGCTGATAGCCGGGATTTGACGACCGCAATTTCAACGATGAAATCAGTAGAGATGACATATGGTTCACCCCTCTCCAAATTCCTTCTTGTTGAACAAAAGAGCGGCGATATATTCTTCTTGTGGGCAATTCATCATGCCGTATTCGATGGCTGGACAATACCCGTCATATTTAATGTTTTAAATGCACTATATCGCGGCGTTGAGCCAGTTCAACCTGTTTCGCATGCTCGATTTGTAAAATTCATTATGGGCGCAAACAAGGAAGATGCTATCAACTACTGGAAAACCCAATTAAACGATGTTAAGAAATCTACATTCCCTCCTGCTACGACATCTCAGCCAAGCGTCGCACGTGTCCTTGAAAGATCCATTACGTATTCCCAGGGCACCAGCTCTTTTACAAAGGCTACTATACTTCGGGCCGCATGGGCCCTTGTACTTGCTCGTTATTCCGAGACCAATGATATAACCTTTGGAACTACAATTTCAGGTCGACAGGCTCCTATTGATGGCATTACTGACATGGCTGGCCCCGCCGTTGCCACCGTTCCTGTTAGAATTCGCCTTGATAAACAACAGACCGTCTCTGCCTTCCTGAAAAGTGTTCAGAGCCAAGCTATGGAGATGATTTCATATGAGCAATTTGGCTTACAGAATATCTCGAAGATATGCGATGATGCTAAGGAGGCTTGCGACTTCACCTCACTACTTGTTATTCAGCCAGTTGACCAGCTGGTTCGTGATGACGATGATGCTCTTTTAGTCCCTGCTGGACCAGAGGTCGTTGGAGAGACAGATCTTGTCCAAAACTACTTTTCTTATCCTCTAGTTATCCAAGGCCATCTCTATGATAACAAGATTAATCTCATGTTGATCTATGATTCTCAGGTTCTTTCAGAGAAGAAAATGCAGGCCTTAGCCCGCCATTTCGACAATGCTGTCCAACAGCTCACAGAACAGAGTGATAAGCTTCTTGGCGCTGTATCTATTTCCAGTAGTTGGGATTATGACCAAGCTATCAAGTTCAACCAGAATTCTTCCGAAACTGTCGAACGGTGCTTTCACGAAATGATTGACGATGTTGCTTTGGTTCGAGGCAACGCATTGGCTATTTCTAGTTGGGATGCATGTTTCACCTACGAGGAAATATCAGCAACAACCAACCGTATTGCTCATTATATCGTGAATACCTATGGCATAGAAGTTGGAGATACTATTCATGTATGCTTTGAGAAATCCGCTTGGTTTATGATTGCTATTCTGGCAATTAATAAAGCTGGTGCTATTTGGTCAGCTCTTGATCCATCTGGCCCAGCTGAATACCACCGCAAGATCATTAGCCAAACTGGTGCCAAGCTCATAGTAGCGTCGGCCACCAATTCTCACACATGCGCTGATCTGCTGCCTAACGTTCTTAAACTAACACCTGAGCTGGATGCCAAATTGACTGAAAACTTTGGTCAGAACATCAGCCGACCAACTGTCAATATTACGCCTGGTGATGCCGCCTACGTCCTATTTGCCGCTGAATCTTCAGATATACCTGAGGGTGTTGTCATGGAGCACGCTTCGCTTTGCACCAGTCAAATGTCTTTGTCACATGCTCTTGATTTGGATGAGAGTTTCAAAGTCCTTCAGCTCTCTTCTTACTCTTCTGATGCCGCACTCTTCGAGATCTGCTCTACTTTCCTTGTAGGCGCTTGCTTGTATGTGCCTTCGCCAGACGAACAGAAGAACCAATTGGAAGATTATATCCGCAAGCACAAGATCAACTGTGCGCTTTTGACGCCAACACTGGCGCGAACTATCCGCCCTGATGGTGTTCCTTCTCTAGACGTATTATTGATTGGCGGTGAAGCTACTACTCGCGATATTCTCGATATTTGGTGCAATAAACTTCGGCTTTTTAACATCTGGGGTCCCGCTGAATGCTGTGTTGCTGCATCCATACATCGATGGACTTCGGCTACTGAGTCACCTAATGTAATTGGACGACCAATTAGTGGCTCTTGCTGGATTGTTGACCCAGATGATCCCAAAAGCATGGCTCCTATCGGAACCGTGGGCGAAATTGCGGTTCAAGGCCGCAATCTATTTTGTGAATATCTCTCCGATCTCGTCAAAACAGTGGCAGCTACGATCATTGGTCTTCCATCATGGGTTCCAAAAAGTGATTCTGCCTATTGTAATCGCTTCTACTTGACTGGCGATTTGGGTTTCATAAATGAAGATGGCAATATGGAATACTGTACCCGCAAGGATTCACAAATCAAGGTTCGAGGTCAGCGTCTTGAACTTAGAGAGATTGAACGTCACATTCAAGTCCACCTTAAAGGTGTTCAGCAAGTTGCTGTAGATGCCATCAAGTCCGAGGCTGGCACAACGCTTGTCGCCTTTATTAGCTTCTCTAAAATCACCATATCAAGAAAATCAGAGACACTTGCCACAGGCAACGATATCTTTTTACCGCTAGATGAGAATCTCCGAACTACGCTCAGTATTCTAACGGGAGTTTTGGGCACTTTGATGCCTCGGTATATGATACCGAGTGTTTTCATCCCTTGTGCCAATATGCCTCTTAATTCGTCTATACAATTAGATCGCAAGAAACTGAAACATCTAGCTAATGCTCTTCTGGAAGAGGATATAGCGCTCTATTCACTCACTAATGACGATAAGGTAGCTCCTCAGACCGCTATGGAGAGCCAAATCCAGCAATTATGGGCAAAAGTTTTGAATATCCCCGTCAATTCAATAGGTCGTGACGATTCATTTATTCAGATGGGTGGTGATTCTATTCTTGCTATTCAGCTCGTTTCAGCCGCTCGGGATGCCAACATTAAACTCACTGTTGGAGACATCTTCGATGACCCGCGCCTACAGGCAGTTGCCTCAAAAGCCGCTGAGATCAATGGAGAGGTTCAATTGGTAACTATCATTGAGCCTTTTAGTCTTTTGGAGGGCAACCTCAAGGATATTGTTCTCAGCAAGATTATTCAAGAGCAATATGACCTTCCAGTCGATAAGGACATAGAAGACGCTTACCCTTGCACGAAATTACAAGAAGGTCTTATGGCGCTCGCTGTTAAGCAGACTGGATCATACATTGCTAAATTTCTCTACCGTCTCTCTCGCAATGTTAACGTCTCTCATTTTAAGGCTTCGTGGGAAGAAACTGTTCGAATTTCACCCAATCTTCGAACCAGAATTTTCACTGCAGACAGCGTGCCTGTCCAAGCGATTTTTAAAGATGACATCTCTTGGGAACCTAGCAAAGGGGTTTCTTTGCGCTCTTACATGCGGTCAGCCCAGAATTTTGAAATGATATTTGGCTCGCGGCTCAGTCGCTATGCCCTGATCGAAGAGAATGGTGATGCATACTTCGTACTGTCAATGCATCACGCCATCTTCGACGGATGGAGTCTAAAAATTCTCATGGAAGTCTTGCACTCTATTTTCCGCAAACAAAGCGCAATTGTTGTAGAGCCTTATGTGCGATTTGTTCAGTACACTCTGGATATCGACAGCGGTGCTGCCATTGACTACTGGAGGTCACAGCTCCAAGGTGCAAAGCGAACTATCTTCCCTTCTACCACATCGTTTACGCGCGAAGAGAAAACAAAACAAAGCAGCACTCTTGTAACTGAAAAAATCATTGAGCTGCCTAGCCTAAGCAGGCATTCTATAACAAAAGCCACCATGCTTCGAGCCGCTTGGGCTATCGTTCTCTCCAGATACTCAGACTCGGAAGATGTTACTTTTGGCGCCACTATCTCTGGTCGGCAGGCATCCGTCGACGGTCTAACGAATATGGCCGGGCCTTGTATTGCGACAGTTCCCGTTCGCATTGCTATTGACCGCAAGCAGTCCATTTCTGATTACCTCCAGGCCGTTCAAAGTCAAGCAAATAACATGATACCCTTTGAACAGTTTGGTTTGCAAAATATTTCTAAAATTGGCTCTGATACTAAAGACGCTTGCGATTTCAGTAGCTTGCTCGTCGTTCAGCCTATTCAGTCACTCATCTACGACGATGAAGAGGCCGACGCTCTCTTTGTTCCTACAGAGATTGAAGGAGAGGTTGTAGACACCGTTCAGAATTATTTCACTTATCCACTAGTGATCCAAGGGCACATGCATGAAGACTATATCAAGCTCGTTTTGATTTACGATGAAGATGTATTGTCGGAAACGCAGATGATTGCTTTATCTCATCAACTTGAGACTGTCATGAAACAACTTGCATTACACCCACAAAAAGATCTGAATTCTATTTCTATCACTAGCGATTGGGACGTTAATAATTCCTTGAGCCAGAATAGCAATACCCCTGACATTGTTGATTCTTGCATTCACCATCTTATTGATCATCAAGCAACTATCCAGCCGCATGCCCTTGCTATCATAAGCTGGGACCGTAACTTCACCTACAAGCAGCTTAATGAAGCGTCTAATAGACTCGCACACTTCCTCGTCAATAAGCATAGCGTCAAACCTGACGATTTAGTCCATGTTTGTTTCGAGAAAAGCGCTTGGCATTGCGTTGCAATACTTGCAATTAATAAAGCTGGCGCTGCTTGGGTTCCGCTAGATGCCTCACATCCTGAACAACGTCTCCGCCAAGTCATTTCTCAAACTCGTGCCGTCTTAGCATTATCGTCTCCGTCCAATTCTGCTTTATGTGCTACTCTCATCGCAAACGTTGTCCAAGTTGATACTGAGCTCGACAACAGGCTTTCAGAGATCGAGCCAAGCGCAAACGGCCCTGATGTCGCCGTCTCTTCGGGTAACGCAGCCTACGTGTTGTTCACATCCGGAAGTACAGGTACTCCAAAAGGTCTTGTGATGGAACATGGATCCGTCTGTACATCACAGACCGCCATTACCAAGAGGCTAGGGCTACATCCAAAGGTTCGAATGTTGCAATTTGCGGCCTATGTGTTTGATCTATCTATTGGTGAGATTATTGGCACGCTTATTTCTGGTGCTACTATTTGTGTCCCGTCAGACCACATTCGCTTGAACAATATCGTCGATTTCATAAGGAAGGAGAGGGTCACTTGGGCTTACCTGACGCCATCCTTTGTGCGCACAATCAAGCCGTCTGAGGTGCCTAACCTAGAGCTTTTGGTACTTGCTGGCGAGGCTATTCCTCGTGATGTTTTTACATCTTGGTTTGGCAAAGTGCGCTTAATAAATGGATGGGGCCCTGCGGAAACTTGTTGTTATAGTACATTGCATGAATGGCAGTCGCTTGACGAGAGCTCTCTCACTATCGGCCGTCCGGTCGGTGGGTTCTGCTGGATTGTCGACCCTGAGAACCCGCACTGTCTAGCACCAACTGGTACACTAGGTGAGATCGTTATTCAAGGACCTACAATTCTTCGTGAGTATTTAAGTGATACCGAGCGCACTGAAGCTGCTCTTGTTAAGTCTCTTCCTGAGTGGGCACCATTCCGTGAGGAGGCCAACTGGAGCCGCTTCTATAAATCAGGGGATCTTGGCTTTTACAACCCCGATGGAACTATTCAATTCTCTAGCCGCAAGGACACACAAATCAAAATACGCGGTTTGAGAGTTGAGTTGGGTGAGATTGAACATCATATACAGCTTCTATTAAACGACGTTCGCCAAATTGCTGTTGACGTCTTCAAAGGAACTAATGGTACTAATCTCGTTGCCTATTTCTCATTCTGCGATGATATTCGACAGAATCATGAAGCGGACGTATCTGGGCCATTCTTAACAATTGACAAGGACTTGCAATCCCGCCTGGCTGCTCTCATTGGCCAACTTAGTGTAACCCTGCCCAGATATATGATCCCTACACTGTTTATTCCTTGCAAGTATATGCCCTCTATTACATCTACCAAACTTGACAGAAAAGAGCTATTGCGCTGCACTGCAGCGCTTACTCAAGAAGAAATTGCTCTGTTTTCGCTACTTGGAACAAAAAAGCGGGCTCCCGAAACACCGATGGAGAGCCTCATTCAAGATATGTGGTCGGAGATCCTTCACATTTCAGCTGATTCTATTGGACGTGATGATAGCTTTTTAGGCCTTGGCGGTGATTCAATTCTCGCCATTCATCTCGTCAGCATCGCTCGCGAGAAAGGAATTCGGCTTACTGCAAAAGACATTTTTGATGATCCACGTCTGCTGGCTATAGCCAGCAAGGCACAGGAACTTGATGCTGAAGCCCGACAACAGCCTGTTGATGCTTTACCATTTAGTCTACTTGGGTCTGAGACACGTGAACTTGTAGTCGGTCTTGATGTTAAGCAACAACTCCAGCTGCTTGTAAATGACGCCGTTGAAGACTCATATCCTTGCACTAAGCTTCAAGAGGGTCTTATGGCTTTGTCTGTCACTCAACCAGGATCCTACATCGCAAGATATGTATACCGACTATCCAGAGAAATCGATCTTGCACGCTTTAAACATGCTTGGGAGCAGACTGTTGCTATGCGAGATATTCTTCGTACTAGAATCATTATGATAAACGATGTATGCGTTCAAGTAGTGGTTAGCGAAGGCACTGTTTGGGACAATCTTGATTACGGAGATTTAAACGAGGCTGTCCGTGCTTCGCATTCATATATCATGACATATGGTTCACCTTTATCTCGTTACGCGGTTTATGAGTCTGCAATGGGCGAGAAATACTTCCTATGGACAGTCCATCACGCCATTCACGATGGTTGGTCTGTGCCCATTATCTTCAATACCTTCTATCAAGCCTACGAGGGTCTCGAATCGGTAGCTCCTAAAGCTTATTCAAGCTTTATCCGCTATACCATGGAACTTGAGCAAGACGCTGCGATCGGCTATTGGAGAAAACAGTTGCGCGACGCTAAGCGTGCCAGCTTCCCTAAGACTGGTCTTATGGAAAAATCTACTGGCAATGAGCAGACGACTCGTGTGATGTCTACCTCTCTCAGCTTTCCCACGTCATCTAATCAAACTTTTACCAAGGCTAGCGTAATGAGGGCTGCATGGGCCATCGTTCTTGCAAGGTATTGCGATAGCGATGATGTCTGTTTCGGCGCCACTATTTCTGGCAGAGAAGCACCCGTGGCCGGCCTTATAGAAATGGCTGGTCCGGTGGTCGCAACCGTCCCTGTCCATGTAAAAGTGGATAAAGATCAGGAAGTCGCACAATTCTTGCAGCATATCCAAACCCAAGCCCATGAAATGGTTCCTTACGAACAATATGGTCTTCAGAACATTTCTAAGCTGAGTGCAAGTATAAAAGACGCTTGCGATTTCACTTCACTCTTAGTAATCCAACCTGTCCAGCGTCTCGCACCTATTACGGCCGATGGTGCTGCTCTCTTGGCCCCTGCTCACTCAGAGATCAAGGATATGGTGCAGAATTATTTCAGCTATCCTCTGGTGATTCAGGGCCACGTTTATGAAGACTGCGCCGATCTCGTTCTAATTTATGACTCAACCATCATTTCGGAGCTGCAGATGACTGCTCTTTCCTATCATTTCGATAATGTTGTACAACAGCTGCTAGCGGAGCAAGCAGGCAAAGTGGGCGATATTTCTGTCTCTTGTTTGTGGGATCTTGAGCTTGCTCAGAGGTCTAACGGCGACGGGCCTGATATTATTGATGACTGTATTCATTCCCTGATCGAGAGACAGACTGAAGAGAGGCCTAATGCACTTGCTGTTGACGCATGGGATGGCAAGCTCACTTATGGTGAATTAGACCGCGCTGCCAATCGGCTGGCCCGCCTCCTCATTAGCCGTTATACAGTAAAGGTTGGCGATATTGTGCATGTTTGCTTCGAAAAGTCTTTATGGTATATCGTGGCAATCCTTGCGATCAACAAGGCCGGTGCTTCTTGGTCTCCTATTGATTCCGCTCATCCTTTTCATCGATTGCAAGCTGTGGCTATACAAACTGGGGCCAAGTTGGCCCTTGCTTCAACGGCCAACAGAGCGCTCTGCGAACGGCTTGTTGATAGTGTAGTCGAAGTCTCGGCCTCTCTTGAAGAAGCTCTTTCTGCTGAAGGTATCAGTGACATGGGACCCGATGTCTGTGTCACTTCTAATGATACTGCCTATATCTTGTTTACATCTGGCTCTACCGGTATGCCGAAGGGGATTGTTATGCAGCATGGAGCTCTTTGCACCAGCCAAACAGCTCTCGGCGAGCGGTTAGGCCTTGATCACACTGTGAGGATGCTACAGTTCTCATCATTCGTCTTTGATGTATCTGTGGGGGAAATCATGGGTTCTTTGATAAATGGGGCCTGTGTCTGCATTCCTTCAGATGAAATGCGTCTTAATAGTCTTGACGTCTTCGTTCGCGATTTCAAGGCCACATGGGCCTATTTAACCCCATCTTTTACACGTACACTGAATCCCAAAGATTTCTCTGGACTGAAGTTGCTCGCTCTCATGGGCGAAGCGACAACTCAAGATGTTTTAGATACCTGGTATGGTCTTCCTAACATGCGATTCGTCAACGGCTGGGGCCCCGCAGAGACCTGTGTTCTTAGTTCTACCTACGAGTGGCAGTCTAATACCGAGTCCACTTTGACGATAGGTAAGGCAGTAGGCTCTTATGTGTGGATAGTTGACCCTGAAAATCCTATGCGGCTTGCACCCACTGGCTGCTTGGGCGAAATTATCGTTCAAGGTCCCGCGCTCTTCAGAGAGTACTTAGCTGATCCTAATAAATCAGCTGCTGCTATTGTCACTAACCTTCCTGAATGGGCTCCCAGGCGCGAATCTGCGGCATGGAACCGCTTCTACAGGACTGGCGATTTGGGTTTCTATGATCACAACGGCGTACTTAACTTTGTTAGTCGAAAAGATACACAGGTTAAAGTACGTGGCTTACGTATCGAGCTGGGCGAAGTTGAACATCAAATCCAAGAGTCATTGCAAGGGGCCCGTCAAGTTGCAGTGGATGTTTTTAAGACCGAAAAGGGAGCGAACTTGGTTACTTATTTCTGCTTTACCGATGACACCAAGACCCCTAGTTCAAATGCTGATCCTGAGGGCAAAGACGTGTTCGAGAATATTGATGCCCAGCTGCGGACTAAGCTGAATGATATGTTGGTCAAACTGAATCTATCACTCCCGGGATATATGATTCCTACGCTGTTCATCCCTTGCGCTTATATGCCTCTCATAACTTCTGCCAAGTTGGACCGTGTCAAGCTTCGCCATATTACTGCCCAGCTCAGCCAAGAACAACTGGAAGCATATTCTTTGCTTGATGCTGACAAGCAGGCGCCTGAAACTGAAATGGAAATTCGTTTACAAAAACTTTGGGCTGCGACATTAAATCTGCCAGAAACTGCAATCGGTCGACAGGACAACTTTTTGCGCATTGGCGGTGACTCTATTGCCGCTATCCGCCTCGTTTCAATGGCTCGTAACGTCGGAATTATCCTCACAGTTAACGATATCTTTGACGATGCCCGTTTAGTTGCGGTCGCAGACAAGGCTGTTGATACTGATGTGGGCTATGACGCCCTGGCTCCAATTAAGCCATTTAGCCTCCTGCCTGCGGGCATCGAAGACTTGGTTATATCTCCTACAATTAGAAAAGAATGCGCACTTGCCGCTGATCAAGTCATCGAAGATGCGTATCCTTGCAGCAAGCTCCAAGAAGGTCTCATGGCTTTGTCTGTTAAGCAACCGGGCTCTTATATCGGTAAATTTGTCTATAAGCTTTCCAGACATATTGACGTCAACAGATTCAAGATGGCCTGGGAACGCACTATTGAGATGACTGGCAGTCTACGCACCCGAATCGTGCGAGCTGGAGATTATTCCATTCAAGTTGTCATCAACGGCGATGTTGCTTGGGGCGAAACAAGTAATGATTTACAGTCATCGCTTGCTAGGGCTCAGTGTCTTGAGATGGGTTATGGTTCTCGACTCAGCCAGTACACTCTCATTGAGCATGTTGACTGCACGTACTTTATGTGGAGTATTCATCACGCAATTACAGACGGTCTATCAACCATGAAGATTTTGAGTACGCTTTCAAACATATACAATGGCGTTGAAACCTCACCTCTGCCGCCATACGCTCGTTTCATCAAGTATACTCTTAGTCTCCAAGAAGAAATCACTGCAAACTATTGGAAGACGCAGCTTCATAATGCTCAAAAAGCAATATTCCCCCCTACGAACAGCACATCTCATAACACACCAAACGTTACTCAAGTACTAGAGACGTTAATTGAGCTTCCTCTTGACGTGAAAAACTCGACAATTACAGTGGCTACGGTCGTCCGATCTGCATGGGCTATTGTCCTTGCTAGATACTGTGACTCTGACGATGTTACTTTCGGTACTACTATTTCAGGCCGCCAGGCACCTGTGCCTGAAATTATGGAAATAGCTGGTCCTATAATCGCTACTGTTCCAGTCCGCATATGTATCAACCGCCAACAGCTAATTTCGGATTTTCTCGAAGGTGTCCAGAAGCAGGCTCTAGAAATGACTGCGTTTGAGCAGTATGGACTTCAAAATATTGCGAAACTAGGCGAGAATGCTCGCGATGCATGTGACTTTAGCAGCCTTCTCGTTGTCCAGCCCATGCAGTATCTTGGAAGCACGAATAACGAAGACGATCTTCTTTTTAGCACTGATCTTGGAGCTGATGGTGTCGCTGACACTGTCCAAAACTATTTTTCATACCCTTTAGTTGTCCAAGCTCACTTATACGATGACCACGTAAAGCTTGTACTTATTTACGACTCGAAAGTGATCCCAGAAACTCAATTGGTTGCTCTCTCTCATCAGATTGGCCATGTTATGACCCAGCTCAACAATTCAAGTTCTGCTACTCTGGATACGGTCTCCGTCTTCTCACCCCATGATGTCCAGAAAGCAACATCTTTTAATGCGACAATCCCTGAGGTTGTTAATGCCTGCATGCATGAACTAATTGAGAACCAGGCCAAATTGAACCCATCTGCTCCAGCTATTGCCGCTTGGGATGGGAACTTTACATATAGCGAGCTTGATAGCGCCGCTAACAAGTTGGCCCATCACCTTATCAATGCCTATGGTGTTAAGTTCAATGACTTTGTTCACGTCTGCTTTGAAAAATCGGCTTGGTATATAGTATCAATAATTGCAATCAGCAAGGTCGGCGCGACTTGGGTTCCCCTAGATCCCTTCCAACCAGAACAGCAATTACGATCCATTGTTAGCCAGACCAAAGCCACTTTAGCCTTGGTTTCGCCACGCAACGTGGAACTCTGTTCCTCTTTGGTTGACAATGTTATTGAGGTAACTACAGATCTGGATATCTCGCTTCCCGGGCAAGATGGAGTTCAGAGCCCCAACGTATCCGTCTCATCTCAAACAGCTGCGTATGTCCTTTTCACTTCCGGCTCTACGGGCACACCTGAGGGAGCCGTTATTGAACAAGGCTCTTTATGCACAAGTCAAAATGACATTGCGAAGAGACTCCATTATCATTCAAATGTGCGCATCTTGCAATTTTCTGCATTTATATCTCATCTTTCTATCAGCGAAATCATCATGTCATTGATTAACGGAGCCTGTGTATGCGTTCCCTCTGAGGATCAGCGAACAAATGGTATAGTCGACTTTATCCGCAACATGAGGATCAACTGGCTTTATATTACACCCACCTTCTTACGTACATTGAATCAAAGCGACGTTCCTGGTGTTGAATTGGTTCTTATGGGTGGCGAATCTGTGCCACGTGATGTGTTTGATATGTGGTTTGGTCATGTTCGTCTGCTCAATGCTTGGGGCCCCACAGAGTCATGTATGATGGGTGCCATTCATGAATTCGAATATGCTGACGAATCGCCTTTGACTATCGGCTCTCCTGTTGGTGGTTTCTGCTGGATTGTTGATCCGGAAAACCCACATCATCTCGCGCCAATCGGAAGTCTTGGTGAGGTTGTGATCCAAGGTCCGGCTCTCTTCCGCGAATATCTCAACAATCCCGAGAAGACTGAAGAAACGACTGTGAACGTGTTGCCGGATTGGGCCCCTCGACCCGATGAAAGGAATTGGAATCGGTTTTACAAAACTGGCGATTTATGCTTTTATAACGCCAACGGCGCTATCGAGTTTTCGTCTCCTAAGGACATGCAAACGAAGATTAATGGTCTTCGTGTTAAATTAGGCGAAATTGAGCATCATGCCCATGCCTTGCTTAACGATATCGGCCAAATCGCCGTAGATGTCGTCAAAACTGACAGCGGTTCTAACTTAGTTGCATACCTGTTCTTCACTGATGAGAAGCGCCAGCATTCCGATGATGATGATAAGGGTCCATTTACTCCAATGAGTTCAGAACTTGAAGATAAACTCGCTGGTGTTATAGGTGAATTAAGAGTGAGCATGCCGAGATATATGATACCTACCTTCTATATCCCATGCAATTATATGCCTGTTATATCATCTGGTAAGCTGGATCGGAAGGAGTTGAAAAAGCAAATCTCTATCCTTAGCCAAGATGAGCTCATCAAGTTCTCTCTACACGAGGTCAATAAACGCGCTCCTGAATCGGTCATGGAACTTCGACTTCAGAAAATTTGGTCAACAGTCCTCTCTACTACCGTAGGATTTATTGGCCGTGACGATAGCTTCCTTAGCTTAGGAGGTGACTCAATTACAGCAATTCATCTCGTCAGCGCTTGTCGCGAAGCCGGAATTTCTATTACGGTGAAGGATATTTTTGATGACCCCCGTTTATCCGCCGTTGCTTCTCGAGCCCAAAACCTCGAAGTTGTCGAAGAAGATGTATCGGTTGCTCCTTTCAGCTTGCTTTCGGATCATCTTCGTGATATGGCTCTTAATGAGGACGAGAGGCTTTCGCTTTCTTCTAGTCACATCATTGAAGATGCCTATCCTTGTTCAAAATTCCAGGAAGGTTTGATGGCTTTGTCTGTTAAACAACGTGGTTCTTACGTCGCACAATATGTGTACAAACTGTCTGATGCGGTGGACCTTCCCAAACTCAAGGCTGCCTGGGAGCGCACAGTCGAGCTTTGCGCTTCCCTTCGAACTCGTATTGTTATGCTGGACGGTACCTGTGTTCAAATAATAACTAATGGACCCGCAGAGTGGGATGACGCATTCCCAACAGACTTGGATGGCTCTATAAGTGCTACTCGATCTGAGATGACTTACGGATCGCGTCTGAATCGTTATGCTCTGGTTCAAGACAACAAATTTGGTAATCACCTCATTTTGACCACCCATCATGCCGTTCATGATGGTTGGACACTTCGAATCATCATGAATACGCTCTACGGGGCATACCTGGGCCTAAATTCTCCTCCTCCTAAACCCTATTCGGCCTTTGTTCGTTACACTCTCAGTATTGACGTGGAAGAGGCTAGCAATTTCTGGAGCGAACAGCTAAAGAATGCGAAGCGCGCTACATATCCTCCAATGCCTCATATTGAGTCTCACACTGGCATTACTCGCATGCTGAATAAGACGATTTCTTTCCCTCCATCTATCAAGACTATTACTACAAAGGCTACTATCCTCCGTGCTACGTGGGCAATTGTACTAGCACGTTATTGCGATTCTGACGACGTAACATTTGGAACTACTATTTCCGGTCGCCAAGCCCCTGTGCCTGGTCTAACGGAAATGCCGGGTCCAGCCGTTGCAACAGTTCCAATTCGTATACGTGTTGATGCTAGCAAACCTGTTTCTCGCTTCCTCAGTGAAATACAATCACAGGCAACTGATATGATTGAATTTGAACAATTCGGTCTCCAGAATATCATAAAGCTAAGTTCTGATGCAAAAGATGCTTGTGAATTCTCTTCGCTTCTTGTTATTCAACCTCGGACTCATTTGGATTCGATTGTCAGCAAAGAATCTTCTGAATCTCTAATGGCTCTGTCAGTTGAAGCGAGAAGTGCTGAGCAGCTGATGCAGAACTATTTTACTTATCCTCTAGTTATCCAAGGCCATGTCTTTGATGATTCCATAGAGTTGCTTCTGACTTACGACTCGACCATTTTATCAGAGATTGAAATGGAAGCCCTTTCTCATCAATTCGACATTGTCGCTCATCAGCTAGTTCGTGAATCAGATGATCCTATTGGTTCTGTTGCCGTCGCCGGCGAATGGGACCTTGAGCAGGCCAAGAAATGGAATACCGAAGACCCTGAACTTCTCGATACCTGTATTCATAGCCTCATCGAGAAACAATCAGTGGTCCGACCAGATGCACCAGCCGTGTGCGCGTGGGATGGTGAGATGACCTACAATGAGCTCAATAATGCTGCAAATAAGCTCGCCCATCGCATTGTGAATGCTGGCGTCAAGACTAATGACCTAGTCCACGTGTGCTTCGAGAAATCGCTTTGGTTTTTTGTCTCCATTCTGGCTATCAATAAGGCTGGCGGAGCTTGGGTTCCACTAGACCCCTCTCATCCTAAGCAACGTCTGCGCCAAATTGCTGGTCAGACTTTGGCCAAACTAGCCCTTTCTTCCCCTACCAACGCGGCGTTATGTAGAGACATTATTAGCGAGGTCATTGAAGTCAATGGCGAGCTCATAAATGAGCTTTCCGAGACATACGATGGTGTTAATGGACCTATTACCCGCGTGCCGTCTTCCAATGCTGCCTACGTTCTTTTCACCTCCGGCAGCACGGGCACGCCCAAAGGCCTCGTAATGCAGCACCAGGCTGTGTGCACAAGCCAAACAGCTATCGCTCAGAGACTTCGTCTTACTCCTGATGTTAGAATCCTTCAGTTTGCCGCCTATGTCTTTGACCTATCTATTGGTGAGATTGTTGGACCTTTAATTCACGGGGCTTGCATATGCGTGCCGTCGGAGGAGATGAGATTCAATGGCCTGAAGGAATTTATCCACGAAAAGAATATTAATTGGGCATTCCTTACACCTTCATTTGTTCGAACACTTAAGCCAGAGGATGTTCCCAGCATCGAGCTTTTACTTCTTGCCGGCGAAGCTGTTGGTAGGGATATTCTGAATATGTGGTTTGGTAAGGTGCGCCTCATCAATGGCTGGGGCCCAGCTGAAACTTGCGTGTTTTCTACTTTACACGAATGGACTTCCATTGACGAGTCTCCTTTAACCGTTGGTAAGCCTGTGGGCGGATACTGCTGGATTGTTGATGCCGAAGACCCCAGCAAGCTAGCACCAATCGGTTGTTTGGGTGAAGTCGTTCTTCAGGGACCTACCTTACTCCGTGAATATCTCGCCGATCCACAAAGAAGCAAAGAGGCAATTATTACCCCACTGCCGTCCTGGGCGCCGAAGCAAGACTCTCAACCATGGAGCCGTTTTTATAAGTCAGGTGATTTGTGTTTCTATAATCCCAACGGTACAATCGAGTTTTCATCCCGCAAGGATACGCAGGTTAAAATTCGTGGTCTCCGTGTTGAATTGGGCGAAGTTGAACACCATATTCGTCAATGTCTTGATGGTGTTCACCAAGTTGCTGTTGATGTTTTAAAATCCGAAGCAGGGACAAGCTTGGTTTCATACCTCTGCTTTAGTGATGATTCTCAACCCGGCTCATTGGAACTCAAGGCCAGCGATATTTATTTACCCTTTGACTCTGATATTCAGAGCCGCGTTACTGCCATGGTTGGTGAACTTAATGTGACACTTCCACGGTACATGATTCCTACGCTATTTATTCCTTGCAAGTTTATGCCTGTCATCACCTCCACCAAGTTGGATAGGAAGACGCTGAAGACAATGACAGCTTCGCTGAACCGTGATCAATTAGCGCAATATTCACTTATTGATAGCAAGAAGCGCAGCCCCGAGACTCAAATGGAAGCATGCCTCCAAGCTATCTGGGCTGAAATCCTCAATCTCCCTATCGAGTCTATCGGTCGTGATGATAGCTTCTTCCAGATTGGCGGCGATTCTATTACTGCGATCTACCTAGTATCAAAGGCGCGTGAAGTGGGGGTATCACTTCTCGTCAAAGACGTCTTCGTTGACTCTCGTCTACTTGCGGTGGCTTCCAAAGCGGTCTTTTGTGACGCTGCTCAGCAGAAACCGGAGTCTGTTGCGCCTTTTAGCCTCTTAAACGAGCAAATTCGTGCTCTGGTGCTTGGCGGCGAGGTTCGCAAACTGTGTGGCCTTGGCGACGACCAAACTATTGAAGATGCTTATCCTTGCACTTCACTACAAGAGGGCCTGATGGCATTAACAGTCAAGCAGCCTGGGTCTTATGTTGCCAAGTACGTTTACAAGCTTGCTCCATTCGTCGATGTTGAAAGATTAAGAGCTGCATGGAACCGCACCATGGAACTGTGCGGTAACATGCGAACGAGAATTGTCTTGTTAAACGGCACACCCATCCAATTACTCCTTAAGGAAGATGGCCAGTGGCAGTCATTGAAGAATGAAACTCTGGCCTCAGTCACCAATTCTTCGAGGGATGTTCTGATGGGTTATGGAACTCCTCTTTGCTGGTATGGTATTCTGGAAGATAACAATGACAGATATCTGGTGTGGTCAGCCCATCACTCCATCTACGACGGCTGGGTAATGCGCATCCTGCTTACTACCCTATACACTGTTTATCATGGCGCTGAGGTTACAACGCTACAACCGTACTCTGGCTTCATCAAGTATAGTATAGAATTGGATAGCACTGCTTCTGCCAATTTCTGGCGGGAGCAATTATCTGGCTCTCAGAGGGCTGCTTTCCCGGCTCGTCAGCCACTTACTAGCTCACCATCATCAACGCAAGTGTTCAAATCCACTATTAAACTTGGACAGCCCAGCCAAACTATGGTTACGAGAGCTTCTATCCTAAGGGCCGCCTGGGCCATTGTTCTTGCCCGTTACAGTAACACAGAAGATGTGAGCTTCGGAACGACCGTATCAGGACGCCATGCTCCCGTAGCTGGGCTCGAAACTATGCCAGGTCCTATGATTGCAACAGTTCCTATCCGCATTCGTATGGATCGTGCTATTACCAAGTCTGGGTTCTTAGAAAGAGTTCAGAACCAGGCTCATGAGATGGTTCCTTATGAACAATTCGGTCTTCATAACATCTCTAAGCTCAGCCAAGATGCCAAGGATGCCTGTGACTTTTCGAGTCTGCTCGTTATTCAGCCTCCTGCACAGAACATCTCAGAGGACGAACTAGCATCCAATATCTTGGTCTACGGCAGTGAAGAGCAGGGCCGTACAGATGATGCTATGCAGAATTACTTCAACTATCCCCTTGTGATTATTATGAACACCTTTACTGACCACATCCTGCAACGCTTCTTCTTTGATTCCAATGTCCTGAGCGAGTCTCGTGTGTCTGCTTTATCGCAGCATATTAGTCACGTTGTAGAGCAGCTGTTAGATGATGGCGATGACATCCTTGGTAACATTGATCTTGTTGGAGAATGGGATGTCCAGCACGCTTTGGAGTCTACTCGACTTAAGCCATCTACAGAGGCTTGTACGCATTGGCTTATCCATGATCGTATCAAAGCACAGCCCAATGACCCCGCGATTTCTTCCTGGGATGGTAATCTCACCTACGCCGAGCTAGGTACTCTTGCAAATCGTCTAGCCTGGAAACTTCAAGACCTTGGAGTCGGGCCCGAATCTCTCATTCCACTATGCTTCCCTAAATCTACCTGGGCTGTCGTTGCGATGGTTGCCGTGGAAATGGCCGGTGGTGCATTTGTTCCTCTTGATCCTAACGCACCGGCTGCTCGTCTTCAAAGCCTTATTGAGGATACTAAATCAACTTTGGCAATTGCAAGCCCATCATGTCAAGCTACCATCCGTGATATTGGTATCGATGTATTCGTTGTCGACGAGGCTCTATTACTTGAACTTTCTGACCCCATAGCGCCGATTACGTCTTCAGTACAGCCGGATAATGCAAGTGTCATCCTCTTCACATCAGGATCAACTGGCAAGCCTAAGGGCATGGTGATTCAACATAATAGCCTGTGTTCATCTGGAAATGCTTATGGCACAGATCTTAATATCGGGCCGGGCACACGAGTATTTCAATTTTCTGCTTATACATTCGATGTCGGTGTGCTTGACTGTCTTGTCTCTCTCATGCGCGGCGCAACTATTTGCATTCCATCCGACCATGCACGCCTTAATGACTTAGCCGGCGCTATGAATGCCACAAAGGCAAACTGGGTGTTCCTTACACCTACCGTTGCAGATCTTCTTTCGCCAACTGACGTCCCATATCTCGAGGTTCTCTGCTTGGGTGGCGAAGCTATCAGTAAGAAATGTGCAGAGCGCTGGATCAATCACACTGAAGTACACGGTCTATATGGTCCTGCCGAAGCATCTATATGTGCCTGGAACCCTGCCGTCGGTAGATCTGGCCTCTCAACTAATATCGGAAGACCTACGTCCTCAGCTTTCTGGGTAGTGGAGCCTAGTAACAATAAGCGACTTGTTCCTGTCGGATGCATTGGAGAGCTTCTTATTGAAGGCCCTATGCTTGCTCGAGGATACATCAATGCTAACGCCGAGAGTGCTTCGAACTGGATGGAAAATGTGGATTGGCTTCCGGGTCCTGATATCAAGAGGGTCTATAAGACCGGCGATTTGGTTCGCCGTAATGCTGATGGCACTTTCGATTTCATCGGCCGAAAAGACACGCAAGTTAAACTCCATGGTCAGCGCGTTGAGCTTGGCGAAATTGAGACTCGAGTTCACGAGTTCCTCCCAACAGATGTAGCTGCCATAGTTGCTGTTGTTAAAGATGGTCATGGTCACGACGGCTTGCTTGCTTTCCTCTGGTACACTGAAGGTGCCACTGCCTCTAAGTCTACTACCAGTTTGGTGGAGACTATCACTGATGAAGCTCGTGCTATGATTTCTCATATTGACTCTTCACTGAGCATGATATTGCCGTCATACATGATTCCATCATCTTATCTAGTGTTTAATGGTAAGCCTGAGCAGACGGTGAATGGCAAGGTCAATCGTCGTGCATTGCTTGCTCATGCTCAGAACTTATCTACACAGGATCGTTTGCGCTTTGCACCCAACATCAGTAAGAATGAACCACCAACAACACCCATGGAATTCAAGCTTAGAGATCTTTGGGCTCAAGTACTCCATATTGATGTTGAATCCATTGGTAAAAATGATAGCTTTTTGCGCATTGGGGGTGACTCCATCAGTGCAATTCAGCTAGTTTCTCTGGCTCAGCAGAATAACATTGGTCTAACGGTGGCTACTATCTTTAACGATCCTCGCCTATCTCAGATGGCTGAGGCTGCTAATGTTGATGAAATTATGCCAACCTATGAGAATAAGCCTTTTAGCCTGATTCCTGCATCTACCATGGATGCTGTTCTTACCGAAGTGCGATGCCAGTGCGATCTCTCTGAGTCTGCGATTATCGAGGATGCTTATCCATGCACGCGTCTTCAAGAAGGTCTAATGGTGTTAGCAGTCAAGCAACCAGGTTCATACGTTGCCAAGCATGTATACCGCCTAGTAACTGGAACCGACATGGAACGTTTTAAGCAATCTTGGGATCAAACTGTGGAGGCTTGTGCAGCCCTTAGAACGCGATTTGTTCTTGTTGATGGCAACGTTTTCCAGGCAGTTATTAAAGATTCAGTCAGCTGGAAGTTTTCATCCGACCTCCGTTCGTTTACAATGTCCACAGAAAACTCTCAAATGGGTTACGGTACTCCTCTTTGTCGATATGCAATTATTGAACAGGGTAGCGAAAAATATTTTGCTTGGAACATCCACCACGCTATTTTCGATGGATGGACTTTACCATTAATAATGGGCACTCTCCATGCCTTCTACCGAGGCACTGATATTCCTTCACTCCTCCCATATTCTGGATTCGTGAAATACGTGGCGAATCTGGATTATACCGCTTCTAGCGAGTACTGGTCTCAGCAATTAGATGGCGCTAAGAAGGCAGCATTTCCTCCAGGAAATGGAACGGCGAAAGCCAACAAATCGGAGACATCAACTCGCGTCATGCACAGCGCGATTCAATTCCCTCGGTCTACCAATACCTCAGTCACAAAAGCCTCAATTCTTCGAGCGGCATGGGCCATTGTGCTTGCACAATATAATGATTGTGATGATGTCTGCTTTGGAACTACGGTTTCTGGCCGCCACGCCCCAGTTCCCGGTCTCGAACGAATGCCTGGTCTTGTAGTCGCGACTGTTCCCGTTCACGTCAAACTGGACCAGAATCAATCTTTAAGCAGCTTTTTAGAGGGAATTCAATCACAGGCCTCTGAAATGGTTGCTTACGAACAATTTGGCATCCAGAATATTTCTAAATTAAATGCTCAAGCCAAGGAGGCTTGTGACTTCACCAGTTTATTAGTTGTGCAACCCACCCAACACATCTCCTCAACGGGAAGTGGGGAAGAAGAGACCCTATTAACTGCTACAATAACCGATGACATTCGTTCCGATGAATTGCTGGATAATTATTTTAATTATCCCCTGGTTTTGCAGTGCCATCTACTTGATGATTGTGTCAACCTCGTCTTCATATATGATGATGGCCTTATTGCTGAGCACCAGCTTATTAGTCTTTCTCATCAGTTTGAACATATCACTACTCAATTACTTGCTCAGGACGATAGCCCTCTATCCACAATCTCAATGGCAAGCGAATGGGATCTTGAATTCGCGTGTGCTTCAAACAAAATTGAGCCCGCCATTGTAGAAGACTGCATTCACAATCTGATTGAGCAGCAAGCTCTACTTAACCCAGATGCACCAGCTATTAACGCATGGGATGCCGATTTCACTTATGCTGAATTAGACCGCGCCGCCAATAGATTGGCAAACTACCTTATTCAGTCTTTAGGCGTAAAAGTGGGTGATTTTATTCATGTGTGCTTTGAGAAATCAGCTTGGCATGTAGTATCTGTTCTTGCGATCAACAAAGCAGGCGCAGCCTGGATACCGCTCGATCCATCACATCCTACTGAACGCCACCAGCAAGTTGTTAATCAAACTAGCTCCGTGTTAGCACTCACTTCAGTAGCCAATGTTTCCAAGTGCATTGATCTAGTAGCTAATGTTTTGGAGGTAACACGAGAGCTCGATGACAGACTTATCGCTGATGTACAATTCAACGACACGAAACCAGCCACTAGTGTTACTCCTCAGGATATTGCTTATATCCTCTTCACATCTGGGTCTACTGGTATCCCCAAGGGCGTCATCATGGAGCATGTGGCCCTCTGTAGCAGTCAGACCTCTGCCAGTAAAAGAATTGGCTATGGCTCTAGCGTCCGAATGCTTCAATTTGCCTCTTTCGTCTTTGACGCATGCATAGCAGAAATATTCACGCCGTTAATCTCAGGCGCTTGCGTCTGCATCCCGTCTTGGGAGACACAGATGAGTTCTCTTGCAAGTTATATTCGCAAGGCGAACGTGAACTGGGCATTGTTGACTCCGTCATTCGCTCGTACTATTAATCCGGCAGAAGTTCCTTGTTTAGAGCTTTTGATGCTTGGTGGCGAGGCTGTTAGTCGCGATGTCTTCGAGCTTTGGTTTGGCAAGCTTCGTCTGTTCAATGCATGGGGTCCTACTGAAAGTTGCGTCTTTGGCGCATTGCATGAGTGGAAGTCCATTCATGAATCCCAGTTAACAGTTGGTCAGCCACTTGGTGGCTACTGCTGGCTTGTTGACCCTAAAAATCCACAGAAGTTAGCACCCACAGGCACATTGGGCGAGGTTGTTATTCAGGGACCTAATTTATTCCGCGAGTACTTGTCTGATAAGGAGAAGACAGCCTCCTCCACTGTCGCCTCCCTGCCGCAATGGGCGCCTAATCAACATTCTCGCTACTACAACCGATTTTATAAGACTGGGGATTTGGCGATGTATAATTCCGATGGGACTCTTCAATATTATAGCCGCAAGGACACACAGGTCAAAATCCGTGGCCTTCGCGTGGAATTGGGCGAAATTGAGTACCATATTCGTCAGAGCCTTAATGGTGTCCAGCAAGTTGCTGTTGATGTATTCAAGACCGAGGCTGGCTCCAATCTTATTTCGTTCATTTGCTTCAACAACGACACGCTTCCTGCTAGCGCCACTGGTGATATCACTTGTGAGGATATCCTCTTGTCACTTACAGCCGAACTGAAAAATAGTATCAATGATCTACAAGGCCGTCTTAATGTTGCCTTACCTAGTTATATGATTCCTACACTGTTCGTTCCCTGCAAAGCTATGCCACTTGTTACTTCCGGTAAACTTGATAGGAAGCTTCTACTGAAATTCACTGCGTCTCTAACTAAAGCTCACCTTGAGAAATACGCGCTCTCTGATGGTGAAAAGAGACAACCAGAGACCGAAATGGAATACCGTATGCGTGAGCTTTGGGCTTCTCTCTTGAATATGCCTCTCACCTCTATTGGTCGCGACGATAACTTTTTGAGAATTGGTGGTGACTCTATAACTGCAATTCGACTCATTACCAAAGCGCGTGATCATGGCATTTCCCTTAGTATAAATGATATATTTAGCGATTCCCGACTCCTTGCTGTTGCAGCTAAAGCTACCATTGGAGGAGGCCAGTCTGGAGAGATGATCGCCATTCAGCCATTTAGTCTTCTTGATCAAGACCGCAAAAGCATGGTTTTTGGCAGTTCTTCTGGCCTCCTACTGCCGCCCGGCCTGGAGATCGAGGATGCCTTTCCCTGTTCCAAGCTCCAGGAAGGTTTCATGGCTTTAGCAGTGAAGCAGCCTGGATCTTATATAGCTAAATATCATTACCGCTTGCCGGCACATGTCGATGTTGTTAGATTCAAGCATGCCTGGGAGCTAACCGTTGAACGGTGTGCTAATATGCGCACTCGTATAATCAGCGTTGGTGGTACGACAATTCAAACGGTCATCAAGAACGATGTGTTTTGGGAAGACACCCAGGGCATGACCCTTATGTCCTGTCTTCGTGCTCCCCAGATGACAGAAATGAGCTATGGTTCTCGTCTTTGTCGATATGCCTTAATCGAAGAGAAGGGTCAAGATGTTCAATTTGTGTGGAGCATTCATCACGCTGTCTTCGATGGCTGGTCAACACCTATCATTCTCAGTACTTTACACAGTGCCTACAGGGACATCGAGCTACCCAAGATCGAGAACTATGCCAGATTCATTAAGTATACGATGGGTATCAACCACCAGGAGGCCAGCGAGTACTGGACGAGAGAGCTCCATGATGTCAAGAAAGCAACCTTCCCATCGTCTGTCTCCACTGGGGTGGCTGAGAAGGGGGATGTTACACGCTTCATGGAAACTCGAATTGATCTGCCACAGAACACCATGGGGGTCACTAAAGCCACTATCCTTCGCGCAGCATGGGCAGTAGTTCTTGCGCGGTACTGTGATACTGATGATGTCTGCTTCGGCACAACAATCTCGGGTAGGCAGGCCCCTGTTCCTGGGCTGACGGAGATGCCTGGTCCAGTTATCGCCACTGTGCCTATTCGAGTTCGTTTGGATCAACAACAATCTGTGGATCACTTTCTTCAAGGTATTCAAGATCAAGCTACTAAAATGGTTGCCTATGAACAATTCGGTCTTCAAAACATAGGCAAATTAAGTGCTGACGCTAAAGATGCCTGTGATTTTTCATCGCTTCTTGTCATTCAGCCTTTGCAAACTATAATGTACAATGATGGCAACGAAGATATCTTGTTGGCTGCATCAGACTCAGCTGGCGAGACTAAAGAAGAATCGATGCAAAATTATTTCTCTTATCCGCTGGTTATTCAAGGGCACTTGCATGATGATTTTATCAATCTTGTATTGATTTATAATTCCCTTGTTCTGCCTGAAGCACAGCTTCTGGCGCTTTCGCAGCAGTTCAAGAATACTGTTCAACAGCTTGTCTCCCGACCTCAGTTGAGCCTTGAGTCTCTATCTATTACTTCAGGCTGGGACGTCGAACAATCTCTCAAATTCAACTCCGAAGTTCCTGACATTATCGACTCATGTGTTCATGTACTTATTGAGGCGCAAGCCATAAGCCGCCCCAATGCTATCGCAATTAACGCTTGGGATGCCAAATTCACATATGCTGAATTCAACCGCGCTGCTAATCGACTCGCCAATCATCTTGTGGCTACTTGCAACCTTGGTGTTGGAGACTTAGTTCATGTGTGCTTCGAAAAGTCAGCATGGTTCTTTGTGTCTATTCTAGCCATTAACAAATCCGGTGCTGCTTGGGCTCCTCTAGATCCCTCTCACCCAGAACAGCGGCTTCGGCAAGTCGTATCCCAAACATGTGCTAAAATCGCACTGGCCTCAACTGAGAATAGCACTCTATGTGCTAGCTTAGTCGAGTCTATTATCACTGTCAACTCAGATCTCGATCTACAACTGTCCAAGGTTGAAGAGTATAGCCAGAAAGGTCCAGTGACTACTGTGTCTCCGGATAGTCCTGTTTATGTACTTTTTACTTCTGGATCAACTGGAACACCAAAAGGGTTAGTTATGCAGCACAGATCTGTGTGCACGTCACAAACCGCTATTGCCAAGAAGCTTAGCCTGCACTCAGATGTACGCATGTTGCAATTTGCTGCCTTTGTATTCGACCTTTCCATTGGTGAGATTATTGCGCCATTGATTACAGGTGCATGCTTGTGTATACCGTCAGAAAACACTAGGATGAATGGGCTTGTGCAGTTTATTCGAGAAATGGACGTTAATTGGGCCTTCTTTACACCTTCATTTATCCGTACGCTTAACCCATCCGAGGTTCCAAGCCTTGAGCTTATTCTATTAGCGGGTGAGGCCGTCCCTCGAGATGTTCTTACCACTTGGTTTGGTAAAGTCCGCTTAATCAACGGGTGGGGGCCGGCCGAGACCTGTGTGTTCTCAACCCTTCATGAGTGGCAGTCAATTAACGAGTCACCTCTCACAATTGGAAAACCCGTCGGTGGCTTCTGTTGGATTGTTGAGCCAGATCATCCTGATCGACTAGCCCCCGTTGGAACACTAGGAGAAGTCGTTATTCAAGGGCCGACCTTGCTACTGGAGTATCTTGCAGATCCTGAAAGAACTCAAGCTTCTGTTCTAGATAATCTTCCTCAATGGGCTCTTCATTCTCGTCCTGATTCCAAGCACTGGAACAGGTTTTACAAGTCTGGAGATCTTTGCTATTATAACCAAAACGGTACAATTGAATTTTCCACTCGTAAAGATACACAAATTAAGATACGCGGTCTCCGTGTGGAGTTGGGAGAAGTTCAGCATCACGTCCAACAAGCACTTACTGGAGCACGACAAGTCGCTATTGATGTATACAAAGGCGAAAATGGCACCAATCTCATCGCATACTTTTGCCTTAGTGATGAAACTCGAACAGCCGGTTTAAGCGATGCCACTTCTGCGGGGCCATTCCTACCGCTTGATGAAGATTTACAGTCCCATCTAGCAACTGTGATTAGCAAACTCAGGATTTCCCTGCCGCGTTATATGATACCCACGATGTTCATCCTCTGCAGTTATATGCCATTCATTACCTCAACAAAGCTTGATCGCAATCAATTGAAGAAGCTCACTAGCTGCCTAAATAAGGATCAAATCGCACAATATTCTCTCATCAGCAGCAAGAAGCGGTTGCCAGAAACTCCCATGGAGGTCTTCTTGCAAAAGCTTTGGTCCGAACTGCTTGGAGTTTCTATTGAGTCTATTGGTTGTGACGATAGCTTCCTCGGCCTGGGCGGTGATTCCATTACTGCCATTCATATGGTCAGCGCTGCTCGCGAATCGGGCATTACGCTTACTGTCAAAGAAATATTTGATGACCCTCGCTTATCCGCCGTTGCCAGCAAATCTCGTGATATTGGAAAAGATGAACAAGCGTCTAGCTTCGATGCCTCTCCATTCTGCTTGCTAGATGCTTCCACACAACAGCTGGCTCTTAGTGACGAAGTGAGAAGCCTTTGCAGTTTGACCGTTGACGAGGAGGTGGAGGATGCGTATCCGACAACTATGTTCCAAGAGGGATTAATGGCTCTTTCTGTAAAACAGCCGGGCTCGTATATTGCCAAATACGCTTATCGGCTGTCAGATGACGTTGATATTGGTCGCTTCAAAGCAGCCTGGGAACAAACTGTTGCCTTGTGTCCCACTCTGCGCACCAGGATTGTTTTACTTGATGGCAAATGCACTCAAATAGTCATTAAAGAGACCCACGGCGAGTGGCATCAGGGTCATCTGAATGTACGCGCCGCTAGCCAAGCTATCCGAAATGCTGAAATGACCTATGGCTCTCGCCTTTCTCAGTCGGCTTTAGTAAGCGACGATGATGGAAACAACTACTTCCTCTGGACAGTGCATCACGCTGTTCATGATGGTTGGACCGTTCGTCTCGTTATGACTACTTTCCAGAACGCATATCATAATCTGGAAATGCCGCCTTTGAAGCCATATTCTGCTTTCATACACTATCTTACAGGCACAAAGAATGAAGATTCTGCCAATTACTGGAAGCAGCAGCTCCAAGGTGCTAGAAAGGCTTCTTATCCTTCTACTGCGCCTGCCTCTGCACCCAAAGGTGCTACTCGGCAAATCAACAAGACTATCCAAGTTCCTGCTTCAGCCGACCCTACTATAACAAAGGCTACTATTATGCGTGCCACTTGGGCAATTTTGCTCGCTCGGTATTGTGATACTGACGATATCACTTTCGGTACATCAATTTCTGGTAGACAAGCTCCGGTTTCAGGTCTCATGGATATGCCGGGTCCTGTAGTCGCCACTGTTCCTGTGCGTGTACGTCTGGATCAGAAACAGACGATAAGCAAATATCTCCAGGCAATCCAAAATCAGGCTCATGAGATGGTTCCATACGAGCAATATGGCTTGTCAAATATTGGAAAGATCAGTGCCGACATCAAAGAAGCGTGCGATTTCACGAGCTTGCTGGTTGTACAGCCTAGAACACACCTGGATTCACGCAGCAAATCTATGTCTGCTGAGACTGAAGCTTCATCAAGCGCTCTTCTCCTACCCACTTGTATTGAAGGTAACTCAGTTGAGGAATCTATGCAAGGATATTTCTCTTATCCCCTTGTTATCCAGGGCCATCTATTTAGCGATTTCATTGAGCTATTTATCACTTATGACTCTTCTGCAGTCTCTGAGCCAGCGATGGAAGCCATGTGCCATCAATTCAATCATGTGGCTTCTCAGCTCTTTGAGGGCAAAAACCTTACCCTAGGAGATCTGACAGTCGCTTCCGATTGGGATCTTCAACGTGTCATTGAATTTAACCAAGAGATCCCCGAATTTATGGACACTTGCGTCCATCATCTCATTGAAGCACATGCCAAAGAAGCTCCTACTTCACCAGCCATATGCGCATGGGATGGTGTAATGACTTACGGACAACTTAACGAAATGGCAAATATTCTAGCTCATCACCTGATTGCTCACTATAGCGTCCAAGTCGAAGACCTCATCCACGTCTGCTTCGAAAAATCAGTTTGGTACTGGGTATCTGTTCTTGCTATCAGCAAAGCCGGTGCTGTATGGGTCCCTCTTGATCCATCTCATCCCGAGCAGCGTATTCGTCAAGTCACCTCGCAAACCCATTCGAAGCTGGCGCTCGTGTCTGACACTACGAGGCATTTAGTCTCTGATATTGTTGATCAAGTGCTCGAGGTCTCTCCAGCTTTATATGAACGGCTTAATTCTCCCCTGGGTACAGAAGATCCGCAGGTTCCCGTCTCGTCTCACAATGCTGTCTACGTGTTGTTCACCTCTGGTTCCACAGGTACGCCTAAGGGTCTGGTTCAGACACATGGCGGTGTTTCATCCACTCTGTCTGCTATTAGGAATAGGATGGGCATAGACTCAAACAACCGGACCCTCCAATTTGCTTCATACGTGTTCGATATGTCTATTGGTGAAGGAATTCTGCATCTCATTTCTGGTGCTTGTATCTTCATTCCCTCTGAGGACACTAGAATGAATGGACTAACGGAATTCATCAACGAGCATAAAATCAACTCGCTCTGGCTAACGCCATCCTTTGTGCGAACTATAAGTCCAGAACAGGTCCCTTCAGTTGACTTCTTGCTGCTGGCCGGTGAAGCTGTTACCCGTGATGTTCTTACCACGTGGTGTGGTAGTGTTCGTCTATTTAACGGCTGGGGTCCCGCCGAGACTTGCGTTTTCAGCTCTCTGCATGAGTTTACATCTATTGAAGAATCTCCATTAACAATCGGTCGCCCTATTGGAGGTCATTGTTGGATTGTGGACCCTGAAAATCCTTACAAGCTCGCTCCTATTGGTACTCTAGGTGAAGTTGTGATCCAAAGCCCAGCAATCTTGCGAGAATATCTCGATGACGTCGAGCGTACCAAGGCCTCCACAATCTATGACTTACCCGCCTGGGCACCCCGTCGCGACGAGCCTCACTGGTCTCGCTTCTTTAAATCTGGGGATCTGGCTTTGTACAATCCCGACGGTACTCTCGAGTTCTCTAGTAGAAAAGATACCCAAGTCAAGATTCGTGGTCTTCGTGTGGAATTGGGAGAGATTGAGTATCACGTACGTAGCAATCTTGAAAGCGCCCGTCAAGTTGCTGTTGACGTTTTCAAGACCGATGCCGGTACGAGACTCGTAGTTTATTTCTGCTTCTCGGATGAAATACCTACTATAAGCATTTCTCAATCGGATGAAAATATCTTCCTTCCTATATCCGAAGAGCTTCGAAAGCAGCTTGCTGACATGGTCAGCCAGCTCAGCATTTCGCTGCCTCGGTACATGGTGCCTTCACTTTTCGTCCCCTGTCGCTACATGCCATTTATCACCTCTACTAAGCTTGATAGAAATAAGCTGAAGAAACTCATTTCTGAACTTAGCCAAGAAGACTACAATACTTACTCTTTGAGTAGCGGCAGCAAGCGTATGCCTGACACCGAAATGGAGAGGCGTATGCAAGAGCTTTGGTCTGTCGTCCTACATAGGCCTATATCCGATATTGGCTGCGATGATAGCTTCTTACAAATTGGCGGTGATTCTATTGCTGCCATCCAGCTCGTTACTAATGCTCGTGATGCCGGCATTTCAATCTCTGTTAAAGACATCTTCAAGGATCCTCGCCTTTCGAAACTTGCTCTAGTAGCGACTCTCTCTAGCGGCAAAGGCCCATCAATTATTACGCCTTTTAGCTTGCTGGAAAAATCTATTACCAAGGCTCATATCATTGATGCGGTCAAAGAGCAGTGCGGTCTTACAGGAGACGATCTACTTGATGATGCCTACCCTTGCACACAGCTTCAAGAAGGACTTGTGGCTCTCGCAGTCAAGCAGCCTGGATCTTATATTGCTAAATACCTATATCAGCTGCCTGATCATGTCGAAGTCAGTAGATTCCGTGCTGCCTGGGATCGTACTGTTAAGAGCTGCGCTAATCTTCGCACGCGCATGCTTCTCGTCAATGATATCACTATTCAAGCCATCCTCAGTGATGATATCGCTTGGGATGACACTGCTGGTGTCTCACTTGAGGCATATGCTCATGCTACGCTTCATCTTGAGATGGGATATGCCCAGCGACTATGCCGCTATGCCATCATCCAAGAACAGAGCGGAACCTATTTTGCATTCAGTATCCACCACACCGTCTTCGACGGCTGGTCTCTTCCTTTGGTTATGAGTACACTATCTGCAGCTTATTATGAACTTGAGTTACCTTCTCTGCAGTCTTATTCTGTATTTGTCAAGTACACAATGGAACTTGACAAGAGCGCTGCTTCAAACTATTGGAAGACGCAGCTCCGAGATGCTAAACGTGCAACCTTCCCAGCGCCCAGCGACAAACACGGCGCGTCTCAGACACGGATCATGAATAAGACCATTGAGTTCCACAATACCAATACATCAATCACCAAGGCTTCGATTCTCCGCGGTGCTTGGGCCATTGTCCTTGCACGCTACTCAGATAGCGACGATGTATGCTTCGGTACAACAGTGTCGGGTCGTCACGCCAATATAGCCGGCCTTGAATCTATGCCTGGACTTGTGGTCGCGACTGTCCCTGTTCGTATTCGCCTTGATAAACAAAAGACTTTGATGGGATTCCTTCAAGATATCCAGACTCAGGCGTCCGACATGGTCGATTACGAGCAATTCGGTATTCAAAATATCTCTAAACTAGGCTTGGATGCTAAGGAGGCCTGTGACTTCACCTCTCTCTTGGCTATCCAGCCAGTTCAGCATATGAGCGCCGATAGTAACAATCCTAGCAATCAAGATGCTCTCATCATTCCATCAGCTTCTGCTAATGTTAAAGCCGAGGATATGCTGCAAAATTACTTTTCTTATCCCTTGGTCATCCAGTGCCATCTCTTTGACGACCACGTTAACTTAGTTCTCGTATACGATTCTGATATCCTCGAGGAGGCTCAATTAGGCGCGCTTATGCATCAATTTGACCATGTGGTCCAACAGCTCCTTGCTCAGAACGATGAACCATTGGGCGATGTGAGTGTTGCTGGTCCCTGGGATCTCCAGCAAGCTCTGCAGTTAAACAACAAACAACCCGAAATCGTCCAAACATGCTTACACGACTTGTTCGCTGAGCATGCCTTACGCGATCCCACCCACGAAGCCATTTATTCTTCTGAGGGCAGTCTTACTTATGGTGAGCTGGATCATCTCTCCGATATCCTTGCCGCATATCTCAGCTCTTTGAGTGTTGGTCCAGAAACAGTGGTACCGTACTGTTTTGAGAAATCTATGTGGGCCGTTATTGCAATTTTAGCAACTCTCAAGACAGGAGCTGCATTTATGCCTCTTGATCCATCACACCCCGTCAAGCGCCGTGCAGAACTGGTCAAAGAAGTCAAAGCTCGCGTGCTTATCGCATCTGAAAATGCTGCTACCTCGTGTGCAGGTATGGCTGAGCACATCGTTGAGCTATCACCAAGCGTGTTGGCCAAGCTCTCTGCTTCTGTTATCCCAAGAGCCTTCCCTAAAGTTGGACCTAGAAACGCTGCGTACGTGCTGTTTACTTCTGGATCAACTGGTAAGCCAAAGGGCGTAGTAATGGAACACTCCGCTCTCACAACGAGTACTATTGGTTACGGCCGCGTCTACAGTTTTAGTCCGGCATCTCGTGTGTTCCAGTTCTCCAACTATATCTTTGACGGCAGCTTGGGCGAAATACTTGCTACTTTGGCATTTGGCGGAACTGTCTGCATTCCTAACGAATCTGAACGTCTACAAGATGCGCCAGGTTTCATTCGCAAGGCTCGCATCAACACTGCCATGTTAACGCCTTCCTTTGTCCGCACATTTACACCTGATCAAGTCCCGAACCTTAAGACTTTAGTTCTTGGTGGTGAGCCGGCTGGCAAAGATATTCTTGATGCCTGGTGCGATCGTGTAAATCTTATCAATGGGTATGGACCAGCTGAAGCATGCAATTATGCCACATGGCACCCGTTCTCATCTAGCAAAGATTCACCACACATTATCGGAAAGCCATTTAACAGCTCTTGTTGGATTGTGGAGCCCAATAATCACCACTTACTCACTCCTGTAGGCTGTGTTGGTGAACTCGTCATTCAGGGCCATGTCCTTGCTCGCGGATATATCAATGACTCGGAAAGAACCAAAACCTCCTTTGTTACAGAGATTTCTTCACTATCCACACAGACTATCACTGGTCCTCAGCGTTTCTACTTGACAGGTGATTTGGTGAGATACTGTGCCGACGGTTCATTGGAATACCTCGGCCGTAAAGATTCTCAGGTCAAGCTTCGTGGTCAGCGTATCGAACTCGGGGAGATTGAGTATAATATTCAGCGCACTCTGCCCGATATTGAGCATGTGGCTGTTGATATCATCACTAGAGAATCAGGACAATCGCTTGTTGCTTTTATCTCATTTTTGGGTACCTACGACGACAACGGTGTTACCAGCTTTTCTAACAGTCTCATCCAGCCAAGTGATGCCCTTCGTACCGCTAATGCCACTCTGCTTGATAATCTTAAAGCTGTTCTTCCCGGGTTCATGATCCCTAGTCTTGTTCTGCCTATCAGAAAGATGCCTTTTATCACTTCCATGAAGCTTGATAGGAAGCAGTTGCGAACGCTGGCAAGCTCCCTGTCATCCGAGGAGCTTGCCGTATTTGCTCCTGGCAAGGCGGACAAGATTGAACCAACAACTGATATGGAATTCAAGATACGCGATCTCTGGGCTCAAATACTCAAAATCTCGCCTGATGAAATTGGCAAGAATGACAGCTTTTTGCAAATCGGAGGAGATTCCATCTCGGCTATTCATTTAATCTCATTGGCTCAAGAGAAGAATATTCTACTCACCGTTGCTTCAATATTCGCCGATCCCAGATTGTCTGCAGTTGCTCTCTCTGCTCGTCTAGGCGAGTTTAAGGATACTTACAGTACTGAGCCTTTTAGCATGATCCCACCTTCCGAGCGCAATGCTATCGTCAGCGAGATTGAGAAGCAATGCAATCTCCCCAAAAATCAGTCAATTGAAGATGCTTATCCGACTACCAAACTACAAGCAGGACTTATGTCATTAGCCGTCAAGCAGCCTGGCTCATATACCGCTAGATATGTGTACCGTATTCCTGAGCACGTCAATATTGATCGATTCAAAGCGGCTTGGAACAAGACTGTCGAGGTCTGCCACAATCTTCGCACTTCTATTGTTCTTGTTGGTTATACAACCATTCAAGCTGTCATCAAAGGCAATTTAGATTCATTATGGGAGCCAACCGCGGGTGTTTCGCTGCAATCCTATATACAGAATGCAATCCATGTCTTCAATATGGGCTATGGTACACGCCTCTGCCGCTATGCTCTCATAGAAGATGGCGGTAGCCACTACTTTGTATGCCACATGCACCACTCAGTGTATGACGGCTGGACATATCCGCTTATTATGGGCACTTTGTATGCTGCGTACGCTGGCACTGAATTGCCTCCTTTGCAGCCGTTCGCTCGCTTCGTGAAATACACGACGAGCATCAACGATAACGATGCTGCAGAGTACTGGAAACGTCAACTTTGTGATGCCCAGCGTGCTTCTTTCCCAAGGGCTGATCAATACTCTGCCACAGCTAACGGCGAAGTCGATATAACCCGGATATTGCAAAAGTCTATTGAGTTTCCACGCTTCACAAACACTTCTATTACCAAGGCCACAGTCATTAGGGCAGCCTGGTCAATTGTTTTGGCTCAATACTGTGATGTCAATGATGTTTGCTTTGGTACTACCGTCTCTGGTCGTCACGCGCCTGTTCCTGGCTTGGAGTCCATGCCTGGCCCCATGTTTGCCACTGTTCCTGTCCGCGTTCGTCTAGATAAAAAGCAGCCTATATCAAAATTTCTACAGGATATTCAAATTCAAGCCTCCGAGATGGTTGCCCATGAACAGTTTGGCCTCCAGAATATCTCTGCTTTAAATTCAGAAGCTAGGCAAGCCTGCGACTTCTCCAGTCTGCTCTCCATCCAGCCTGCTCAACGACCGACCGGTGATGAGAAAGGCATAGATAATGACGGTTCAATATTATTACCTGGTGAATCTGGCAGCTCCACCGAAGAGTCTTTGCAAAACTTTGCAAACTACCCCCTGGTTCTTCAAATCGTTGTCATGGACAGCCAAGTTGAGCTGTTGCTCATTTACAAGTCTAGCGCTATGACTGAATTCCAAGCCACGGCAATCTCTGAGCAATTTGGTTATGTCGCTAGGCAACTACTCGCTCAAGATGAGAGGATGCTTGGTGATGTGGAGGTCGCCGGCTCTTGGGATCTCCAGAAGCAACTCGAATGGAACGACAAGATCTACGGACCTGAGGACACCACTCTTCACGATCTGTTCTCGAAGCAAGCTGCCCGTAGACCTAACCATGAAGCTCTTTACAGTACTGAACAATCTATGACTTATACTGAGCTTGACAATTTGACAACTCAGCTGGCTACATACCTCTACGGCCTCGGCATCCGAGCTGGGGCCATTGTTCCCTTCTGCTTCGAGAAGTCTATGTGGGCTATCGTTGCGATGATGGGTATTCTCAAAGTCGGTGGCACTTTTATTCCACTAGACCCTTCTCACCCAGTTAGCCGACGCCAGGCTTTGATTGATGAAGTTGGCGCACAATTCATGATAGTATCGCCGACAACCGCCCCCAACTGCCAGGGCATGGTCCAAAGCACGATTGAGCTTTCGCCATCCTTGATTTCCTTCATCTCTACCCGCAATGCTACGACACAGACTGTTATAAGCTCTGATCCTAATAATGCTGCGTATATCTTGTTTACTTCTGGCTCAACTGGCAAGCCAAAGGGTGTCGTTATTGATCACAAGGCTGTCTCTGCTGTGCTCCTCAGGCAACGAGAGGCCTACGCATATAACGACGATACACGAATGCTACAATTTGCCAACTATACCTTTGATGCTTGTATTGCTGAAATCTTTACATCGCTTGCTGTGGGTGCTACAGTTTGCGTGCCCACAGAGCACGAACGATTGCACAATACCGCCGCCTTCATTCGCGAAGCTCGCGTCAATCACGGGCTGCTCACGCCTACTTTTATCAAGACTTTATCACCAGAACAAATTCCCGGAATGAAGTCTCTTCTCACTATGGGTGAAGCTCCTTCAAGAGAACTCATAGAGACTTGGGCAGGCAAGATCGACCTCCACAATTGTTATGGTCCAGCAGAAGCCTGTGTCACTTCTACCAATTACACGTATTCGCCTTCTATCAAGACTTCTGCAACCCATCTTGGCCGCAGTTTTACCCACGGCATATGGATTGTCAACGCTGATGATCATAACCGCCTAGTGCCTGTTGGCTGTGTTGGTGAGCTGTTGCTACAAGGCTCATGTTTGGCTCGCGGCTATATCAACAATGAAGAGAAGACGAGGCAATCATTTATTGAAGATGTTGATTGGTTACCATCCGGTGTCAACATTGGCGAGCGTCGTTTCTATAAGACTGGTGACTTGGTTCGCTACACCCCAGACGGCTCAATCGAGTATCTTGGCCGGAAGGATACCCAAGTTAAGATCCGTGGCCAACGTATTGAGCTGGGCGAAATCGAATATCAAATTAGGTGCGCTAACGACACCATGGAACACGCTGTTGTTGACATTTCGCGAAATGACAGCCATGAATCTCTCATTGCTTTCATCTGCTTTACGTCCCACCAGGAAACTGAGACTGCTTCTAATGAAGTAAGCTTCACAGAGCTTACCAGTGAGCTGCAAGACACATTTTCAGACATAGCTGCAAAAATTAGCTCTGTTTTGCCTGCTCACATGGTCCCTAAATACTTCATTCCTGTTGACCATATGCCGCATAATGCTTCCGGAAAACTGGATCGCAAGCTGCTTCTTGCATCTGCTGCCAAATTTACGACTGAAGAACTTTCGAGCTATCTCACTGATCAGCGCTTGCCTTTCCGTGACTGCTCCAATGACACTGAATTCTGGATCCGTAACCAGTGGGCGATTGCTCTTAACCTTCCTGGCGAGACCATCAGTGTAGACGACAATTTCTACAGCCTTGGCGGTGATTCCATCCGCATTGTTACCATCTCCAAGGCTATCGTCAGCCAATATGGCGTTTCTCTTGGGATGTCTCTTCTCAATTCGAAGCACACTACGATCGCAAACATGGCAGAACATGTCAAAAACGAGCTCAGTGGACAAGAGGGACAAGAAATAGGTCGCGTCGATATCATGGCCGAAATCTCGTCTCTTAATCGCTCAATAATGGAAACTGGTGCCCTCGATCTCGCTGCCAACCCTAAGACCGAATTACCTGATCAAGCCACCGTCTTCCTCAGCGGTGCAACGGGCTTCCTCGGCCAGGAAATTCTCAGGCAGCTGGTATGCAACAACAACATTGCTTCTGTCATCGCTCTAGTACGATGCAATTCTATTGACCACGGTCTGGATCGTATTCGCAAGACTGCCAAGATCGCTGGCTGGTGGAGTGAAGATTACGCGAACAAGATTGAGATCTGGAGGGGCGATTTAAGTAAGAAGCGCATGGATCTGACAAAGGCACAATGGGCACGCTTGGCTGGCGAGTCTACTAACAATATCGATGCCATCATTCACAATGGTGCCATTGTTAACTGGAATGCCGATTACAGCAAGATGCGTCCTGCCAATGTTGACTCTACTGTCGACCTTCTCAAAGCTGCTGTCAACTCTCCTGCCTCGCCCAAATTCCTCTTCGTCTCTGGTGGTATCAACACTGACCCTACTACGGATCGCACAGTTGTCGCGCAATACATTGGCAACTTGAACGGCTACAGCCAGACCAAGTTTGTCTGTGAAGGTGTAATCCAAGAGGTTATCAACACTCTTCCCGCTGACCAAAATCGCATTTCCACTCTCAAACCCGGCCGCATCATTGGATCTTCAGAAACTGGTGTGGCCAACGTGGACGACATGCTGTGGCGTGTTGTTTCTACTGCTGCTTCTCTCCGCGTCCATCCTTCCGAGCCAGAAAATAATTGGACCTCTGCCGTTGCTGTCGACACCGTAGCTTCCTCGGTGCTCAACCAAATATACACCAAGGAGGGTATCAAACCCTTCGTCAGCGTTCATGGAGGCGTACCCGCGACAGTATTCTGGGATCTTGTCAACAAAGAGCTTGAGGTTCCCTGCGAGCCTATTACCTTGGATGAATGGATCCACCGAGCCTTGGAGTCAATGAACCAAGTCGGTGAAGAGCATCCTCTATGGCCTGTGCAGCATTTCCTCGGTGCCATCAGCACTCCTCGTACCGCTCGAGATGCCGAAGTTGAAGATTCTGAGCTTCAGCAGCGATATTTGGCTATAAAGATGAGTATGCGATACCTAATTGAGATTGGTTTCATTCAGTCGTCTACAGAAGGATTTTCGCAGCCTCGTCGCGCAGACACTTTCCAGCGTATTCATGGCTAAGGGGCCAACGGCTTTGACATTGGAGGACGTGAGGTTTTCATATGTCTCTCTTTTCTATTTCTTTTCCTATTTCTTTTCGTCGTCTTTTTTCTTTCATCATAATTGGTGACTTACTTCAAAGTCTTACATTTTCTTTGTTTTCTTTAAACCTTCATTAGATTAGTCCTATAATCAGCACAAAAAATGTGTTTCTCTTAGATTAGTCTTCTTATTCAACCGTTCAAAGTCATCTTTTCTCATACCGTCGGCCATTGTGTGAATAAAAGTGCCAAAGAAAATTTTAACTTGTGTAGTTAATGATGGTAACATAAATGTGGCCCAGCAATGTTTATCACCTCATGAATCATGTTTCCGTATCCATTATTACTACGAAACTACGTGACAGAAACTCTTCCCAACGTAACTATTATCATTCTGTAGCTTCCAAAATCCCTTCTTCAACCACCTCAACTTTGACTTTCATGCCCCAAGGGTCATCTTTTCCTATCCAGTGTTTTTTCTTACCAACTCTTTGGATGACGTTAACATTTTCCTCCAATGCATGTTTCAGTTCTGCAGGATCGTCCTTCTTCTTCTGTATCGATATTGTTAACACTAAACCTTCCTTCTTTTTCTTCTTACCCAAATTCCATGCCCACTCGGAAGAGAACACGACCCTGGGCTTCACTGGGTCAATTTCTCCAGATGGGTATAGGCGGGTGATCATGTACCCAACCCTGCCTAGGTAAGTAGTCCACCACACTTCCTCTGGAGTAATTAGTGATCGCAATGCTTCGCGGAATTCCATCTCTCTTGGTGGTAATTCTCCTCGGTACCGAGATTCTAGCATCAAGGCGAGTCGAGCACGGTCTTGATGCGACACCCCGTGCGTCGATGACATAATTCCGACACTGGTCGAGTACAGTGCAGTCGTCGATGCCGTTTCTTTGGACATGAACATGTGCACATATATAACGTTGGCAAAAGAATCAATGACGTGCTCGCCGAATTCTTCAGGAAACCGTCTCGTCAGATTCTTGGAAGGCTTTGGGATGGCACGTTTAATCAACTCCTGGATGCTGAGGAAAGAAGGTGGCGCAAAGTTCATAGTCGCCACTTGCAACGGAGATTGTTCTCTGATGTCGGGAGGAAGAGTCCTGAATAGATACCCTTCTCGTACACCACCCTGGCAGAAGTGAGCTTCCCGGATTCCATGGGGGATAGCCTCAGCCAAGACATTGACTAGGAATGCCACTGCAGGAACCTGAGATCGCCGACGATCCGAAACTCGAAAGACATCTTTTGCCGCTTTGGCTATTGCTTTCACCGTGTCGGTATCTTCGAATTGCTCTCGGCCAACTGTATACCCATTGATGATGGAGATTGGATAGTGTTTGCCGCGAGACTGGTTGAGGTATAGCAGAAGATAACCCCAGCCTCGGAATCCACCGCCCGACAAGTAGATACGAAATCCTCCCTCCCGTTTAGCTTTATCTACCAAACTGTCGGGGATTTGTAGATGGTTATAGGCATCTCGAAAATTTTCCACCATTTCCTGGCGAAATCGAGCAACGGCTGCCTCTCCATCTTGTTTTTTCTTGCCCTTCTTCAAATCACTCAACTGTCTGCTAAGAGCTGCCGCGCCATACGGAAAGCTAAAGCTGCCCATAGGGCTGATCCTGATATGGCCCCCTTGGCTCACCATCCAGGTGATTTGCGTGCTGCCTCCTCCCAGGTCCATTACAAGGCCGGCTAAATTTCTGAACCCGCTCGCAATGCCCAGCGCCCCAATCTGGCCTTCCACCTCCTTCGGTAGCATTTCTATGGATAGGCCAGTCTTTTCTTTGACAATTTCCAAAAATTTGGCCGAATTAATAGCTTTGCGTGTGGCCTCCGTTGCAACAACATGGATGTTCTTTCGTTGGACTCCCATGTCGTTACAGACGATCAGAAAACGATTGAAGACCGTAACTATATCGTTGATTACGTCTTCTGGGATTGGAACCTGCTCTCCTGTCTCAGGATCAAACTGCGAATCATAAAGCGATATGCCAGATCGGTAGGTCAATACTGTCGGTAGGATACGCGCGAGGGGAGCCGATAAATCCGTAATTGAGAAACGAATGCCATTGCTAAGAAGAAAAAAAAACACATGTCATTCGTTAATCTGTTTGCCTTCATGCATACTCCTTTATACCCGAGATCACTCACCTTCCCATGTCCACAATCCCAACAAGCTTGTCTCTGTGTCCCTCCCATGGCGGATGAGGCCTATCTCCTTCTCCAAGAGGGATTGCAGGTATTGCGGGCGTCATGAGGGCGCCTTTTGATGCTTCGCTTATTTCATCATCCTCTTCAGAAGCTGAAATTATTCCTAGATCTTCAAAATCCGATATATCCATGATGGCTCTTGACGATGGCTTCGTTGATCAGGCCTGACAGCATCGCGTCAATTCCATGATCCACCTATTCGAGAGCTCTACTCCCTTTATAAACACAGCTGAAAAGTTGAAACTTTATTTGAGAATCTCGCCATGGCTTCAAGCCTCAGTGACGTCACATTGGAATGCTGAGTAGTGAATATTGGAATCTCCCGCAGCAACATATCAATTACGCGCAGTGGTTTTATAGCTTAGTTACAATATGTTTTACATCTATGTAAACACAGCCGACGATTTCACATTTTACGATGGATTCGTGCATATCATGTCGTCAGATTCTAATTGCATGAATAAGATATCCAGCAAGAACTCACAATTTCCTACAGACAGCCCCGCATTGTGCATATGAAGGGGGAACAAGCTTAAGCCCGGATTCGGCTTCGACTGAACTTTAATCTACTTCAGCTGGCTGTTAGTTGGATCAATGGGCAATAGTTGGTGTCATATCTAGCACAACATCGACGTCTTTAATAAATACTGTTGTTCAATAAGGGCGGGAGCTATTGAAAACTCAATGCTCCCCGCCTCACACCAAATATAATTATCCACATGCTTCAGCATTCTTATTCCCTTCACGATAGCCTCAACAAGCAGAAAATCATGAACGATATTTCTCTAACGGACTTAATAGCTCGTTACGAAGTACATGGCGAACTCTCAACATAACATCGGGTGTTCTGACTCTGCCCTTGGTGGAGATGTTGAAGAGCAATCTCCTCTCTTGCCGAGCTCTGATCCATGTCGGCACGAGTTCCGGGTCTTATTGAGAATGCTCACTCCTGGCAGCTATTCCAATCTTCTCCTCGTCTTTATCCCTCTGGGCATAACTTTTGGTGTGCAGAATAGAACTCCAGAACTCATCTTCTGGTTCAACCTCCTGGCCATCATCCCGCTCTCAAAACTCAATCTTCGCAAACTCCGCAGGCTGTCGTGCACGTTAGGCCCTTTGGGCGGTGGATTTCTGCATGCCATTTTAGATAATGCGCCGTTATTAATCGTATGTATTACAAGTTGGATGCTAATTGAAGATCAAAATTCGGTAGATATTCACCAGCTGCTAGGTAGGCATTGCGGCCATCCAAAACGGCGCAGCCCATATTGCGCAATCCTGCATCCTTGGAAGTGTCTTGGCCAATCTTCTTCTCGTAAGCTCTAATTGACTCTTCCTTTTATATCGGCATATTAATGAGCGCAAAAGGTTGTTGGGTGGTGTTTCTTGGTCGGGAGCATCCGTCAGAGTGAATTGATATTTAATACCACGTTTGCATCAACAGCGTCATCTCTGATGATTGTTGCATCAACGTCCCTCGTGGTTCCGTCTGCCATTTCTGAGATGCAGTGCAGGGCCGACGCCGATTGCGAAGATCAACTGATACGAATGTCGCGCTCTGTTTCTGTAGCTCTTTTATTTCTTTTTGTTATATATCAGCACTACCGATGGCGGTCTCACCGATGGCTATTCCTAGAAGGCACACCATCTGGGTTGGATGATGAGCACGATATAAGTCGGATATTGCTAGGAATTTTCGAGGGACTGCTTCTTATCTCCGTCCTGGGGCTTTCTTCGCTATCTGCATACTTTCTCTTGCGGACACTGAGTTTAGTAACAGACTCTGTTTTTATCAGCGACAAGACAGTCAGTTTTGTCCTCTTACCGCTGTCCACCGATGGGCCAGCTCGAGTAGAAGCCATTGTGGCAGCATACCGAAACAGCATGACTACGGCTCTAGAATTCGCAATTGGTCGAAGCATGAATGCCGCCTTGTTCGTTACTCCCATGTTAGTCCTCTTCTCATGGGCAGCTCAGTCCAGCACTCCAATGACTTTGCACTTCCCAACTTTAGAGACAATTTCCATTTTTCTTGGTACGCTATTGGTTGCCGAGCTGTGCCGCGACGGCAAAAGCAATTACTTGGAGGGTGCCATGTGCCTTGTCACGTAAGCCCTATCCCCAACTATCATCATGCTGCGCTAGGGCGTTTTATTTAACAGCTTGACTTATAGGTATATAATATTATCTTTCTCTTTCTAGCGGTCTAGGTGTGAATGGAGATTCAATGGTTTCAGACTATTCAAGCAACAGTTGATGAATACGCGATTATATATATCTATAGCAGGGTCACCATCTCAATGATCCTTGCCAGTGTACAAAGCAAGAGCATAACGGTATTTGCGAACCACGTCCTCTTTCAGGCTTAGCCATTGTTCGATATAAGATATGTCATCTCTCTTATCTACGTAGCTTGCTTACGGGGCGCTTGTGAGACTGCTCCAGAGCGAAGCTCTAGCTGAGCGCGCCTTGCGCCCTACAGGATACAAGTACACGTTCCACTTTAATCAAGTCATTTTCCAAGCCGGCAGTTCCTCATTTAGGGTCGCTTCGTGTTACAATCTTCCAGAATAGGCGACCAGGTGGTTCTATAACGAGTAGAATCAGTGCAGTTCAATAATCCGGCATGGGGTTCTCAGGATGGATAGATGAGGCGTATTTACGGCGTCACTAGCGTGCATAGGTAGTGTCACTGCTAGGATCTCGCACTCCAGTTGATCGATGGTAGTTCGCCTTCTAGAAAGCAGCAAAAGACGCTAGAAGTTAGTTCAGGTTTGCTTCAGAGAGGAATCGAGCGCGGCTTCACGCGGCTTTGAGTAGATTGATTGTCTAACGCATGAAAATTGCTGCCGTTGCAAATTCCGGACTAACAACTCCTAGACCATCCAGCCCAGCATACTAGACTCGGTAATATCTTGAGATATGCCATACATATCCAGCTGGTATAAACCCTCTCCGGTAGTCTCACATCAGTATTCAGGTAGCAGTAATGCGGCGGAATGATAACCTTTATTCGTTGCCTACAGCTCGGAAACAAAGGGTAGCTGCTGTAATGACAACCAGACGGCTTCCTGTAAGGGGCAGCGAGGCCGGTTCAGCTCTTCTGTGGAGTAGTAGAACCCGCAGTGTATGACACCAGAGGAAAAGGCACTGCATGAATGTGGATGTCAGCTATCAAGATAGTAATCATTGGATTCCACAGATTGCGTGATGTTTGATATTGCTGGCTAAGATAAGCTGAACTATGTCCCGTATCCAATCTACGCGCCACAGTGTCACTGGAGCCCGCATTGAGAAGATGAGGCATTTTGCCCGCATCTATCTCAGCGCAGGTGCAATATCGGCGTATAGTTTTACGATTCAGTCCGCCATGGGGTGATAATGGCCCCAGATCCAACTTGCGCTTCCACTTCCCCAACCTCGCCTCCCAGATTTTTCCTTGGAGTTCATCGACAACTCCGTACTTGGACTTGGGGAAACCTGGGGAATGAGGGGGAGAGGCTTTGAGACGGTCGAATCACAGACTAGCGCCAGTTTCTAGAATTTTTCTCCATCGGGCGGACCGCCCAAGTGGATCACAAGGGCGGCGAAAAGAATCTCAGTGGCTGAGAAGCAGTTTTCACTCTAAGTTGTGAAGATTGATGCTACCGCGAAACTAAAAACCATCCGTGGTCATAGCGGGCTCACGCGCCTGTTTTGGTTTTTGCAAGCAACGATACGAGGCAGACTTCCCACCAACGGCTTTCATCGGCTTGGTGTCTTGATCCTTGATTGTCCTTGGTTCCTCAATAGCTTGCGCAGCCGCGGCCTAGCCAACATGTGAGGCGAATATGCGCGAAGCCTGCCCTGTGGGGTTTTCTTGCCTTCAGCTTGTTTTCATGTTATCGAGCGAGAGCCGGGCTCGTAATACCTACTACAAGCGTGAGCCCAAGCATGAGACTAGCAAATGACAGCTCGCTTGGCACTTGGCAGGCCCCCTATCTTGAGAGTGAGTTAACCAGTGCCCAGTGGCTGTATCAGGCCATGGAGATTAGATCTTGCGGACAGTCTGGACATCAGGCCATGGCCCGCGGTGTAAGAGCACTTGATCCTGATGCTACTTTGCAGCCATTGTGAAGGAATTCCGACGGGCCATGATACCAGAGACAGAGACCAAACCGACGCCGGCGTCGCTCCGTGAATGTAACAGTCGCAGGCCCAAGTGGGGTGGCACGGACAAGCTCCAGGATCATCTTCGTACGTAACAGGTCGCGGTGGAGACTGGTTGCGCGCAACTGAATCATGTTCTGCCCACCTAGTCGCTCTCTCCGCATCTGCTTCCCCATCTTCGCTTGTGAGAGCAGCGACAGACAAGAAACGAGAGATAAGGATTTGAGTCAGGACCCTCGGCCCAGCAGCTACCTTGCAAGAAGCTTAAATGCACTGGGCGGTACACGCACACGTACGAGCAGCTGTGCATCCTTGACACGATGAGACTCTGCAAGATGCACACTAATGCATCCAATGCGACCGTGTGACAGAGGCAGAGAAACTTTTTCCTTCTTCTTCTCCAACTGAGGCGTGTTCTGGAAACTTTCCGCACAAGGGTAGCGCCACAGGCATCGCCAGGAGGAAAAGGAACGGAAGCCTTATTTTGACCTTCGCTTGAGCTAGAGAGGAGAGGAGAAGAAAAGAGGCTTGCGCTGGGATGAATCCAGATAAGCAAATGGGCCTCGGAGAGATAAATGCCGACGCCACACCGAGTACCGGTACCTGCGCAGCTGCCGTTGCGCGTACGAAGAAGTCAGACAGGTAGAAGTAGTAGCAGTAGCAAAGGCAATTATTTTGAAACGGAAAAGACAAAACGAAGACTGGCTGCTATTGCTATGTCATTGATCAAACTCTGGCAACAATCCCACTCCGTAACCACCAACATTCGTCGCCCGTTCCCTTGATGCCTCCATCCTCCATCACTGAGGAATCAATCACATCCACCCCCGGCTCCAAGTACCTGTACCTGCTTTGGCCCACGGAATGTACAGCGTCCCGCACCATATCCCCCCGCAGCCAGCCATCCTGCAAACAGCTAGCAGAGGCGTCAATGTGCCGGGGATCTGCTCTCTAGGGCCACTCTAGCGCCACTCACGATACGGATACTGGAGCAAACGATAAACAAGCGGCGGTTGCCGCATGCATTCGCACTTTGCGCGCAGGCAGTCCACGGGCTAGTAGCAGTGCCTGTAGGTATATCTAGACCCTGCAGCCTCGGCGCTGGCTTCCTCTTTTCTGCTCTCGCTTCTCCCTCATCCGCTGCCTCTTCTTCTTCTCTGCCTTCTCTGCCACCCGCAGTCGAGAGCAAAGCTGTCGCAAACCACGGCGCTGCGACGATCATGGAGAAAAAGTACGGCTCCGGGCCCGACGAGGCCTACGACATCAACATCGAGGCCAGCTCGCCAAATGACAACAACGACTTCACTCTGGCCCACGATGGCGAGCAGCTCCAGCGTGGTCTCAAGAGTCGCCATCTGCAGTTTCTGGCCCTGGGAGGAGCCATTGGAACCGGCCTCTTTGTCGGCTCCGGCAGCATTCTCGCCGACACTGGCCCTGCGCCGCTCTTCATGGCCTACATCTCCATGTCCATCATTGTCTATGTCGTCATGAACGTGCTGGCAGAAATGACTGTCTATCTGCCGTTTCGAGGAGTCACCATCCCTTACTACGTCAGCCGATATGTCGATCCCAGCTTGGGCTTCGCTGCCGGCTGGAATTACTGGTATGCCTACACAATGCTTGTTGCGGCAGAAGCTTCGGCGGCAGCCATTGTGATAGAATATTGGAAAGCCCATGTCAATGTTGCCGTGTGGATCGCCATCATCCTCGTTGTCTTGTTAGCGCTCAACTTATTCGCCGCGGCCATCTTTGGAGAGGCAGAATTTGTCTTTGCGTCAATCAAGCTGATCGCCCTGTTTGTTCTCTGCATAATTGGCATTGTCTTGTTCTTTGGCGGTGGCCCTGATCAACATCATGTTCTCGGCTTCCATTATTGGAACGATCCTGGAGCCTTTGTAGAATACAATGCGAAGGGGTCGACTGGCAAGTTCTTGGGCTACTGGCACGCCTTTGTCAAAGCTGGTACGTCTCGCCTATTTCACAGTCATTCGCCCATTCTGCCTACAATTAACTGACAATACTTTCCCTGCAGGATTTGCCTTTATTACCAGCCCAGAGTTGATCGCCATCGCCGCCGGAGAGGCCGTTTCTCCTCGCCGAAACCTCAAAAAGGCCGCTCGTCGCTTTGTTTTCCGCTTGGCATTGTTCTACGGTGTATCCTCCCTCATCATTGGCATCATTGTCGCTTCGAATGATCCAAGACTCCTTGGGGCCTCTGACGCTAGCGCTTCACCGTTTGTCATTGGTATCCAGAATGCGGGCATCCCTGTGTTGAACCATATTATCAACGCCGTCATTTTGACTTCCGCTTGGTCTGCCGGAAACTCTTTCCTCTACTCTGCCAGCCGAGTTTTATATTCCATGGCTGTGAGCGGCCAAGCCCCCAAGGTATTCGCTCTTACCAACCGCATGGGTGTCCCCTATGTCGCTGTCCTGTTTACCTGGGTCTTTACCCTCCTCGCTTTCCTCAATGTCAGCAACTCTGGTGCTACAGTCTTCAACTGGTTTGTCAACATTTCAACCATTTCTGGCTTCATTGCCTGGATCATCATCATGATTACCTATCTTCGCTTCCGTAAAGCGATTATTTTCAACAATCTCCTGGGAGAACTACCCTACAAGACGCCATTCCAGCCATACGCTACTTATTTTGCGCTCTTCATCATTTCCATTCTCACTCTCACAAACGGCTTCCAAATTTTCATCGGAGATAACTGGAACGTGAGCGACTTCATTGCTGCGTATATCACTCTACCCATTGTCCTTGTTCTTTATCTCGGCCACAAGATCTGGAAGCGCACCCCCTTCTGCATCAAGACATCTGAAGTCGATGTCATTACGGGTAAGAAGGAAATGGACGAGATGGAGGCGATGGATCAGCCCCCTGTGCCCAAGAACTGGCTTCAGAAGATCTGGTTCTGGCTGGCATAAACGTACGTGAGAGATGAAGGTGTGCTTTAGTTTTGTATATGGTGTTGCTATTCTTTATTGTATATACTGTTGATTCAAGATACTGTTTGACCTTGATGGAATGTTTCTAGAGAGGATATAGTTTCTTGTTAGATACCCAATCATGACGTAGATGAGGGTTATGCTGATGAATATCATTAAATGTTTAAATTTGCTCATGACTCTTAATTTCTATCCCAACCCAACTGCCTCTGTAATTCATTTAAGGCACTCAAATTTTATCTGCTAAACCTCTTGGTGAATTAACATGTAATTGCACAAATATCCTGGTCGTTCTTTAGGCTGTGCCAGTAGATTCAGGCCTAGGTTTCCTGGTAGCTTACGGTGCATATTTGGAGACTCTTTACTACATTTAATCGAAATATTCTTCTAGTATTAAACAAGTATTGAACAGAGAATAGCCCTAAAAGAAGTTATCGCCGTAGGGGAGTCACAAAAATATAGCTTTCAATTAGAGTACAGCATAGTACACTGTACAGAATCAGATTCTCAGGCGATTCGCAAGTGTCACTAGCTGCATAGAGATGTTATGAAACTGCAAAGCAATAGTCTTTTGCGGAATTGACTTCCGTTTGTATACTTCACTCGATAACTGATAAAAGCGCCCTATATCCCGAGTACCATTTATGTTTATTAAAAAGCACACCTTCCCCGGGCGCAAGTCCTGGTTGTAAAATTTGTCAGCTTCGCACCGCCCGCCGTTGCCGGATTGGGCCATTGCCCAAACATGGCGTACATGTGCATGCGCTACTCGTCAGCGCATGACATCACCCTCGTTCTTTTGGGTATACGCTGCCAATCTGTAAGTCGTATCGATCGTTTCATTCCAATGAAATCTTTACAGCATTGGCCTATTACATTCTAGTCTTTGTTCGTATACCACTATTTGCTAAGGAGAAGATTGCAATGGCAATTGGATTTTTCCGAAGCTATTGGAAGCATTTGTCATCTGAGCAAGCTGTATGCATGCCATACTTTGAAGCTCTCGGATGCTTTTGGTGTATTCGGTCAAATGGCGTAGTTGCTTCGTGCCTTGTTCTTCTACTATAAGTAGTCCTATTTCTCTCGGATGATATAGTCTGAATCATTCCATATTACAACACTCAACAATCAGTTTTCTAGAAAACTAGTTATACATTCTAACACGAATAATCAATCACCTCATTCAAATATACCTCTAATTGACCAATATGTCGACTCCTTTCGAATCAGAGATCCTCGCAGCCAATGCTAAATATGTGAGCACTTACAGACATAGTGGTCTTGAGTGCCCTCCTCAGAAGAAAGCCGTCCTTGGTATGTTCTCTTTCATTCGAAATCTAATTCGAACATCCAAACTTACTCATTATGTCTAGTAACATGCATGGATTGCCGTCTTGACCCCAAGTCAGCCTTGGGTTTCGAGCTTGGTGAGGTAACAACGATCCGGAATGCTGGTGCATCAGGCCAAGATGCAGCGCGCTCAGCAATTCTCACCACACACGTCTTGGGTGCTCAGGAGGTTCTTCTCATCAAGCATACGCGATGCGGATTGTTGGGTGTTCCTCAAGAGGCAGTTCATGGAATCATGAAGAAGAACTTGGGGGTGGAGGAGTCCAAGGACGTGGATAACTTCGATGTTCTTACTTTCCATGATTTAGAGGCATCTACCCGGGAAGAAGTGGAATACCTCCGCAACCACCCTCTTTGGCTGAGCAAGATTAAAGTGACGGGCTGGATCCAGGATACTGATACTGGCGCTCTGAAGAAGATTGTGGAGTAGCTAAGCTTTGGGGGCTATAATTGATAGATGAGACTATTAAGTAGGATTGCGAGAGATTAGGATTAGCTAGACATATGAAGCAGGCAATATTTGAGATCAATTACATTGTACGGCCCTACTACCTATAATTTTTCCAATCAAGTTTAAAAATTATTTAACTATGAGGTGAAAAACGAAAGTTTCTAGTGACTTGTTCCCCTAAGAGCAGGCGTAGATTGCTTCTATTTTGTGGCATTTGATATAGCCAAGTTATAATGATTACAACGATGCTACAATATGAATAAGCAGCTACATCTATCTACCCTTATGCACAGTAACGCATAAATCCTAGTAACATCACTTATGTGCTGCAGGTCGAGTTCATGTACATATATTCTGTCATTAATTTATCTAAAGCTCTATTGTATTGACATATAGTCTAAAATTTTCCGCCTCTATTTCACATGCTTGCTCCATTGTCTAATCTTAGGTCCCCAATAAAACAACGAGAACGGAATCGGAATCAGCAAGGCACTCAATATTCCAAGCAGCGTCAAAGCCCACGCAACGCCAAGATTTGCGTACATGGGAATGCCCACTTCCACCATTCCACCAGCAACCAGATATCTCGTTAAAGTAACGAAAACTAATCCACTAGCAGCTAGCTGTTCGTAAGTATAGATGATGTACTGGTAGCTGCTGATGAAAACGCAGAGAATGCCAAATCCAAGTAGCACGGACGCCGCGAGGGCGGACCAATATGATATCGATGCCCTAGTTGTCCACGCCATCCAGAAAAGCCCAATCGGGATTGTAGGTGCGCCAACCATCGCGAACCAAAGACGAGATTCAGGGCTAAGTTTACCATCCCTTTGAATGATCTTCCGTGACTGGATAGTAATTGGTATTGTCGTCGCCAAAGTTAACAAGAACCCAACGCCTAATCCGAAGAATGAAAGCCCCCGTTCTGCTAGGCTGAATCCGTATGTGTTCGTGAAGATAAAAGTATAGCCTGGTAGAAATGTAAAGATGACAATGTATAGCACGGAAAGATATACCGAAATCATAATGATGATTGGTTCGGAGTAAGACAGTTGCACTGGTCGATAGAGAGCAGGGCCAATTTTAGCTTTGAATCTCTGAAACCCAGATGCCTGCTCTGTATCTCCAAGGATTTTGGCTGAAGGAATCTCCCCATCCCCTGAAATGGTTTTCGCAGTGGCAGCGGCAGTTTGCCATTCACGTAGCGTTGACGCATGTGTTTCGGGTTGAAAAATCAAGACCAGCAAGAGAACAGCACCCGAGAGAACCAGCGTGCTCCATTCCACCCATCGCCAGCCCACAATCTTGCTATCAGCAATCAGTCCTCCAATTGCTGGTCCAACTGCCAAGCCGAAAAATCCGCCTGTAGCGTAAATCGGGAAAATGTGAATTTGGTCGACTGGATCCCACAGATCTGAGATGGTGCCACCAGCGCAAACTAACGGGGTGCTACCGAACATGCCGGCAAGGAATCGCAAAGCAAGTTGGGCACCGATATTGGGTGCTAAACCTGCTCCCATTGTGCACAGCATGAAGAGCACAAAGCTAATTATATAAACGGGATTTCGACCGGCAATTTCGGACAGGGGGCCGGCAATGGGAGCACCGACTCCAAAGCCAACAAGAAACAGGCCTTTTGTGAAAGTTAGAAGTGAATTCAAAATAGTGCATATTCTATTCGAGCTGGGGTTTAGAGACGAACCAGTTGCTAGAGATTCCGCAACAGCAGATGCACCAAATTCCGATTGGATCCTTTCAGCCGCGCCAGAGTCCACAGCAGAAGCATATTGTACAACAAAAGATATCGCTGTGACGATCAGAGTCGCGCCGAGCTTTTTCCATACAGGCCATTTTCGAGGATTAACATCAATATCTTCATCGGCTTGTTGCTTGCGGTGTGGCGAAGTTGATATCGTGGGTTTATTGATGGCTGTCTCGTCGGACTCGGATAAGCTGATTGGGAGTTGTTCTGTCAGTTGTAGCACTGATCGAGCTGCTATGTTACGCCGTTGTATAAAGGACTGCATTGTTGCTGTGACTCCACAAGAGCTATTGTCGACTTATGAAGCACGAGTATGTGTGTACATCGCATTGTGACATCGTGCAGGGTCGGCAGTTGATATATATTAATTGAAGCTGGTGAAACAGGCATTTTGACTGCACGCATCTAAGAACCAATGACGTGTTGAAACTGATCGTATAATAATAAAACGCCGACAGATGCATGTAAAAAGCTTGAGAAGTTCTATCATTAAGCGGCTGACGGGCTCGCCGAGTTTCCGTCCTGCTCACTCAAAGGGACTGAAAACCTAGGGTTAGTAATGACTTTGAGAGCGAGAAATAAGAAAAATAGCACAGCGCTGAATCCTGCCTAATACGGTAAGCTACAGCGATGTAATTACATAGCTGCGCTTGATTCTACTGCTCCCAATGGGACCATCCCATCGGCCTATACTGTAGGCCTATGAACCGACTATGGAAATGACGTGTGAGTGCGGTGGGACTGCCCTTTACAAAAACGAGCATTGCCCCCGTTTGGCATGGTCGGGCGGAGATGCTCGTGAGAACTAATTACACCTTGCCTAAGATAGTCAAGTTGTACATATGAACGCCATGGCTTTACCTTTTTGGTCTTAGTAATGAAGAGCTTCTGTGTTCTATGCGCGTTACCCTTGTGAAGAGCTCGCGTTTCGCTCAATAACTCTGCCTGCTGGTCGTCATTTAGGAGATTATTTAGGAGTGGGATATTCTTAATCAAATGATGCTCAACATTCCAGAGGGAAGACATGTCTCTGACGTAGGCTCACTCGCTTCATCGTTAATTTAAAAGCACCAGAAATCTCAGCTGCAACTAGAAAGTACTCGTTAGCGGCGCAATCAAATGGGGGCCAAGGTGAATATATATACATTAGTAGTTAGTAGCATTGCCGTATGGTATTGAGCGGGCTTATTGTTGAGCTTCTATTTGTTAGTGCCGGTTATTAAAACCAATCACCAAAGCCTCGTGCTAGCCTACTCACACAAAGGCAGTGCTTGGAACGAAGAAGAAATACACAATTCTGATCAATAGCCAACCACTTGCAACCGAACGCAACGTAGTTCATTTGGCTATGGCCACCAAAATCATGCAAGCCAAGGAACCATTTGATCAGCTTGCGAAGGCCAGTTTTTCAAAGGACAGTGCTGTAGCGGCAGCTAGAGATCATAGAGTCAAAGTAACTTGTCTGGTTATCTAAGTGAAAGAGACGAATCTAATCCTGTATTATAGTGTAAACGGAAGAAGATTCTAATCCTCTGTTATAGTTATTCCTAGCTACATACGCAGTCTATCGGAGCTCTCATTTCCCGAGGAGCGCAACAGCACCAGGAGCCACGTGAGCGCGGCAGTCGTCGTCTATTACACGCATTCGCTTAGCTTGGTTCGTTTGACAATGCCCTTTATGTAATTCTCCATATAATAATGGAATCATCGTGCATACTTTCCTTCTCCTAGTGATCGATGTATGACAAATGAATTACCAACAGCAGCTCGTCTCGGTCAGCTCAGTCGGCTGGGTGCGTCATCTTCAGATATAGATTAAATTAAAGTCGTGATATTTACAGTCGGTCAGCGCTATGTTCATGCTTAGCAAATGCTTCCCTGTTGCCCGCACAGCTCTAACTTGTAAAGTTGAAGATAAGCAAGCTTGGTTTACTCATTGTATTAATAACACACACTGGACTCCTAATGAAGATGACAAAGCTGCTGGGACAGGAGCGGCTGACTATATAGACGAGAGATATCGCAGATTTCGGAGGTTTGGGTCACATCACTACCTACTCTTAAATTAAGCATTACGAGCTGAAGTCTCTGCCATCAAGATGTCAGAGCTGGCGTACCAGATACTCCCGACTGTCAACCAGGTTGAAGTTGGTAATTATTCCGTTTTTTATCGTGAAGCAGGACCTCTGAATGCTCCAACTCTACTGCTGCTTCATGGTTTTCCATCGTCTTCATTCCTCTTTCGACATATGATTCCTATTCTTGCATTGACATATCACGTCATTGCTCCTGATTTTCCCGGTTTTGGATTCACAAAGAGCCCTGCGAACTTCCCTCACACTTTTGATAACATAGCCAATGTCATGGAAGGGTTCCTGGACGCGCTAGATATTCAAGAATTCGCCGAATACATTATTGATTACGGTGCTCCAGTTGGGCTGCGACTTGCCGTAAGGCGTCCACACGCTGTCAAGGCCATTGTATCTCAAAACGGGAACGCTTACCTGGATGGTCTTGGACCAGGGTTCGGCGCAATAAGATCATATTGGGCGTCTGGTAGCCAATCGTGAGTTAGCTTACTGCTGCGGAGTTTATTGAGGAATCATCTTTTCAAAGCTTGCGGCTGATCGTCTTAGTGACCGGGATGCTCTACTTCCTTTCTTCACCCTAAACGCAACAGAGTCGCAGTATACCACCGGCACGAAGAACCCGGAATCTCTTGAACCGGAATCGTGGTGGCTCGATTATGCACTCATGAACGACCAACTAGGAAATATAGACATCCAGCTAGATTACCTCTTCGACTATCAGACAAACGTTGCACAGTACCCACAGTATCAACAGTACTTGCGCCAGTCTCAAGTGCCTCTGCTCGCTGTATGGGGAAAGAATGACCAGTTGTAAGATGCTTCCCTGTATAATGAAGTACTATGCTGTGTTATCGTCGGTCACTAACCGGTCTCTAGCTTCCTCCCCGCTGGTGCGGAAGCCTATAAACGAGACTTGCCCCATGCTGAGATTCACCTCATTGATGCTGGCCATTTTGCGCTGATTAGCAATCTGAGGGATATTGTGCATTACATGCTACCATTTTTATACAAAAATTTGAAAAGTGGAAAGCATCACTAGACGTGTAGGGTACGAATCAGGATGGAGAATTTCAACATCCTATTTGTGGGTGTTGCTAATTCATAAATGATAGAGCATAGCTTGCTTTAATATAGACACAAACGGAGTACTCCGTATATGTGGATGAAATATACGTCTAGTAATATTTTAGCATATGATTTTCTTAACTCAATAGCACCAACCTATTGTTGTGCGTTGGTGAGCATTACCCTAGGTAAATTGGCGTGCGGAGTTTGGACGATGCAGGCTCTTGTTTCCGAAGCCAAATCGCCCCACTCGCTTATGGACGACAGGCTGCTTTCCCCTTTACTCTATTCATGAGCTCGACATGAAAGTCTTTGTAGAACTTCTTGGTTCTTCTTTAAGTAATGTATATACGAAATAAAATGACTCCGCAAATTTCAGGCCTCGATCGCACATTTGTGAATCTAACGGACGATCCCGCAGAGGGACGAGGCGCAAGGCGCACATATATCCGCCGGGCGGTGATGAAGAGCTACCACGAGCGCCGAAGCCAGAAGAAGAGGGCTCCGAAATCTGAGGCTGCTGTAGCTGAAAAGAGAGCTGGAAAGCATTTAGCAGCACTAATGGCGTCTATTGACAGACAAATGGCTCCACAGTCTTATGCCCTTGTTAGTATTCATGGATCAACTGGCCTTTCTCTTGTTATCTCCGATGGCATCATCTTACTGTATTAAAGATACCCAAGTTCATCCTTTTTGAACGGATAAGATTTTCCGAGCCACCAATGACACAAATAAGCTGTTTGTTACTACGGTATCTTTGTGGCCAAGTCTCAAAGGCTTCCCATGACTTGTCTTATGTGGGATTTATCCACCATACCACTTCTCAGAACGAACTCAAAGACAACTCCGAAAATATGGTTATGAATCACAATACCCTCAAAACAAGCCTGAACGTACTGCAATCATGTAATTATAATAATAACCTCCCCAATCTTGCTGCAGACAATGAATCATTATGGGAATTGATACACCAGCATCAAGAATGGATATACTCAAGGGTAAGAAGCACACTTCAGCCGTCTTCGCACAACTGTGTTATATACTTGGTTGCTTGAAGCTAACTTGCTATCAAGATAACTACGTTTAGCCAATGGGAATTGCTATCTGCCGCGCAAGCGACTACCATTTACCTTCTTTTACGAGTTAAGCAGGGGAGGAATAGCGCAGCATTCCCAAACGGGGACATTGCACTCCTCTTTACGCTTGGGGTGAGCTACCTCGCCAATATCTTTCGATTCTCTCCCTTTCTATTCCATAAAGTTTCAAAATGGAAAACTGACGGAAAAAAAAAAAAAAAAAAAAGGCTATTTTTAGACATTTCCATAAGACCACTTTATTGGACAGCCGCCCTCGACAAGACTTTAGACAATGGGTATTTTTCGAATCCTTCACGCGCATTGCCTGTATATACTTCACTCTGAGTGCAGTAGTATCCACGAACTTTGGATTGCCGTGCGATGATCCGAAAGATTGGAATTTTGGTTCCATGCTGGTGCCAGCTACAAAAGCTTCATGGGTCGCTGCAAATGCTTCGGAGTGGATGAGCGCCTTGCCACCGGAAAAAGAACTCACGTGGAGAGATTTAGTCTCCACGGCATCTTTAGATGGCTCTCCTGTGGAAACGTGGAAAGAAAGCTCTGATGAACTTGGCATGGTTGTTATGATGACGATGACCTTAATATCTCAGCAGCCACAATATCTGATCCCGTCTCCTTCTATGTAGATTAGCTGACTGAAGTTGGTTAGCACCCGTAATTTATTTCTCTGAATGTCGTGTGGGGTTCGAATTGATATATGGAGATATTATTTTGCGGACTACACAAATTTTCTATCTCTGACTGGGAGATTTTATGACGGCGGCTGGGGGGCTTTAGTTTGAGTGGCGCAACCGGGAAGTAAGCGTCTCTCTCCTTTATCCTTCGAAATCGTGCGACACAGCCGCCAGAAGATATTAACGTTAGATCTAACAAATGGTTGAGTAACTTGGTTACCTGGAGGTCTAAACTACCGTGGCAGACAAATACTGCCCGCCTGTAGTCTCAAATAAGAGCCAATAGCACAACACAAATCCCCGATTCTTTCAACAGTGGAAAAACAAGTCTACTCAATGTGAGATTTTTTGAGAGAAAATTGAATTGATTGAAGTTATCAAAATGCGGCGTATGCATCGGAAGTCTCTATGAGTGGCCTTCATAGGTATATACAAGCGGCGTGTGCCAGGGGTTGGGACTGGTTCCCTTTGCGACAATCCAGGCAGCATCAAGAGCCTTGACAACCTCCTCTGGCAAAGGCCCCTTCTCCAGGTCCGCGATATTCTGATGCAACTGCTCAATTTTACTTACTCCAAAAATGACTCCGTCGTTTCCACCATCTTTGGCGAATTTTAAAGCAGAGTGGTGCATGACCCAGCGCAACGCGACCTCGGGCATAGTCAAGCTGTGACTTTCAGCAGCTTGTCGAAGAATGTCAAGCGCTTTAAATAGGCTGTCGTTGAAGTACAGTTGCCGGAAAATTGGTCCCAGGAAAGTGCTAGTGCTGAAGCGACCGCTTTGCTCTTCGTCATCCGCAGACTTATAGCGCCCAGTCAACAAGCCTCCACCGAGCGGCGTAAAGATGACAATCTCCAATCCAAAACGGCGACAAGCAGGAACCACTTCAGTCTCAAGATTACGAGCTGGTAGCAGCAGAGTCAGCTTCTCGTCGATTCCCTGGGTCAAAGAGATCGGGTGGGGAGGGGTCCTTACTGATGGCGTTGTAAATTCCCTGGTAAATGGTGGGCTTAATCCAACCTCGAGCTTGGCACAGCATAACAACTTCGGCAACTTCATAAGCAGGGAAGTTGCTAACGCCAAGCTGTTTGAACTTGCCCTCCTTGTATAACTCATTTGCGGCTTCGAGTGTCTCGGTAAAGGGGGTGGTTCGATCAGCGGAGTGAAGGTAGAAAATGTTCACGCAATCAGTACCAAGCTCTGCTAGGGACGTTTCCAGATCCTTGCGGAGGTTGGCAGCTGAATGAGCCCCGGGACCGTGGGGGTAGCTTTTGGTAGCGATCTTGAAACCGCGTTCTTTCCATCCTGCTTTTGCGGTGAAGGCTTCTTGTTTCTGCGCAGAGTATATACGAGCTGTATCAAGTTCGTTGTATCCATGCGCTTGGAAGGCATCGAGATGCTGCTGAAATTCTTCAACTGTTGTTACACGGTTGTCTGCCGAAGCTTCACGAGGGCCATAGGTCATAAGACCGAGGATAACTCTGGGCTTTGGGGACGCCATTGTGCGTGTGCTATGAGAATCTTGAGAAGCAATTGCTATTTGACGATTTTAAGAATGAAGATTATATATTTAATTTATATATTTAATGAGAGATATTGGGTTGACTTTATATCTATTTGGTCCTACCACTTGTTCGATCCCCAAGAACGCGATTCATAGCTTTCGGGTTGACAGCCGTGTAAAGCCTATTCAGGCCTATCGTATGCCGTTTTTAGTATGACATCTACGCGCGCTAACCCTAACTTGGCATGACAGAGGCTTGAGGCTTTTGGCCCCTGGCAGGAACCCCCAAATATACACAGACAAATTCCAACTACACCCGGACAACTAAACCTAATCCAGCCTAAGTAATTTTAATATATATTTTCTTAAGTAATTATACCTTTAGCTATTTAACTTTAGTTTTTTATAAATACCTTTAGTTCTCTATAATATACCTTAAGCTGCCTGCTATACCAGCATATTGTATACTATAAAAAGCTAGGTTATAAGGCATTTTTAATGTATTTAAATTAATTAAAAATTTTAATTAAAAATATAACTGAGGTTATCCCGGTAATTTAAGCTAATTAAAGGCCTAGAAATTTACTTATATAAGCAGTTTAAGCTAATTAAAGGCCAGGAAAAACACTACTTTAGAGGCATAAGGGGGTCCCTTTATAATTTAGCTAAAAATTATAAAAATTATTAAAATTATATTTTTTTATATAAATACAGCTATTTAATAAAGCAGCTGCTATAGCTAGAAAGGGTTAAACTAATGTATTAAAGGCTATAGCTATTAACTATAAAACTAAGGAGGTACCTTACCTATAAAATTATATATAGAAATACTTCTATAGTTTCTAAAAAATTATTAAAAGCTAGGTTAAATTTAATAGCTCCCTGGTGCCTGTACTAAAGGCAGCAGCTGCAGGGTGCCCTAGGGTAAATATAGTAGTAAAAGAGGAGGTATTGTAGGTATTATATTTTATAAAGCAGGCTGCTGTACCAGCTGTAGTAAGGCTTAAAAGGAAGACATTGGATTATTGTTAAGCTGTAAATTTAGGCGTGTTTAAGCTTGATTTAAATCCTCTATTATCCTTTGTTTTCCTTAAGGCACAAGGCATTCAGTAAGGCATTTTCTTGCCTTTCCCTATAGCCTAGATCTTGTAGAGGTATTAGTTAATATACTAGTATAACCAGCTGCCTTTTAATTTAATAAAATTTACCTTAATTTTACTAAAGGAGGAAGGGGATTGTTTTATGCCCTTTAGTGCATTAGTACTATAGTAGGATTAGGCTTGTAGATTAAGCTAAAGAGGGCCTGTTAATTAGGCTGTAAAGGTTAGTTAAAATACCTTTATTTTAATATTAAACTTACTGTTATAGTATACAGCCATTAATGCTAGTTAATATTATTTAATTAAAGAGACTAGCTGCTTTATAATAGCAGAATAATTATATAGCAGCAAGGGAACCCCTACTGCTGTAAAAAATCTCCTTAACAGGGCTTAAGGAGTGTTTTTTTTTATAAATGCTCTTTTGCCTTATTAAGTTATATTGTAATCCATTAGACCAGCTTTTAGCCTATTTTATAGGCTATATTATTAAAAATAGGTTCTTTAAGCTATAGTACTTAATAAATTATTATTTCTTTCTTAAATCTAATGCTATACTTCTGCCGGCAGTACTTTAAAAGCTTTTAAATATATATATATAGCTTAAAGAGGTTAATAAATTAATTTTTAAAGAATACCTTTATTTATATATATACTGCTTTTATATATAAAGTTATTATAAGGCTATAGTTTTATAGCTTTTTTATAGAAAATTATATAAATTAAAATTGCTTAAGGATATAGGTTTAGAAGAGATAGTTAATTATTTTTAGTAACTTTAAATTAGCATAAAATCCTATAGAAAAGGAAGTACTATAAGATATATATTATTAACTAAAAAATAAAGCCTTTAGTTAGTCCTAAAGCTTAAAAAAACACTCTTCAGTCTCTGCTTAATATATATTGCATTAAGTATAGTAGATATTATTAAAAGTATATTTTTACTTTATTTTATTAAATAAAAGCTCTTAAGAAAATAAAGCTTTTTTTATAAGTAATTAAATAGCTATTTTATTTATATTATTAATAGCTTTTTTAGCAGCGCACTATAAAAGTAAGTCTTTAATTTTATTATTAAATTAATAGCTTCCCTTTAAAGTAAAGCTTACTGCTGCTTATACTTTATTTTCCTTTATATTTTCTAGTATTTTACTGCTAGTAAGGCTTTTTAATTAATTCTTTTTAATATAAAAAGTAATATTTTTTATTATATACTATATATATATTTACTGCTATAAAAGTTTAAAAATATTATTAATAGCTTTTTTTAAAGTAATATTAAAATTAATAATAATAATATAAAGATTAAGAATAAAGGCTTTAGCTGCTGCAGCTTTAAGCTGCTGCAGCAGTTAAGTAAATAATTTTATATTTTCTTTAATAGTTAATTTAAAGCCAGCGCTAAAGTTTATATACAGCGCTATTATATCTATAATTTAAAATAAAAGTATATTAAAATAGTTTATTTTATAGGTATTATTTATTAAAAGCTATTTTAGGTTATATTTTTAGTTTTTTATATTATTTTTATAAATTTAAAAAAACTTATATAATTAACTAAAGTTATTATAATTAATAGCATAAAAAAAATATAATTATTATTATATAAAAGCTATAGAAAGGCTTAAGTAAATATATAAAAACTATATTTACTTTAATAAAGTTTTTTTTAAATAACCTATATATTTTAGTTAATAATTTTAAATAAAGGATATTTATAGCTAAGTTTATAGATAATGCTTTTTACTATTAAACTTAAACTTTTGCTATATATTTCTATAAGACTTTAAAGTTAATTAAAGCTAAATTTATATTAAAAGGCAGTTTAAAAAGCAGCAGAGCTTAATAGCTTTTATATTTAATTATAATTATATATTAATTCTTTTATTTTAATAATAAATAAAAAAGTTATAAATTAATAATTAATTATAAAAAAAAATAAATAGTTATTTTTTTATATTAATATTTAATATTAATTTTTACTATATTTATATTATCTATAGCTGCTGCTTTATTAATACTTAATTTAATATTAAGTTATAATTAAATTTTATTTTAAACTTCTTTTTTTTAAAATAATAAAGCCTAGGTTTATTTATATCTGCTTTATTGCCTTAAAAGCAGCTTTAAATAAAAGGAAATTTATTCTTTAAAGAGAATTTATTTTATTAAAAAAAAAAATATAAAAAAAGTAATAAAAATAAAGTTAAAAATGCATTATATTATAGTTTAAAGTAATATTAAAGGAAGCATATAGATAATATAGTGCATTACTATTATAAGTAGTATTTACTTTAAGCTTATATAATAGCTATAACTAAAGGTACTTGTAAAAAACTTAAGTTAAACAGCTAGAGGTATAATTACTTAAGAAAATGTATATTAAAATTACTTAGGCTGGATTAGGTTTAGTTATCTGGGTGTAGTTAGAATTCGTCCGTGTATATTTGGGGGTTCCCCTGGCAGATATAATACACAGGAAGAAGAGTAAAGTCCGACGAAAGGCATCCGCAAAATACAAAATAGGATATACAGCAAGCTCGTTCATATATCGGACATAGATGTTAATTCCGGACATCAATCTGTGAAGAAAAATGACTTTTTCTGTTTGACCCACCGAAGATGATGTGGCTTAAAGAGCCTGCTTATAAGCAATCGAGCTAATTTTAAGAATGAACAGCTAACATATTGAATCGGAGTGGGATCTTATGATCGATACCAAATCGTATAGGCTATATTATATCTCATACAATGAAGTTGTTGATAATGAGAAGGATATCATCACAACGATCAAGGGTGCCGCCAAATTATCGAGTAAGAGGGCGACACCTTAGCTTTCTAGTACGAGGATATGCAAGGATACATGTAGCTCTAGAATTAGTACGGAGTATAATCTCTTTGAGATAAGAAATCGATGAAAAAGTCAAGTAGGAGTTTTGCTCTATGAAGTGTTTCAATGTGGTCTCGTCCGCTGCAAGGAAATTTTCGAGCAGTTAAAGCCACGTCACCTAAGACAACATGCAGCCTATGAGGCCACGGAATTCAGACATCTTGCAGGTTGCCTCTCTGACTCCCCTCGACGACGTGGCGCCCTTTGCTTCAATTCAGTGGAACCAGGTGGCAGCATCGCATCTCTTGCGTGTGGGGCACATAGTCTAGTGTCAATAATTATCTTCATATGCCTCCGTTATTAGTCGGATTCTATGTATCGCACAGGCCTATATATTTCTATTTAGCGACAATTCCTTATTGTTGGTTCTTGTATATTAGAAACAGATCATTTTATTGGTTTATAGATGTATTTGTGCATGTGAGCAGCTTGAAAACCTGTTTTGTGCCGTGTATGAGTGCCTGATTTCACACGGGCTCTTGGGCTCCCCTCGATTACCCCTCATTCATATCTAACTACATGTACCTATAAGATCAAAAGCAGCATCAGGCTTAACATTTCTTCACCCCATTCCACGCTCGATTCGCATTGCAATAGTAAAATAGCTTCATCGTACGCCATATATGCGCTCAATTGGTACTATGACAAAAGAAACGCGGCCCGAAATATCGTGAGTTTGTTTTATGCTTCTCTTGTTGATGAGTGCTGATGGTAGCAGTCCATATGCAGTGCCTACTATTGCATTATATTTCCAAGGCGGCAGCACACTTTATGTTCCGCCCCATTTACTCGCCCAGAGTCATAGGCTGGGGTCTATGGTTTTACAACAAGGCACACTGCAATTTACGGATGTTTCTGCAGATGCCGGCCACGTCCTCGTGCATTACCTTTTCACGGGTACCTATCAGAGTCTTAAGCCCAAAAGGTCGTCTGCTCAAGATTGCTTGGCGGCCGAATTCCTTACAAGCGTTCGCGTTTATAACGTCGCCCAGACTTACACACTTCCACCTCTTGTGGAACTCGCCAAGAATGAGATGCAGAAACTGGGCAAAAACCTTCCAACTGCGTTAATATTTGACTTGGTTAAAGACGCACATTTGGGTCTAAAAACCGACGATACATGGTTCAGTAGCTACCTGAAGGCACAGCTGAGGCTTTTCCTCGAGAGCCCTCTGAAGCCACCTGCAGGGAACAAAGCCGAGGATCAAGCGACCATATCAATCAGCGACCTCTTATTCAAGAGTATGTTCGAACTATATCACGAAAATATAGCCTCACTACGTGAGACGCAGAGCCATGCTTTTGGGCAAGCATCGACAAATACAAAAAAACGGGCGGACGAGCAAGCTACTAAAGAAGTTGAAGAGGCAACTTGTGAAGCTGAAACGAAGACCCGCGAACCAGGGGAACAGACAGTTGCTCCTACTGCTCCTACTGCTCCTACTGCTCCTACTACTCCTGCTGCTCCTGCTGCTCCTGCTGTTGCTGCGGAGGAGGAGGAGGAGTTAGCCATGCTAGAGTCAAAGAAAGCCAAAAAAGGCAAGTTACCCAGAAAAGAGGAGGCTAGGCGTCTTGAACTCCGAGAAAATGCAAAAATGAGAGCAAAAGAGAAGGTAGCCCAAGAAGCGGAACAAGCTGCTGCCAAGGAGGCAGAGGCCCAGGCCGTTCTGGAAGATAAAGAGGCTGTTAAAGAAGCAACAGAGAGGGCTAACCAGAAGGATATTGAGGCGAAAGTAACTGCCGAGATTGCTGAAGAAGAACGTGAAATAGCCCGGCTGCTTGATAAGAAGCATAATTCGTTCATGGGCTTGTCAAGTAAATTGGAGAAGAGGTTAAGTCAGCTCCAGGCTAAGACGATGAAACGAGCTGAGAAACAAGGCACATGCGAATCAGAGTATCTTACTCAAGAATCAAGAAAAGAGACTGCCGCCATTGCACATCCCGAAACGGCACACGAGCTTTATAAACAGCCTGTAGAGGATGAAGATTTGACAGAAGTTAAGATGATTCAAAAAGATAGCGCACTCGATGTGGGTTCTTATGGTTCTTGGGGGATAGGGGAAGCAGATGCAATAAAGGACGATGATATTCACGTCGAAGCTCAGGCTGCACAAGACATTGGAATCAGCACAAGCCATGATAATGTGGCTAACGCAGAAGCTCTAGGAGCTACACCAGAGAAAGAGAAGAAAACAAAGAAGAAGAAGAAAAATAAGAGCGTTGCTGCTGTTAGTCCAACGCCTGAGATATTGGTGGACTGCCTACTTGACAAGACCAACCGAAATACCAAAGATGAGAGCAATATGGAGCTTGATCCATGGAGTTTTTCAGTGCGGGAAAAGCGCAAAGCGGAGAATAAGAAATCGGACGTTAAACCTTCAGCATCTGGATCGCCGAGTGGTGATCTAACTGATACTCATAATCAGGAAGCAGCGGCTGATGAGTATAAGATGGCACGGTTTGAGGATGAGGGATGGAGTTTTTGGGGGCTTGGAAAGAATAAGAGGGCCGAAAACAATACCGCAACGGCAGGTCAAGAGTCTGTTCTACCATTGCCCCTACCTCCACGTGATCCTAAAGTGCTAGGTATACAGATAGATAGCGGACTCGCATGACAGATTTCAGCAGGATAGTATTATGCCTTTGCTATCTAATAATGATAGCCAAGATATTTCTCAGCATTACAATAGAATGTTTCCATTGCATAACCATCACTCACTGGCCTAGAGCCGCCGTTATTTGTAGAAACATGAATGAAAATAAGCATGCACACTCTGATTCCTAGGTGTAAATAGAGATGAAGCAAAATATAGATGGCAATGTTCATGAAATGAACTGTAGAAGTGTAGGCAACTTCACATGTGAGTAAGGTAAGCAGCTTCCATACATTAACATTTATTTAGCGCTGGAGATAGGAAGAGTAAAGGGATATCGGGTAATGAGATAAATACAAGGTATAGGTTAATATAACGCAGTTAGAGATGATATTTGAAGTCTGTGGCTCTATCGCCACTCTTAACCTTTCGCGTGTCCTCTTTCTCTCCACTCTCAATCTTCTTCTTTTCGCCATTGAGGTATCTCAAGTAGAACCAGTTGGTGGTGATGATCAGCTGCACTACGCCCAAAGCCCCGACGGAGAAGGCATTCCCCAGCACGTACGGCGCTGTCCTATAAATCTGGCCGGCAACAATGCCGGCCGTATTGCCGATACTCTGCTGCACGCCAATTGCTGTCGCGCGTCGGTAATGCGGCGCGAAATTGACATTGAGCCACGTCATGTTCAGCCCAGGGCCATTATACACGGCAATGGCGCAGAGAAAAGTGCCAAAGAATTTGACACCGTTGCTTGTCGGACAGAGTATGAGGATGTAGCCCACAATGCCTGGGATATTGGCGAGGAAGAGCAGCGGCCCTCGGACGCAAGTCCGGTCAGAAACATACGCAAAGGCTATGAAGCATATTCCTCCGAAGATGTATACTGGGATACTGAGGTATTGTGCCTGGATAGAAGAATATCCCATGTTGACTAGAATAGAAGGCAGGAAGGTAGAGAAGCCGTATAGGAGTATGTCCTGGCAGAATTGTATGGCACCACTGTAGCTCCAGGGTAAGTAGGGATTCATGGGAGGAGGTGTTTCTTTGATGATAGCCTTACCTGAGGTATAACTTTGGATCCTTTAGAGCAATACGAATCTCCTTTGAGTCAAAATCTTCGCTGCCCATATAGTGCGCCCGCTGCGCCTCGCGAACTTTCATCATGGCCTTCTCCTCTTCCGTGAGGAACCAGGCCTCGGTGGGATTATTCGGTAAGCCGAACCAGATAACCGGTGCGATGAGGAAGCTGCAGATGCCTTCAATGATGAACACCCACCTCCAACCGGCAAAGCCACCGATGCCATCCATCTTGAGGATGCAATAGGCAAGCAAGCCTCCGAAAGCGCCCGAGATTGCTGTGCATACAAAGAGATACGATACTCTCATTCCCTGCTCGTGACGCTTGTACACCATTGTGAGATACAGGTTCAGTGCAGGGAATAGGCCAGCTTCGCAGCCACCCAAGACAAGCCGCACAGCAAATAGACCTGCCACGTTATGGATAAAGCCCGAGAAGATAGTTGCCAGAGACCAGACAGTGCAGAGGCCGGTGAGCAGAACTCGCGGCGTTATCCTCTTCATCAAGATACTCCAGGGAGCCTCAAAAACCACATACGTCGCATAAAAGATGGAAACCGCGGTAGAGAATTGCTTTGGGCTGGCGCCGATATCTTCAGGCATGCCGGCGACCTTGACGTTGCCGATGTTACTGCGGTCGAGGAAGCATGTCAAATAGACAAGCATGATGATGGGGACGAAATAAGTGTCCAGCTTTAGCAAAAGACGCTTCTCGGCATTTGGATCGAGGATCGGGATGGACGTCGCCGACTCGTCAATCTCATGAGAATCATCTCGAGAAGATGGGCGCTTCTCATCATCGTCGAAACCGACGTTGACTTGCTCTGCGGTCATGCTGCGTAGAAGATATTCAATAGTCTGTATTCAAGACGGGCTTTACATGAAGGGATAAAAAGAGTAAAATGGGTGCACGAAACAAAAATGTCGATATTCTGAACCCCACGTTAAGTAATTGAAATTGAAACCCCATGGGGAACCTGGGTTCAAATGTAACGCCCCTGTAGATCGGCGCGGGCATCACGATCCATTTAAACAAAGAAGGCTCTGCCAGAAACCGGAGAGCAACTCCGTCAGCTCGCAAAAAAAAAAAGCCATATCTTTTTTTCCCCTTAGCAGCGCGTAGCCTTTCGAATGAAAAATCTCTTATCGCTAATTGCCGATTGCCGACCTCAGTTCAAGACCGCTAGAAACACCGGCTGAAAGATAGCCAACGTTGGCGATAGCCTAGTTCTATGGATGACGGTGGAGTTTGCGGGGCAAGTCGGAGACCCTCACCGACCCCTGGGGAGGCGCGATTTAGGTCGAAGAAGGAGGATGGCGTCGTGCGGGGAAGTTGGAGATAGGTTGATAGGACTGGTGTTCAAGATACCAAGACAGTATTGGGGATGGCTGACGTCGTGCTAGTAACCATGTGGAGATATGTTGATCATGTCGTTGCATTGCATCCTCGTCACATTACGAAATGGATACACATATATACATACATACCCTGTAGCTTGCCACATTTGCTCGTTTAGATATCGACTTTGTGGGTACATGATAAACAGGTGACCCTTGTAGAATGAGATAGGAGACCGGAAGCTGGCATAAGACTGAGAACAGATAAGGTACCACTTGATGATATCTCTATTCGACTTTACACTCTACATAGACAATATCTCATGCTGAACTGCCTTGGCCCATGAAATCAAACATCCACTCTCGAATATCAGTCCCGCCAGTCCCCCCAATCGTTGATGTGCGCTGCGCCAAGTCCATGTCTAAATCCATTGTCGGGTATGCAAAGCCCTCTTCCCAAAGTCCAAAATCCATACCCGTATTCACGCTGTCGTCATAAAACGGTTCGTTTAACGCGTTGCTATCTACAACCGGGAAAGTAAGAGGTATATTTGCAGTGCTTGCGTTATTGTCGTATGCGTTTATAGGGTATGGCGCCATCGATATTCGCGGAGGGACGACGCCCTTGCCTTGTATGGAGGCTTCCAACACTTGAGAGTTAGGCGACATCATGGCAAGCTGTTGGTGAGGAGCGGTGAGAGGTGTGATGCTTGAGCCGGAATATATGCTCACAAGCAATTCATAGCGAGCACCCATGTGGCTGTTACCTCTCTCGCCCATGTTTCTCAGCAGGCCAAGCCCAGCCGTCATAGCAAGTGTATTGGCAGTATTATCAGGAAATGCTGTGCATACCATGACGAGTACAATTGTGGCTGAGAAGATGTGTTCACCATCCATATAACCATATGTTGCTAAAGTGCTAGATTAGTGAACCTGAGCGCATATTGGTGAAGCGCGGATGTATAATCCTTCAGCGACGACTTACCAACCATATCTCTCTGAGCTACGATTGCCATCATATTGATCACATCTTGCGCAGCTCCAATACACATATCTATGACCCTCACAGTCGTTTGCGAAAGCCCTTCTTTCCAGTCGCGCTCTTTCTCTGCTGCACCGCCTCCACCTCGAATAGCCTGTAAACGTTTCTGCACGACGTGGAAAAGCAGCGGCCGCACAGTCATATTGATGCATTGATAGTAATGCGCAAGAGCTCCGACACTCTCACGACTAAAGGAGAGCTGCGCGGGATCGAAGCGCAGGTCATCTGGCACCTCACGATTCCATTTTGAAAGCGAGAAAATGATGCTTTGCACTGACGCCATGAGGCTCTTGCCGGATTTTGGTGCCGATTTGTTCGATCTCCGATATATCGTCATATGAATCCGGCCGAGGATGCGAGAAAGCTCGGTGTAGTGTCGTAAGACGACGGCAGGACAATATTCGGGGTCTCCCGGCAGTGGTGATGGCAAATCTACACCTATATCTTCATCTTGGATAGTGATAGGGTTGCCAGATTTGACGCACAAGATCCTATCAAGGCTATAGATGGACCACCAAACTCGCCTGCGATGCTCTCTGGCCGTTTTGTCCAGTTCTGAGCCTTGTTGTGAATAGTAGTGCGGGCTGACTTCCTGATGCAAGCCCAGCGAAATAGCCATGCGCAGAGCTTTGCCAATATATTGAAACGCCGCATCTCTGCGGTTCATATTCTGCATGAAGTATCCTGCGAGAGCTAAAGTCTCGACGCAGAGGATAGATCCTTCTTCGTGTGTCTCAGGAAGAAGATTTACCGCATCTCTAAAATAGTCAAAGCCTGGTGGCCCTCGAAAGTCTACCCATTGATTGACAGAGTATAACTGTCCAAAAGCCAGTACGAGTAGAACTTTGGCATATTCTAGGCACTCCGTTTTATCAGAAGGATCGGGTGGCCCCCTATATGCCTGAAGAAGCAAGCGCTCAAATGAATCTCTGGGATCGGTAAAGGCGAAAATCGTGCCAATATACATGTACTGCGCTGAAAAGAGCCTTCGTGCCATATCAATCGGTGGTAATCGTGAGCGAATGCTAAATACAGTTTGTCGCCTTGAAGGTAGCGCGCCAGGCTCATAAAAATTTGAGGGTAAATCGAGGCTCCCATCATCACCTTGGAAGCCTGAGAGCTTTCTCACATTGCGAAGGAAGTTATCGGACGAGGCAGGGCCCTGGAAGCCTACAAGAAAGATTGTCATATGAGAGTAATTCATGAAACACAATACCGGCTGTGCTTACTCGTAGAAGGTTTATCTAAACTGAGCTGAGTGAATGGCTCAAGCAGAGGCTGCTCGTCTTCAAAGTCGTCGTCTTCGTCGTTGGTGTTGCGGTGACCATGGGTAGCAGATGAGCCTCCAGGCTGCATGCCTGCATCAAAACGTGTTAGCAACTAAAAGCACATTCTCTAAACATTATCTGTGAATAAAATGAAGGAAAGATTTCTACTAACTGTCTAAAATCTTTGCTTTTGCTTCCAATTCTCGTAAATAACTGTATTCGCTCAAATTAGGCCTAGTGCACTACATGAAATTAGAAACATGGATACGATTTGCACTTACGGTTCATTAACCAGTATTTTCCTGGTGCCCTCATAAACACACTTTATTCGAGCATCACGGCATCTTGAACAGGCAGGCTTCTCTTTGGAACAATAAGAGCGGCGTTGGCGGCAGTTGAGACAGCTATGCGCATGTAATATAAGTAAACAATGTTTCTCTGGTTTCAAATGGAATGATAGAACACGACTTACGCAACAGGCCGTGAAGTAAACTGCTCCACAGACTGTCCCGTCCCTGCAGCAGCATCTGGAGAAGCCATCCTACGCCAAGTCTACCACCTGATAGGGTGATGCTACTCTCTGCTTAACTCTTCGAGCCGGAGAACCCTGCGAGGTGGGGAAACGACCCTGTCCTCCCGCAGTATTTGACTTTTCCAGAGCCACCTATTCGAAGGCGCAAGAGCCTCAGCATAATTCCGGACCTCGCTGATCGCAACAGTCTGCCGCGGGGGACTATTCCGATATTGAAATCAGCCTGGATGAGCCCTTTCTTGCTCGCAAGGCTTTCCAGCCGCAGCTTCAAACACTGTGGTAAAATCCCGAATTGTAAAATCCCGATATCACGACCAACAGACGGTATCAGTGACGGGGCTTGATCCCCGCGATCTGTGCTCTCTTTTGCTCTCTTTGGCTTCCCACCTGGAGTAATCACAGGCGTCGGGAATCGACCCCGACGGTTCTCCTCATCTGCAGCGACGTTAACACCGTTTCGGTTTAGACCGGCTCCAACGCCAAATTCCGACCCGCCGTATCGGTCGCGGGGACCCACACCGGCTTGGCAAGCGTAACTCGCGAATCACGCACTGCTGCTTCTCGCCTACTGCCGCTTTGGGGAGGAAGATTTCCGAGGCATGGAGTTAGACTGCGATCCCGGAGATGGGGCTCATTTGCTGCCGATAGATCGTGGAGATTTTTGACTTTTTCTTTTTTCCGACACATCTTCAACTTGCCGGGAGAGCTTGATATAAAGTGCTAGAAGGTTGCTGTTCAGCTGTGTCCGTGAACACTACAAGCCAAGCAGCTAACCTAATACCCTAATCATGGCCATTAAATCACTCCGTATCCGAGTCTCTATTGACAGAGGCGGAACTTTCACTGATGTTCACGCCTCAATACCCGGCAGAGAAGACATCATCCTCAAACTCTTATCCGTCGATCCCGCCAACTACCAAGATGCCCCAACAGAAGGCATCCGAAGAATTTTGGAGTTGGTGACGGGCCAGCAGCTCCCTCGAGGCCAACCCCTTGACCTTTTCCATTTTGAATCTATTCGCATGGGCACAACAGTCGCCACAAATGCCCTGTTGGAGCGCAAAGGCGAGAGAGTCGCCCTGGTCACGACCAAGGGCTTCCGCGACCTCCTAGCCATCGGAAACCAGTCTCGGCCACAGATCTTTGATCTATCAGTGTCGCGGCCAGAAGTCCTCTACGATTACGTAGTAGAGGTGGATGAGCGTGTGACCATGGAAGATTACACGGAAGACCCAGAGTCCAACAAAACAATCCCTACAGGCCAAGATTCACAGCTCGTCACAGCCGTCACCGGCGAGACTATTCGGGTTTTACAAGAACCTGATCTCAGCGCAGTTCAGAAACAACTTGCAGACGTATGGAGCCAAGGCTTCCGTTCCGTGGCCATAGTATTCATCCATTCATATGCCTACCCCAACCACGAGCTTCTTGTCGGGAAAATGGCTCTGGAGATGGGATTCTCCGTCACATTATCATCAGAGCTCCAGCCTATGATCAACGTGGTTCCCCGAGGAACTTCAGCCATTGCAGATGCTTACCTCACTCCCATCATCAGGAATTACATCAGCTCCATTGAGGCAAATTTCCGCGGAGGCTTCTCATCAGCAGATACACGAATCGAATTCATGCAATCAGATGGAGGTCTCGCGGACTACCGCAAATTTAGCGGCCTCAAGGCTATTCTATCCGGCCCGGCAGGCGGAGTTGTTGGCTATGCTCAGACGTCATGGGATGAAGAGGAAAAGAAGCCCATCATCGGCTTTGACATGGGCGGCACATCAACAGATGTATCCCGATATGCGGGTGTCTACGATCACGTTTTCGAAACCACCACCGCAGGCATCTCCATCCAATCGCCACAGCTCGACATCCACACCGTTGCCGCCGGCGGTGGCTCCATTCTCTCATGGAGAAACGGGCTATTTAACGTGGGCCCAGAATCGGCCTCTGCTCATCCAGGCCCAGCGTGTTACCGCAAGGGCGGTCCATTAACCATCACAGATGCCAATCTGTTCCTAGGTAGAATCTTACCAGAGTACTTCCCCAAGGTGTTTGGCCCCAAAGAAAACGAGCCGCTGAATCGCGAAATTGTCGAGACCAAGTTCGCCGAGCTTACAGATGAGATCAACAAAGACAGAAAAGCCTCTGGCCTTACCTTATTCAGCCCTGAGGAAGTGGCCCTTGGGTTCTTAAAGGTTGCCAACGAAGGCATGGCTGGGCCTATTCGAGCTCTCACAGAAGCTCGTGGATACGACGCTGCCGACCACCATCTTGCCTGTTTCGGTGGTGCAGGCGGCCAGCATGCCTGCGCAGTCGCCAATGTCTTGGGCATTTCTCGCATCATCTTGCATAAATATTCTTCCATTCTGTCTGCTTACGGCATTTCACTGGCAGACGTCGTTCACGAGACTCAGCGTCCTGCCGCGATAGTCTACAGCCCGGAGACAGAGGGCGAAATCCGATCACAGCTTGAGAACCTGGCCCAGCAAGCAACAGACGCTCTCTTGAAGCAGGGGTTCGCTGTTGACCACATTTCCCACAACTCTTACCTCAGCATGAGATACGCTGGCTCAAACAGTTCGCTCATGATTCTCAAGGGCCAAGACTGGGACTTTAAGCGAGAGTTTGAAGATGCTCACAAGCGGAGTTTCGGATTCCACTTCCCAGAGAAGGACATTATTGTAGATGATATCCGTATTCGAGCCATTGGAGGAACAGGCACGAAGGAGATCAAAACTCCGTTTGCTCAACTCAGAAAAGTCCAGGGTACTAGCGTCCCTTCGCCTACTGCAGATGGAACGAATTCTGTCTACTTTGAAGGCTCTGGGCACGTAAATGCTCCCATTTATGAGCTCCAGAAGCTTTCGGAGGGATCACAGATTTCAGGTCCAGCACTCATCATCGATAACACCCAGACCATTGTCGTCGCCCCCGGAACAACAGCCACCATCTTGGACAGCTACGTTGTTATTGACGGCGCGCTAAACACAACAGATTCAAAGTCAAAGAAGGCACAGGAAGAATTCAGCCCAATCCAGCTCACAGTCTTTGGTCACCGGTTCATGGGCATTGCAGAGCAAATGGGCCGCACACTGAGGCGAACCGCCGTATCCACCAACATCAAAGAGCGTCTCGATTTCTCATGCGCAATCTTCAGCCCCGACGGCGGCCTCGTCGCCAACGCGCCACACGTGCCAGTCCACTTGGGATCCATGCAATTCGCTGTCCAATACCAACATCGCCTATGGGAAGGCAAGCTTCGTGACGGCGATGTGCTCATGTCCAACCACCCTTCATGCGGCGGCACGCATCTACCCGACATCACAGTCATCACCCCTGTGTTTGACGGAGACGAACTCGCTTTCTACGTTGCCTCTCGCGGCCATCATGCTGACATTGGTGGCATTCTCCCGGGCTCAATGCCCCCAACCTCCACCGCGCTATGGCAAGAAGGTGCCGCCATTCAGTCAACCAAGCTTGTCAGCGAAGGCCGCTTCGACGAGGCAGAAGTCGTCAGGTTATTACTGGAAGAGCCAGCCCAGTACGATGGCTGCTCAGGCACCCGCAGACTGCAGGACAACATCTCAGATCTGAAAGCCCAAATCGCTGCAAATGCAAAGGGCATTGCGCTGATCAAGGGACTCATCGAAGAATACGGCCTGGCTTGCGTACACAGATATATGTACGCCATTCAGCACACGGCAGAGGCTGCTGTTCGGACCCTGCTAAAGAAGACGCTCGCCACATACGGCTCAGAGCCCCTCACGGCGACTGACTATATGGATGATGGAACGCCTATTAGCCTTTCCATCAGTATCTCTCCAGATGGCTCTGCTGTCTTTGATTTCACCGGCACTGGCCCTCATGTCCTGGGCAACACAAATGCCCCTATTGCCATCACTCATTCCGCCATCATCTACTGTCTTCGCTGCCTTGTCTCATCATCTATCCCTCTCAACCAAGGCTGCCTAACACCCATCAAGATTGTCATCCCTGAAGGCACCATCCTGACGCCAGGCGACGGTCTCGCAGTTGTGGGCGGCAACGTCCTCACCTCTCAGCGCGTGACCGACGTCGTTCTCCGCGCATTCAACGCCTGTGCCGCCAGCCAAGGCTGCTGCAACAACCTCACCTTTGGCACCGGCGGCAAGGATCCCGTTACGGGAGAGCACAAGGAGGGCTTTGGCTACTACGAAACCATTGCAGGCGGATCTGGCGCCGGGCCCGATTGGATCGGCCAGAGCGGTGTCCATACGCACATGACCAACACGAGAATCACGGATCCAGAGGTCTTTGAGAAGAGATATCCATGCATCTTGCGCCGCTTCGAGCTACGGAAGGGCTCGGGAGGAAAAGGACGCAATAGGGGTGGTGATGGAACAGTTCGAGAGATTGAGTTCCGCGTCCCTGTCCAGTGTTCTATTCTGAGCGAGAGAAGATCCCGTCGTCCATACGGTATGGAGGGTGGAGGAGACGGCGAGGCCGGTCTGAACTGCGTCAAAGTTACGGACCCAGCAACAGGGGAGAAGAGAGTAATTAATTTGGGTGCAAAGGCCACCACAAGGCTGGGTCCCGGAGAGAGCGTTGTGATTCAGTCTCCTGGAGGAGGAGCTTGGGGGCTAATTGAGGCATAGAATAGAAGTTTGTGTAGCAATACAAGGTTGAATAGTTGACATGGAAAAAGCCTAATTCATTTTTTATAGACAGCTTTGAAATGCTTACAGCGGTGGTGAGTGCTCATTACGTATTATCGAGAATCAACTTGAAGAGTGCAAAGAGCCCGTGAGCGATAGTCTGTAGGTTTTTGTAATCCACTAAAACGAGTCTTTGGCATATGATGGGCTGTTGGGCTGTTGATAAGTACCTAGATAAGCGCGTTTTTTTTCTTCATCTATAAGCATGCATGCCCTGGAATAGAAACAGTAGTCGTCAAAATTAAGATGTTTGGAGTCTGTAGATCCCTCAGAGCAGCGATCTAAAAATCCTTCTTTTCCTTCCTTTTCCTTTTCCTTCTTTTTTCTTACCATGTAGAATCTGCTCGGCCGCTCTGTGGCACTAACACCGCTCCTTGTTCCTGGGACGTGCTCCATGCGATTGGCGGTCCACCGATAGTATTTTCGCGCGAGATCTCGGAGCTGAGGCCCGACCGCCACTAGCATAACGCCGCTAGAGCGCAGAATGATGCTGCTTTACGCGAAAGAGGCCCATGCCTGGGAGCTGAGTTTCAGGGGACGTGGTGCGACAACATGGCGCTGCCCTGGATAAATGTTTAGGCCGCAGACGCGCAGCATGCAGGATGAATAGGCGCAAAGAAATGGACGAAGCACGTGCTGCTAATACAAAGTCTGGCAACAAGGACGCATCCAAGTCAGCAACTTGCCGAAATAAGCTCGACTGGATCGTCCCCTGTGATCAGACGCAGGGAAGCAATCGGCTTCGACTCTCTACTACCCTTTTGGGCGTCTCGTAGCAATTTTAGTGCTCGCTAAAGGCGCTGCGCTAAAAAGCCATTAGCTGGCTAGTGCCTGAAGCTTTCCGCTAAAGCAGTCAAGTGCCAGGCACCGATGCAGGAACGGAGCGAACCACTGCCAATCAGCGGCCGCCAGGAAATGAGAAGCATTTAAAGGCGGACGCCAGCGCACCACGGGGCCGACCTCTTCTGCCATAATCCGCGTACTTGGCCAGCGTTGCGTGCATGTGCAGGCACAAGTTTTAATTGCACAGGCGTCTAGCCTGGTCCTTTGATTACGTCGACCAGTGTCATGAATCGCCACGAGTCGAACGATGCCCTTTTGGGCCCCTCGTCAGGGCCCCTGGACGTGGTCGGGGAGAAAACCCGCCTGGGCATGTGTGGAGGAGGGGCTCGCTTTGGGCCGTCGTCGAGCGCGCAGATCGCTCCTCGTTTAGCTAGGAAAAGATCTGCCCTGTCAGCCCGTATTGGAAGAATTGCGAGGCCAATGTGACCAACAAGAGGCGAGTTGCAGCGGTTTGGGTTTCCTGGTACGACGCCCTAGCACGACTGCATGGTGGATGACGATGTGCGGATGGAGAGAGTTTAAGAGAACTAGACACAATAAAGAAGAAACAAGGGGAAAATTAAGAATAAAGAGTAAAAGAGCCAAAACAGGAGGCCAGGACAAGCTGCCAGCCACTGAAACCAGCCACCAAGCAGACCACCAGGCGCATTGACTTTGCTGCTGCGACGCGCCCTGAGGTCGAGAGAAAATTTAGAGCCTGGCCTTGTACCTAAATGACACACTTTAATTTCGTCCCCGTCAATGCGCGGCTAGCGGCCAAGTCCCGTCTACCTGGTGCTGCAGCTCGTCCCCCTACGCCGCCCGCGTCTCGTCTACCTGCGCGGCCCTCGGCACCGGGCCCCATATTTGTTTGGGTGGCACTTGTGAGCGCTATTGGCCCTCACCGTGGTTCAGTCGCCCTCCAAGCCAGTCCGCCCTGCGATGGCGCCTTTGCCGGGCTCGTTCGTCCCAGTCGTGCGTGTTTCGTCTCTTCTTTTTCTACTCTCCTTCTCCCTCACCATCTGCTCTGACGTTTCTTCTCGTTTCACGAACTCAACGCAACAAACAAGACTTCGTTGGCAAAGTCTTATCCACTCCTTCACTTGAACGCTTCTTGGATATCGATTATCCAGCATTATATACCCTCTCACTCATTTCTGCCTCGTGCAATAACAAACCACCTCTCACAACACACGCAGCAAGGTAGGCTCGGCGGCACGCTGATCTGATCACCATTGACTGGAGAATATGACTTGCTAACCGGCTTGCAGCATTTCAAAACTTCTAGCGTATCATCGCAGATATCCATTATCTTGCCTGATTCTACCGCTATAACACTTGCGCTTCACTTTCACCCATCTTCACGCGACGCTTAGACAGCTTGTGTGCAAATCTCAACCACAAAAAAACCATCCCGAAGAATTTAAGATGAAGTTCTCTCTGTTCGCCGTCGCCGCTCTTCCGGCCCTTGCTTTCGCTCAGTCCACCACCACTGAGACGTCAACCACCGTCCTGACCAAGACTGTCACTCTCGCCAGACTTCACACAGTCACTGCTGTTGCCTCTCACAACGCCACCACCACCTCAGCCAGCTATCAGTCCATCGGTACTGCTGTCAGCACTGGCGTTGGTTCGACTGCCTTCAAGCCCACATCCGTTCCCTCAACTGGCGCTCCCATCGCTTCTGCCACCAAGGGCCCCCACAGCGCTGGTGTTGCTCTTGAGGCTAGCAAGGTCGCCTTGGTCGGTGTCGCTGGAATGATGATTTTCGCCATGATGTAAATCTTTGCGAAATGACAGAATACTTGGGAGTGTGGACAACTAGGGGATGAAGCGGATCCTTTTCCTCCGCGGACAGCAACCGTCTTGTCTTCTTTGCTCATTTACCAAAAAAGTTTTTCTTTTGTCATCTTGAAAAAAAAAATTAAAAACCCATTCTTCTGTATGACGATCTACGATCATTACGACTCGCCGACGATTTGACAACGTGCTTCTGTTGAAAAGGGATGGGCCCTTTTCGTCCACAAAGGCCTGGCGGTCTAATTCCTTCTTCTTCTTCTGATTCCCCCAATTTTTTTTTTCTTCCTGTGCTCGAGCGCGCCAATGGCGCTGCTGAGCTCATGTTCCCCCTTGATACTTTGTTTCTTGGGTGATCCTGTTATGCTCGCGGTTCCTGTCGCTGAAAAGATGACTACTGGCTGCGGTTCGTGATACGTCAACCGCCCATTCTTTCATCGATTCTTAGATGCTTAATCTTAAGCATTGTCTATTCTCACTCGTGGAAATCGACTGAATCTTGAAAGCTAGTATCTTGAAAGCTCAGTTATATCCTTTAATATGACCAGAGACAGCACGCATTGTATGTGTGAGCGAGCGGGCTAGCTGGATCTTAATTTCAATTCAATTATATTCTTTTTACGCCTCTTGATTCTGTCATAACCCCTACGCTTGGCAACTCTTCCATTCAAAAAAAAAAATTCTTTGGATCTGATACCATGGATCTACATCTACCATGCTGGTGTACTTCTTTTTCGCGGGTGACGGGTATTTATTCTCTTCTATTGGTGATACCCCCTTTTTGTATATTGGAGACGATTTAGTTGGGGCTGGATTGTATTTGACGCGAAGTCTCTCAAGCATTCCTTGAGAGGGCTCGTTGAACTACACATTTGTCCCTGACTTAAAGGCTTGTGGTTTTGGCGTTATGCCCTTTGGAGTTTGGACAGAGGAGGTTCGGTGTTAGGGAGGGAAAAAAGGCGGTGATCTCGAGCCTGGCGTTTGTCTTCTTAGAACTAGGCAGTGCAATTAACCATCATCGCATCAGTTTTCGTATTATCTCATGACGTGACTTCACTGCCTATAATACCAACTTTGAATCTCGTGTGATTCAATTTTACATTCCAACACGAATGTCTCGGTACTGATTTGAGCCTACACGCCTAGGTAAAAAACTATACCAAACCGAGTGAGCCACTTACACGGCCGATGAAGGAATCGAATGGTATTTCAACAAGACAAGAATGGCATAAAAGAAAAGCAAACACTGTGAAATCTAATTATCAAAGACACAGAGAAGAGAAAAAGAAGGTCGTCTATTCTCATAAACCTGATAAACGGCTTGCTGTTGAATGCTGATTAATAAAGAGAAATCCCTATTGGCGCGCCCACCCAAGTCTCCGGCTTGCGGCGCTATGATGCGGGTCCCATCGGCTCCCCAACTTTTCCTCCAGAGCTCTTCCAACTAAATCATTCCTCATCACCCACAACCGACCCCCAGACGGAATTCTCGGAGGAGCATCCATCCCAGCGTCAGGTCTCTCACATATCCAAGATGGCCTCAATAGCCCCATCGATCCAGCGAGCTCAGGCGCCCATGCGAAGGGCTCTGGCCGCTTCTCCCGCCGCCCTCAGATCCTTCGCCACTGTCCCGCCGCATCCCACCGACGCCAACCAAGCTTCCACAAAGCCAGCATCCCGGCCCACGACGTACTTCAAGGATAAGACAGTGGGGTCGCTCTCAGACTTCATTGCGACCTCGTCTCCCGTGCAGTCCTTGTCGCCCAGCGATGCGTACGCCCTGAAGACGGCCGAAGTCGGCCCTGCCGGCAAGAAGCGAACAATCACACGACTGCCCGAATGGCTCAAGACGTCCATCCCCGCGGGCAACGAGAACTACAAGAAGATCAAGAGCGATTTGCGCGGTCTGGGCTTACACACCGTCTGCGAGGAGGCGCGGTGTCCCAACATCTCCGAGTGCTGGGGCGGTTCCGACAAGAACGCCGCCACGGCCACCATCATGCTCATGGGCGACACATGCACTCGTGGCTGCCGCTTCTGCAGCGTCAAGACTAGCCGGGCGCCTGCTCCTCTGGATCCCCACGAGCCTGAGCACACAGCCGAGGCACTGGCGCGATGGGGCCTTGGCTACGTTGTGCTGACGAGCGTGGACCGTGATGATCTGGCCGATGGTGGTGCCCGACACTTTGCAGAGACCATCAGCAAGATTAAGCAGAAGAAGCCGACATTGCTGGTCGAGGCCCTGACGGGAGATTTCGGCGGCGACCTGGACATGGTCAAGATTGTGGCCGAGAGTGGACTGGATGTATATGCGCACAATGTTGAGACTGTGGAAGGCCTCACTCCGTATGTGCGCGATCGCAGGGCGACTTTCCGCCAGAGCTTGAAGGTGTTGAATCACGTCAAGGAGGTGAAGGGCAAGGAGGGCATCATCACCAAGACAAGCATCATGCTTGGTCTGGGAGAACAAGAGCACGAAGTCATGGATGCTCTGAGAGGTACGTTACTTTGGACATATGCCACAAGTTGCAGAGAAAAGATGTTCTAACAGATTTATTTCCAGAGCTGCGAAAGGCCAACGTCGATGTAGTCACTTTCGGACAGTACATGCGCCCAACCAAGCGACACCTCAAGGTCGAGAAATACATCACCCCTGACGAATTCGAGATGTGGCGCGTGCGGGCTCTGGATATGGGCTTCCTCTACTGCGCGAGCGGGCCTCTCGTGCGTTCATCATACAAAGCCGGCGAGGCATTCATTGAGAATGTGTTGCGGAAGAGGGCTGGTGATAAGGCTGCTGCGGTGGCAAGCGAGGGTCTCGGCAAGACTGTTGCCCTTGATGCTACCAAGGCGCAGTAAAAGACGTATAAATGTACAAAAGAAAGAAGACTTGTTAAATTTGGTTATTATTAATTAGGCGTTATCTGCGAGACTAGAAGTTATCTAGAGGACTCACGAATTCAACGATGGAAAAGGGTGAGAGTCTTCAACAATGGCTCTTATAGATTGCTATAAACCCACTAAAGTGCGTGGAAGAAATGTTATAATACAAGCACGTCATCCCTCTGCGAAAACATGAATAGGTGTCAAATGCGTAATTCTATATATACCGAAAGATATAGAGGGGGTATCAACTCTATTCAAACTTTTTTACTCATTATCCCAAATCCGCTTCAATACCGTCAGCGCAATATACATGGCTTCCTCCGTCCGAATCGTCCTACTGCCCTGGTTCGGCAGCACATCGACCCAGTGATCAAACAGCTCCCTTGTCTTCCCGCCCTGAATACCCATCCCACCGAGTTCCTCGTCGTTCATCGCCGCATATTCGATGCCTCGCGGCCCACCAAACACAATGAGCATGTGGTTGAATTGCACGCGCTTCGAAGCAGGGAACTCTTTAGACGCAGGAGATCCTCGCTCGGACGTGCCGATGCTCAGGTCATATCCATTCTCGTAGGGAGACTCGGTAAAGACAGCCGAAAGAGAGGCTGCCTTTCGAACAGTGTAGCCCCAGTAGAAGCCGGCTTCTGTGCGGGGCGCGTGAGGATGCACGCACTCGCAGGGTTCGGACTCATCTTCTGCAAGCTTGAGGGTGACTCTCGTCTTGGGAGGAATGTCCTCCTTGATCTCGACGGGCTTATCCAAGCCAATGTCGACCAGCGTGCCATTGCTCGACTTTGTCATTCCCGCAATTGTGACACCTTCCCTGTAGGGCATTGATTCTTTGGGGTGTGGGTGGTGAGCAGTATCGAGACCCGGCAGCGAGGACGTGAGTCGCAGGTTGGGGTGTAGAGGAAATAGAGCCTTTCGCATGAACGGCGGCGTTTCCATGTACGATAGTACGTGTGTCAGAAAGTGGCATGGATCTGTGTCTCCGGTATAAACAGATGTGTCGGTCTTGTGCGGACGCGAAGACGAAGGAGAGTCGTCATAGACAATGACTTCGTCGACCGAAAAGATAGCGAGGGCGCGGGCAATGCGGCTGGGCACAGCCATTCGCTGTTCAGCGGTAGGTAGTCTATCAACACCGTGTGAGATTTCCCAATATAGTGGCATAGAGTAATCATATGAATACATACGTTGCGATTGTGCTGCTGGGGAAAGCTACAGAGACAGTCCAGTCTCTTCCCTCTTGGGCCGGGACATTGACGGCATGGAAGGATTGTTGAGCATTGCCGCCGCTGCTGGCAAGCTTTCTCTTCTGCATACCTGTTTAGTATTCAACCGCATGCTAGAAACAATTCAGAAGGCAATACCTTTGCTTCACGCTCTTGGTACGACATGATGGATTTATCTTATCAATGGAATACAAAATAATAGCCAGGCGTCGCTTTTGCGGTAGCTCAGTCTCAAAATTATTTAACATTATTCCGGCAGAATAGTGGGTCATATATGTTACCGCCTGCCTCTTTTGTCAAGTGCGACAGCTCGGATTACGCCATGGCATGCTCCGTATTGGCTATTTATCAGCCATGAATGATTAAGGCAGACAATCGCATGTGTCAAGCTGGCCACGTTTAAAACCTCGGACCAACAACAGCAGTTGTCGCGACTACAAAAGCATACGATATCCCAGAACCTACGTGCGCGTCTTCACAATGAGCGGCCCCGTCCATATCGCATCTGATGGCGAGTGGGATTCACTCCTGTCCGGCACCAGCGTGGTTGTCGCAGACTGTACGGCGTCACCCTTTGGCCATTTGCGCCAACAAGTAAATACTAACCAAGCATCGCAGTTTACGCCGACTGGTGTGGCCCTTGCAAGATGATCGCGCCGCACTTTGAGCGCCTCGCCAAGGAGCACTCCTCACCGAAGAAGGTCGCCTTTGCCAAGGTGAACGTCGATAACCAAGCCAATATTGCCCGCACGAACGGCATCACGGCCATGCCCACGTTCAAGATATTCCACAACGGCACAGCCATCGAGACCATTCGAGGCGCCAACCCGTCGGCCCTGACCGAAGCCGTCAACAAGGCCGTTTCGCTCAGCGGCAGCAGTGGCAAGAAAGCCGAGGCCGTGTTCAAGACCCCCGGCAGGACCCTTGGCGGCGATGGGCCCGTTCAGGGCCAGGGCCGCCCTTGGAATGTGTCTTCACTGCTGAATATTGTCATCATGCTCGTCGGACTGTACTTGACGTCTTTATTTTCGGCACGTAAAAAGGAGGCGTAGGAGGTTCAAGGAGGAACAATCTGCTAACTGGCGAGCCAGATTGACGCTTTCAAGGCTGCGGAACAGTCCATGTTTAACCCGAACAAACAGCCAGCGCCGCAGCTGAAGCCAACAGCGGCCAAAGGGCCTGCGCCAGCAGGTAGCGCCCGGGGGCAGCAACAACAGCAAAAGCCAGCGTTTAGGACCCTAGCCGACTTGTGATTGTTATACCATGGCCGAGGCGGTAGTGTGGCAGTGGACGAGTAGTGTTGTTTGTGTGTGAGCGTTCTTGCACTATCCTAGCCACGTTGGCATATTGAATTCTTATCGTAACATGAATAAATGGAGCTTAGAACTTCTGCTTTCTTTTGAAAGAGAAAAGGAAGCAAATAAATGAATAAAAACAAGTAAGAATACTGAAGAGCTTCTTCCTAAATTGGTTCAATGGAGCTATTCCTGCAGTGGGCCTAAAGCTTTTGTAGCTGACCTCTCATATGCGAGCATATCCAATCATCTTATCACGTGACCATGAGAGCTTGAAAAAGTCCATGAACCTTCATCACAGCAACCTTTTTTTCTGTGGCCAAATTATGCGCAAGGGGAGAAGATGTTGTCATTAAATGGAATCAAAAATGCTTGCCCAAAGTGCAGTTATGCATATCTCTTCACAGCACAGCGGCAATTCAGCCATTCGATTTCAACAGCCTCGTCAGTGCGAAGATCGACCGCCCCACGCATACAGCAAATTCAGCGAAGCTCGCATCAGTTAAACAGACGATGTTTTTCCAACTCTAGTATTGCTTTTCAGGAATCTCATGATGTATCAAAGAGCCAATCTCCAGATGATATTGAAAAAGTAGTTCGAGAAGCAAAGCAGCGCTTTAGAGACACACTTCCAAAGGGCTATCTCAATGAAGAAGAGTATGCACTTTATGAACGGCTTTATGGTCCACCACTTCGAGAGACTGCGCCAGAAGATGTTGGCATTCCAACTCACGCGGACATGGGAGGCCAATCCCCGCGTCCAACTGATGAAGGGACATTGCTGCGACAGTCTGAAGAGGGAGGTTTTGAGGAAGTGACTTACAGGATCCCCCCGCGGCAGGGCGACGAGCCAGGGCTATCGTCAGAATCTGAACAGCTCGTAGAATCCGACTCTGCGATAGAATCAGTTGAAGAGCCTTCAGATTATGTTGATGCCGTTGCCAGAAATCCAAGGGAGCGCGAAGCACTGCAAAGGCTCATGCTAGATTTTAAGACGGCGCAAAAGAAGCAGCTAGAAGATGAAATTGCAGCTGCGAGAGAAGAGGCCGAGGCCGAGCAGGAGGCATATGAAATGGAGGAAGAAGAAGAGCTATTCCCAGAGTCAGAAGAACCCCTTGCCGATACAGAGTGGGAGATGGGTTCCGGAGAGTCACGACGATTCCACCCTTACACCTTGGACGGCAGATTTCATGGAAGCCCCGTCGAAATCTCGCTACCTCAAAGCAGTCTCGTTACGCCCATACGTGATCTCTTGGATAGGACTCATTTAGGTCATGTCAAGACGGCTGCCGAAGCAGCTTTTGGTGGACAAGGGTTGCCGACGTCTCCATATACGCCGGAAGGGAGAAAAAACGGGCAAATGGGAGGGGTTGGCTTGCCTCCTGATCAGCGACACATGACGGAGATTGAGGCAGACGCGTTTCTAGCCGGCTATCTACCTCCTTCGTATGCTTCTGTTGTGTCAGTTTTGCGGGAGGTACGGAAACGACTGGGCAGTGACTGGATCAGGCAACGCCTCCAAAAAGACGAATCTGCAGGGCTGAGTGTCTTAGACGCTGGTGCTGGCGGTGCTGGTTTAGTTGCTTGGGAGCAAGTCCTCCAGGCGGAGTGGGATTTATTGAGAGAACAGGGTGTGGTTAAAGGCTCACAACCTCCTGGGAGGAAAACCGTGATTGCTGGATCGGATCGGCTGCGACATAGGCTGAAGAGTTTCCTACACAACACTACGTTCTTGCCTCGATTGCCAGATTACGAACACTCTGGTGAGATGCAAGGTGAGCGCCTGGATGCTGGTGATAAGCCACAGGCACGAAAAAGCTATGATCTCATCATTGCCTCGCATCTATTCCTCAAAGAGAAGCAGGATCATTACCGTCAGGCCGTTTTGAACAACCTCTGGACCCTCCTTAACAAGGACGGTGGTGTGCTTATTGTAATCGAAAAGGCGCATCCCCGTGGATTCGAAGCGGTCGCCCATGTGAGAGATACGCTTCTGAAACAGTTCCTTTTACCCCAAAATGGCGAGCCCGGTATTCCGACTGAAGAATTGAACCCGGCATATCATAAGGAACGGGAACCCGGTCACATCATCGCACCATGCACAAATCATGGAACGTGTCCTATGTACAAGGAAGTTGGGAAGAGCAAAGGCCGGAAAGATTACTGCTACTTCAACCAACGGTTCACACGGCCTACATTTTATACAAAAATGCTAGGCAATAGCACAAACAACCAGGGCGACGTGGAGTTTAGCTACGTGGCGATTCAACGTGGCCGCGCAAAGGCAGACCAGCTCCCAGGGTGGAAATCGACCGAGCAGGCCTTTGCAGGCTATGAAAAGTCCCCAAGTCGACCAGACATGCAAACTCTACCTAGGATGGTCCTACCACCGCTGAAGCGCAAAGGTCACGTCACGCTAGATGTGTGCACGCCCGAAGGCAAGATTGAGCGATGGACAGTGCCGAAGAGCTTCAGCAAGCTCGCTTACCACGATGCGAGAAAATCGCACTGGGGGGACCTCTGGGCTCTAGGCGCCAAGACCAGGGTATCTCGCAGCGTCCGAGTCGGCAGCGGGGTAGACGATGGAGGCAAGCGGGCTGAAGGCGGCAAGAAGCCTCGCAAGGTTGAGATTACAATGGATGGGGGCCGTCTGTCCGCGAACGAGAAGAATGCGCGAAAGGAACGCAGGACCAAAGGCAAGCGAGATCGACAAACTGATTTGATCAAGGAGATTTTAGAAGCTGAGGATATTGAAGAGCTGGAGATTGAGAGAGAGATAGACGCGGAGGTGGCAGAGGAGCTTGAATTGGCCAAGGAGGAGAAGCGCGGAGGGAGGCGATGAATGTAGAAGTGAGAAACTGTACTATATATGACTTGGAGAACTGCATGTATATTAATGGTCTAGGGAGCTCTTTGGAGGGCTATATGAGATATCTAAGAAAAATCATCATTTATTTTTCCCATTTATAAAATGCATTTTCTGTTTCAACTGCCAATATGCAGCGTATATGTGTGTATTGCATGGTATGTATATTTCCCCAGTTCATGCATTGCCTCTTTTGGGCGATAGGCGGGGGTTTCACCTCAAACGCCTCGACTAAATTAAGGAATAAGGTGCAAATTAAGCATATCGCAGCGCCGGGGAACCAGATGGCGCTGCGCCGTAACAAACCATGATAATAACGATAATACAAGGCGGCGATGCAGCTAAACTTTCACCAAAGTTTGAAATCTCAGTTCAAAGATTCTTCATTATGGACCCTTGTTTTTTTTTTTTACCTTTTGATACGAAGTTACCATACCTACAATCCGGCAATACGAGCTGCCGTGGAAACAAACGCAGAATTTCCAGCGGGGTTTCTGCCTCAAGCTCTTAAAACAGAACTTATTAACCACCTAGGCAAAAACCCACTAGCGAGACGCAGCAGCGTTTTAGGCTGCAAATCCATCCCAAGCCATGCACTCCTTGGAAATTGATTTTCCCCATCTGGAAGCTCCATGGCCCATCAGGGGAGGGGGAAGAGCGAAGAGGGGGAAAGTAAAGGTCGGGTCTGGAATTTTTAATCTGTATGTCTCAGGGCTGAGCTGATGCTACTAAGCCTGCTATTATTAGCGTCGGCATCCGGACAGATTGTTTGAATCTCACAATCTCGTCTTCGTTTAGGTTGTGATGTGGCTTCTGCTTACTTTGCTGTTCTGACACCGCTTGGAAAGCATGAAATAAGGCGCGGTGGTGGTTTTGATCTGATTTTGTCTCTCTTTTCTCTCATTTAATTTGTGTCTCATTTTTTTTTTTTTTTTTTTTGTTCTTCAGCCAGCCAGTTGTTGCATTCTTTTTTTGGGAATAAGCCACCTCATCTTCGCAGAGGGCGTCGCGACTCCATCATCTTCTGTTGAGGGCCGCAGCCATGTTTGCAGGCCGCCCGCGTTTTATACGCAACGGCATCATCCTCACAATCTTCCTCTTCGTCTTATGGCGCTTCCAGGTCACGTCACCATCGCCATCAACGTCAGAATGGAAGCTGCTGCAGCATCGCATGAACCACGGCGCGTCGCCGAGCCAGTTACCCGAGTCAAAGTCTAGCTTCGACTGGGGCGCCGTGAAGCTGCGCTTCGCCCCCAACAGCACCACAAAACTGCCCAAGAAGAGCTCGCGACCGCTTCCGCGGATCCAGCATCCCTTTGGGCCCGAACCATCGCCTGCAGCGCGGGAGCGGGAAGCAAGGCTGCTTGAGGTGAAGAAGGTCGCTCTGCGGGCATGGCGGGGGTATAAGAAGCACGCCTGGATGCAAGACGCTCTGTTGCCCATTTCTGGAGCCGGAAGAGAGCAGTTCTCGGGCTGGGCGGCCACGCTGGTCGATTCGTTGGACACGCTTTGGATCATGGGCCTGCGGGAGGAATTCGACGAGGCAGTGGCCGCAGTGGCAGACATTGACTTTGGATCTTCGACGAGTAACCGGATCAACATCTTTGAAACCAACATTCGTTATCTCGGCGGTTTGTTAGCAGCGTATGATTTGAGCGGTAGAGAGCTATTGCTCAAGAAGGCAGTAGAGCTGGGGGATCTCATCTACGGCGGATTCAACACCGAAAACGGCATGCCCGTCGACTTCATCAGCTTCCATGCCGCCAAAGAAGGAGGAGGACTGCTAGTTGAAGGCGCCGTTGTGTCAGCCTCGCCCGGAACGCTGTCTCTTGAGCTGGCGCACCTGTCGCAGGTCACCGGAGACATGAAATACTACAGCGCCGTGGCGCAGCTGATGGATGTGTTTTACCAGGGCCAGAATCAGACGAGCGTGCCGGGAGTCTGGCCGATGAACATCAACATGAACGCAAAGGACGTGGTCCAGGGGAGCTCCTTTACGCTTGGCGGCTGCGCCGACTCTCTGTACGAGTATCTGCCTAAGATGCATCAGCTGCTGGGAGGCGGCGAGCCCAAGTACGACATCATGTCCAGGACGTTTCTCAAGGCCGCAGACCAGCACTTTTTGTTCCGTCCAATGCTGCCCGACGAGGACGACATTCTGATATCCGGCAACGTCAACATTAACTCTGAAGGCAAGCCGGTGCTTGATCCCGAAACGGAGCATCTGGCTTGTTTTGTCGGTGGAATGTTTGGCCTGGCAGGAAGGCTCTTCGGCAACGAAGGCGACGTTGAGCGAGGCATCAAGCTGACCAACGGCTGCGTCTACGCATACCGCGCCTTTCCCACGGGCATGATGCCGGAGCGAATCGATTTCGCGCCGTGCAAGGACCGCGCCCACTGCCCCTGGGACGAAGAGTACTGGATCCAGGAGCGTGATAAGCGCAACGAGTGGAGAGAGCACCTGCCCAAGGGCTTCACCACCGCCAAGGACCCGCGATATCTCCTTCGACCAGAGGCCATTGAGAGCGTCTTTTACGCGTACCGACTCACGGGACGCAAAGAATTCCAGGATGCCGCGTGGGATATGTTTACGGCCATTGCAAAGGCCACCAAGACGGAGTATGCGAATGCCGCGGTACTGGATGTGACGACGAGGGCAGAGAAACCGCCTCAGGAGGACTACATGGAGGTGAGTGCTGAGTGACCCCCCACCCCTTGCCCATCTTTCATGATGTGGTTTTTGCTATACTGACAGTGAATAACCAGAGCTTCTGGCTCGCCGAGACGCTCAAGTACTTCTACCTGGTCTTCTCAACGCCAGATATCATCAGCTTGGATGACTATGTGTTGAACACCGAGGCTCACCCCTTCAAGCTTACGAAATGAGATAGTAAAACAAAATTGAGATGTACTGTACCAACATTCGATGAGAAAATTCTCTTGTTTCTAGCGTCGAATACTCAGATACCGGGGAAGACGTGATTGGAGTTTGGAAATGGCTTTCCACAACATGTGCCGAAGCTCACTCTTGCCAAGCTCTACGGCATGACTGTAGAAATGCAGCCCCGTCGTCATGCACTGTACCATGATCAAATATAGAAAGTTTCATGTTTTCTAGCGTCAGATGCTCCAGCTAATGATAAGACCTGATTGGAAGTCGGAGATTCTTCCGTGCGAAGAGCATACGCTTCTGCGCTGGAGGTGTTCTAAGGCTTATCCTCATACTGTATGTCGATTGGATCTATACAGTCGCCACTTACCGCTTCCCCCGCAGTGCTGTGTTCCTCATGGTCAGAATTGCGTGTCCATTGACAGCAAAGGCAAGGATCCTCTGTGATGCTCGGGGCAGCATGTCTTGCAGGTGTTACTTTGTAAGCAGCCAACCGAGGGGGAGGTCCCCCTCCAAAAAAAAAATAATAAAAAATAAAAAAAAATAAAAAAAAAGCAACTTAGACCACCGCCTCGGCGAACAAGAAAGCTGTAATTCTGCGTACGCAAAAGCAGGAAACGGTCCGCTTGCAAAATGGTGCTTTTTGCTTTTACCATTGCCCTGTACTACTGTATATGTTGAATATTCCATTTTGCAATGCTTGTTTTTGCTCCGGATGGTTTTGTCCTCTCTCCATCAAGGTAGCCACAGCTAGCTAGTAGGTGCATGTATTAGCGCTGCTGTTTCTGCGTGCAAACATCATATCCAGATCAAGGCTCCCCATCAAACGTGCCACCAACACGCAATGATGGACTTGCGTGGGAACGTGTCTCGTCTCTGAATGGGCAGCGCACAGCAGTTCATCGCTATGCCGCCACCTCTTGACGTCAAGGCCGAGTTCCCCTGTTCAATGAGAGGCGCCCAGTAGCAGCTTCACTGGCTGCCAAAGTTTCATTGGCCGGAGCAACTGGTCCGGCGCACTCGGTGCTCACAGCAGAACTGCCCGAAGCAGCCACTGACGGCGGGGGTCACAAGCCCCATGAGCCTCACTAGCCACGCCTCCGCGCCACACATGGCTGTTCTGGGAGATTCTGCCTGCACATCCTCAACTGGACTCGGATGTAAGACCGTCTCTGCCGTTGGCACGAATTCAAAAACCCGATCTAGCTATCCCTGTTCTGTGGATGGCAATTGAGGGTGGCGGGGATCCCTGCTGCTCTAACAGCCGTGATACCAATAATCTTGTTATTTGAATCCCACATGCCGATGCATCAAGTACATGTTACGATGCGTATCTGATGTGAGAGTCTGGCATTGCATCAATTGGCCACGAGAATCATGACACGTTTGAGAGCGCGAAGCAACGCAGCTCCGAGTGATTCCAGACACAGGTAGAAGCCCCATGGGACGGCCTGATCGTGCCTTGCAGCATGTCAAACTACTTGCCTCCGAACCATGTAAAAGAACTGGGCACATGTAGCACCAGCTAGGTGGCCAAGCCGTTCCTGGCTGCCTACACGAAGCTAGAGAGGGGAACTTGGGGAAAAACAGGAAGTATGGACGGAGCAAAACTAGGGAATCCAAAATTGCTGAGCTTTCCGTTTACAGTGGTGACGAACGCTATGATGAAATGGCCCCCTCCATGGGAAAAACCACTTCCCCATCCAATTCCTGATTTCGTATATAAAGATCGCCACTAACTGCCTGTTTCTTCTGCCCCCGTGGAAAGCTACAATCCATTTCTTATTTTATTTCCTCTTTTAACAAATTATACTTTACATGTTTATTACCTGAACACAGGACGATACACGTGTCCAAGTGTGAACAAGTCTGTAATGGTAATCAGCTTAAACCTGTAAGTTATCCTTGACACCCTCTTAGCAGCAAACATCCTATGCCAGAACCTTTTCTCTTATAATCAAAACTTTTTACATGACAATTGCACCCTTGTGCACCTCTTTGCTCTATTTTGTGCCGTTGTATCTGCTTGCTATCCTATCTCGTTTGGTATATCATCAATCGCTACATTACGGCCAAGACGTCAGCTCACACCACAAGAAGAATTCAGCTCTAAACCAAGCTCTCATCCTGAAACGCCAACCTACCAAGGCAACTCACTTATATTCGCCACCAAACCAACCTTCGCCGCAGCTGAGTGAGATCTCGAGCATTGCATTCTCACCACAGCGCTTTACAAATCACCTCTTCAACCTGTATAGGCGCAGCATGGATCCCGAAAACGCCATGCCGGAGGCTCACATCGACCCACAGCTGGAGCTGCTTACAAGCAGCCAGGGCAATCTGACGCCAGACGCAATGGCATATTCGTATCCAACCACATCTTTTGACCAATGGAATTCCATGTTCCAGTCAATAGGGGACTTCCCACAAGCCCCACAAGACCCAGGCATGATGAACTCGGATCACTATAGCGATACGTCATCATCGTTTTCTTTCGGAAACGATCAGAATGCAGAGTTTCTCATGTCTCCGATACAGGGAGCGTCACTCACCCTGGACCATTCACCCGGCAACACATCCATCACCTCCGTCTCAGAGCCTGGAGCCAGCACAAAAACCGAACCCTACGCCAATGCCAATATCGGTACCAGCAACGCAAACACCAACACCAAAAAGGATGCTGCAAAAGCCACAAAGGGCAAAAAGGGTCATCGCCGGGCCCGCAGCGAGTCGGAAAAGAAAGAACAGGTCAAGCAGCGGAACAGGGTCGCCGCGTCCAAATGCCGACAGAAGAAGAAGGTCAAGGTGGATGAGCTGAAGGAGATGCAGTCGAACCTGGAGGCTCAGAACAACCAGCTCCGCATGGAATTCCAGAAGCTCCGCGAGGAGATTGGCCAGGTGAAGAGCGATCTGATCAACCATACCGAGTGCAACGACGCCAACATCAACCGCTGGGTTGAGAATGAGGCCAAGGGCTTTGTCAAGAAGCTCGTTGAGAACGGGGAGCGGCAACGCATGGCGAGCATCAGCAGCACCGAGGGCAATCCCATAGGCGTAATGCCGATGCAGTCGTTTGAGGGCGTCTCGAACATGCCGCTTGAGGATCCCTACATGGGACTGGATCAATAACTCGACTCAAATCACCCTCCTGTCTCTGTTTCCACTTCTCGCCTCTCATCGGACGGTCAGCAAGGTGGTGGGGGGGTTCTAATCACGAAATGGCTGTTCCTCAATACGATATTCTAATTCACAAAATCTTTTCCATTTGTCACCATCGTTTCAACGAAAAATTTCGACTTATGCTACAAACAGGAGTTTTGCCATTATTTTCATTTTCATTTATTCACGACCAACACCCAAGGAGCGAGAAAACGAGGCACTCAAAACCCACGTAATGCCTCCTCTTCTCCAAACCATTGAGAAACGCGGAAGAAAGAAAGAAAAACTGCGGGCCCAGTATCTAAGCATATAATGATCATAGCACTGAACCGGTTCTCACGAGGGCTTTTATTTTCTCTTTATTTCTTTTGATCATGCATGTTGGGGAAAAAATAATTATGATAAAAGGGAAGTATAAAAAACAACTCGACACTTCACGACTTTCCCAACTCTTATATAGTGCTGAGAGCCGTAATGATCTAACTTGAGTCACAGGTCTCCGGTTGGTCTTCTTCCCTTTTACTTTTTTCTTTACCATTTTTTTTTTTCAAGCGCAGCGCAGAGTCCTTCCTCGCTTCTTTTACACTGAGTTTTTTTTTTTTTTTTTTTTTACCTAGACTTCGGCGCTCTTGGAAAAAAGATCTTATGAATGCTCACGACGACGACGAATACTTTTTGATGAAATCTCATAAATGGATAGGCAGCGTTTCTTTCATTCTTTTCTTTCATTCTTTTTTTTTTTTCCTTAACGGCCATGGCCAGCGTTTCTTTCATGTAAAATAGTTGTTTCAACCCCAGATTCTATGTATTTAGTCCGTATAGAGAGAAGAGGGGAAATACTCGTAGCAATAGCAATAGTCAGTAGCACGCACATGTACAAATAGGCTAGTACTACTAACTATAATAGTCGGCATATCAAAATCTTACAAATTGCGGTACAACAACCACCCCGAGGTGATTCGTCCGATAGCGGCCCCACATCGCCAAATGGCGTCAACTTGGTGGCAGATTGTTCATTTCTGCGGGCAGCTCTTGCGGCCTTCAAAGCGGCGTTTTTTTGTCTTTTTTTCGCTCCCACAGACGAATCGCGCAACGCTGGATTCCAAGCAAAAAAAAAACAACAGCACAGGCAAAAGGCCCCCTCCCCCGTCCAATCCATGCTAGATTAAAAATCTCCATCGGGTCTTCGGCGCTGGAGTCGTCGGCCTGTCGGCAGCGACGATGAGTGGTGAATCTGGCTGGCAGGTGGATATTTCGTAGCTGTTGATAAGAATGAGCAACGCCTCTCTCCAGAAGTATAGAAAAAGCTTGTTCCTCGGAGTGTTCCTCGGAGAACTCTGATTCACTCTTATCAGGCATTGATCCTTTGTGACTTGGTGATAAACCCTACAGCTTATCATCTCCCTATCTCAAACTTCATCTCCTCGGATCTCCCTCCCCACACTATTAAAGCAAGCATAAGAGAACACAAAAAGAAAAGACTGTCACAAATCCCCAGCATATATCGGATCTCGGTCCTCCCGACGTCCCGCGTCATCCCCAAAATGGCTGCAGCAGCAGAAGCTCCCAGCAACTACATGCTCGCTGGCCTCAACTGCGCAGACAATGTCCATCTCATTATTGGCACAAACCCGCTGGCTGCGGCGCGATGCTCTCAGTCTCTGGGTGCTGGAGCGCATCCCGTGCTGATTGCGCCGGAGACGGCAGAGCTGCATTATAGCCTGCAGCGTAGAGTCGACGACGGCAGCGTCAAGTGGGTGCGCACAGCGTTCAGGGACGAGCATCTCTTTGAGCTGGGCCGAGACGAGGTGGGAAGAGTAGTCGATGCTGTGTTTGTGACTTCAGGGTCAAGAGACGAGCTTGGTGAGCAATAATTCCTATACATGTCCATATATATATATATGTGTGTGTGTATATGACATATATACCTACATATGCCTATATATATATATATATATATACTCACATATGCATAACCATCATCTTATACTAACACACATCCATCAGGCTCCCACATCGCCTCTCTGTGCAAGCGCAACCGCATCCCCGTCAACGTCGTCGACGCCCCCAATCTCTGCACCTTCTCCCTCCTCTCCACCCACAGCGACGGCCCTCTCCAGATTGGCGTCACCACCAACGGCCGCGGCTGCAAGCTCGCCTCGCGCATCCGTCGCGAGATCGCCTCCTCCCTGCCGCCCAACCTGGGAGCCGCATGCGGCCGCTTCGGCGAGGCAAGGCAGCGCATCCAGCAGTACGATAGAGCCAACGGACTGCCCAGCTCCGCGACTCTCGGCGAGCTGGACGACTCCGTGGACCAGAGCGCATTGTTCAACAAGCTCGTCACGGAGGAAGATGCGCGCAACAGGAGGATACGCTGGCTCAGCCAGGTCTGCGAGTACTGGCCCCTGAAGAAGCTCGCCTCCGTCAGCGACGAAGACGTCCATCGCCTGCTCGAGGCCTACGCCGACACCGCAAGGGAAGACGTCGCAAGGCGCACCCGCGGCAGTGACGGCGACGGCGACGCCAGCTCGTCTCGGCCGCTCGGCAGGATCATCCTCGCCGGCAGCGGCCCCGGCCACCCAGACCTGCTGACCCGCGCAACCTACAACGCCATCCAGTCCGCCGACCTCATCCTCGCCGACAAGCTCGTCCCCTCCGGCGTGCTGGACCTCATCCCGCGCCGCACGCCCGTCGAGATCGCCCGCAAGTTCCCCGGCAACGCCGAGCAGGCCCAGGAGGAGCTCCTTGCCGCCGCCCTCGCCGCCGCAAAGGCCGGCAAGACGGTCCTCCGCCTCAAGCAGGGCGATCCGTTCATCTACGGCCGCGGCGGCGAAGAGCTGGCCTACTTCCGCCAAAACGGCTTCTCTGCCGACGGCGCTGTCACAGTTCTTCCGGGCGTGACCAGCGCCCTCAGCGCACCCCTATTTGCCGCCATCCCCGCCACTCAGCGAGACGTCGCCGACCAGGTCCTCGTGTGTACCGGCACAGGCAAAAAGGGCAAGGCCCCCGAGCCGCCGGAATACGTCCCCTCGCGGACAGTCGTCTTCCTCATGGCCCTGCACCGAATCGTCGGCCTCGTCGCAGAACTCACCACGCCCGTCGAAAACGAACACTCAGAAACCACCACATCAACAAGGGCGCTCTGGCCCCTTTCCACCCCCTGCGCCGTCATCGAACGCGCCAGCTGCCCCGACCAGCGCGTCATCCGCACCACTCTCGCCCACGTCGCCGAGGCCATCGAGACAGAGGGCAGCCGCCCGCCCGGCCTCCTCGTCGTCGGCCGTTCATGCGAGTTCCTGCACCCCAGGGAGAAAGGCAGGGCGTGGACCGTCGAGGAAGGCTTCAGGGGGTTGGAAGACGTGGGGATTGCTACGCAATTGACGGGGCTGGGGCTAGCTGTTGGAGAAGCGTAAAGCTTCATGGCCCAGAGGAGAAGATATTACGAAAGAGAGAAGGTAACATTTATCTGGGGGAGGTTTTGAGACTGGAGTGGTTTGAAGGAGGGCTCAAGGCGTGGTTGCCAAGATCGATCTGCATGACGGCGTTTTCGTTGAATTTTGTGGGGGCAAAGAGACGGGAAATCACACAACTAACTAGCTGTTTGGTTGGTTTCAACCGAGCGTTTTAATTGAGAAGCGGGATACATGGCAAAGCACTATTTTTGGTATATTTCAAAGGAACTTTTGATAAGGATAAATATTCATCGCAAGAGAAACCAGTAAAATAAAGCATATGCAGTCTATATCTATCTATCTGGCACATCGTAGTCTATTTGTAGTCTATTACAAGTTTATAGGTAGAGAATGTTGAGTCACACGACATACACACCATATATATATATATCGCCATGAACGAATAGAGTAGGAGCAAATGAAGAAGAAAATAATGTGTCAGTCCGTTTTCTCCGAGACGCTATGCTATAGAAACAAACAAAATAAAAACACAACCATTTGCGCCGATTTGTTCTTTAAAACTTGTCAAAAAGAGCGATGAAGGAGTATGCAAATTCTATACAACGTCTGATACGTCCCTCTGTAAATGTTATAAACCTCCGCGTAGCGGCAGATTTTAAATCAAATATGTACAAGTCGAATGGTATGGAAAAAGAATGGTCACCCCGTCGCCGGCTAACTCCTCGGTTTCCCCATCTAGTATCGTATGAAAGAATGCTTTGTAGAATAGAAAAAAAAAATCCTTTCATAGCGCCCAGATAGTAGTAGTATATGTATACACGTAAATCACCAAGTAAAGCTTTCTTCGATGAAATCGATTACCGTGTGGCCCTGTACCGCCCGAACGGCGCCTCGCACATCGTCTGCTAAAGCACCGGGCCCACAGACGCTGACCACCATGGCTCCAGTCTGTTCCTGGACTTCCTTAGCCAGCAGTAACGGAACGTTAGGTCGTCCGGGGAACATCTTGACGGTCGAGCTAGTACTGGCAATGTCGCGAGGGTTCTGGGGTCGTGTGACAAATACTTGGATGCGGAGGATGTCTTTGCGGTTGGGAATTCGCAGGATCTGGTCCATGAAAGGACGGACCCACTCTAGGGATTCATACTCCCGGATAATCCAGACAAGCGTAACTCGCCGCGTCGCAACGGTACCTTCGTTGTAGCCGTTGAGCAGGTGTCGAATGTAGGAAATCTGGTGAGTGATGCCTGTAGAGCCGGCAAATAGGACAGCGTGGCCGTAGGAGTCGAGGCTGTGGTGTCCAGCGTACGGACCTTCCAGCGCCGCCTTCATTCGAACACCTTGCTCTGAGGCTCTAGCCGTATTGAAGAGCTTTCGTGTCATGCCGGTCTGGGCGCCGATGAGGAACGACACCAAAGTGTAGGCACTGCTGCGGTCCAGCGCGGTGAGGGGTTCCTTCTCAGACGAAGGCAGGGAGTGCTGGACCTCATGCTCTACCCAAGCGATGGAAAAGGGGTGGCTCTCCCATGCGTTAACGCCCCAGAAGCGAAGATAGGCATGAGTTCCTGGCTTGATGTCAACATATCGCGGCAGGCGGAAAGTGACTCTCGTGACGTCGCCAGGCATGGGTTCGCACAGAGCATCTGCAAAGCCCTTGTCGGACCAGTTGACCCACGCTAGGCGAGCAATTCGGGCGAATCGGTCGGCAATCCAGAGCGATACAATGGTAATAATCCAAGACAGCTGAGGAAGGCCACCCGGGATACTGGCGGTAACGCAGTGGATCCATGTGCCAGCAAATGCCACGGCAGCAAGGAGAATGTGAAGGTTGAGAAATGTCTCATAAAAGGCATGTCGAAGAGGCGAGACGGCCTGGATGAAGATCAACAACAAAGCCAGAGTGCCGAGGCCTCCAGATCCGAGAAACGCGCTGTGGGTAACGGCTTTCCAAGCGCCAGCCCAGCCGCTGTTAGCAATGCTTGGGATGGCCCAGGCAATGGTATGGATGAGGATCTCGATAACAACGATACGGCCCATCCACCGGTGCAGGAGGTTGTATGTGTCGAAGCTGATTTGCAAAAGCTTGATCAGAGGGTTGTTTCGTCCAGCCATGATGATCAAGGGAACCATGTTGACAAGGCCCAAGGTGCCGGCTCGGCCTCGCAACTCGGCGCAAAAGGAATAGTAGTTTGGTTGAGTCCAGTCAAGGATGAACATGTACGCAATGTTACTAGCAAGGTACAAGAACAGGAGGGTGGCGTGCAGCCGTGACGGCAGGGTGCCCACGTTGATGGCAGATGAAAAGCGAAACTCTCGATTGTGGCGTTTCCCAAACAGAGGAGCATATATCATATGCTTCTTCATGCCCGGCATCCAGCTCCATTGAGAAATCTTCCAGTAGCCTTGCTTCTCCCGCGGCACCGACATGGCCGATACCTGGCGTAACTTGGCCCATGCTAGCTCTGCTATTCTGATAAGTAAGATGATGACACCAACGGCTCCCAGACTGATCCAAAGTAAGTCTCTAAATAGATTGTTCTGCGTCTGGTTGACACCATTTAGCGCTGTGGTATAGGGTGCGATGGTTGGATTGGATTGTACCTCTGAGCTGGCCGACGACCTGACCTGCAGCACTGATGTAGGTACCAGGGACTCGATGCCACCAGCGAACCGGCGCGGATGGTAGTCCATGCTGACTTATCTGGTCTTTTTTTTTCACGAGTTTTGATGTTCGTCGTCGGGGGAGGCAGGGAGGCAGGGTGAAGAAGTGTAAATAGCAGAAAGGAGACAAGCCGTAAAGGAGTGAACGAGCTGTCAACCAAAAAGGTGTTTGTTGGCGAATCCAATAGAAAAAGAGTGTGTCGGCCGTGTTCCAAAAGGCGCCACTCAGTAGCGAGATGGAGTCACGGACGGTCGGAAGAAAGGGCAAAAAAAAAATCGATTGTGTTACACCCCGAAGTTGAATAGCATCCTGTGCATACAACAATGAAGGTGAGAAAGGAAGTGAAGGTTGAAGGGACGAAGAACCAGTTGAACGTCGAGGGTGAACAGAAGCGACAAGTGGTGCAGGGGTCCCAGAAATCACCCGTCGCTGTGTACAGGCAACCTTTTGTGGCTCGCTGTACTCCGCAGCGGCAGCCAACAATTGCTTCCAGAAGGGCCACTCGGCTTCGGGTTAATTGAACTAAATGAATCGGTCCAAAAATTGCGACTGTTTCCTTGCGAGATTCGTTTCGTCTCGGGGGGTGCTAACGGGCGGTTTTCGGTGGACCCGTGGATATTGAATAGTGTGGGAGATGGAGACCCAGCCAAGGACCAGGAAGTCGCAAAAGTAAAAAAAAAAAAAGCAGTAAAATGGAGAGGCGACCCAGGCCGCTATTCTTTCTGGTATGTGTGTTTTCTCTTTTGGTGTGTTTGTTTATGCAGTTTCGTTTCACTCGGGCGATCAGACGCTGGTATGCGCGTAGCGGTTTACGGCAATAGCAGCGGGCACGATAGTTGAAACGCCAGAGTCGCAGTAGTCGAGCCGATCCCGCGCCAGGGGTGTGATAGCGAGTGAAGATAGAAACAAATATGCTGCAAGCAGCACCTCTCAGCGTTTCGTAGAGATGGTCGATGACGGCGACAGCCGCAAGGGTTGTGGAAATGGTGCAAAGATCAAAGATCACAGGCCTCTCTGAGGAATGATGCGAAGGAAGGTGGTTGATTAAATTGCTTTTTGCTCCTCCAGAGCAGGAAAAACGACGAGCGAGTGCAGGTGAATCAGATGAAACTCAGACAAGAATGAATGGACGGGGGCGAGCCAACCACGCTGGACGAAAAAGACAAAAGACGATGATGAAAACAAGAGTTGAGCGAGGGGCACAGGGAGAGTAAATGATGGTTCGCCCTGAAATGCCCACATTCCCCCTGATGGCCTCGAGATGGCATGTCCAGAGTCTGTACAGCGATCAGTGGCTGCTGGACGTTGAGGCTGCGGGCTGGTCCAGGGCGCCGGGGTGCTAAGCTGTTAGCGCCCCCCTGCCGAGCGTGGGCCTTGAACGGGTCGATGACAGCGCCCCTGCAGCCTCTAGCCCCGCCCGATGAGGGCCTACGGAGGGGTTCCTCGGGCTAGCTACCAGTGGCTGGCGGCCACTAAAAACGCCAGCTGGCTTTGTTTCATGGCGCAAGACGCAGGTACCAAGCACGGCGACGACGCCACTGCGAGCGATGAATCTACCACGTACACGCATGTGCTGTAGGAATTGTGGAGGAGAGAGCAGTAAGATAAGAAAATGCAACAACGCCACGAGTTTGGGTTTACGCTTAATTCTGACGATCTTTCTCCCTCTGGGCTCTTCTCTCGCCAGAACACGCCATCGCACGATCAATGTTGACTCGGCAGATTATCGTTTTGTTTCACAGGCACTTGGTACCTACTAATCTTAGTATCTAGTAGTATCTGGCGGTTGCAAACACGTGCCCGACGCTTCTCTTATCTGGAGTCTAGGCCAGGCTCTCCATCACGGAGCAGACAAATGCCTGGCTGCATCATTTTCTCCCTCTTCTAGCCTCGGGCAGTTACTTGGCCTGGCGACTGATGATAGGCCCTCACGCTCTCGACTCGAACTGCAGACTGCTCGGGGCTGCTCGGGAGCGCTATGCAGGGATTCGCCAAACTCAGAGAAGCGCTGCATGCCCAAGCAACCACCAACAAGGAAAAGCTCCATCTGAACGCCTTTCCGGGCGCCGTGGTTGGCTGCAACGCTACATTTCAGATGCTGGGGCTTGGCGACCAGATGCGCCATTTGACTGGCCCATCGTGGTTCTGAAACAAGCCACCCGGCGGGCCCTGCATGCCATAGCAGAGCCTGGTTCAGGGGGCCTACCTGGCTTTTGTTTCTCTCGACGTTCTACGGAGTACCAGTGCTATTATTGAACACAGAGGATACAGAAACACGAGGAAGTGGCAAACGTAAGGCTCTGCCGGCCACTGACTGACTCTCCATTCCGACCAGCTACAACTCGAGAGGCTGGGGGCGAGCAGCCAGTCAAAGGCTCCAGCCCACAGCTTGACATTTGGATCTGCGGAGCGCCATTGCCGCCAAGGCACTTTTCGCCTCAAAAATATCTACTCCAGGATGCCAAGAGAGAACAGGAAACAGGCTTTACACCGGCTGCCGAGATGGTGCTACTGTTGTTCCCCGTAAATGTAATCTCCTCCCACCGCACAATACTGCTTCCAACAACACAAAAAGGCATGAGCAGATGCGCACATGGCATGACACACGAGGCCTAAGGAGACATTTCTGCTCTAAAACGTCGTCATGTTACCCCTTCTTCATTTTTGGCCTGAACCTGAAAGGCAGCTACATAAAATCCAGCATCTATCCAGGCCGGCCTGCCCAATTACTGGGGATGGATATTAAAGATATATTGCAAAAGATTACTTCTAAGATTGCACACGCGCAATCTCCCCACTCGGGCATGCCTTGCCAATACTGGGGCGGAATTTCAATACAATAATGGAATAGCAGGAGGGGAAGGTGTAAGAAAACGTGGGCGAGCCGAATAAGCAAGATGCTAGTGGGGAAGAGAAGGAAAAAATTATTCCATCTCATCGGGACCGGGCGCGTTTAGCTGTCACAGAAAGATGAAGCCAAGGCCATCTTCGGCTGCTGGCAGGGCCAGAACCTGCTCAACCGCCCCACGGCTCCTTCGGCGAACAACCCGATGAAGCGACAATGGCCGTCATAAGTGTCCTAGCTTAATCGCCAATAAAGTAATCATTATCGTAGTAGTTTCTTCTAAATCAGCAGTGGCTTGACAATCAGGCTACATGTTGTGATGACTGTCTCACTTTGGATGGCAGAATAGAATACTTCTAATCGAGTCGGCAATCTTGCTTGCTTGACTCCACAGTCACGATGATCTGAAACAGTGCAGAAATTGTTTGAGGTCAATCTGTAGTGAACAGATGCTGGTGTCCGTATCGAACGATGCTAACATCACTCTTTTTAGCCCTTTGTGGTGTAATCAATTTCATTGTAAGTTGCTATTGTTAGTTTGAACAGCTGACAGTAATCAACCAAAAGCGAACTACACGCAGATTTCTTACAAAGTGGCTTATATAAGCTTCAAATCATGTGACCCAACATTTTGCTGATATGCACCAGCCACATGGTTTGCGCCATCAGCCACACATGCTCCTCAGGCAGAAAACTTTCCGGGACGGCCGCCGTTCACAGTGACGCCAGCCGACTACGCCCGGAATTTTCCAAGAGTGGTATCACGAGCTCGCCCGTCCAATATTTGTCGCATCGCCATTGAGCTCGCCACCATGGGTGCCCAAGAGTCCAAGCCCCAAGGTCATTCATGGAAGGTGTATGTAATTCCACTGATTCCACTAATATGAAAAAATCCACCTCCCTGCGGCCGCATTGGTTGGCTAACGAGGTAAAATTTTATATCAAAACAGCTCAGGACCTCCAAGTGTCTCTCTACCGGTCCTGGAGACGCTCCAAACCAGCCCTGAAGTACGCCCCCGACTCGACATTCCGTATTCACTGTTGCCCATAAAAAACTAACATGGCGGTTAACCCCCCCAGACCGATGCCTCTCGCAGCAGGCTAGTTGAGCAGCACATCCAGGCCCGCGTTGCCGAAGAGCTTAAGAAGCTGCATCAGAAAGAAGCCGAGGCCCTTAAACTTGCGCACGACAAACTTGCCGATCTCGCATCTTCGGACGCCGAAGAGAAGGGCCCCTCGCGCTATACAGTCGGCAAGGAGATCGAAGCGCTAAGCAGCAAACTCGAGCAGCGAAAGAAAGTGCGAGAACTGCCCGAGAGCGTGGAAACGGCACGAAACAACGTCATTCGATGCTTGAGAGAGAATGACAGGAAACCGCTAGTCTGCTACGACGAGGTTGAGGCGTTCAAGGCGGAGGTGAAGAAGCTGGAGAAGGAGTGGATCAACAGGGTGACCGCATAAACTTATTATTAAAACGCGATGGCAGGGATGACTAGAGACAATTGAGGAAAGAAAAGGAGAGAAAAGAGAAAAATGGAAAAGACGGGCATATAGACTTATGATGACCGTCAGTGGTTAAAGCACTGGCCGAACTTGGGAGCGAACGGGCTGGGAACAGAGGCGTATATATGTGTATACTATGGCAAAACTGGCAGCGGTAAAAGCTGCATGCATGGGAGTTGCAATGTATGACCAAGAAACAAAAAAGAAAATTTTATTCTATTCAAAAGAAGGATCCATTTGCAAATCCACGTCTATATCTTGCGATGTTGATTCCTTCTTCTCAGCTTGAAGCGCTGCTTTCCTTTTCAGCCCTTCTGCTCGCAGCCTCTCGCGCCTAGCCGCAGCATCTTCCCACTCCTTGCCTTCAGGATTCAATCTTTTCGGTACGTTTGCTGGCTTTGGTTCCAGTATGGCCTCTTTCAACGCTGATCGAAATCTCTCTATCCGCTTTGTGTTTTCTACGAAGCGCTCGTTTGAGATTTGCAAGAGCATCTTGAGATACTCCGGAGGGACTATCCGTCGACGCTGTCCTTGTGCATCTTCGTAACCAATGAGTGATTCGAGGCTTAGGCCCATGGAGCGGATGGCAACCATGGGTGTGGTCTGCTCGCTAGATGGAGATGTGATGTTGATGGCGCCAGATTCTCGGAATCCTGCTTGTAAGGCGCATCTTATTAGAAGCTGGGCATGGCCAAGCGAAGCAGTAAGAACATGAAGAATCTTTTTAAAACAGTTAGCAATCAGTCAATGTTATCAAACAATATCTTTTTCAGCGAAGAAGAAGCTGCTCACCATGGGCTCAAACTTGAAGTGTATCAGTCTCCTCTCATCACTGGCATCATGATATATCTCGAGCACATCCGCTGCATCTGGCAATCCCAGTTCCTTCATCCAATCCAAATATCCTTCACCTCCATCGGCCTTGGGATCATGAGAGACGTACAGCCATGTGCCTCCCGCTCCCTTGCCGCCTACTCTGGCAACTTGCTCACTCTCACCATTCTCCCCGTCCCCAGTTTTGGATTTGCGACCTTCAAGAAAAACACTGGCGCGGCCCGCACAGCTACTTGTCGTTACATATCCTTCAGCAGTGTTGATTTCGTCAATGAGATACCGAATTCCTTCATCAACGGAACCTTTGGGTGATGCATCAGAGTAGTCTGCATCAGGGATAGCCAGCTGCTGAAGAATTTTTGCCTTTTTCTCGCGAAATGGAGCAGAAGGCGCACCAAGGCTCTGCATTATGAATAGATTAATTGAGAGAAAATGGAACGAAATTTAATGGAAAAATAAATAAATAAATAAATAATAGAAATAAAAAATGAACCTCTATTATATGCCTGCTTTACCCCGAGCGTGAAAAGACTGTATATCGCATAGAATATTGAACTGTATATACATTCTCCATATTACCCTGGAGAGAGCAAGAAAAAAATGCTGATAGTGCTCTATCAGCAGTTGGCTGCTAGCCTCGTGGATCGCTGTCAGACGCTTATCTACGGGGCGCCGCGCGGGGCACCGCGTGGCTCAAAAGACCTGTTGCTGACTTCAGCGACGGTTTCCTTCAACTTCAGTCACAGTGGCAACAGGTTTATCAATGAATTACTTTTATTTGCTCCCGCTGTCTACAGCTATATACGGGCATGTGATGCCGCCTTTTGTCAGCAAAACCTGCTCAGTCGGGGAATTCTCGGGATAAGGTCGTCCAAAGCGCAAAAACAGATAAAATCAAGCCAAACGCCTCTTCCATGATGTGTATCTAGGAGGTAAAATGCCTCCGTCAAAAATGCTGGCCCCTCGATGCAACTCCTTTTAAACACTCCGATCGCCAAAAGAAAAGAAAAGAAAAAGAAAAACCAGTAAAGGTCGTCATGTCATAACATATTATATCCTGAGCGTGCCTTGCCGTAGAGCAGCACGACACGCTGGACTCAAGTCTCATGAGATAGGGGCAGCAGTCTTGCTCTCCATTTGAGTGGCAATCTCAGAATACTTGGACTTCCTGTTATGGATGCCGCACTCCGTCTTGCTCTGGCCCTTCCATCGACCGGCGCGCTCATCTTCTCCCTCGCCGACGGGGACGGTTGAGTGCCAGTCACCGACTGACTTGTAGCCTTGGTCAAGAAGAGCGTTGTAAGGGACGTTGTTCTCCTTGATGTACTGGTTGACCTGGGAAAAGGTCCAAGTGGCCATGGGGTTGATCTTGACAATGTTTCTCTCCTCGTCGATCTCGATGATGGGAATAGAGCCACGAGCAGCACCCTGAGATCGTCGACGGCCGTTAAGCACGGCAGCAACCTTGAGCTCGTCATATGCTCGCTGAAGAGGCTCGACCTTGACAATGAAGTCATACATGTCGCCGGCATTGTGATAAAACTTTTCTCCGTAAGTCTCCTCAAGCTGCTCAGCACTCTCCATGCCGTCGGGCTTGAAGATGTGGATGGGAACGTTGGGATATCTTTCTCTAACACGATCGACCAGATCATATGTTTCCTTGAAGTGGTATAGAGTATCAAGGAAGATGAGGTCAACAGTCCGGGACTCCGGGTTCTCCTGCTGGATCTTCGACAGCATGTCCATGGTGGCGAGACCTGTCAGGCCAAAAGCCGTCGACTGGTACAGGTTGGGGAACATGATCTTGCAGAACCGAAGGATGTCCATGGGGTGCATAGACTCCATCTGGTCGTTGAGGTATTCAATGTGAGACTTGCTGAGGGAAATAACAGGCTTCTCTGTTCGTGGTGACGGAGAGTAATCGGACTGGCCGGATGCATAACCAGACTCGATGTCGTTGGGGTCAATCTTCTCGTGGGTGTATGAAGGCTGAGCCGCCGCTTGCTCCATGATGACAGACATGATGGCAAGAGAGTGTTGTGTTGGTTGTGTGGAAGTTGATGCCGCTCTTGAATTGGGCTACAGACGAAGGAACTGGGTGGGTTTGCTTGACGACCAGATTGTATTCAGAGGAAACAATGCAACGCAGAGATGCAAGTGGCTGATACTTTTCAGGACTAGGTTCTCAATGAGAAGAGTGTGCGTCACTGAGCCGAGAGGGATGCGGTTTGAAGAGACTATGGGAGCAGAGAAAGAAAGAAGGCTTTTTTATTATTACTGAGAAACCTGGGGGAGCACTCTTTTGATATGAAAGGAGGGATTCCGGGGGAATCTGTGGCCTTTCTTTACCAAGCCCGCCCTGACTAATTCTCCTCCCGGGCGAAAAAACCAATGATGGCAAACAGAGCAGGCCCCCGTTCAGTCTACCAGGCCAGTCCCCTCGGACCATCGCTCACAGAAACAGCAGAAAACGAGCCAAATTGCATTGAGCACGCGCCTTAGAAGCTCCTTAGGCGTCTGGCGTTGAGTCTAGGAGCGATCACGACATCGACGCCAAAGCTTCCGCGATGTCGAGCTAAGGCTTCTGATTGGCTGAGAGCGGGGACCCCAGGCAAAAGATTTCAGTATCATGGACAAGGAATTTCACACAATTGCTCAGCATTAATTCGAGTATCTTCTACTTGTGCAGGCTCCATTATTGCAAATACTGGGGCTGCGAAGGGTTTTCCGGGGCTTTGTTGGCTTAGAAATGGAGTGGCTGCCGGAGATGGAATCGCAAAGGAAGGAGGGAATGATCTCATCCAATATGACGAAAGCATCTGGAAGAATCGTCAATGTTCGTCATGGAAGCGTCCATGGGAACACCAAAAAAGCCTGGAAATCGGGAGATATAAGAGGTGCCAGAGAGATGGGTCCAACAGGGACGGTTTTGGCCAACTTTTGCTGAAAATTTGATGCCATCTCAGTGGGCAAGCGGCTTATTTTGTGCGCCTTCGGGCTGTCGGCGGCTCTGAGGAAGTCGGATGCCGACGGCCGTTGGATGATAAGATTTGCACTTTAATCCGATTTTATGGGTCTTGTGTGGATCGTCGCGAGGGCCCGAGTCGGCTCGTCGCTCGACGGGTTCATTGGAGAGCTGAATATTGGCTGAATTGGGAAGGATGTTTTTACTGCCTGGGCTAGCGAATGTATGCGTCAGCTCGCGAGACGAGTTGCTTTATTAATAACTGCGGAAGAGCTATTGATTACGCACATTTCCGCAAGTGTGAGGGGCATGCCTGCTCTCTATGCGCTCTTTACAAAGTCCTAGCTAGTCAATCCTGTATTCCTGTGACGCAGGAAGAGCCGGGATTGGATGGGGTCGCTTCCCATTGCTGCAGAGTTGACGATGCGTCTTACAGTACTTGCTTTGCTTTATGCTATGCATGCGCGTGTGCTCGTACCACCACGACTGCGCCGTATGTAGGGTACTAACCCCCTTTGCCCATCTGCATGCAATACGTGCAACTATACGCCGTGGACGCCGATCCGAAGGAACTGCTCATCGTTCTCTATACGCTCTCTGAGCTGTCCACTCTGGAGCTCCTCCACATCCCATGCCGACCAGATGAACCGACCGTGCAAAAAGGCCGCCTCGTCTGAAGCTGCCCACACGGCAACCGAGGAGGGGAGACTGACTGCATGCCAAGGATGGTTAGACCATAAACTAATTCAAGAACGAAAAGAAAAAAAAAAAGGTTTGAATCATGATAGGCAGGAGGGAATCCTGTCTCGGAATTGGGGATGTACACGTACTGTCATCCCAGTTCAAAGAGCGCTCAGTGGCGCCATGACTCTTCGCACCAGGGCTTAAGATAGCCCCTGGGTGAAAGCTGATGATCTGCATTTTCGAAACTGGAGTGTCCCGCGCAAGTTGCTGGAGCAGGAGCACGCCGGAATTCTTGGTCAGTCCATAGATCTTGGTGGTCTCCCCAGCGGGCCAGTCATGGATGGCAGAAGTAGCCACATTGACGAGGTATTTCTGCGGCAATATTAATGTTAGTGAACTGCAGTTTGAAAGAAAAAGAAGCATAGATAGGTGGGGGAGCTCTCGTGATTTACCTTTTTATCCGTGTTTTGCTTCCAGAACCGTTCGCTGTAGTGGTTGAGCGAACGCACATGCACAATGAACTGTTCCCAGGTAGATTCCCAGCCGGCATTCCACATTGAAGATTGTGTTGCAGAGCCCGTAACAGCTGCATTTAGAACGAGGACATCGACATGGACGCCCTCAGCCCCAAGCGAATCCCACAAACTGTCGATACTCTCCGGCTTGTTTGGCAAAGCGGCCCTCCCTTCGAACTTGGTGTGTGATTCAGGGCCAGCCTCTTGAGTTAGACTCAAAGCTGCCGCTTTTTGTTTGGACTCTTCTCTGCCCACGATGATAACTTTCTCAGCTCCGGCGGCGGCAAAGGCGAGGGCGATGCCGTAGCCGATGCCCCCACTGCCTCCGGTGATGAGGACCGTCCGGCCGGCTTGTGAGAGGGCGGGCCGAGAGGGCGAAATGGCCGGGTAAGAGGATTTGTGGGTTTTGTCAGTGATTGAGATGACCCGGTAAGGGATTAAGAAGCCGTCGTTTGACGTGGCTGCCATTTTTAGTGATTGCTGGGCTACAAAGCTGGGTGTTGATACAATTGTGGCTCTTGAGGCTTATAACTTGTTGAAATGTCCTTGCGACTTGGAAACGAATTCTATTTTACAACCTATGGACTTTATATACATCTTCGTCAATAGCTATAGCTATCAATTGCGTGCGGCTTTCCATAAATTCAGGGACGCCCTCTGCGGTTCTCCTTCACGCTATCTCACGGCATCTTCACTATCCTCCGTGAAGTCCTGGAGCGCCCCATATCCAATATGCGGAGGGCCCCATGCGGAATTCCGCGTTTTTGTGGGGCGTCGCCGACTTATCACAGAGGCCGATCAGCCTCTCACGCTTCGAACCTTCAACGTCTGCTTGACTTTCTTCCGCACTTTTTTCACTTTTTTTTTTTTTTTTTTTTTTCTTCCCTTCTTTTGGCTATTTCCGCTGACTCCATTAGATACGGAGAAACAACTTCGCCATGTTATCAACTCGTAGAAAGTCATGTGCCGCTTGTGTGGCTGGCAAGCGGCGGTGCGATCTCGACTTGCCTACTTGCGCTCGGTGTAGAAGAGTCAAGAAGAAGTGCGTTTACCCCTGGATGACAATTGGGAATGCGGATCAAATTATCGATCTGGATTCACCTTCCACGACTGCACAAGATGGTATAGTTTATGATATGAGCGGGATGTGGACAGCGAGCGGGAGCAATAGCAGCAATAGCGACGATGGTAACATGAATACCGTATCGGGCTATTTATCACCGGATCCGTCTTTAACGGTGCCCACACCGCTGATACCCGGCCTGTTGTCTCAGCTAGACGAGTACATTTCCAAAAACCAGGACCAGACGGTCTTGTCATTGGGCCCGAGTCCCCGGCTGATTCATACCCTTTCTTCGGGCCAACAGTCTCCCGCTGCGGACTACTCCACTCCCGAATTTGTGTACTTTGACATATCGAACACTCCTCCGACCATCGGTGCCGTGTTTCAGTCCAGAACAGAGTATGCGGCCAGCCTTTTGGCCACGCAGCCGCAGATGCTGGCCATGACGGGCCACAACTGTTTCATCCACCACACACAAGTGTCGTCGTCAGAAGTGCTGCAAGAAGCGCTCGCCGCAAGTGCGCTACACTGCATGAGGAACACGGCCAATGCGGCCCTTGTGCGAGGCGAGGTTGCCAAGCGAGTCGTTCGCCTCATTGGGTCCATCCGACACGCCATTACCTCCGCATCTGACGATGCTGCTAGTGGTGGTGGTGGTGGCAGGGAGCTTGACCTGCTCCCTGTTCTACAAGCCCTTGTCGTCTATCAATGCATTCGTTACTTTGCAAGAGACGACATCAGCGAACGAATGCGCGCAGAACGAGATGAAGCCATCGTACAATCTCTGCTGGCAGCTTTATATCCACGTCTTCGGTCCTTCTCCAAACACATTGACAGCTGGGATACTTGGATATACTACGAGAGCATGCGTCGCACCATCCTCACCGCCGAGATTCTAGCAGGAACGTATACTTTCTTGAAGCAAGGCTGGGACCAAGTTGAGGGACGCACTCTGCAGCTCCAGTTCACGGCGCAGGTGGCACTATGGGTGGCCAAGTCAGCGGTCGAGTGGGAAGCGATGTGGACGCGCGGCCCCAAGCTTGAGGTGACGATGCGGTCTTGGAATGAAGATATTCGGGAGGCACTGCCGGAGGACCTGGATGATTTGGGCCATGTGCTTTGGGCGCTGCATCATGGTCTTGATCTGATGGAGAACTGGCTGGGTGGGAAGCCTGAGCAGGCGAGATGGGGGCTGCAACCTGCGATGGGGGGTTGGAGTTGATAGATTGTATTCGGATGAGGGAGGATGGAAGGATAAATGGATTATGGGACACTTGGACTTGGGAGCGTTGGCTTATCTGATATTTGTCTTGGGAGTTTAGCAGGAGTGATAAACTTGTTTGGAGATTAAAGTTGGTGATGATAGATAGACTCATATACACCCGTCATCTATTGCTTTTATACATCTTACCCAAAGGAGAAACTATTTTACGTCTGATTTTGCATCAAAAAGAATAATAGAAATCGATTCCTCATGAGAGGTGAAATGATCGCCAAACTGACACTTCACTTTACTGCTCAATTTACTTTACCCTAAAACGACCTTGAAACGCCATTTGCATTTTTGACAGCCATGTATACAAGTACTACCTACCAGTACTGAGGAATCACCGCACGTGGGACTGACAGATGCGGGGCAAAAGGCTGTGGCATGCATTTCGAGCTCCAAGGAAAATCTCCATCTACGCATAGCGGGTGGGCATCGCATTGCGCAAATCAGACCATATTCTGGACGTTGCACTGGCGCCCAGCCCCGTTTTTAGCGGTTAGTGCCTCCAGGTTCGGAGCAATTTCTCCACGCCCGGGCGATCAACAACGTAGCCGGCAGGCTGAACTCTGGTCTGAACTTTGCGCGCAAGGCTGTAAATCTGCGGCTGTTGACTTGTCCATCCAGCTTCCTGTTTGTCCACCAGCCCCGGCTGTGCTCCCAGCTTTTTTTCTCCAGGTCGCCCATCTTTGGTCTGTCTCTTTTGTGAAATCAACATAGAGGAAAAAAAATGGCAGACTCGGCAAAGCAGTCTTCGCAGCGCCCGCAGCTCACCAGCAGCATGCGGAGCAGCTCCTACCTGAGCGACCACCAGCAGTACCGCCCGCCGCAGCACCGGATCCCCGAGGCGCATCACGGCATCGACACCGTCGTCGAGGACTCGTCGCCGTCAAAGTCGCCCAAGGCGGCGCTGCCCTTCAATGGCGTGCCGTCGCCCGAGCACCCCCCCATCATCGTGGACAGCGGCGTCACTCACAGCTACTCGCACCAGAACTGCGCGCCCGCCGCGGGCCACAAGACGGACCGGCTGATCGCGACGTTGTTCTACAAGGGATTTGACAGGAACGCGCCTGGAGCGCGGAGCACGTCTGGCGGCCTGAGCAGATCGCGCTCGCCGGCCAAGAGCGGGCTGGCCGACAGCACCGAGTCTCTGCCCCCGAACATGGCCCCGACGACCAGCATGGATGACTTTCCTCTGGAGCCCCCCACGCAGGAGTCGGAGCAGCTGGACCATCTCTACGGCTCTTATGTTTCGCCGCTGTGTGTCACGTCTTTCCTCCATCTCATGTCGACGTTTCCTTTGCCCGACGGCGCGGAAGAGCCTCACTCGTCGCATCGCTGCTTGGATAACCAGGAGAACCCGCGCGTTGTCGAGCTGACATTGACGCCCGCCCCGGCACCCAGTTATCTGAGCCTGGATGATCTGCGAAAGCACGAGCTGATTTACCGATTCGAGCAGGAGTGGAACGTTGATGTGGCTTTGCAGAGGGATGTGATATGGAGGAAGCATCCCAGATTGGTCGTCTTTGACATGGATAGCACCCTCATCACTCAAGAGGTTATCGATCTGCTGGCCGAAACCGTCAAGGACCCGCCGGATCTTGCGGAGCGAGTGGCCAACATTACACACCGGGCTATGATGGGAGAACTCAACTTTGAGTCGTCATTCCGAGAGCGAGTCGCTCTTCTCAAGGGTCTGCCGGCAACACTCTTTGAAGATCTCCGGCCAGTCCTCGACGTCACCAACGGAGTGCGGGAGTTGATCAAGGCTCTGAAACGCCTGGGCGTGAAGACGGCCGTTCTCTCCGGCGGTTTCCTGCCCCTGACGGGATGGCTGGCCAAGGAACTGGGCATCGACCACGCGCATGCCAACGAGGTCGTCATCGAGAACGGCAAGCTCACCGGCGAAGTAAAGGGTGTCATTGTCGGAAAAGAGCGTAAGCGCGATCTCCTCGTTGAGATTGCCCAGAAGGAGGGCATTGATCTGTCGCAAGTCATTGCCGTTGGCGACGGCGCCAACGATCTGCTGATGATGGAGAAGGCCGGCCTGGGCGTGGCGTGGAACGCGAAGCCAACGGTGCAGATGGAGGCGGGCGCACGGCTGAACGGACAGAGCATGCTGGACTTGCTCTACCTGTTTGGATTTACGGGCGAGGAGATAGATCTGCTCATTTCTTAGATATCAAGGGTATACGTTGGAGGGCGTTTGGTGAAAAGAGAGAGAGAGAGATAAGGGGGCGTAAGGGAAACTCGGGTATGATATGATGAAGATGACTTGGGAGAATTAGATTCTCGGCGTTGGAGACTCATTGGTGGGAGAGGATATCGTGTTTAAGCTCTTTGTGTGATTCAAAATTTCCCTTCGTTTGTTAAATGAAGAGGGTCACAATGGCAATAGCGGCGACCTACTTTGCTTTTTTCTTTTGCTATGCTCAAGTGACGGTACTATTGATCGCCCATGAAGAGGAGTAGTGTAACAAGGTAATGTTTGGACAAGTTTTTAAACTGTTCCGGGTTATGATATCAATATATAAGGTAGGTAAGTAAATGCAGCAGCTCACTCACTTTCAAAGAGCATATGTAAACATAATTTTGTCTTCTTATACCCCTTTTCTCACGTCATTGTTTTGGTTCAAGACATGCATCATGTGCACACGCCCCCACCACATCCATTCATATGTCTACACAGGCGAACCCGCCTCATTTAAATACAAAGTATGCCTGCTCTACCTCCTCCGTCACCATCCCACGGTTCCATGCAACCCATATTCCATCTTTTTAAGGGTAGCCCTCCTTGCCCCACTTGTTGTACTTGTCGTGGTACTCCTTGGGAGCGGTGACGTTGGGGATGATGACAACGTTGAGGGCGCTGGGGGCATCGCGGGGAGCAGCGTTGGGGTCGCCGCCGGGGTGGTAGGAGTACTTGCCCTGAGAGCCGCCCTCCCAGGCCATCTTGTCGACGTTGACGGGGGACTCGGAAGTGGCTCCAGTGGGAGATCGGCCTAGGGAAAGAGAGATTAGCATCTGTATTTTCTCGCATGGAAATCTTTCAATGCTGCTGAGGCGAAGAAGAGAAGAAGAAGGGAAGAGAAGCAATTTGAAGCAGCAGTGATTTGAGCTGCATTGCATCATAGCGAGTAGAGCGCATATATGCATATACATACCGAAGTAGAAGCCAGCACCGCCCAGAGCGAGGACCATAACACCACCGAGGATCTGTAAACCGAACAAACACGAACCATTAGCCATCAATTCCCCCCTCCAATCCGAAGCTTCGGCACATCACGGAGCCGAGCAAAACAAGCTTCGTTTTCAATTATGACGCACATAAGTCTCGGGGTTTCGCTTGGACTCAGCCTGGAGCTCCTGCTTGCTGGTCGTCTGCAGACGACGGACAGTCGTGGAGAAGAAACGGCGGGTGATCATGGAAGCCATTTTGTCGGGTCGGATTGGCTGGTAGGTGGGAAGAATCGGGTGTTGCGATTTTTTGGCACGAACGTGGTTTTGCTTCGTCCAAGGCCAAAAGCTTGCCGGAATAGTGGTGCTAAAAGCTGGGGGGTCGTATGATGAATTGCCCAGCCCGAGATTCCGAGGCTGCTATTGGCCAATGCCGAAGGTGGGATGGTGCACGTGAAAAGTCACATGGCGGCCCGCAAAGAACTTGACGGATTAGGTAACCATGAGCTCACCGCACAGGCCAAAGGAGGATGAAAAATCTTGGTTAGGCATCGATCCGCGCTAAGGCCTGTGATGGCAGCTGGGCAATTTCCACAGGCCAATGACGGACGTGGCGGATTTGCGCACTGACCTGGGCCGAGAGAGCTCAAAGGCAGGTATCCGGAGCTTGTCAGCTGGTGCCTTTAGCGCAGCGCTGAGAAGCAGCCGGTGCCTGAGCGCGAGACCAAGCCGGACCACCCCTTTGTCTTGTTTTTCCTTCTATGCAAGGCACAAGGTAGATTGCTTGTCGTATCTTCCAGTTAGCAGTACTCCGTATTATGTACCTACACGAAGGCTTTTGTAAGCAGTCATGTCTTGCTTTGATCGGTGCCGCAGGCCGTTAATTGCGCCGTCATGCAGAGCCCCGGAGCTGCAGCTCGATTCGCGCACCTTGGCTGCAATGTGCTCCGTGCAGGAGATGGCTGGAGGTACCGACATCATTGCACGCAGGTACCGGCTACGCCCAAGCCGTGCTGCGCCGCCCGCTAAAGCCCTCGTAGCTAGTACGCCGTGCCGGCGCTGCGACTACCACGCGCGCCGCAACCACGTCCAAATTGCGTAGAGACAATCGCACCAATGGCCAGCCCCTTTTGCGGAAAGGGAGGGTCTGCGCCGACGGCATGCCTGCAGCCTCGTTAGCAGTGGCAGGGCATTGTCGAAAAAGTGGACGAACGGCCCAAGGACGAGAGAATCGCAGGTCGATTTCATTTAATGCTCGCGGCCTCTCTTCCCTCTCTCTCTTTCTCTCCGCTTTTGCCGGAGCGGGCGTCCTTCCGGCCTTGCCTCACTCACAGCGCCGAAACTGCCTTATCGCTTGGACTCTTTTTGTTTTTCTTTTTTTTTTCTTCCCAGCTTGAAGCATCCCCGCTTCCGACACTCCCTTATCCAGTTTTGTGCAGTCTTTTTTTCTTCTCTTTTTCGATTCGTCTACGCTCTCTCTCCCTTGTCTTTTTTATATAGCCCTTTCGCCGCGCTCCTTTGATTAGTACGCCTACTGTGGACTCTCGCGATCCGACCCACGACACGACGACTCTGTTGCGCGACTCATCTTACAAAGCAGCTAACCTGAGTAATCACGACTTGCACACGAACCGTTTTCCCCAACGACCGGAAGCCATCTCGTCTTTTCCCCCCTATCTGCGCGTTCCCGGCAGCCGCCTACTCTGTCAAACGTCGAGTCGATCTGTCATACGCTGTTCGCCCGATCTCTACTTGCCCTCGAATTTTTTTTCTCTTAGCGGAATCCTCGGGCCTGGTGCTTTTGAACAACAGAAGCGAGAACAGGACAGCAAGAAATAGACCACACACCAGAGCGGGCTATGTTATAGGACCAGCTGCAAGCACTACACATTCGGGAGCATCACGATGGCGTCCCCGCACCCAGACGAGCCTGCTGCGCCGTCGGGCGACGGGCAGACGTTTTCATCTCCCGAAGTTTCCAACATGCCCGACGCGCAGCGCCCTGCCAGCGTTGTATCCTCTCACATGACGGACATTGCCAGCGAGGATGAAGGAGATGATATTGCGTCGACATCAGCACCCAAGACACATCGAACAAGAGAATCGGGGTCAGTAATTCGGCCAGAGTCGTCCAGGACAGGGGTCTCGACCTCCAAAGCATGGGGAGGTGGCAGGAAGAATTTGACTGGCGTTGGAAAGAGAGGAAGCGGCACAAGCACGACAAGTTCTGCACTGGGACGATCGCCAAGTCTGACCTCGCGAAGTCATGTTCCGTCTCTGACGTCAAACGCCTTTTTCCATCCCATGAGCTCGCAAAAGCTGCAGGCCCAGAGAGCCGGAGCCGTGCGGCCCATTGCGACGAATCAGCCACCAGCTGCGCCCCAGCCACAGTTTGGGGATCTTCCGGACAACGCAACAGATGTAGATGGAAGTGTTATCCACGACTTTGCACCCTTGGCTAGCCCTGTGTCGCCCGTTCACCACGTCATGTACACCGAGGACCACAGGAATTTGCCCTCCCGCGGCACCGACAACACCGAACAGACGTTTGATCAGGGCACCGATGCGACTAGTCCCACTGGGCATTATGCGGCTGGGAGCATGTCAGAAAGCGTTCGACCGCTGCGTAAGGCCTCGGTACAAGAGAAATCTCTTCCACATCTCGATCTCAGCAGAGACAAGAACATGAAGAGCTTCCCTAGCCCAATGCTAAAAACGCCCAAATCTTTTGGATCGACATTCCTCTCTGGTATGGGTGACCGTGACCGAGACCGCGATCAGAGCCAGAGCGGCCAGAACCGAAACACAGCCGGCGTCGAGAAGCTCGGTTCTACTGCGTCTTCACCTCGACTAAACCCTGTTGATTCCCAACATCGGCCCAAGACCGAGAGTACCGCGGCATCTCACAAAATCCGCAAGCACCGCAACTATGAGTATTTTGAAGGCAACACCATGTTCTGGTTTGGAGGTCGATGGCAAAACACCAGGCAACGGCCAATCAACATTGCTACTGGCGTTTTCATCGTCCTCCCCTGTGTTCTATTCTTCGTTTTTGAAGCACCGTGGCTATGGCACCATATTTCTCCAGCCATCCCAATCATCTTTGCCTATCTTGCTTACATTTGCTTCTCATCTTTCATCCACGCTTCCATTTCAGATCCTGGGGTATGTACTGGAATTACAGTTTCTCCTGGATGAAACGAGACATACCCACATGTCTAGAAATCCACATTCCTAAGAGTACCTGTCAGTGCTAACAGATGTCAGATTCTCCCGCGAAATCTTCACCAGTTTCCGCCCCTCGGCTCACTTGAAGATGCTCTTCGTGTCGACCCCCCGACAAACGACTGGACGCTGATAAAGTCAGCGGAGCCAACAGCCGCCGCCATGGAGTTTCCGGTCAAGCACTGCCGGACGTGCAACATCTGGCGGCCACCTCGTGCTCACCATTGCCGTTTATGTGACAACTGCGTGGAGACGCATGATCACCACTGCGTGTGGCTGAACAATTGCGTTGGCAAGCGCAACTACCGATACTTCTTCACATTCGTCTCATCCGCCACCTTCTTGTCTCTCTATTTGATTGGAGCTAGTCTTGCTCAGCTTATTGTTTACATGAACAAAGAAAACATCTCCTTTTCCAAATCCATCAACCACTTCCGCGTTTCTCTGGCTTTGATCATTCTGGGAGTCTTTGCGTTTCTCTACCCCGCTGCCCTCATGGGATACCACATATTCTTGATGGCTCGTGGCGAGACGACGAGAGAATTTATGAACTCTCACAAATTCACAAAGGCCGAACGATATCGTCCCTTTGATCAGGTCAGCTTCTGGAGGAACATCCTGGCTGTTCTGTGCAGACCTCGCACGCCCTCTTATTATCAGTTCAAGAAGACATATGATAACGGTGATCAGCGACTGGGCCTTCGCCGAGACCAAAGACAAAGGCTTGATTCTCGGGGCCTTGAGATGGACGCTGTCAAGCCCACATCTGCAGGCTTCCAAGGCCCAGTAGCCCTACGAGGCGAAAGCCAGGGCGAACCTTGATGTTAATGACCTCAGCATATCGCGTTTGTTTGTTTTTTTCCAACTTTGCTATTTTTTCTTACTCAATTTTTTTTTCTTTTTTTCTTACGCAACCATGATTGCGATGCCCCCCTTTTTCATTCATTCATACTTACAAAATAATTCATGAAGGAAACACATACTGTTAGAGTGGACATACATGGAGCTGCAGTGTACGATTCTTGCAACGTCTTGGAATATAGCTAATGTATGTGTTTCGGATTATACCCTACGTTGTTGGTATATCTTTTACTGTACTTTTGGCCCGTTCTTGTCTCATTATCTTATTGATGTCTTTTTTTTTTCTTCTTTAAACTTTTGATTGGAGCGGCGTGGTGGCGTCAATGAGATGGACAAACATATGAAGCGTAGACTCGGATCACGAATTTAAGTTAAAGCATGCTGGGCTTGATTGAGGATGAAGTCGGTCTGAACACGAATACAAAATTCTATTCTCTTTTGCATTAATCTTTGCCTTTCCTTGTGCATGGCTTACTTGTTCTGCACCTCTCGTATTGTACATATACAGCGTGAACAAATGTACAATAATTATGAAATTAACTGCAATTATCAAGCTGGCAAATGCAAGGGAGAGTTCTCTTTCACAAGCTGAGGCCTATCGCCTATTATTTGTCAACCTACTAGAGGTAGGTATCTGCGTCCAAAGATGACGCCCCCAATGACCCACGTGGAGTTGCAAGTGGTGATAACGTCAGCGAGCACATGCAAAGCTAAGGAGATAAGGGGCTGATAAGAGAATTTTTTTTCGGAACAGAAAAAAATTTTGGGCTTGGGAAGCTAAGAAGATAGGCAAATGCTGGGCTCTGGGGCGCCGCCAGCCAGTGCAGTGACCGCTAATGGTCACTAGAGGGGGCCCGGTTCAGCTGTCCCCGTATAATTCTTTCTTCCTTTTCCTTGGGACGACATCGCCTCTTCTTCTTTTCCCTCCCCAGACTTTGCTATTGCACAGCCCCTTCTTGCGTCCTGCGGCTGAGACTCTTTGCTCTGGGGAATTATTTCTTGCTTTCCTTTATTTCCCCCCTTTATTCTCTTCATCTAGCAGAGTCAAATCAGCAGGACGCTCAGAACCACCGCCATGCCTCATCCCGTCTCGCCGCCGTCGGGCCTCCCGACTGTGGTTTCGAAAGAGGCCCCTCCCCCGCCATCACAGGAAGATGTCGCCGCCTTTCTCAACACAATCTTCACTGCCCAGACGTCCTCTGCGTCCATAGATGCCTGCTACGGCCTCTGCGAACTCCTCCTCAACTCGGTCGGATCGGCCGGCCTGACCCAATACGGCGTCCTGGCAGAGGTCAAGAAGGCGGCTGCTGATAAGAAGAGCGGGCTCCGAAGAGAGAGCAGCCAGAACTTGCTTGGTGCCATCTTTGAGCGCTTCCCCTCGAGGGAGTCCCTGAGCGAGGTCGTGCTGCTGGTCCAGGACGCCAGCACCGTTGCGTGTGCCCTAGATGCCTTGTCGGATAAGGGCTCTGTTGTCCGGGAGGCTGCCCAATATGGCCTTGATGCGCTCTTCGCCAATCTGAGTGCAGAGGCCCAGGTTGTTGGACTGCTGCCCGTGTTGACGCAGTATCTGGAGAAGAAGACGGGCAAGTGGCAGGGCACCGTGGGAGCCTACCAGTTGCTGCAAAAGATGGCCGACAAGTCTCAGATGGTCGTAGGCATTACCAAGGAGGAGGCTGCTGAGAAGGACGTGCTCCGCGAGGCCATGGGTGCCAAGCTCGCCGCCTTGATCCCCATCGTCGAGGGCGGCATGCACGACTTGAAGACCGAAGTAGAGAAGCAGGCTGTTAAGACGATGAACTCGCTCACGACGCTCTTGTCCAACGACGATGTTGCTCCTCGGATTCCCCTGCTCGTCGATACCATGCAACACCCTTCTCCTCAGACGCTCCAGAAGGCCATTCACGCCTTGTCAATGACTACATTCGTCGCCATTGTCACGTCCCCCGTGTTGGCTCTGCTGACCCCTTTCCTTGAGCGATCCCTCAACACCCCCACCACGCCACAGGAGGTTCTCCGACAGACCGTCGTCATTGTCGAGAACTTGACCAAGCTTGTCCACGATCCTATCGAGGCTAGAACTTTCCTTCCTAAGCTGACACCTGGTGTCAAGGCTGTCTGCGACCGCGCATCTCTCCCAGAGGTTCGAGAGATTGCAGAGAGAGCCCTTGCAACCATGGAGAAGGCCATGGGCAACGACAAGGACATTATTGCCCGAACCACTGCCGATGACGTTGCCAAGATTCTTGACGAGGAGGTTAAGAAGCACAATGCGTTCTTGCTGCAGTTCGAGATTTACCAGCTTGCTAGAACCTACATTGGCGAGATGGTTGCCACCGATGTCAACTACCGCTTCGTTCAGCGAATCTCTGCCAAGATTGCTCCTTATCTGAAGAATCTGCTGCCACTTGCCGACGCCCATCAGCAAGTCGCCGATGCTATCCAGCAACACTACGTGGAGGAGGATGAACGCCGCTATGGTGTTCCCGAGAAGGAGGACGATGGCGAGGTCGAGATTGTCAACGCTGATTTCTCCCTAGCTTACGGTGGTATGCTGCTGCTTTCCCACACCAACCTGCGGCTTCTCAAGGGTCACAGATATGGTCTTTGCGGCCGCAACGGTGCTGGAAAGTCTACCCTCATGAAGGCTATCGCCGGTGGTAAGCTGGAGGGTTTCCCTCCTCAGGATGTCCTCCGCACATACTACGTCGAGCACAACCAGGGCGAAGATGCCGACATCAGCATTCTCGAGTTTGTTGCCAAGGATCCTGAAATTGGTCCTCAGGGCAATGACCACATCTCCAAAGTTTTGTTGGAATTCGGCTTTACTGACGGCCCTGAGGGTCGCCAGTCTCAGGCCGTCGGCTCCCTCTCTGGTGGTTGGAAGATGAAGCTTGCCTTGGCCCGAGCCATGCTGAAGGGTGCCGATGTCCTCTTGTTGGACGAACCTACTAACCATCTGGATGTTGCAAACATTGCCTGGCTTGAGAACTACCTCAAGACACACCCTGACATTACAAGTTTGATCGTATCTCACGACTCTGGCTTCTTGGATAACGTCACCACCGATATTTACCACTATGAGCCCAACAAGAAGCTCGCTTGCTACAAGGGCAACCTTGCCGCATTCGTTCAGCTTCGCCCCGAGGCCAAGAGCTACTACACCCTTTCGGCATCCAATGTCCAGTTCAAGTTCCCTCCTCCTGGTATCCTGACTGGTATCAAGTCTCAGACCCGTGCCATCATTCGTATGAGCAACGTCTCTTTCACCTATCCCAAGGCTCCTAAGCCTTCACTCCAAGACGTCTCTTGCTCTCTGTCTTTGTCCTCACGAGTGGCTATTATTGGACCCAATGGTGCTGGCAAGTCTACCTTGATCAAGTTGCTTACCGGTGAGACCATTCCCACCGTTGGTAAGGTCGAGAAGCACCCCAACCTTCGAATTGGTTACATCAAGCAGCACGCCCTAGAGCACGTTGAGATGCACCTTGAGAAGACTCCCAACCAGTATTTGCAATGGCGATACCAGCATGGCGACGATCGTGAGGTTCACATGAAACAGACTCGTGCTTTGTCGGACCAAGATCGTGCGCAGATGGATAAGTTCATCGATCTCAAGGACGGCAAGCCTGCCAAGCAAATTGAGTCGCTTGTTGGTCGTCAGAAGTACAAGAAGACGTTCCAATATGAAGTGTAAGTGCAGTTTGAGAAAATGCCTCCCCCAACGTTTGGATCCAGAAAGCTGACTGTCAACATAGTAAATGGCGTGCAACTCTGCCCAAGTACAACACTATGATCTCTCGTGAGACCCTTCTTGAGCTCGGCTTCGATAAGCTGGTGCAAGAGTTTGATGATCACGAGGCGTCTCGTGAGGGTCTTGGATACCGTGAGCTTCAGCCATCTGTCATCTCCAAGCACTTTGAGGATCTTGGCCTGGACCCTGATATCGCCAACCATAATGAAATTGGTTCGCTGTCTGGTGGTCAGAAGGTCAAGGTTGTCATTGCTGGTGCCATGTGGAACAACCCTCACTTGTTGGTTCTGGACGAACCTACCAACTTCTTGGACCGAGACTCTCTTGGAGGTCTAGCCGTGGCTATTCGAGAGTTCAAGGGAGGTGTCATTCTGATTTCCCACAACGAGGAGTTCGTTGGAGCTCTTTGCTCTGAGCAGTGGCACGTCGACAACGGACGAGTTGCCCAGCGCGGTACTGCCGCTGTCGATCTTGCCCGTTTCGAAGACAGCCGTCCTGGAAGCGGCGTTACCAGCACTGCAGTCAGCACTGCAGCCAACTCCGTCGTGAGCAGTGCTGTCAACTCTGGCGTCGAGGATAACGGTGAACTCAAGTTCAAGGCCAGAAAGAAGAAGAAGATGACCAAGAAGGAACTCAAGGAGCGAGAGGTCCGTCGCCGTCTGAGACACATTGAGTGGCTCAACAGCCCCAAGGGAACTCCTCACCCCCCTGACACCGACGATGAGGAGTAAAAAGTTTGACTTTAATCGGGTCAATTTTTTTAATATGTGGGAAAAGAAAAGTTTTTGCTTTTGATATTTTAGAGGCACTTTTATATGGTGCGCCTGACACTTTTTTTGAGTTGGGATGCGATATACATGCGTGTTAGCGGTTCTGGTAGAGAAGCTTGCATACGCTCGCGCACGCTCTGTGGGAAGGAACTGGATAGATAGAATGAGATGGATAGCTGTGATATGGGTGGAAATCATACACGACTTTTTGGAAGTCCATTGGTGGAACGAAACGAGACGGCATAGAGGCGTTTTTTCGGCATACAGATAGATTCTTTTTCTTTCTTTCTTTCTCTCTGTCCTGGGAATACATATATCATTTCGTATAGACTTTTTTTTGTTAAATTGTCAATGAATGGATAAACGGTGCAAGTCTATCGTCTACCTACCTTTATGGTAGCATCAATATGGTGATTCTAAACATCAAGTTACAACAGACATATTCTATGATATATATATCCAATTATACTATAATTTACTAGCATCACTAATACACAATCCACCGTAAATTTTCATGCCTCTTGATACCATCCCTCCAGAGTTTTTACCTAAATACGCAGTGCCCAAAATACTCCCTTCCCAAAACCTATCCACCACTTTAGAAGTCTTCCAGCGTTTCCCAGATTATCCTCTCCTAGTAGGTAGTAGTATCAATAATTATGCGTTCCCAGAAGAAGAAAAAAGTCTAACAATAAAAACACATTATGACATAGTTTGAAAGCGCGTGCAACAAACATCATCTGTATAAAAATGCAGCAAAAAGAGAAAAGCAAAGACTCAGACAAATTCATATCTCATTTCCCTTTTTCTTTTTCTGTGGAGAGATTTTTCGCAGAGATTTTATAGAAAGGTAAAGGGATGTGAATATGTCATGAGCCTTTGCTCTGTCCATTGAAAGTCAAAAACGCCAATCCCAATGTATGTGATTTTTTCACCCCCCTGTGGCTTCAGTGATCATATTATCAATGCAAAACATCAATTTACCACGAAAAGGTCATGAGGGCAGGGTTCAAGGCCAGAGGCAAAAGGAAATGAGAAGCTGCAACAGTGGCCATGGGCAGAATGGCAACGAAATCCTTGATTTGCCAGTCATAGGGGACAAACGGTGCCTGAGCAAGAATAATCATGCCGACAATAAATACCAGAGAGAAGATCATTGAGAATTTGAACTAGACATAATGTCAGTAAATGATTCGCGTCAAAAACCAAGAGAACAACTGGTAAGACAACTCACCTTTTTCAAAACCTTGGGAACTTCAATGAAAAAGTTGGAAAATTCAGCTTCTTTACTGGTGGCACCCCACGTCATGTTAATCTCAAACATGTGAGCCAGCAGAGCTTGGCTGACGTGTAGCGACAAACCACCAAGGAAAATGGCCAACATTAGAGTCCACATGAAATTCTCAAACAGGGCGTAAAGCAAGCCGCGCTCACCAACACGGTAGCGCATGACGGCCAAAGCAATGTTACCAAGGCCGTTGAATACAATGATGATGGAGAACCAGACCTGCCATGAGTCGACATAGTACTTGTCCAGGTAGCCATTGAACCATCCCATCACGAAGTAGTTCACCGCAGTCAAGATCCAAGCGGCTCCAATAGCATAGTAGGTACCAATGTAAGAAATGACAGTGACCTTGGACGTGAATCGAATGTTGGAAAATAGGAAACGGCGGAACAAGGGAGTAAAGGGACCGCGCCAAAGCCAAGTTCGAATAGGGTGGAACAGAAGCTCGTTGCAGCCGTATGCGTATTTCTCCCATCGAGCAAGCTCATCGTAGACAGTCAAAGACACGCCCTCCTTGAAACCTTCACCAGCCCAAGCAGCCAGACGAATGATGTATCCATTGACCTGCAGACGTAGAGACATATCAAAATCTTCCGAGACGTGGCTTTCTGACCAGAACTTGTCGTATCCATCTTCATCCTGGTACGCGACTTGTTGAATGGCAGTCCAGCGGAGAATAGCGTTGTGACCGACGAATGGTGCAACATCACCATTTGACACGGTGTATCGGATGGCAGAGTAAATAAGATTGGTGAAAAAGGTAATACCGTTCTCGAAGTAAGTATGGACAACTTGCATGACACCGGAAGAAAACTGCATGATACCGACATCGGGAGATTGCTCCATTTCAGAAACAGCATCAAGCAAGCAGTCAGCGGGAACACGAGTATCAGAGTCGATAAGCAGGATGTAGTCTCCCATACGGATGTTACCATCTGCCCAGGCGCGACCGTCAGCCTCCAGGACTTCCTTGAGAGCTTCCTCATACGCCATCGCCTCGTCATTCTGGGACCACTCAGGGGGACGTTCAATTGCCTGAAGTTTCTCTTCGACCTTGCAGGAAATCATAAGAGCAAAATTCATGTTGGAAGCCTTCTTGAACTTGCCCTTGCGTGTAAAGCCGTTTTCTCCATGCTTTGGACGAGCAACCCAGCCAATGCTATTGTCAGCGTAGAACTCAATGCGAGCCTGGCGATCTTCTTCAGAAATCAGCTGCAGACCGTCGTCATTGATGAACATGTTTGCAGAGCCGCCTTGGAGTTCGTATGTAGACATGGCCTGTTTGATAGACTTGACTGTTGGCATAATGACACCTTGCAGACCTTCCTTGTAGACAGGACACTGGATAGTGACGTGAGGTAGAATGGCACTCTGCAGACGCGGCGGAGGACGAGCAGAATAAAACTTGGAGTTGATGGTAAGCTGGCGAATGGGACCGAAGATTTGAGCCAGACAACCAATGATAACCTGGGCAAAAAACAGAGTGAAAAACACTTGAACAGGAGCCAGCGCAACGAGCGCAAGGCGTATGTATGTGCTGTCGACGGAGACTTCAATAGCCAACTGCCTCCAGGCAGCACCAAGAGAAACAGTAACTAGAGCCAGAGTGAGAGACACGAGGACCGTGTTCTGGAGATGGATAGGCCGCTTTTCAGGTATGATTTCGCCACTCTCTTCGTCAATCTCAATTTCAGCCGCGGGCGGACCTCGCTTTTCGTCGTTTTCTTCCTCATCCGGGTTACCAGCCTTCCAGACCAGCTCCATAAGTTCGGATTCAATGGCCTTGGCGCGTGCGACCAAATGAAGAGCATCGTCGTCCCAAACGACCAAGAGACCTTCAGAAGCGACAAAAGCGGCGAATTGATACTTGCGAGCACGCGGCAAGTCATCAATTGTGGGAAGAATTTGTACACGTAGGCCGTTCATGAGTGGTACATCAACAGCATCTGGAGACCATTGCAGGAACGTTTTGATGACACGAGAGTTGACAGTCATGGCACACTGGACGTTGAGAGCGGCACATGCCAAAGCAAAGGGAGAACTGGCGAGCTGCGCAGGACAAGCCATGTAGTGGCCCCGAGCCTTACGAAGCAAAACTCCCTCAATCTCTCCAGATCCATCACTGACCCAGAGCTGAGAGCACTGCTGCTGGTACAGATAGTTGACCATGACCTCATGTTTGATATCATCAAGAAACAGGGAGCTCTGAATTGATGGAGTAGATGTGCCAGAGCTAGACTGAGGACGGGAATGAAATCTAGGCGTAGGTGCCTGGAGGTCCATATCGTTGACGGACGCGGACGATGGCGACTTTTCTGATAGTACTGACTGCCGACCTTCATGTTGTAACCGAGGAGGAGGCGCCAGTTTGGCTGGCGGCGGTGGTGCAGGAGTTTCCTGCTCAGCCTTTTTGGTGCTCGCTTTGAAATAGCTTCCAAGACCCATCTTGATGGATATGATCTAGAGATGCTGTAAAGAAAAATTTTCCAGGTTTACCTTCCCTAGGCAATGGGCTTATATATAAGTCCCAAGCCTTCTCCAGGAGTTTGAGGAACCGCGGTGAGTATTCTTTCAAAACTCTCTCTGCTTCTGTTGTGAATATCTCTCTGGTGTGGATGTGTATATATGGTGTTGAGTGTTGGCAGCAGGACAAGAATGTCCTATGCAGTGAGATATGCCGTATGTAAGTGATTGTAATCCACTAAACAGGACAGCACGGTCTCCGATAATATAAAGGAACCAGATGTGCTATTGCAAAGTGGGGAGGACGATCCCAGGCAACAAGGCCAGGCACTTGAAAGAAACGAGTGGTGCTGTAAGTGAATGTGGTGTGGACGAAAACGAAAGCAATGCCCGAACACCTTGTCCAGCTATGCAATATTGGCCGAGTATGCAAAGCCTGCAGGTCTGCTGAGCGAGGGGAAGGAGGCAGAAGATAAAGAGGCGCAACGACGTATAAATGAAGTACGATTAGAGAGGGAGAAAGGGTGGGTGGAGGGGGGTGAAGCAGGACGATTGTTGAGGATGCACTTACGGATGATAGACCAGGGACGACATTAGGCCAGGGCCTGTGTGGCAGCCCAAGAAGGCTGGTGGGCTAGAATTTCAAAGCATCCCGATCGGTGGTTACCGCTCGATCTCTCGGTCTGGTGTATGAAGTATCGTCATGCACCTCGGACATTGTGGGCAAAGGCAGCACCTCTGCGGCTGGAGCTGAGAGCAGAAATGGAGAGACAACAGAGTTTGATCAAAGCCTAGCAAGGGGAGGGGGGTGTGGATTGCGGCGCAAGGTTGTGGGCGCAACAAGCTGCAGCTCTTATGCGCCAAGGTGCATATATTGCTGTTGTGGGAGGGGATATGTCGAGGAACCAGAGCGAGCTGATGGCAAATGGCCTCCGCTTGAACGCCACGCCAAGGATGAAGACTTGCAAATGGTCAGTATGATAGGAAGGCAAAGGAGTACGGGCCATCATGTCGGCAAAGCGGCGAGCCAGGAGAAGATCTGGCTCGAGTTCGTGCCCAACCTCCAGCAAACGAATCAAGTCAGATAGGCGGCCAGATAGAGCTCTCACTTGGAAGGCACCGGGTTCTGAATGATGCCAGGCCACAGCCTCCCTGTGGGTGACAGTGTAGTGGAGGACAGACAACTGGCTGAGACCCCCTTCAGGACAAAGAAAGCCTTGTTCTGGGAGACAATTGCTTGATGGACCCCGGACCACTGCCCACGTTTTTCTCGGATCAAAGCACCACTCCGTAACACACACACTTAGACCCTTGCTCAGCAATCTGGACGATTATCAATAATGACTGACATGGAGTGACGCAGCTTTCTACCTAGGCTCGTCGTAAACTTAGACCAATTCCCGGAATGCTATCGCGCGAAGCAGTGGCAGCTCGTTTATGCTTTGTGTGCCTGAAAATAGCACCAGGCCAACGCCCGTTCGGGGGCAGAAACCGATGCTGACACCTGCGAATAGGCTTTTCTCTATCTCTCTTCGTGTTTGCCTCTGCGGAAACCGTCCGCCGACGGACTGGCCCACCCCCCAAAACAGCCGCCGCCATGGTAACAATCGCTGTGGATTCGTAGTCAAAAGACAGTTTGTACCAGTAATCCGGACTTTTTCTCCCCCGCCCAGCACTACCAGGATCTTGGCTAGCTGGAGTTTGAAGCGGCTTACAGCGCTGCTTCGAACGGGCGGTCGAGTGCCAGAAACTCGACGACTGCTCGATATCAGTGGCGATTGCTCAGGGCGTTGAGACAGGGTGACCCCAGCACACGATGTCGTAGCTTTCTCAGTATTCTCTTTTCCTCGCTTTTGGCTTTGTCCGGCTTGCCGTTGTGGTTCTCTTGGCGAATCGTCCGTCAACTTGGCGCAACTCCCACGCATGCAAGGCGGTGGGCCGGGCAGGGCGTGTCCTTAACAGCTCGAAAAACCGGCAGAAAAAAAAAGAGGCTTTTGCGGACCAAAGAGTGGGTCACGCGGCCTGCTTAAAGCAGCGACAATAGCGGCATCTAACGGTGCTAGCGCCATGCGTCTACCGCTGGCCTTCGCCTGGATATGCACTCACCAAGGCATTATACGATCCCTCCAAGTCAAGGACCAGAGGCCGCACAATCCGCAGTCCCGGATCGGAGTATTAGGGCAGACTGTCTCCCGGCAGTCGTGCTTCCGTCTTATCGGCGTGGCCAGGCAGATCGCGCGAGATGCAGCGTATCGCAAAGGCGTGCTAAGAACCTGTAAGACACCAGCGAGATTGCCCAAACTCTATCTATGCATGATAAACCACGCAACGGGTCAGCCTGGCAACAGATTGCATTGGCGTCGAATCCCAGAGATAACGGCATTCAATGCTGGCCCTGAGCCTTGGCCAGCCACAAAGGCGCGTTCCTGACGACCGATTGGATCCTGCGGACACCAAGAATGCTGCACGCCAGATTCAGGATAACCGCACACGCACGGCCGGCGCCACCGCAACAGCGCATCAGCGAAAAGCAAAGAGAGATGGCCAGAGACTCCAGCCTCCGTACCCCTTGTACAGGGTCGAGAACATCCTCCCTCACAGCGCTACCCGCGGTTTGCTTACGAAGCGTTGCGAACAGTAGGAGAAGCCGCCCTGCAGGAGGAGAGCAGCTATTCAGGAGAAACGGGGGCTGCTTCAACTATCCAACTGCAATACTAGTTCGCCGTCAGCTTGCCTCCCTTGTGTTCACTTAAAAGAAGCCTATCGTGAACGCCATACAGTAGGTACAGATATCCATGGTCTGCGGTGTGGATGCGTTGTCTGCAAATCAGGTGCTGTCAACGGGCCTGAGCGTCTACAGTATGTAGATGCGCATAATGGCACGGAATTGGTGCCTGGCACGAATATCACACACAAACCAGCTATTTTTGGGACCTTTTCCTTGGGGGTATCGTATTTCCACTTTTTGAGTGGGTAAAATTTACGTGTTTGTTTGCATCAACGTGGACCCAACTGGCACACTTTTGTGTCTCTCCCATAGCCGCGGGTTCAGCACCGTCGGCATAGAACGACGGTAGGAGCATTTTTGCTACGGCCTGATTGTATTTGGCAAAATTCTGCAAATCGTTCTTCCCATTTTTGCCCATACGTGTTGGGTTTAGATGCAGGGGGGCTGAGCTGAAAACTGCTGTAGGAGCACCCAGCACTGTCGGTCTATCCGTCAACTTAGAGTAGTCCAAAAGGATGGTATGGCTATGTGTGTTACTCACCTGATAACCAATCTGATGCGTAAAGTAGTATTACCAAGGCCGTAAATTCAGGATACGGCCTTGCGTCTATCATGACCTACCTACCATCTCAGACAGTCAATACACCTTGACTCTCCTGCACCAAGGGTTTTGTGGCTGCCGCCGAGCTTCGCGCCTTTGCAGAACACTTTATCATTCATTGGGTTCCGCGTTTGCCCATGCGCCTGCCATGTGCCGTGTAAACGCCACGGCAATCTCCCTTTTCATTAGCAAAAAAAAGCCACATTGTTACGAGAGACTCACCTGAAGTGAATCAGTCAGCCGCCCCCTTATTGACCAAGCCTCAAACCTGGGCCACTTACACCAGCCTCGGTCAAGGCGCGCCGACACTGGGCGTCAATCTGGCAGCTCATTCCACATTTGTGATTAGTCGCCCATTCTGCATGCATTCGTCGCAATTTCAGGCCACTAACCGCTCCCACGTAGTTTGTGCTACTCTCCATGGCATCTCAGAGATAAGGGGGCAACCGCCATCAGCGGGTAACCACGTCAACGCGGCACTTGTACTCACTAACACTCCACCACAAATTCGAGACCGGCGTGGCTCGCCAAGAGCAGAAAGCAGATTGGTAATTAAACATCACGTAGCCCAAGAAATATGCATTGTTCAGCTCAGCCATAGTGAATTCCATCTCCGCTATGGCTGCTTTTATTGAATCCGCTAGACTAAAATCACATCAGTCCTCGACTCACCGTATCTACAGAAGCCCTGCTTGGCTCGATTTTGCATTAGCATATCGCATACGTGTTTCTACATACATCCATGTTGCATTAAAATCCTACTTTGGTAAAGATGATCAGATCCTATACGCATTGAAACGTGTTCATGCATCGCAGTACATTAGATCTAATGTACGGCTGCAGCACTCGCCTTTTCCGGACCAGTAGTAAACGTCAAATACCGATACTAGGCAATAATCAGCTTCTTAGAATAATGGAATTCATCCAATAGTACCAGAAAAGTATCCAAGTTGCTGATAGAGTGAAGAGCAGCTCAAAAAGGGAAGAAGAAAGAGGATGCTAATGCAGCCGTTCGGAAGATATCCTTAGCCACACGCCCATAACTTGCCGCTAAGAACTGATTGAAAGATCTGCTCCGGTAGGTATCAATAGCAATCCAATCTTTTACCTAGAGTTGGTCGTCATGTCAGGAGTATAGGTAGGTAGATAAGTAGCGATGTAGGTATATAGATAGATAGTGGATAGGTACCCGGTGGATAGAGTCAATGGAGGCTGAATGAGCGGTACCACAAGCGATAACGAATGTCTCAATTACAATCTCTTTGTAGTATAACACTCACCGAAAAAAGAGTGAATTTACGGATTTATTGTCATTCAGGCACCACAGCCATTGTGATTCCGTAACCAAAAAAAAAAAAAAAAAAAAAAAAAAGCCTAACATGCTGACGTCTTGCATTTCAGCCTTATCTACATCCCTGTTTTCAGCTTCATCCAATACCACAGTACGTACATATATGCGCATGCAATATACAGTATACCTAGGGAAGGGAAGCCAACAAAAGCTGCACCTACTATACCTACTTGGGAGAAAGCCTGCCTTGCCGCATTGATGGACAAAATCCTGGCTTCCATGGTGTATTCTTTACTCTCCCTTGCAGAAGCCCGCCCTTGGTCCTATGCAGCCTTGCTGATAGAAACATACTAGCTCATCCAAAATTCTGATCAAAAATAGTACATACTTCTAGCACAACTAATGCTGATGAAAATAATAAAATTGTCACACACCACCTGCCAGCAAAGAGACGCCTTTCCTTAAACGACTTACATTCTCCGGACCCCTGGTCTATAGCTGAATGCTTCACCGCATTGACCTTGGCTTGGCTTATACGGGCTCTCATAACTTCTACATGTACAAGGAAGTCAACTGTGGTGGTAATAGCTTGCATCAAAGCGTCGAGGCAGCATATTACTGTTTTCTCAAAGTGCATAGTAGTAGGTAGTATCATATTAAGCAAAAATATTATAAATTTTGTGTACAGCATAAGAAAAGAAAAAGAAAACCAGTAGATATGTATCTCAAAACGCCCATTATCCGTTAATCTCACGCATCTCATCCAATAGCCAAGAAATTTATGCCCTCCAAACCCTCCGACTTAGTACACCATTATAAACACCAATCGTAAAGAATCTGTTGCCGCGTATACCCAATTTTAAACAGTTAAAGTCCCTTCGCCGTCGTGTCTATAGCTACCTGCGTAGATGAAGATGCAAAAAGTATGGCTCACAAATCCTCGTTGCCGTCACATTGCTGCATAATGACAACGCGGCTAACCTCAAGCTGAGGCTGCGTCCATGTAGGATACCAGGAGTCGCGGGCATTCCAGAAATCCTTTTTGGCATTGGGAGATTGATCCAGCCAAGGCTTGCCAGATTGGCCATCTTCAAACCAGCCGTTGGTGCCACCGACAGCAAGGTTCATGATGAGATAGAACTCTTGGTCAAAGGGGGTGTTGTCGAGGCCGGTCTTACTCCATATGTCGACTAGCCTAGTACCATTGGAAGTAGAGTCAGGGAAGCCACCTCGATTCCACATAGGCTTATTGAAGTTGGTGTAAGTGACTTGCAGCAGTCGGCTGTTGATATACGTAAAGAGATACTTCTGCGACCACTCAAGGCCAAAAGTGTTGAATCCACTGCTGTAAGTGGTGTGCAGCGCCTGACGCTTGTTATTAGTCTTCCACCAAGCGTCATTAGCCGGGTCGGGCCCCCAGTGAAGAGCAGACGAAGCAATGTTGTTGCCGCCTTGAGCATAGGTATGGTTGTTACCACGCGACTCCATGATATCGATTTCTCCAGAGGCAGGCCAGGGACCATAGGTGTCATTGACGGGCAGCATCCAGATAGCAGGCCACAGCCAGTCGCCTACAGGCAGCTTTGCAGTGACTTCAACACGGCCGTACTTGATTTTTGCTCCCTTGAATGTGTTGATGCGGCCAGAAAGAGTAGGGGGGACAATGCTAGAGTTGCCATTGGTGGTGTTAGTGGCCGCGACGCAGCTGTAGTAGTCCTTGGAGGTGCAAGTGCCGTCTTTGAGCAGATCGATAACGTTGTTCTTCTCAACGAGATCAGCACTTTGGAGGGTTGCCTGGATAAAGAGGTTGCCATTTTGGACATAAACATTGCTATCGCCACCAGTGGTCTGCTCAAACTCGCCATTACTGATCAATAGGTGTTAGTAAATCATTATGAAAGTTAGGTCGACATTAGAAAAGCATGCTTACCCAAAGCCGCCAACCTGCACCTCCTTTGACCAAATGCTAGGATCAAGCCCGTTGCTAAAGTCGTCATCCAAAACGGGACAGTACTTGTGGTGGACAACACTGCGCATGCCGTCCCAGATCAGGAACCCCGAAATACAGAGGCCAAGGAGGATACCAAGGAGGGGCAGGATCGTGACCCATTTCTCCTTGGGATCCGTCTTTTGCAACCAAGGCTTCTCAATCTCGCCTTTCTTTACCAATCGTGAGTGGAAGTATCGCTGGCCAGTGCCCTCGAAAGGGCCACCGCTGGAAGATTCAAAACTAGAGGCCGGCCTTGAGCCATCAGGGCTAACAAAGGGATTTGTGCCAGTCCCAGGAGCATTGGAGGCGCTATCAGTGCTATCAAAGATGTTGCGGCTGCCATCTGTGTTGGGGGTTCCAGGGCGAAGAGGTGTTGGTGCACTGGAAGTGGCAGCCGAGGGGACGGGAGGTCGCCCGTAGAAGTTTTGCTCCATTGGGAGTGTAGTTTGTGTTCAACGCCCGAAGCAGCACTAATGGCAACCAGTCGAGTTGAGAAGTATTGCGTGTCTGGAATCGAGAGATGGGAAAGCCTGAGCCAAGACGCAGTCCTGTGTCTTATGAGACACGAAAAGCAAACAAGAGGCCTGCGGCGTGGTGGGGCTCAAGAGAGAGGTGGTGATCCGGCTTTGATATGCTGGAATGGAAAGGCCAGCACCGACAGGATATGCCCGGCTGCAACACAAAACAGAAAGAAAGAAAGAATCGGTGCTCCTTAGACGAGAAAGAGAGACTGCAGATGCTGAGGCAGATGAAAAGAATACCTCGTGGGCATGCCGGAATAATAGACTCGAGCCTCTCAGCCGCTGCTGAACGGGTACGTACAGCGGATGTATGATGGGCTCGAAGCTTTTCTCTAGACCGGTGCAATGCTCGCATCACAAACTTTCACATTTTCTTTTTCTGATTGCATCCATTAGTGCTGGCATCAGTGGCACTGCCCGGCCTGTCCAGCGGAGTCTCGCCAGCCAACCATGCCGCAAAATCAAAGCATCGAGGGCGTGTGCTTAAGCCGGCCCCTTGCTAAGCTGGGATTTGGGGTGGGGGGCCATGCAGGCGCTGGAGATGGTGTTGGCCACTTTGCTGGCTCCATCTCAGCCCCCTGCAGTGCCATGCCAGCTCGGCTCTGTCCTATCAAGCCGCTGCGAGGATGAACATGGCGCCAGTCAGCGCGGGAAGCGGTAGAGAGAATGCAAAAAATTAAACACGGGGCTAACACTGTCCGGTATGCTTAGATCTGGCCTTGCTTTCTTTTTCTGCTGCTGCTTTATCTCCGCGGCCGCACAAATGCTAATCCGAAGCGCAAACGGCCGCGAATAGGTGCTTGCACCAAGACACAATAATCCCTCCACTTCATCACAATCTCTTCCTCCATAATATCGCCCGTTGCGACCCTGCTGGCGAGATGCCATTATCCATAGGTAATTTTAACGCGGCAGTTGTCCTACAAAGCCATTGGCATTGGTGATTGTACGTTGCATCCAGCCACAGCCCAGGCTTGAGCCATGCAGCGTCTGCCATACCGTATATTGCTTGCAACTATTGATCCGCCGCATCCAATTGCATCCGCTCCACCATGCCAGAACACCAAATCAAAGAGCCCTGTGGTAATACATAGCACTACGTCTACCGAGGCCAGTTCCAAGCAAAGAAAAGAGCCCATGTTTGCCGCAGAGCCGAGCCGGCCTCTCGCAAGCAAGCCTTTCGCATCAGTGTTCACAGGCGCCCTTGGCTCTCTTACAAGCACCAGAAGCGCTAGAAGGCTACCTGTTTATTCCCCCAAAGCGCTAAATGGCTAGATGGGCCTGGCGCACTTTTGTCACGGGCTGGCTCCAGCGGCACAAGCCGGAAAGTGGGCTTCGACGCCTGGTAGGCAAAAGGCGCGCAAAAGCAGCGACGCTGGGCTGTCTATGCGTGCGATTAGATGCCGCTATGGCTGTCGAACCAGCGCTGTATCGTGCTGGCGCCGCCTGCGCCACTTTGGCGCTCAACGTGCCGTGCCTGAAGATCCCCTGGTCACCGCCCAGCTTGCTCTCACCGCCTTTGGATACGCCCACGCCCTCTCTCTTCCGTGCATCTTGTGCTTGATCCTTCCAGAGTTCCAAAAGTTTAGGTGCATTTACGGAATACTGCTCCCGCTTTAGCACTAGCCAGGATGCGCTGAAAGGCGCTATCTGGTAGCTACAGATCAGCGCGTCGCTAAGACGCTGGGAACCTCGTAACAGCGAGAGCTGCCGCACAAGAATTCATCCACCGGTGCCGCGTTAATGCTGCCAAGAGGCCAACCCAGGGCACAAAAAAAAAAGTTCACTGGTGATTCTCTCGGTCTTATTTTTGTGTGTGTTTATTCCCGCTAGACGCTTGCTAGACTGCGTAAAAGACGTGACAAACTTTGTCGGGTAAATTGAGAAATCGGTGCAGCATAAAGCGACCATGACAAAGTTCCGGCTACTTGCACGCATGATTGATTCCTGTAATACAAAAGTACTAGAACGGACACTTGGTATATCCAACGTAGCATAAGGCCCTACGAAAATCGCCTAGTCCGGCAAATTGACTCGGAGCTACTGGCATTGTTTAGCACCATTTGACATTTTGTACCTGAAATTGTCAGATTCAAGGCTCAGGCACGAAACTCAACTCAACTACCAAGGTATCTTATCTACTAATCAATCATCTCATTTTGCTGCTTAATGTGATAACCAAGTCTTTCATCCGGTTGCCAATTGCTCCGTGCCGACCGCGTCCACGTTACAGGAAGGTACAATGAACAGAAGCAGAAGAAAAGATGATAGATATCACGTCTCTCCTACATGCCATGCGGATCCCATGCGGATCCCACTGTTAAACTTTCTTGCCGCTAGATGAAACACATAAAGCCCTCACATACTCCATACACCCTTACAACTGGGGCTTCATCAAACTCTCATCTGATAAATGCGAGTTGTTGATATCGGCGGCAGGAAAATGAAGAGAAACGGCAATACCAAGCGTGGCTTACAGCTAGTCTCTCCACTCAGCTTGATCAACTCGAACGACTTGGCATTCTCATCTTACAATCTGCGGCCGATGCAATACGATGATGACTGAAACCGCCCCCCATGGGGAAAAGAGTTGATCGGCAAGCGGCACGAAAGTCGCAACTTGAACTCAACAAGAGTGCAACTCGGATAGCTTTCGCCGATAACAACATATGCAACGGGCGCGGTGTTTTCAGAGCCTCCAGATCTACCACGTGCCGCAAAACAAGGAGCGTCTTACACATCATTCGACTAAGCTCTTGTCTTGCTTGTGGATCGTCATTATTGTTGAGGACTACGCAATAACTGATGAATATCCTGCGGCGAAGTCCGGCTTGGCGAGATGACCGTTGAAGCTTTGACTTTGGCTGGATGCTGCAAGCTCAAACAACTATTTTTTTGCGGGCAGTTTTCTACTCTGTTGCTGAAACAAAACTATTTAGTGCAGCGATACAGCAGGAGCTGAGATTCGACTCCGCTTTGTGGGGAGTGGCTTTCTTTCGACATGCTCCCCAACGCTTGCTTACTCTTCTCCAATATTGCACCATCCCTTCAACTCCCAATGATCAACATCAGTATTGAGGCCGCAGGGGGTTCGATTCAACGCACGATATATCAGGGATTGTTGTATCATACAGCACATCCACTGCCAATACAAGGAAAAGAGACAAACTCCTATGGTTGGCAGCACCTATGGCTATCATCTTGCCCAGCGAGAAGCTGCAGTTGTCGACAGCCAATCGATGAGACTTGCTCTATTTTTATCGGCACAGCTAGCGTCTGGGGCTTCCTGTTGGCTGCATGTCTCAGTCGCAACAGCCATTCCGCTGGCGCATGCGGTTCTCGTATCCGAACAGACAGAGGTGCGTCGTGGCATGCTTCTATTCAGAGAAAATGCACTTTTTTTTTGTTCCCGGAAGGCTAACCGAAAGACACGACTCGCGAATGCAGTTGGGCACTCACGACGGATATGCCGACACTTCAGCCTCGAGCATCGTGAGAAATCCACCTACCGATGGCGTAACGCAAATTACATCAATCGTGCAACCAGAACTGATTTCGCATGCTAGCTCGAATCCTTGCGTTGCCTGCTAATTTACTCAGTGTCACCCGGTTTACCAATTGTCTCCGTCCTTTACATCTACAACTCAACTCATTTTCCGCCTCTTCGTATGACCGTTGCATCTCCTTCCAATCCACTCAATCAGGACAGTGGCGTGCACACGAAAATACAAATAGACAGCGCTCATTGAAAGCAATTGCGTTATGGTTTTTAGAAGTTTCATGTACATGTTGTGCTGACAACTGGAGTGAACTCTAACAGTTGGTATCCTTGGAAGAGCTGAAGGCCTCCACTTCTCTCACAGGCCCCATCTCCCATCTAGACTACTCAACTTCTAGCTGAAGCTCATCTTCGTGCTGTGGCGGCGGTGGATCAGCACGGCTCATCGGGTGGTTCCATAACCATCGTTCCCACAACCCGATGTCTCCATAACACTACGGCGTGACGGAGCCTGACTCGGACGAGATCGGGTAGTTCCCGATGGGGCAATACAGGGTTCAGGTCTTATTATGTGGACATTGTTTTTATCGCCTCTTTTTTTCCCCTCTCGCTGTTCTTCTGCTATCAGGCTGCCGTGCTGTGGCTTCGCCAGTAGCGCAGCGCTATTCCACTGCGTAAACGTTCCGCTTTTGCGGTCGCGCTTGTGCTGCACCAGGGCTCGTATGGACGCAGGACCGCAAATGCCAGGGGTTGCCATATCGCAGAGCAGCGCGGCGATTGGACGGCGCCGCACTGTCGAGATGCATATTCCGTGCCAACGTTGCATTAAACACAGCAGGACAATGCAGACCGGTCTCTTGGCCGTGCAGCCTATTTGCTTGCCCTTCCTCCTCGTATCCTCGGTTGCAAGGGCTCCATGCCAACACACACATACACAAACTACTGCGTCATTGATGCAAGTTGCGCGCCTTTCTAGCACCGCTTGCCTACCCCTCCAGGCCAGGATTGTTGTTGTTATTTTTGCTTGCGTTTAGTGGGCTCCTTTCTATTTGCAGTTTTTTTTTTTTTTTTTCTTTTCCTCGCTCCCTTGCAGGAGCTTGCTGCAGCATCACGGCACACCCATGCCCAGCCACACTTTCAGCTGGCAAAGTAGCATTAGCAAATCCATCCATGTCATGGATACATACGATAGCATACCTACTTGTACATACATGCAGCTTGCAAGGGAGAAGAGAAAAAAGAAGCCCGGGCCAATCAAGCCTCATCCCAGCCGCTGGATGCTAGCGGCAGGCTAGCTTTTGCGTCCGGCCGCCGCCCAAACACCATGGCCAGGAAAAGAGGCCGCAATGCCGATCATCCAGGAACCTCGTAAGTTTTCTAGCCAATCTAGAGAACACGCCCGTTTGGCGATATACTCGGTGCTACGGTAGTGGCGTGGATAAGCATCTTTTCGTAGGCGGTCAGTCGTTCAGCTCAGTCAATATCTCTCTATAATTCTCTCTCTTCCTTGCATGCTGCCAGCTCACGGGTGTCCAAGGATCATATCATAGATACCTAATCATATTATCTTTTCTGTTTGTTGTCCATGTCACTGCCTGATATTCTTCGAAACCCAACAAGTATATCTATTTTGTTCATACGCCATTGGCAACGTCCAGCCTCCTCATAATATTCGCCTATTTGCTTCCGCGCTCTGAGTTGTTGTGCTATAGTTGTAAGAGGCGTCTAGGACATCCTGCATCGCTTGGCTTTAGCTTACACACTATTGTCAGGCTATTTTTTCAAGGCCATCCATACCCCTTGAAGCCAATTGCTTTACTCGGTACTCGGCAACCAGACCTGAGGGCGACGACAACAGCACTTCTCAACAACCAGAGATTTCTATTCCTCTAGTTGTTGTTTTATCTTAAATCTGTCAAGTTCAATAGCTGCTGTTGTTGGTTGCATACCGACATACGCCTTCTTTTGTTCTTTGTTTTCCTCGTCGTTATTCAAGACACTTTTCTCAAGTTGACCTGACTTTACACGCCCTCCCTCCCTCTCTACGACCCTAATCTCACAGCAGCAATGTTATCAAAAAGACTTGCGGCCGCGGCAACGCTGTTGGCATCTATCGCTTCAGCAAAGGTGGTATCAACAGCCACTGCGCCCCAAGATCTGGGCAGTGTGCTAGCCAGCAACAAAGATCTATCCACGTACTATGAACTCATTCAGGTGCGTAATATATAAGATCCAGTCATCGCCAGTTGATGCTAACTAGCTTCTGTAGAAATATCCTGATGTTCTTCTTCAGCTTCCCAACTATGCAGGCGTAACAGTATGTTATTCTTTCTTCTCTTTCATTCTTTTTTTTTTAACTCATAAATACGTCTGACCTATATCCTATTGTCAATTCTTTACTAACCTTCGACAAACTAATAGATCATTGCACCCTCCAATGAAGCCTTTAAAAACATTCCCTACACTGCCCTCAACGGCGTGTGGAACGCAACTGACAAAGACACTACCGTGCCTCTCTTGCAATATCACATCCTTCAAGGAACTGTCGCCACAAATGCTCTCCAGACAGGTCCGACCTACGTGCGGCCAACCCTCCTGACCAGCACACGCTACACCAACGTGACATCTGGACAGAATGTCCTCATCGCCAAGCAACCCGGCGACGACGTCGTCTTCACTACCAGCATGGGCACTCGCTGCACCCTCACCGAGGGCGACATCACGTTCCAGGGCGGTCTCATCCAGGTGGTTGACAACTTGCTCGTGCCTCCCGCGCGTTTACAAAACACATCCGAGGCCTTCAGCGTGCCTAATTTCCTGGGCGCGCTCTACGCCGGCAAGCTCATGCCCAAGGTCTCCTACGAGGAGAACATCACAATCTTTGCGCCCATTGACAGCGCGTTTGCCACAATTGGCGGTTCTCTCAAGCACCTGGACGCCAAGAGCATTGCCCGAATCATGGGGTATCACATCGTCCCCAACCAGGTCCTCGTCTCCTCCGCTCTCACCAACGGCACTCGCCTCCAGACTCTCGCGGAGAACGCCGCCGGCAATGCTCCCGAATCGCTCGTCATCCGTCAGGCCGGCAACAACAAATACGTCAACTCGGCCCAGATCGTCCAGCCCGACATCCTCCTCGCCAACGGCATCATGCATCTCATCTCCGACGTGCTCAACCCCGATGCCGATGCCGCCGTGCCAAACCCCACGGCGCTTTCCCAGGCGCCCGTCTTTCCCGTCAGCTCGGCTCGTAACCCTTTTACGTCGGCGCTGCCTTGCACCGTGAGCTGCCCCGTCACAACAACTTCAGCGAGCAGCACTGCAGAGCCCACAACCACGAGCACCAGCATATTCACAACCAGGAGCAAGGATGTAGCTGGAGCTTTTGCTACGGCGGATATGCGTGCTGCTGGAGTGGCATTGGGTTTGCTTGGCGCTGGAATGCTGTTTTAAGAGTGGAGGGACTTGTTTGTTATCTTTTATTTAGAGAGATGTATATATTCTTTTTCCGATTTGAG